CCGATGCCTTCAGTGTTTATTAAAGCAGTAAAAGATTTATGTACAATCAACACTTTTGAATTGCTTAACATTTTATTTAGCGAAGTAAACTGTTTACACTTCGGCTTTACAACACGATTGTTTCCTGATACTACAAATGATCTGTCTATATATGAGGTATTAAAGTTGTTTAACCGCTGACCACTCGTATTTGGGTCGTTTTTTCTATCCCCGCTCGTCGCCCGTGATGTAGTAACTCCCACAAACATATACCTCAAATCGTGTGCATATTGTCCAGATTCCGAGCGCTGCACCTTCTTTCATGGGAATTTGAGAAACCCGAAGTCCTCTGAAGATACACAGATATACTTTTATGTCATTTGAAAAATGTTGAAGTCGGCTGATCTACACGAAAGTATCCTCACACCGGTTATTTGTCATAAACATTTACGCTATCACGATGGCGTGACGCTGTATTTCTCCATGAAGTTTCCATCGGTCGCTCCAAAGAAGACAGGAAATGGTTATTTTTTCTTATACGTCAGCAGATTTCCGCTTTCTGAAGTAAAAACATGTAAAACCCAGTTGGAAGAATAGCAATTTGAACGACATAGGCATCTCCTTACAAAGAACAGATTCGGGCAGTCATCCTTTCCCTGTGACAGGAATAAAGATATTCCAAATCATCTGAAAACAGTCAGAAAACTGTTAGAAAATTTGCATACGATATGACGAGGAGGGACTTATCATCGCCGCAGTGCTATCGAGTCAATCAGTGTTTCCTTCCATGTCTTCGGAAAGAAAAAATCATAACAAAGTTCGAAATAAAAGATTTAATGAAATCCTAATGTCATAATTCCACCTTTCAAACAACTTATTATCCACATGCAAATCGCAACTTGTCACGTGAACGAAACTCCCCACGGTTAATATGTAATCAAAATTACCGCTTTCTTTAATATTTGGCATTCAGAATAACAACATTTAAGATTTCATAAGGCATCATATCTCAGTGCGAATAAGATAAGATATTACCCAGTTTTTGGGTTAAACAACATTTTCTAGAAAAGAAAATAGCGGCGGGTCACCTTAAGCCGACGTAATGTGACTTGACTTGACTAACCTTGGAAAGGAAAAAGGAAGCATAGAAAAGCGAATCTGTTATTCTTGAAAAATTACCGTGTAAATGCAGATCTTTCGCGATTTTACACAGGTTTAAGAATAGTTGAGTTGGTTGAACACCGTTTAATGCGCAAACTCAAAATGTCGAACATCATCGCCAATTACATGTAGGAAAACGAGCTTTTCTCAGTAATAGTCTACGATTTATTTGCGACATACACGAGGTGTCATTAAAATTATATTTCAGCGGCTTAAATTTTTCGTCAATACTATGGTTATTGTTTAAAGGAAAGTTTAAAAAGTGATTTGAGATGATAGGGAAACATTTTCGAGCTGTTTTCTAAGCAGTACTAAGTCAATTTTGAATACAAAAATTGGCCATCTTTTCGCAGTCGGACCAAGGTTATGTTGTGCTAGAACAACTCTTTAGTCCAACAGTTATTTACAAATTAAAAATGACAAGCAATGATTTGAAGCATAAGTTCTTTTGATACCGTTAAATCAAATGAAGAACCACGAGGAACCTGATTGAAAGAAATATGGCCTCGCCTCTTCAGAGTTGCTTAAAAGGGGAATGAATGGACATTGTACTTAAGAGACGGCAGTCTCAACGGGCATTCCTGAAAGAAAAATTTATCCCTTAATTTGCTGTAATATATTTCTTGTAATTATCAAATGTTGTTATGGAAATATAAATAGACGAACATGCTTTCACAAACATGTCCTTCAATAACTAAATCCGCCATTGAAGTCGTTTCTAGAAAACGAAATGCGAAAATTAGGAGCAAACCAGAAACTAAAATCTGGAATCTTTTGTGTTTTGGAATCTGGAATCCGGTAGGGGTAGAATCCGGAATCCAGCACCTGGAATCCGGAATCCACAGCGTGGAATCCAGAGTCTAATACTATCCTGGATTACCTTACATGGGGCGAATGACTGCAGATCAGATGAACTTGAACGGTAATGGTACACTGAAAATAACTAAAATTTTTTGATAAATGTCCTTTCGGAGTTCGAGAACTGTTTCAGACATCGCTGAACAGTAAAGCTACATGTGAAGATGTTACGGTGCAGTTCAACCCTTGTTTGCATTTATTCTTTTCATCCGCGATTTATGTAGAATGTTTTCTTCATTTGTTTTTTGTTTTTGTTTTGTTTTTTTGTTTGTTTGTTTCTCTACCAAGCTCTCTTTAATAATTTTTCCCTGGCTGGAGTAATTTTTAAACGTGAGAGTAGGCCACCGAAAAAGAGCACAAGCCACAGGTTTGGTCAGGACCAAATCCATGCTACGATAAAGATGGAAACCCGAAATTTGTAAGTCTTTATAAAAATGCTGCTCACAAAAACACCTTTAAAAACCTCCAAAGTGCTGATGAAATTGTGCAACAGAGACAGGAACCCTTAAAGGTTTGTAAAAAGCAAAGAAAGTGAGCCACGTCAAGCTGAATCGCTCCACTGAAGTCTGTCTTTAGTCTAACATTCCCAATGCACCTCAAACGATACCTAATTATTTTACTTATCCCATCTGACGCTACGACTTATCAGAACTTTCACAATGCCTCAATACATGAGTAACTTTGTAAAACTCTATGATCGCAGCCTCCTCCAAAAGTGGGCGCAGGTGCAATGATTTTAACCAAGTCCATGTGTGTTATGAAAGGAGCTTCATGTGGACCGGCATGTTTATTACGATACTTTTTTCTTCTATTTATTCACAATTATCATCAATTTTCATGGTACAAGTGGGAACATAAAGGTCAACTTCAATCGTCTACCTGATTTTTAACTACTAGGGCTGAAAGTTGAAAGGGAGACTTCATAAACAATAGAACTTACAGCGTTTCCTGTAATAAAATAACAAAGAAAATAAAAAGACAGATAGTTTGATGCTACACTGGTTTGCAGATTTAATGAATGTAACAGAAGAAGTTACGATTCATAGACCCAACGTTTCGACACTCCTGTCTATTGACTTCATCAGGGGTGATCTAAACGCTGCAACAAGAGGTCCTTTTATATGATCACTAATTAGCGGCCTTTTTTCTAACGTGGTGTAAATAGGCGTCAGGAAGCAAACCGCCATTGTCACGATTTAAAGGAGCGTGGGCGGAGTTAATATGCCAAGCCTCCAAACAAAGGCGCTGGTGGTAACGCTAAACTGACGTTTGGTACACGGTTAAAAGAGCACCAAAAAGCGGTTTTTCTTTGCAAAAAGGAAAATTCAGCTTCATCGGAGCATACATGCCTAACCAACCATACAATTGGGTGGGATAATTCTAAAATTATCACCACTAGTCGGCGTTACCACCAGCGCCAGAATCGTAACTTCTTCGGTTACATTCATTAAATCTTCAAACCAGAGTAGCATCAAACTATGTCTGATTGTCCACTTGGTTGCCGTGTGAACTTTAATATAAATAAAAAGACGTTAGCAGACTATTTCGAACTTAGTTGGCGAAGAGCTTCGAAGTGGCTTGTTTTTTTTTTTTTCTTCATAATACCAATGTGATTCGGTATTCGTCCTTCCAACTTTTAAACATTGTCCTGTAAGTTAGTCAAGATAAAAACAGCTATCTCTCATTACCTGTCTGCTGGGTACTGTATTGATATCAAAAGGAGAAGTTAGCCATTGATCTTTTCTGGACCGGTTAGGGAGGCTAAGAACCTTGTTGGTTCACTGCAATGCACAATCTTGATTGCTCATTATTAAATATTTGGTCTTCAAGATACAGTTGAACCACTTTCATGGGAAGGAACGAATGAAAAGTTGAGAGAAGGCGTCTGCGCTAAGCCCACGCCATGCCGTGGCCAGATCTTGCCAGAGTTTCTATTTGGTCCATGGTACATGTCATGTTATGAAGCGTCGATTGTCGCCATCAGGTTAACAGCCGAACTCGGCACCGAAAATTGCCTGATCTTGATTCAGTTCTTCACTTACTTACAGAGCATTCGACGAAGATCGTCTCCGACGACGAAAGTCGCGAGTTAAACATACGAGTGCAATTAAGTTGTGCAGGACAAAAATTCTTTTTTCGTATGTTTCTCATTTTTTTAAGGGACAAATGATTAGTAGGAGCCGGAAGTCAGGTGTACTCTTGGATCTCTTCCCACAATTCAATATGGGGTACATATTGGACCTTAAATATTTCTTGCACTGCAAATATGGTCAAGGTTCTTGGGATTAAAACTGTGCAGGCGTCTACATAACGTCTGATTATGAGTTACAACGATTAGTTCTATACCTTTAACTTCTGTTGCATGCCAATGAATTTTGAAACGTGGGAATACTTAAGAAATTAAGACATTACAGCTACGCGAGTAAATCTTTAGGAGCCGATTGTCAGTCAACTGACCGTCAATGTGTGCTGCAGCTTTCACTAGGCGATAACTTATTGGATAACTGTGCCTTTAGCAATGACTCTGACAAGGAATAAAATCCCATAGGAAAAAAGACTCACTATTACGGGAGAAACCCCAAAATATTGTTCTCGAGACTACCATTTAAAAGTAGTTAGTAGTCTAAATAACTACAAAGGCTGATCAGGAACAAGTCTGACACTTTATCCTATCTTCCTACCTCTGATGTCAAATTGTTGAAAATGACACCGGCTAAGTAAATGTAACACACCACCTGTGACACTAAACACGACTCTAAAAAAGCTGCTGTCGTATTCTATTTAAGTGTCTGTTATGGCACTCAATTTCGGCGATGAAGCCGACATACTTGTCAAAGAGAGGGATTCACCCATTTAAGTTGCTCACTAGCTCTTAGTGGTAAGTGGCTTCGACCTCAGTGCGGTTCTTTTCACTCGCAGTTGATTTAAAACTGGTATATTTACCTTGCGCTCTTGGTGTAAACAACGACTTGTTTTGTCTCTTACTTGTGATATTGTGACGATGGCTACCCCGTTGGCTATCTACATTCTCTTTAATGGTAAGAAATTTTGTCGTGCAAGAATTCCGCCGAATCTATTTTATTTCACAGTATTTTGAATGTGAAACACAACATCGTACTCACTGGACATCGGAGCTACGTGTGATTATGGTTAACAACTATTCATCGAAGTGGAAGTGAGTGGTTAGTAGGAGGGTCTCAATGGGGTTAACCGTAAAATAAAACGACCCAAAAATTGATGTAACCAATAAGTGTAAAAATTGAAAAAGTTAACCGTAAAAAAAATTTCTGGTAAGGACAATGGAAAGATGTTAACCGTTAGCCGTAAATTGGCCAAAATTTTAACTGTTGGCCGTAAAAGCCGTCACACCGTTGAGACTCACCAGAGGTGGGTATTTTTCCGAGCCGCCAATAGCCTTTTAGGACCTTTTAGCCGCGCCGCCATTAATCCATGGCCACCATTAGCCACCGACATGAAGGTAAATATTTGTATTGGTATATATCAAAACAGTGAGGTAATATAGCACAAACAGATGGATTGAACTCATCTGTTCCTGCAACGATTACAATATTTTCGGGCGGAAATCCCGAGCGAGTTCCTGGGAGGTTAATAGCAAAGATATCCAGAGTCTGAGTAGCCAGTCAGAGCGCGCCTTCCACGCAATTCACTCTTTAAGTATATCCTAATGGAGTTTAACACTTGCTTATATTTGGTTATCTCATCACGAACAATTTAGGATTTTAACGAAATGCAGCGGAATGTTTGAGTTCCTTATTTGTAAGATATGTTGTTGGGAAGAGACCAACCTTGAACACTCCAGAAAAACGTTTCACTTTTTCACCATTATATACTTTTGTTTCCCACATTTCGCACCTTCGTCTTCTCTTGATATATCAACGGTTATCTTTCCTCATTTGCATTTGATAATTGTGAGATGTTGTCGTTATGATTTTATAACGTTACTTTTTATCCTTAAAGGTTTTTAAAAAACTCTCGTCATCTGAGATTTATGTTGAATTTTTTTCCTTTTTTAAGTTTATTTTTGTTTCTTTACCAAGCTCTTTTTATTCATTTTTCTCTGGCTGGTGTAATTTTTAAACGTGAGAGTTGGCCAAAGGAGCACAAGCCACAGGTGTGGTCAGGACCAAATCTATGCTACGATAAAGATGGAAATAACAAATTTGTAAGTCTTGGTGCAAATTCTGTTGACGTAATACGGGCTTTAAATACTTCCAAAGAAACTTCCACAAAAGTAATGGATCAACATCAGTATCCGAGCAACTGCGTACCTACCCCTCCCCTTACCCAACAGCAGTCAAATGATAACAAGTTAGGGTCAATGTTGGGGGGGTTAGAGGAAGGGTAGGTGTGCAGTTTCTCAGATATTGACATTAATCCAAACTAATTCTGGAACGAATAAAAACAAGTCGTGGAACCAAGAACCCTTTACAGCTAACTGTTAACCCCATCGAGACACTCCTCCCATAGGCTGAGAATAAAGATAGAAAGGAAAGTGGTCCACCCTGTATGACTCGTCAAAACCACTTGTTTCGTTGAAGACTGACTTATAGGTCAAATTCCGAATGCTCCTTAAATGTTACTAATATATTCTATTAATCCTAGCTGTCGCTAGATTTATCAAAAAAAAATTACAGTGCCTAGCTGTATCCATGATTTTTAAAACCCTATGATCGCAGCCTATTCCAAAGGACCCGCCCTGGTTTACAGACGACATGTGTCATCTGAGCGCATGCCTAGGGCTCATGGTTTTAACAAAGTCCATGTGTTTCACGAAAGGAACTTCATGTGGAGAAGTAGGTTCACGAAAAAAAATTGTTTTTTTTGTTTTTGTTTGGACATGTTTATTTATTCACAATCATCATCATCGCATGCAATCATCAGTACAAGTAAGCTCATAAGGCCAAGTTTAATCATTCACCTGATCTTTGTCTAAAAAGACAGAAAGTTGAAGGGAGGACTTCATAAACACTAGAACTTTCGGTATTTCCCGCAATTGATTGACGCACACAATGAAGAGACGTTTCCAGACTTTTAGCTGCTGAAGAGCGTCGTAGTGACTTGAAACGAAACAGAAATAGGATTTCAGGGAAAAACGAATGAAGAATCGACTTGTTTTCTCGTATCATTATGAACGTTTACTGCAATAAAGTTTGTTGAGGTGGCTGTCTCTATTGAACTCTTAAGTATGTGTTCAATACAAACAGTAGCTTTAATTTTTTTCCAATGTATTATTCTCTTTATCCTTACAGGGTGAGTATTTAGCAGCAGTTCCTGCACCCCCTTCTCCAACAGCCTGTTGTGTATGTAAACCATGTAAGTCTCGTGTTTTTTTCCGTTTTTTTTTTACACGCCTTGCATCTACTTGACTTGAACTTGGAGTTTGAGAAAGCGCAATCTTCAATCCTTTGAATCCCAGATGTGATTAGGAATTCTGCCTTCTAACTGTTATGCATTGCCTAGTAAGACTTGTAAGTTGGTCAAGAGTATTGATTTTACGTAGAAATATACAAAATAATTAATCAGTAGCGGATTTAGGGGAGGGGCTCGGGGGCTACCGGCCCCCCCCCCCCCCTATTTTGAGTAAAAAAAAAATCGCAGAAGGAAGAAAAGCCGGAAGGGCAAGCGACAAAAAATTAGTTCAAGGTCTGGATCCGCCACTGTCTACCTGTCTGCTGAATATCGTATTGATATCAATGACTCTTACATTGCAGTGCACAATCTCGATCGCTCATTTATTTTTTTTCTTCAAAATATAGTTGAGCCACTTTCATGAGAAAAAACGAATGAAGCACTTGAGTGAAGGCAGCATCTTCGCTTGCCGACGATATGCCAGATCTACTAATCTCTATCCAGTCCTTGGTACAAGTCGTGTTATGAAGTGTCTCCTGTCGTCTTCGCCGGATCTTGACTCAGTGCATCCGTTGCGGTTTCATGGCCTTGATTTACAACGCCCCTAGCTAGCTCCAAAACTAATTGATAAAATTGACGAAGATCGGGTACGGTCGGAGGTACTTACAAAGCGCGCGGTTTCCGTCCTGCCATGCCTTTTTCAAAATATGACACAGTTCTATTACTGAATACAGTGAATGTGCTCGGCAGAAGGGATCCGTGTGGGCCGAGGAACAGGTGTAATAAGGGAGATAGAGTATTTATAATATCGCTTTAAAATGCTTTCAATTTTTGATGAATTAAAAGGCATTACAGACAAATTAAAATGAGTGTCCTTAAGTGGCCAATCAAAAGTGAATACAGGCATTAGACCTAAATTTTGGGGAATTTTACTACTATGATAAAATAAAATATCAATAAACATGTGAAATAGGATATTTGCGTGATTGAGAAGTCAATGAACACGCAATTGTTTGATTTTTTTTACCTAATTTATACAATGACAAAGTCATAAACTGATAATATATTGCAGATGATGTTTTATTGATTACAATGGCTATTATTGACATGGTCTTCGCAATGAATTGATTATACTTTGTAGTAAACCTTGACTATGACGTATTAATCATTTACCCTTTACACCCTAAGATTGGTGTGCATATTCTCCACACTGTTCCCTACACATTTCCAATGGTACTGACAAGGAGAATTTGTTCAATACTTCAGAGCCTCTCTGGCGTGTGATCATCTCCTTTATTCTCATGACCTTAATGTTTGATTCAATAGTGATACTGTAAGGAGAAATGAGATGCAATCATTCTTAATGGTTAAAGGGTTAACCCTTTACACCCTAACATCAGTACCCAAATTCTCCATACTCTTCTCTATACATTTCCTTTGGTGCTAGCCAAGGAGAGTCATTTAAAAATCAAAGCTCCTAGGTTGGCAATTATTACCTTTATTCTGATAATTTTTATAAATGATTCAACAGTATCACTGCAAAGAGAAATTAGCTGCTAGTCACTCTTAGTGGTTTTGTACTCTACAATGCATCCTCACAGTGAGGATAAAGTGGACTCCACCAATTAATTACTTTAGCATCATATGCTGGCTCAAGGATAACACTGTTTCCCTCTTCCTTTCTATATCGGCCATCACTACGAGGTGAATGAAAAATTAACTTAATGCTGTTATACTTCATGTCACGACTAACACCAATGGAAGCTTTTGTCAATACATGACCTTGCACAGGAGAAACAGGCAGGTAATTAACACAATTTATTTGAAGAATGGAGTGTCCATCTTCAGGATTGTAATTCAAGTCATCAACTTGTGCCAACCATTCTTTGGAGAAATAACGAGGTTTACTTTTCATGCCAGCTGTTTTCTGAGAAAACTTGAAATAAAACGCCCAGATTTTCTTAGTTTGCTTCTTGCACAAGGCCTGCTTGTACCACATTGATATGCACATGTGACCTTCCAACACGTCTGGATCCTTTAAGTTATTATGAGACACAACACGAGTCCTAAATGGCTCATAGCCATGGAAAAGAGCTCTTATAATCCTTGCACGTAGTCCGGGGCGACACTCTATTCTATGTGGTTGTAGTCGTTCAGGTAGCTTGTTTGGCCTACTAATGTAACATTTATAGATTCTACACCAAAACATCCTTGTGTTTGTGGCTTGCCTTGCTCCTCTACAGATCAATGCAAACTTTTGCACATGTTCAGGATCAATATACTGTGCTAGCAAACACCATATATCGAGTGGATATAACAAACCATTCTTGTTACACTCTGTGTGTGGAGTATCCTTCTTTGTTTTCCTCTTTGATCTTTGTGATCTGGAAGTTGATGTGGATTGTTGTTCATGGATACCAATTGATGACTTCTCATCCTCTTCATCAGACAGTGAATCAAAGTCAGTTCTGTCATACCAGGGGATCATGTTTTCTTTTTCTGCTTCTGTAACTATTGCTGCTGTAAAAGGAACATACATATCACACGCTTTTAATCTATAATATCCCATGCAATGTGTTCTCATGAACCATGATTAGGTAGACTGCCATAGAGAATACTTCAGAGGTTGAGAGATAGTATGCACATCCTCTAAACCTTAGATGAACAATTTTAAACTTTGTTTTGTCAAAAGAATGAGCAAAGATTTGTAGAGAAATTATATGCCTGTTTTAAATGTCATACCCCTTTGAAGAACACAGAAGAACAAACAATAAATTCTGATAATCAAAAGATTAGCATGAAAAACTATCAAAACTGTTTCAATGCCCTTAAATTAATAACTCATTTACATCATTAAAAAAATATTTCTATGAGCTAGAATTAAATTTAAGCAGTAAAGAAGTCATGATCCTTTACATTATAGAGAGTTACACCAGAATCTCTTTCATTTTTACGCCAAGAGCACTTATATGCATAACTTGTATCAAACATACTTGCACTTGATGAAAATCCTTTTGACACTCGCTTGAGTGCTTCCTTTGCATGTTTGGCATTAACAAAGTCTTCAACCACTGGATCTGAAACATTTTTGGTATCAGTAGCATTAATCTACATTGATCAATGATATCACAAAGAGGTACCTCTATAAGGTTGGGTTATGATTTATGTTTCATGAGACACAATACCCAGGAGGAACCCTCCACTGTAACATGCCACCAGTGTTATAATCACATCCAACATCCATATTAACGAAAACACAATTGAGTAGAGTCCAATTCAATCTGTAATCACTTGAGTGTGAAACAAAATCAAACAACCACAAAACAGGAAACCAATTTCATATGATTACAGATGGAATTAGATGACATGACTATGAAAAGATTTCTAGAACAATTAGCCACTACAGTTGACTAGGTGAAATGCACCAATTAACTATGCAGCCTCCACTCCTCTCTCTGCAAAGGCGTGTTCCTCTTTAACCTGCACTCAAGCTAAAGATGGCAAGAACGTGCACCCTTGATTTTCTGTTTCCACCTCTTAAAAATGTAAACAGAGGCATTCAATGTCCGTGAGTAGCTTTGAAAGAATGCTAAAAATCCAAATTCCTTGACCGGAAACCTACCCGATGTAGGTATTAGGTGCAGATGAAATAATGAAACCCTAAAAATCACCGGCCGTCGCAAGTTCGTTTAAACGCCTCACCCTTATTTCAATCTCCATCACTGAGAGGCTAAGAAAGAAGAAATCCTAGAAAAGTTGCAATTGAGTAGAATTTACAATTTTTTAAGCTTAAATTATTTTAATGATTCGGAAGGATTCAACAGTAGAACATTCTTCATTCAAAATCCTCATGTTTCAATTCACAATAGACGAAATTGGGAACTTATCTCTACAAGTCAACAAATTAAAAGCAATAGAAGAGCTTTATTAAATGGCTCAGACTAAGGTCGGAAGAGACCCGAAGCTCTAATAGCTGCTTATTATTAAACAAGATTTAGGAGAGAGTACTGAGCTTACCTCTTCCATTCACATCGTTGTTACACAGGGCTTTCTGAAGCTTTCCAGAACGTTGCCCTTTATTCCTACGTTTTTTCCGAGACATAATAATCTTCACTCATAACCAGACTGCAACACCAACTTCATGCCATTTGTTCTGCTTTACTTTTATTTCAGCTTTGTTTACAAGACGTCTCCCAGATCTGCCATTTTCCTTAACTAACTTAGTAACCTGGCATTTTTCCAATTCCGTTTACGTGCTAAATGACGTCCCCGCTCGGAAAATCTATCAGACTTTCTTATTTTGAGCCCTACCTGCTACTCCTTGAACATCACTCGAAGGTCGTTAAGGCGATAGAGACTCAGTTCCACATGAACAGAGCCTGGTTTTGAGAGTTAAGAAAGAATTTACTCGAGAGTGCATGCATCTGGCTAAAGAAAATCCCAGAGTGCACGTCCACCCTTCTCTCCCCTCTTACTGAAGGGGGTCCTACAGATCATGTCTACTCCTCTTATATGGCAAAAAATGCCCCTGACTAGGATGCTAAAGTAGGATCCCAAAATATTTTCCACACTCCTGCTATGTAAGCTGGTTTGTAGACTATAGTCATGGAAAGTGTCATTTTTGGAAATTTTCTTAGAAAAATAAATTCGTAAGGGACTTTGCGAAATTAATTTAAAGAGCCTGGTTGAAGAAAATCCTGCCAAATTTGATAGATGTCATTAAAAATTAAAATAAGTGGACCCAAAACTAGTTTTCTTCAGACAATTGCTCGTCTACAGTCAATTTTCAATTTGGTGTTCCCCATGGATTACATTTTGTGTAGCCTTGTTATCAAATTCATTTCCAGAGCTTTATACAGCATCAGTAATTTCTCTTCCTGTATCTAACAGAATAAATTATTAATGTCATCACTTTCAACATTAAATTGAGTCTTAAATTGTTCTTTGCTTTGTACACCCCTACTACTTAGAATAATATCTTAACACCCCTCACAGCAAACTTATAATTTATTGCAGCCTTTTTGTATCACCTTTAGGGTTCCTGTGAGAAAGCAGCAAACCTAAAATATACAGCCCTTCTATATGGCAAAAATGGCAGCAAAAATGATATAAAAATTGATATTGGGTAATATGTAAAACGTTATGACCTAATTTCTTCATTCCAAACTTTTGATCATTTTTATTATAACTACATGACATCAAAATGTGTCAATTCTTACAGAGCAGCATAACAGTTATAAAGTCAAGGATATACAATCTGACTTTGGTAACATTTGGTTGACATCATTCACATAATAAGAAACTGTTTCAGACGTATTCCTTCTTGGCTCCAGTTGTTATGCAGCTGGAGCCATAAACTGTGTCTTGGTCCAATTTTACACTATTTAAATTGTATATTTATGAATGATTTCATGGAAATTCAATCTTAAAAGAAAATGAAAATTAATCTATAACCTTATTGATCAGAAACCTATCATTCATTGCACTGATGAGCCCATAGAAAAATTGAAACATACTGGGCTGGTTATTTAAACAAAGTGTAACCCAAACCACAGTTTTGCACATTCAGTGGACCTCAGGCTTCCTAAGGTATATAAGGGGGAGGATTTAATTAAATAAATGCCCTTCTGCTGTTAGCTTTCAGCCCTCTTTATACTGTTCACAAAAATAAATGCTCTGATAAAAATTTTACCAAAATTGAGGATTGTTTAGGATGTGGTTTTGTTAAACAATGGCTAACCTTTGTTTAAATAATCAGACAACTATGTTCTGCTTTCAGTTTTTTTCATAAAAAAGCTAAAGGCCACTCTCTGTTAGTTTACCTGCATAATAACCCATGAGGAATGTTAGAAGAACACTTAAAAAAATTTGTAAATCACTTACCTCCAGCTCATGACTTACAGATTTTTCATATGTTTTCCCAAAATCATACATGGATTATTGCACTGGAAGACTGATACATGGAAAGCGTGGTCTATTGCTTAAATACTCTTTAGCGTCCAGTGGACAATAAATGTTTTATAATGTAATTCTCCCTTGCATTCTCATGCTTGGGCTTCCTTTGGCTATTTGCACCACAACATAAAAAGTGCAGCTAATAATAAGATATGAAAGGTCTTGGTTTAGAAAGTTAAGAAATAAGATCCTCAATTTACTAAACTATGAATGTACCTTTACATATGGCTAAAAGAAATCCCAGGGTACATGTCAACCACTCCTCTCCCATCTTTCAGAAGGGGGATCTTGTTGTTCATGTAAGCACTGACTGTGAACTGGCATCTTCTGGTTTTCATGTCAAGGTATTAGTTAGTCAAACATTAAACTCTTACTTGTGGTACACCTGACATTTCACAAAAGTTGCTGGTATTTCACAGTCAGAATACTGTGGAGCTTTTCCATCAATTTTCTCCTTGGTTTGCATTAAATTTTCCTTTTTTTTTCTTTTTCAAAAATATTGAATAGATGCAAATTCATTTGAAACAAAGGATAATGACATTTGAACCAAGGGTAAAACTGAACCATATGAACTACATCACAAGAGTGGAATATCATTATAAGGTGCACTGAATTGCATACCTTATGACTAGCCAACAATATTCTGACTAACAAATGTCTTTTAAGAATGATTTTAAAATATTTCTTCCACTATGTGGCATCCTAATGGAGTTTTCTCCACCTTTGAAATAATATTTGAAAATGTGTTGACTAGACTCTTACAAAGAAGTAGAATTTGCTTGGGTGAATACTGCATACAGATACAAAATGTAGCATACCTCTATGTTAACCAGCTAATTTGCATGCATGTATGCCAGATACAGAATTAAAATTTTATGCCTTAATCATTATCCAGGCCAGAATCTCCGTTGAACAACTCTCTGGAGTATCCTCTCTGAGACTTCAGTGGTTATTACACAATCAGTTGATAATGAAAATTGCGAGGTGGTAGTTTGTGCTTCCTCCATGTCAACATCACTTGGTGTTCCAGGTGCTGCAACAATGTTACGGGTAGATTGACGCCTTTTTTCCAGAGCAGACTGAAATGTCTCACAAGCACTAGGGAAGTCTTCATCCAGTGAGAATTTCTTTGCCAACTTTGTAGCTGGTCCAATGGCCAATTGTCCATTGAATAGCACACGACTGACATGAAAAGATCTTTGATTAAGGCCCTCTTGAAGTTTAATATTCAGATCTTCTAGGGAGACATCTCCACCTTCTGTCTTTCTGATTTCCTCAATAATAATGTCATAGGCAGTGCCAAAGAGATGTTCCTCAGAGATATTTGCACCAATTATACACCTGGCAACCTATCAAAAGGTAAATTAGCCAAGGCAATCAAACACAAATATTCAGTAATCGTTAAGTCTTCTAACTGACTCTTAAACTAAGAGGGCAGGCAAGTTTTCCAGTAATGTTGTACCCTTTTTACATTTTGCTGGCTACTTCAGTCATCAATTCATGACCAATGATTTTTGAGGAACAGTCACCTCCATTAAAACTCAAATAAACCCCTACAATGTAGTCCAGGTTAAATAAGATACCTGTCAGTGATCAAACTATGTGTTTTATTTGCTTTCCACAGGTACAGGTAGGTAGGTTTGATAGGTTCCTATGTGGAATACATAATTTCTATAGATCACAAGACTCATTTGACCACTCCACTAACCAGAAATTTATAAATAGATAATATTAGGCTGTTTCCGCTCTAAGACTAATACATACAATAAATGCAAAGTTGCATGTCAAACCAGTCAATGAGAATCATATACTAGTCACCTTATTCAATGGTTAACATACACTGTTTTAATTAATAAATGTGGACATTTGGCAAGTTGTATCAACTCACTATTATTTTTCCAAGCCCCAAAGGGGCAAGGAAATAAAAGATTTATTCTTCCACTACTATTTCATTTCTTGGTGCTTTGATTTAGTTTGCAAAACACATCCAATGGCCTATCTGTACATCATATTGATCGCAAAAGGAAGACGTAAAAGACACAAAAGGAAGACGTAAAAGACCAACTTTGGTTAACAAAAACAAAACCATTCACCAAGTTTCACTTGTGACCAACAAAAAAAATATGCTGTGCTTAATAGTTGTTTCTTTAAAAAGCAAGCCTAAAAAAGGGAAAAAAATAATCAAAATTTGGAGTGCTCATAGTGGCAATTTTGTTGCTCCGTATTTTTTGACTTGTTCTATGGTGTAATATCATAGCACATTTTGCAGGTTCTCATGACCTTAACTGGTAAAATGACTATCATGATAATTATAGTGAAATGATAAATTAATGAAGTTATCAACAAGTAATTACATTTTTCAAAGAAAACCCTCCAGTCAGGATTTGATTCAAGTCAATGAACAGATTTCAGTTGACTTGTGCACCAAATGACAAAAAATCAAGTCATGAAAGCAATTTACTTGAAGTTCATTTGGCAAGACTTATCAATTGAAGAGAATTTTCTTAGGATAGTTGCCACACACTTTTGGGAAAACTTTCCCTTGAAATTTTAGAACTTATTAACATCCACAGAAAATCAGATTTTATAAGTTCCTATGGATAAAAACAAGAGTTTGGAAAATTCCTGAAAAGTAGTCCCTTGAAATTTTGCCAGCAATTCACTTGCAAAATTATCTTTAAAAAAAACCACAAAAGGACAAGAAATTCCTTCAAGTTTACTTGCTTCACTAACATTGTATACACAATAGAAAGTCACAGCGCATCTCTACTTTCTTAGCCAATTAAAGCATGCAAAAGTGCCAGCTAATGACCTTCTGAGTCTCTACACCACTTGCATATGCCCAGTTGCACGATATGCATGTCCAGTCTTTGATACTGCTCTACCACAATATCTCTCTAATCAGTTAGAACACCAGCAGAAGTAAGCACTACGCATAATAGGCACTAATGATTTATCTTATAGACAGGCTTTAGAAGTTTTTAACATACCTACCTTGTATGAAATGAGAGAGGCAATTGTAATTCAATGTTTAAAGAGATAAGTAATAACAACAATCACAAACTTTATTCACTACTTCCGCCACCTTGCCTTGGCATGTTGTGAACATGGAAAATCACAAGTTCCAAGTCCTGCGTTTTAACACCAATCATTTTAGAGACAGTTTTATTGTAAGCCATTGCCAATAGCATGTCCTTGTACAACTCATATATTAATTGATCTGATTTCGAATAATTTTAGTTTTATCTTAATTAAAATTAGTGTTTACATAATGATAACCTTTATTATTGTTAAATTCTTATGGGGTATAGTTTACAATGAGGATTAAGTTCCTCCCTTCTATAACCCTTTTTTAATAATAATATGTTATATGTTATTATTTAAATAAAGTTGTTATATATATATTATGAATTAACTTTCTTAATTTATTATTATATAATTTGTAGCTATGATTAATTTACATTTTACACTCTTGTAAAAATTGTTGTTATTCAGCCCTTGGGCTGCAAGGGTAATTTTAATAAAACCATCTATCTATATACAATACTGTATCTCTCTGATCTTGGGAGTGTGAGGGTAAAGAGCCTTTAAATTCTTACCTCAAAAATAAATTTGACATCGGGTATCTGGAAAAATTTACCACCTGTCTTTAGAGAAATTCCTGTGAAAAAGTCTGTCACTAAGTCATGTGCTGGGTCCGGAATGTATGCTGGCTCTGGCTGGGGGACCCCAATAGTATGAAGAGTGACATAATTCTTTGTAAGCTGATGACAGAGCTTCATCACATCATGGCCATGTTCACACCGAAAATTTTCAAGAGTTTTTCTTTGATCCAATATGGCTGCAATCAAATTGATTAAGCCAAAATGCTATTAATCATGATTCATGAATCTTATCAAATTACAGTAATAATCTAAATATTTCTATGTGAAAGCATAAATGAAAGCAGTCTTGTCTCATCCATAGCTTTACCACAACCTCAAGGAAGTAACCCTATACTTTGCAGCCACAGAGGTTATTATATAAGCAAGGCAAAATCCTACAGCTGTAAGCATTATCCAGGCAGTGAGTCCCTGTAGCTTTTCTCATAATTCATTACAAATGAATTTCTTTACACTCACGCAGTAATATGCAGACTTTGATGGCATTTCTGCGACACTTATCATTGTCATCACCAACTTCACTGAGTTGGACTGCTAGTGCCAGTCCATCTGCTAGCCCTCTTGTTCCACCTGGCCTTCCAAGACGACGCAAGTTCTCTATGGTTTCTTTCATAGCATCCCTTCTGTCCGTAAATTTTTGTACGAGTGCTGTTTTATTGATTTGAGGATCACCAGATCGCATTCCAGGGCGTGGATGCCTTTGATGGTTTTGGTAACTGATGAGTGCCAGTCTGAGATGGAAACTGTCGAAAATATCATTGATCAGATACCTCAGTTGAGTCTTCAGACGTTGTAACAGCACTGGATTTGATAAAGCACAGTCAACAACTAGAATCAGGTCCAGGTTTTTGTCATCATGATTGCAATCTGTATATGCAGCAAAGAAAACAGAAAAAAAATTAAAACAAATTCACAGCTCAGAACAGCATATCAAAATGCACAGAACATTCTTTCCAATTTTGTTCACAAGTCTGTATATCAGCTGTAAATAGGATGAGATGGCAAAGAAAGGAAACATCAAGGAAAAAGTTACTGGTAGATTTTTTATAGTCTAGTTATTTCCTTCTGAGTTCTCACAATTTCATTAAATTGTCAAGGTGAGAGGTGATGAGGAAAAACTCATCAAAGCAACAACTAGGCACTCTGATCTAACACCAAATTGTTGGGGCTACAAGGACGACTGTAAGAACTGTGTGATTGACTGAGCAATTGATATTGGGATCTTGAGAGTGAAATGGGTTAATATCAAAACAACAAATCTAAACGACTAACTGCACTTGGGCTACAAAAATATCACCCTATTGAAAAACACATTTTACTAACAGTAATCGACCAGATAATTTTTGATATCCCACTATACATCTCCACACCTGTTATGCTGAGAAGAATATTGCTTGGAAAAAATTTAACTCTAACCTTGACTCAAAATGAGTCATCGTTGATTCACATCATTTACTAACTTACAGTAAGACTACATAAATATCTTAAGCAAACTTATATTGTTGACTGAAATTTTTGTAATTCTCGAGAGGGTTCAAACACCACAGCCTGTTCCAATTTTGCAGTTAAATGCTTGAAGTCAAAGCCCAACACTTTGCTTTGATTTATGAACATGAGCATCTATGTCACTTTTCTCTATTATCATTTTAGTAATTTCCTCATCTCCAAAGTTTGTCATCTTTTACTTTCAATTGACATATCAAGTAACTAATTGTGATGACCATTTTGCAGGTTGATTCCACTTTGTCATTTTTATGAGTTAACATCCACACTGTTACAAGCACTCACCTGGAGTGATTAAAGAGAGTGAGCGTGTAATTGGCTGCAATAGAATTTTGGATTCATTGCCAATTCTCACTGCTTTGACCCCGCAATGGTTAAGCCAAGGGAGTTTGTGAATGGCAGCCCATCGAAGGTTGTCTACCATTTCCTTCCTATTGGGGATTTTAAAATTTAAATTCCACCAATTGACTCCCACTTGCTCACTTCCTTCTAGTTGTATTTCTGAGGGATCAAAACCCAGAAACTCATTCATGCTACGCACAAGATTTTGTTGCACATTGACATCTGCTTCTTGCATACCAAAAGAGAAACAAACCAGCTCCACAGCTGCAGAAGTAACAAATAAAATTTATCTTTGGTAAAATGGACATTTTGTTAGTGAACTACATAAAAAACAATTGACTCCTGTCAACCCTCTTTTACCCTAACTCTTACTTGCCCCCCCACCCCAACTGACTTGTTCTCATTGAATCATGTTACCCTGAATCTAATTATCATGCATTTCCTGTACTTAGCACGCTTAGTTTAATTTGACCCTCAGTGCCTTGAATCCCTCAAAACTTTCTTCAATTTTTTTCTTTTATTTAAAATATAACAGTGCTAACTGTCCTCCAAAACAATGAATTACTGTGAGAAACCACTGTATTCTTTTTCTATTCATTTTGTATTGCAATGTTGGAATATGTTAGTCCAGTCGGGGCTGGGATACATTGAACTGCAGTCCACTGATTATCTTAAAGTTTATAGAGTTTAACTGTTTAACACCTTTTTCTGAACATTGTTCCACTTTTACTGACTTCTCAACATCACTGACAATAAACTTTGATTTAAATGTCCACAGCATGAACAGAAATACTGGTTGATTGGTCTTAACTCCTCATGACTGAGACATTTTCCATTTCTCTCAAAAATTTATGATAATCAACCTTAAATAAATTTGCACTATTTCAAATCTGATGTACAGGTCAACAAAAACCAGCTACTTCATGATAAGAGCCTGAAACATTCCACAGTCAGGTATTCTATATCCCTGAGTTTCGAGCTCAGTATGAACTAAACCAATAAAGAACAAGTAATAATCACTACATTAAATTTTAACTAAGAGAAGTCCCTCTTTTCAGCATAACAAACTGTTCAGCTTTAATCAGTGATGGACTAAGTTTGTGCTGTTCATAGTCAACCATGGTTATGATGACATACCCATTGCAAAATTTCAGGGAATAGCTTTTGAAGTTTTATAACTCCACAGTTTTCTTGCCACCATTTGCTACCCCTCTATACAAGGTCTGAGAAGTTGGAAGGATCATGTGAGGTGGACCTAATCTTGCTAATTTGGGTAACACTCATGTGCTGCTGAATGGAAAATTTCCCAGAGGAACATGTCTGGATTACAACAGAAGCTCTCAGTCCCCTGGTAGTTGTTTCCAGCCCTTGTAGAGAGGTTTCTGTTCTGCCAATGGTGTAGTATTCAGTGTTAGGTGTTGATCAAGTTGGAGCTTCAACATCCCCCTCCCTGGGCATCAGGCAACCAGGGGGCATTTGACTGTCATCCTTGCCCTGGGGTGAGGAATTTGAATCTTGTCAGGATGAGATGGGGAATTTAAATCTGAAGTGTCAAGTCTTCTGTGCAGAATAAACATGTTCACCATCAAATCTGGCATTTGAGTTGGACATTTGGGTAAGGCATTTGAACACAATGTTGGCCCAAATTTGGGGGGTAGGAATTTGAACAAACCAATCTGCAAAAGTTTAAATGCCTTAGGGGTGGGGGGGGGGCGTTGACGCTTCGAATTGATCGACGTATAACACTGCTACTTTCATCTCGGGCACCTTTATAAATTAATTAAGTCCTTGATCTTATGATATAAAAACCAACCATTGATATAACTGCAGTATTCTAATTACAAAGAAAAATGTAGAAAATCCAATGCTGTCACATTACCTGGTGATTCACTCTGTCTATAAGCTCTTACACGTTTCACAAGATCGAGCCTCTTAACGCCCGTTAAAAGTTTCTCAAGGTAGTCTAAGTTGTCCTCTCCCAAGAGATCCTGTCGTATCATTCTCGAAAACAAGTCTCTTGGTTTGCTACACTTCTCCAGATGTCCTAATGGAATTAGTCCCTGCAGTAGAAATTTCAAGCCGTCTAAGTCGTCTTCCTCGATTTCTTGGGACAGTCGCTCCAAGAATCTCCTAAACTTGTTCAGTATGGTTCCTCCCCTAACTACAACCCGAGAATCACCATGAGCCATGAGTGCAAGCCATCAACCAAGTAAAGGTTCATGTCATGCTATAAATTCACAAATCAACAGAACTTCCATCGCCTTTCGCCGAAGGAGTTGTGGTCGGTCTTGCATGACAACGCTCAAAGAAATCACTCACAATTTTTGAAATAACCATACATGAAGCATATTCCGAACCTCATACCCAGGGTCTTTATTCAAAGTTCGCCCCGTCCAAGGAGACCGACAAACGTCACATCCCTTCCATGTCCACCGCCCTCTAGGAACTTTAGCCCTCACGTCCCCTTCCTTCATGACGTGTTTGAGGAGTAACTCCCCGGCAACAATGTTCTAATCAGACAATACTCAAGAATTTCTTCGTTGTGGCCACAAAGAAACTGACTGACATTTCTGGGTATTCAGTTAACTCTTTCACTCTCAATATCTTGATAAAAATTCACCTTACTGTCTGCTGCAGGCTATATATTTCATATTAAGTTTCTTTTGAGAATTTGGTGTTGGAGCAAATGATAATCCACCAATTACTATTTTTTGCAATTCTCTTTACATGGCTGCTTGAATTGTGTTCATGCTCTAAGGAGAAATTATGTCTTAGTCACTGCTGGGAGTGAAAGGGTCAAAGAAAGATACAATCACCAGTGCCATTATTCTGCTCGAAAGTAAAAATACTGTAATTTTCTTGACAATCAGTCGTCCCTATGGAATCATATCAGCTAATGAGGCTATACTAGTAATTAACATTTAATTTACAATTTTGGTTATAATAATATTACAATCAACATCTGTCTTGTGATTCTAAGATCTTATGGCACACATCCATAAGTGTTTAAAAATAAATCATTAAAAGCATGGGGTATGCCAGCAGGTACTTTCTTAACTGTCTCTCAAACCTTAAAGCAATGTAAATTACAAAATATTTCACATTCACAAAGTGAAATTTGTTGCAAAGGCTAAACAGAAATATCATTTTACTGTCTGAGACCTTCCTCGTTGATGATCGACTACTGTTTACAATATAACAGGTAAAAGCTGAGAGCACAGATACAGCTGAAGACTAAAGTAAACCTCAACATCGTGCCTCAATCTTTCTCAAAGCCTTGAAGTAATCAACCACAGATTCCTGCAAAAAGGAAAGAGCTTTTTGATAAGAGCACAAAAGATACAGTACTTGAAACAGGTGTGGAGAAAAAAAGGAGCTTTACATTAGTTTTGAGTGGGAGAACTAAAATTTCACAAATGAAAGTTATGCAAGATTTATAAAGATTTAACCCTTTTAACTCCCCAGATCTGATTGCTAATCCTCCCCTCTAACTGCTACACATTTCCTTGTAAATTAGTTATGAGAATTTCATGTTAGATCAAGATAACTTCTTGATAAGTTTGAGTATTCTCATTACTTATTGGCTGGACAATATACAGATATTATGAGGAGACATAACATGTTAATCACTTCTGGGAATCAGCAGGGTTTATGTATTGTTTTGCCATTTTGGAACAGCATCTTATGCCATACTGCTATTATCAATAGCTTCAATTCCAAGACATCAGTAACAACAGCTGGGTACATGGCAATGCTATAAGCAATATTCTCTGACATGACAAGGTGCGCAAGATGCCTGTAGAACTGAACTGAACTTTAACTGAACTTTAATATATGCCTGTAGAGTTTTTTTTTGTTTTGTTTTTTGTTTTTTTTTTTACAACAAACTGCACAAACATTAGCTGATAGCAGTGTATTAAATTAAAGAATAAATGCCTCACTGGATTACAAACTTTCCCTACTTGTTAATAATCTCACAAAACTGGTAAATGCTGAGTGAAAACCATACAGACATTTTTCATATGGCAGACATTCATACTGGATTAAAAAAACCAAAAACAAACCAAGACTCACCCATCCTCCTTGTTCAAAAATCCACTTGGCCAAGCGGTCCTTGATAAATTCACACACCCACCCAATATGATGAGTGGTATTTGGTTGATGACTTGTAATGCTACGTAGCCAAAGTAGAAAAGAGTCACTATTCGTCCCCAATTTACTCTACCATCGTTAAGAGGCTGTCTCTCTTATTTCCACCCGGTCAATTTTGCGTCAAAAATAATTTTGCCTGAAACTCTGTTAACAGAAAGACTTTACCTAGGAAAGAACTAAATTAGATTTGGTTTGATTCGAAATAATTTTCTGACTGCATTACGGGCCATAATTATTTCCCAGTCCGTAGGGACCGTCGCAACGTCTCGAAAATTGAAAAATAGGCATATTTTGTAACGTTGTAAAATATTTGATTCGCATAGTTAAGCTACCGAATTTATATCAGATTGCTTAAAAACCTTTCTAGTTTGCCAAGAAAGTTAGAATTTGCCCTCTCAACATATTTGAAAAGGCGAATTTTAGCATATTTTGACCACTAGAAATCGCCATCGGCCGATGGCCGTAAATAACCTTGATTTAGACGCTAAGTTTTGGGATTTGGGACCTGGTTGACGATTCTATCCTACACAGCCGTTAAGTTTAGACCTTTATAGGCAAAAATATGCAAAAACCCCTACGTTTTCGATTTTTCAAAAGTTATGACCGTTTGAATCAGCACATGTACGAGCATTCGCGATTTTTTCGCCTACACCAAAATCGAACCACTGGAGCAGATTTCGTCATACATACAGCTTACCCGCTTTGCAGCCCGGCTTCATGGCTCACTTCAGAGTTTTTCTAATAACCAAATTGGTGAAATCCATGATAACTTCAACAAATAGCTAGGTATTGCCTTCGAAAAGTAGGCGGCATCCATCCTGATTCGTGGTATCAAAACAAATGCCGGAATTGGCCACATTTCGCGGTGAATCACCCATTTAACATCGCTGCAGAGCTGAATTTTTTGCAAAATCAGAATATAAACTCTTCATGTCTGGAAGCTGAGGGAGAAATGAAGGTTTTAGGCTTCTGAAGTGAAGAAATAATCGCTTAAATTTAGATCCAGTTCGATGTTATACTGTTCTCACAAAGGTCCGCACAAAAGAGAAGACCGCTGATAGCTTGTGCCGTACATTGCGCCATATGGTTTTGTTTTGTATCCCAAAGTAATATTTGGGCAGAAAAATTTTGGATGAAAAGAATAAATGCTTTTACCTGGAGTTTGATATCATATAATTAATAAATCAATTTCAAATATCCTGAGCTTGCTTCTCCTTCGGTTCCGCGTCGATTGTGTCCACAGAACAGCAACCTGTCAATAGCCCGAGAAATCGGCTGCCAACGTGTTAAAAACTTGACACATGCTTCGTATGAACAGATGTTATAAGTGTTGCTTTTGGTAAATTTTCAATCGATTTCATCAAAACATTTCACTGACTACTAGATATTATAATATATTACACTATAACAACGCCGTCAGAACTTGATATCGGAAGTAAAGGTAGTTTGTATCTGTAGAGCATATTCTACACTTTCAGCCACCGTATAAGACATTGTTTACATAAGTCTACTGAGAAACACACTGACAATCACTAATCACGTCCGACAGTTTGTCTATGAGGATCTGTTTTTTGTCTCTCAATTTTACAGGGATCTCAAAATGACTACAGATGGCTCTCAACAAAACCACATTGAATTTCTGAAGTGTGTTATTGTGGTAACGTTCACAGAGGTCCTACGTATCGTAGCAGATTGGATGTGAGACTTTGATCTCTTTGTTAACTTTGCCTACCAGATCTTATCTCTCGGAATTTTCCTGGACGCATTGGATATCTTCCTCCTTATCCAGTGATATCCCGATCACACCCTGATCTTTTCGCTGCATTGCTGCTAGCCGGGAGAAAAAGCTCTGAACTTGGTTCTTTGTCAGCCACTGTTCTCTAGTGAACAAACGTGCATTTGATTCATTTTTCGCATTTCGCATGTCCACTGCAACTTGGGCGGGGTCGGCCTTTCGCCCAGTTCTTTCTCCAAGTTTAAACCGTGCCGTTAGGTATTCTTTTACCTTCTCTGAAAATCTAACGCTGCCCCTTGGTTTGCTTACGGCCCATCCTGTTCGTAAAGACGAGTGGGGCGAAGTATCCACGGGAGAAGTGAGTGGTGTACTAGAATCTAACGAACAGCTCGAACACTCGATACCAGCGGTATCTATCGACGAGAACTTAAGGGCCCAGTCCCTTTTGATTGCATCATACTGGCTTTAACCTGCTAACTGTATGCTTTCCAACGTCCAGGTGCAGCTCCAGCTGCGAAAAGGTTTCGAACACTTCAACGCATCCAAACACAGAGCATTCAAACAATGGCGTTGTACTCTCTGTTTCCTTGCTGCCCTTTGAACGACGCTTGACCACACGCTTTTCAGGAGGATCATAAAACCCTTGAGATTCTATGGTTTGAAGGGACGTTTGACCTTGGTGCTTGATATAAATTACGTCATATGGAATGTACTTCCCTTTACCGATGCCATAACATTTCCAAACTCTCAGACCGATATCTCCATATTCGAATCGAAGTTGTGGAAGCTACTAAAATGCTCAATCTTATTTATACAGAGAGTGTTCTTTGATTCGTCTACTATTCTTACTGCAGCTGTTGTTCCCTTCACTGGGTGTTTCGTCAATGCGTATCCTCTGTCCAATGAAAGCTTTAACAACCTCGCTGAAGACTCGCTACAGACTGAAGCCTCTCTGGTTTCGAAAAAGCACTTGCATGCCATACTACACTTGCAGGCCTTCCAAAAAAAATAAAGGGTTAGCGGGTTCACCCGCAATGATTAATGCGGACCTCTGTTATGCGCGATAGTGCAATCGTTCAGCTTTAAATTCCAAAACGCCAAACTTCGACACATAGACTTACAAGTGGAGTTCTATGACTGATTCTTGAAGAGAATGCAGCTGCAATCCAAAGTTTCAACGGGACATTAAGCGCGAAACATGGCTTTAGTTTTCGAGTTTAGTTCGCAACAACGAGTCAAAGAAGAGTATCGACAGATGCCGACCGCTGAATTTTGGAGGTGTTTGCTGGAGTTATCATAAAGTCCAGTTCACCAGTTTGGGAAGCGAGGAATATCTGAAATTTCACATAAACCCATGATTTCTCCGGCTATTGACAGGTTGCTGTTCTGTGGACACAATCGACGCGGAACCGAAGGAGAAGCAAGCTCAGGATATTTGAAATTGATTTATTAATTATATGATATCAAACTCCAGGTAAAAGCATTTATTCTTTTCATCCAAAATTTTTCTGCCCAAATATTACTTTGGGATACAAAACAAAACCATATGGCGCAATGTACGGCACAAGCTATCAGCGGTCTTCTCTTTTGTGCGGACCTTTGTGAGAACAGTATAACATCGAACTGGATCTAAATTTAAGCGATTATTTCTTCACTTCAGAAGCCTAAAACCTTCATTTCTCCCTCAGCTTCCAGACATGGAGAGTTTATATTCTGATTTTGGAAAAAATTCAGCTCTGCAGCGATGTTAAATGGGTGATTCACCGCGAAATGTGGCCAATTCCGGCATTTGTTTTGATACCACGAATCACGATGGATGCCGCCTACTTTTCGAAGGCAATACCTAGCTATTTGTTGAAGTTATCATGGATTTCACCAATTTGGTTATTAGAAAAACTCTGAAGTGAGCCATGAAGCCGGGCTGCAAAGCGGGTAAGCTGTATTTATGACGAAATCTGCTCCAGTGGTTCGATTTTGGTGTAGGCGAAAAAATCGCGAATGCTCGTACATGTGCTGATTCAAACGGTCATAACTTTTGAAAAATCGAAAACGTACAGGGGTTTTTGCATATTTTTGCCTATAAAGGTCTAAACTTAACGGCTGTGTAGGATAGAATCGTCAACCAGGTCCCAAATCCCAAAACTTAGCGTCTAAATCAAGGTTATTTACGGCCATCGGCCGATGGCGATTTCTAGTGGTCAAAATATGCTAAAATTCGCCTTTTCAAATATGTTGAGAGGGCAAATTCTAACTTTCTTGGCAAACTAGAAAGGTTTTTAAGCAATCTGATATAAATTCGGTAGCTTAACTATGCGAATCAAATATTTTACAACGTTACAAAATATGCCTATTTTTCAATTTTCGAGACGTTGCGACGGTCCCTACGGACTGGGAAATAATTATGGCCCGTAATGCAGTCAGAAAATTATTTCGAATCAAATCAAATCTAATTTAGTTCTTTCCTAGGTAAAGTCTTTCTGTTAACAGAGTTTCAGGCAAAATTATTTTTGACGCAAAATTGACCGGGTGGAAATAAGAGAGACAGCCTCTTAAATATCTGAGCCCCAACTTGAAGAAATGTATCAAAAGCAGTGTCTTTGGAGACAACTACTTGTGATATCAAATTGTTCAAAGTGGTATCATTCGCTAAACGATCTCCAATGTCACGAATGACACGAGCCACTTCCTTATTGACTCTTCTTTGATTTTCAATCAGTTCTTGTGGAACAGGGAGGCCATCTGCACAAAAACATTCGCCTAAAAAGGTGGTGACAATGGCAGGTGCTTGCCCCGATACTTCGTCTACACTATTGGCTCTTTGATAAGATGGCCTTTGCTCACCATTACCATCCTGTTCATCATCTGATTGTCTTCTGGAGCCCCCACCAGGAGCCATGATCTTCCAATCTAAAAAAAGAGAGTGACTTAGCATTACATTCTACAAGTTATTATGAACAAGATTCAGCAAGTTATGACAAACCCCTACAGTCTCCAAAAATGAAAAAAAAAATGCCTTTTCCAACTAGCAAGAAGAGAGAAAATTTAAAAAGTACATTATGTACAAGTAGCCACTTCAGAATGTGCGGAAATCTGCTGATATATCGAAAAATGTCCATTTCTCGTCTTCTTTGGGGCGACCGATGGAAACTTTATGGAGAAATACAGCGTCTCGCCATTGTGATAACGTACATGTTTATGACAAATGACCGGTGTGAGGATAGTTTCGTGTAGATCAGCCGACCTCAACATGTTTCAAATGAAATACAATTATAACAGAGAACTTCGGATCGCTCAAATTCCCATGAAAGAAGGTGCAGCACTCGGAATCTGGATGATATGCACACGATTTGAGGTATATGTTTGTAGTTACGTCGAGTAGTCCTCCATGAAGGTTGATCAATTTTTTTTTAAAAGACGACAACCAGAGGCGAGATTTCTCTTTGGGATATTGCTCATAAGATAACATTCTTTCAAAGCCTTGCATGTTTCATTTTTCTGAAACATTTGTTGCTGAGAACATAAGATGTAAACATCGCGAAATTATGCAATATCTGATTTTTGAGCTTCGTTCGCGACTTGCCCCTATGGAAAGTAGAAGCGGGCCCGCAGAGATTTTTACATATTTAAAACTAGAATATTACAACCAGCTAGGGGGGTAGTTTCAGTTCCAGAATCGGTGTACTTTTGGAGAAATTCAGATAAACGTTTTCTCTGTTTTACCCGACAACAAAAATGACCGAAACTGTACCGAAATGAATAATCTACTGGTGTATTCACATTCACTCCCAAGGAAAATTGAATGTATCAATGTGACGACGAATGATGTTGCTATGTATGGTAGAAGTGCCAATTTGTAATGTTGTATTTAGCTTGAGATAGAGAAATAAACATTTCACCCTTTTTTTTAAAATAGTAAATGCCAAAAACTGAAAGATGTAACTTAAAAAACTACTCAAATATGGTATATCTATTCACAGAGATTTTAATCATTAGCTGGCACACGGAGATATAAAAGGGGCTCTGTGAAAAAATCAGGACATTGAAATTAAAGATTCAGGAGAAGCATACGACATTATCTAGTTTACTGATCTTCTCACCTAAATTCATTCTGGGAAGGGAACTCTACAACACTTCTGTTTTATCTTCTTACACTAGACATAAAATTAAATTATTTGCAGGCAGGTTAGGGAGGAAATTAAAGGAAAGGATATATGTTACATAAAAAGAAACCCATTACAATAAAATAAAGCAGAAGCATATTACCTACATGTCTATATGCTTCTGAATACAGCTATAATAAGAATTTTTTTGAGCAATTTATCTACACATGTAAACTGGCTGCAATGGATGGTCGCAAAAGCAATTTTATTCTAACCTTCCTTCTAAAATGGTACCTTGAGTATCAAATATATCAAGTTCAGTACCTCCAGAGTCATAAGGCGGGCTTTCGGGGCTACAAAATAATGAACTAATCAACGAGTTATGCTAAGCTGATTAATCGAGAGTCAATCGAGTATAGCTTCCTGAAATCGTATGGAAAGTTTAAAATGTACTTCACTTGTGCGACGTATACAGATTTATCGTTGTTAATTACTGATGAAATTCCGAGGGTGTGACTCAATTAATTTAAAAGAAAGTATCCAAGCAGGTTACAGAAATGATTCACGAATTGTAAACTGGTAATGTGTTAACAAAACTTTCCGAAATTATGGTGCCGACACGAATTTATCGTTTATAATCGCTGACGAAATTCCGAGATTGTAACTCGATATTAAAAAATAGTGTCACGGCTGCCACGGTAAGTCTAATTAGTAAGTCATATAAATCACGCGTCACGGGCTTGTAAAATAGAAATCACGCATCACGTTGTCGTGTTGCGGTCCCGCGTCACGCGGATAATTTGGCTTCAATCACGCGTCACTCTGCAAATTTTGGGGCCATCACGCGTCACGCACAAACCCTTCGCCACCCTCATTAGATATGCCTCGAGATGTTGAGCGAAGAGAAAGTGGCTCCGTGTTTTGTGAGACAAACCATTTCCTGAAGTTCGAACGAATCGAGTAGAGAGCATGAAAACATAGCGTTGAAAAGTATCATGACCAAATAATGAAACTCCCACCTCCCTCTGTAGGACTAACACCATTTTACCCGTTAGTTTATGTGTACCACAAATTTGTGGTCTTTAAATTTAATTCCCAGATGTTTGACAGGTTCTCACATGACAATATTGTCAAAATAAAATTACTACGTCAGACTTAATGTAAACATGAACATCACTGACTCAATCTCATTTTATTTCAATTTTGGGGAAAGTCATTAATTCTTTCTTAGGGTAAAACAACACATCTTCGACGAGGCGTGATTTTTTTAAATGAAGGAAGTAAACCCTGCGATAGTTACCTGAAAAGAGAATGATAGAAACTTACTCACGCCGTCCGCTATCATTTGAAAACTTTCTAGGCAAAACATAATCCGTAAGATAATGTCTTTTCTCTAAACGCCACAACTGTATTAAACGTTCCAACGACAAGACAAGAAATAACTTGAAGAATACTAACACTGAAAAGTTGTTCGAGCGGTGAACCTGCGCGAGGGGTTTAAAGCGATGAAGACAAAAGTCATTGTTTTACCGAAACGTAATTTTAAATTATAAACTGAAGCTAGTATCAAAGACGATTAGTAAAAAAAGGTTTGAATTTTTGGGGGGCTTAGCGTAAGAGGAAACCCAGATAAACACGACCTACCTCCTCTTCTCTCTTGGATCCTTTATATTTCGCTTCTCTTTGTTGATGACCTCTTTTCAGTTCGTTTTCTGGAGCTCTTTTTATTTCCATCTCACGTTGCTCTTCGCTAGATATTCGCCTTTTTTCTTACGCCTCTTCCTGTCCTCTTTCGCGTTCCTCTCGTCGTATTCTGCCTAATTTAACGTCCTTTCAACCTTTTTGCGCCTTTTTCTCGACTCGCTTTACGCCTTTTAGTTCTTGCTTTCTTTGGTGGCTCTGTCTCTTTCTTTCCAGCCTATTTTCACTAAAAACCCTTTCTCCACGAACTTGAATTACAACAATTTCCTCCGGTTGACAAAGCTTTAGCTCTGCCGGTATTGTTGCTTTGCGAGTTGCTCAGAAATTGCAAAATACTGAGAATTACTGATTTTAGATATATGAAACTCATATATTTGCCTACGGTGAAGAAACGAATTTTAAGAGATCCTCGCAGCTAAGAACGTTACTGAACTAGTAGTTGAAAATAGGACCTGGAAAAAATTCGGGCCCGTACGAGATTTGAACCCATGACCTCTGCGATACTGGTGCAGCGCTCTACCAGCTGAGCTAACAAGCCAACTGGGAGCTGGTTAATATGTTGGGTCCAAATAAACCATTCAAGTGATGAATTATGATTTTACATATATGAAATTCATATATTTGCACTGCGGTGAAGAAACGAATTTTAAGAGATCCTCGCAGCTAAGAACACTACTGAACTAATAGTTGAAAAAAACCAGTTGGCTTGAACGCCCTTCCATTACATAATGGGGTAATGAAGGATAGTGCCCGCAATGCAGTTGGCCGCGCATGCTAAAAGTAGCATCTTGTGGGTCGGTATAATGTAAAGACTACATTGTTCTATTATCAAGCAGCATCACGTATAGCAATGATAATGATTCGACATGTAATTCTAACCGAGGTTTGATTTCTGCTTTTTCCGTGTTTCTTTGCCGAAGTCCCCTTTGAGAACCACATGCAGAACCACATGGTGCCTTTGAATACAAATGAAATATTTTCATGCATAAGAACTTGTGTCTTTTCGTCGTTTAACATCTAAGCAGTACACTCTTTTTGCCATTTACAATACACTTTTTTCAACATTCTATACTCCTCTTTAGGTTCCAAAGTTAGATGAATATTTCCGGTTCTCAGTCTGTTTCGATATTATTACGTCGATGCCTTGCTCTGAATGCAATGAATCCGAACAAAAATATATCAGTCCGTATGCTCCGTAGATATTCTAGAATACGCTGGTCTTATTGTATTGTGCGATATGTACACAATGCTTTTTACCCTTAGCTATAAGGAATTAAACATGGAGTATAAGAACCCGTGTATCTGCCGAGTATACATACCAGTATATCGCATGTCACTCACAATATTCATGATGTATGGTGGCATGAATACTGAAATGTTGGGAATTATATCACATTTTAGACGGTCCTGGTATTTTCTTAGCATACCCCGACACGTACTGATCATTGTATAGACCTTATACATCCTTAAATTTACCTATACAATTGCGTATACCGACTGTATACGCCCCAAGGAAGGGTCCTTATACAGTATCTTATACAATGTTAGTGAATGACACGGGTATACTTGGAGAAAAAAAGAACTCCAAGTGCTCACGACCCGATAGGAGTCGAACCTACGACCTTCCAATTAGTACTTCGGGTGTTCTACCACTAAGCTACGGGTGACACGTGGCAGGGAAGCTAGGCTGTTTAACTAAGTCCATAGTGACAAACTTCCCTCGTACTGCTTGGATGAGAATGTTGAATGAACGTGATGTTTTTGCGCAACGATGAAGTAAATGAAAGTGGTGAATGTTGAGCCTGAAGGTGTTTTCAATACATAGGATACGTCGTAAAAAAGTTTGAATTTATTAAAAAGCTGTTATTTACCAAATTCCTCACGTATTTTTTCAAATATAGAGACCGCCAGTCAAGTTGATAACTTGGCCTGTTGGAGAGAAGTAAGTATCAACTATGGCAAGGTTGTTCTTTGAGATATCAGAGCTAAACAATGATTGTAGTTGGATACTCGTGTTTAAAATCTGGTTTGTTCATACGAAAACCGAAAAAAATTCTCCTTTGCACAGTTGGAAAATATATTCGTTACTACTGCTTACATGACGTGGTGCTCCTCGACCTTCTTCCTTAACCAATCTTGACCCACCGCGCTCCTAACCATTCTTAAATATCAAGACCGCTCAAGTTCGCCTTGAGGCCTTCGGGGAAACTTACTGGAAAGAGATCTTCTGAAGAAAAGTGGAGCGAGGGAGGAGAAAAGATTCGTGGTGGTCTATCTGTTGACCTTGGCTCAAAGTCTGACCTATTTCTTCCATTACGAGTTATGGAACGGTAAGCCAGTTAGTACTGATTTACTTCGTATAGAGTGGCAACTTCAAGGGTCCACGGATAAAGGCATAAACGACTGGGAAAGCACTGAGACTATTTTCGATACAAAAAATGTTGCAGGCGGGTGGTCGGTGGGAGGTAAAAGGAAAGGACTGAGTTGCTTTTACTTTAAACAGACGAGAGTTAATAAATCGAGAAAGCACGGAAGTTACTTATAAGGCATTGAAGACTACGGGACGCTCCTCAACGTTTTAGCGTTGAAGTTTTATTTTGAAATATCAAATATGATGAAATGGCGGTAATAATACTGTTACCTTGCCTGTAATTATTTAGATTACCATTTATTCAAATTTTTTACCTTCCTTGCGTTTGGAAGATCTTTGAAAATAAGCTTAATATCTGATTATTATATCTGATATCACTGATTATCCAAATATGTTTTTCTTACGTCTCAGGGTTTTTTCTTGGCATTTTATTTCTAAAGATGAATGCTGTTTCGCCATTACGCCGCATGGATTGGTAAAGCCAGCTCCGTTATTATAAGATGTCTCTAGAAAATATGTTTGGTGAAAATGTATTGCCGACTCCTTATTATTTACATTGTTTGATATACGTTTATATTCATTCTATCGACAAGAAAAATATCATTTTACAAAGTGAAAAAATTTTCAACATAAAAGGAATTAAACAGATGGTTGGCATTAAGTTAACATATTATTAACACTAGGCTGAAATTCGCTTTTAATTAAGGGGATTTCTTTTACTGTTCTTAAAAATATGCGTCCAGATGAATCATCCTTTAAATTGTATCCTTTATTTTGATACAATGTTTTAAAAATTACAGATCGTTCTCCTACACATTCATTTTCAATTTAACGGGCCCACGGCCAACCAATTCAAAATAATGTTAAACGCGGCCCTTTGTAAGCTGATCCAATGCGACTCGTTGCCTAAATTTGAACGTGTGTTGAACTTGTTCTGTTGACAGGGACACCTGTTCCCCTTCATATCACAATTTTTCCCTTCTATAGAAAAGGATTTACTGAGAGTGGTATTTGTTTAAATTGATTTTTGTTCACGTTAGTTTGCGCAATGTTTCTACATTAAGTAACAACAACTCAATTCAGTTCAGGTGTTTTGATGATTTGGCTATAAGGTGAATGAAACCACATAATGTTTCTTGAGCTATATTCTGATAGTTCCCTTGTTCTGGTTTTAATGTGTTAGATAGTTTTATTGCATTCGCTGAACCTCAGGGCACTATTGTCTAATTGTTACAGTTTAAGTAAAGTTGGTTTGGGCCGCAATAAGGTCTAAAGACTCTTAAACTTTCAGAGGCTGAAATGTTGTTAAATTCAGCCGTGATGTACAAAGGGTTGTAACTTTTATTTTTGCAAATTAAACTTTTGAGTGGCCTTCCTGCTGACAGTTTTTCTCGACTTCGCAACCCAAAAAAAGTTTCCTCTATTTTTTTCTTTGGCGAGAAAAGGGTTTTACGAAACATGATTCAGAATAGTTTGATTGTTTTCAATTCTCTTTTCTGCATTGCCACAATCTAAATCATGCATATTTTAAGTAAGCTGTTTGAAAGGACAGCGATCCAATAGCACTATTTGTTAATTTCAAGCGCGTTACCAATCGAACAATTTAAAAGTTTTCGGAATTCTAAATCTTAATTCACGGACACAATATGGAAAGTCCGATCGAAATCCTACACACACTTATACCAGCGTGTTCAGATCATATCCTTGTCTTCAACCTTCACTTGCGAAAATTCACCAAATTAAAGGTGCGATTTCTCTAAACTAGTCAGGACTAAATCCGGCTGGAAATACACATCAGGGCAAACTCTTGTTTTTATCGATGCAAATCGATGTGTTTCCCTGCACATCATTCTTGTCGAAGCTCATCTGCATAATTCCCAAAGAATTGTGGAAAATCTCTCTTTCACCTTTCGGGTTGGTTGTTTGTTGATCTTCTACGTAAATAGAGTTTGTGCTATGATAAATCGTCGTTAACATAGGTCATGAACATAAAAAATGCACCGGCGGTAATAAGAAACTCACATTGACGGACAAAACTTAGCAATTTGGTCATTGTAGACATAATTTGAAGCCTTAAAGGACACTTTCTCCTCAACATCCCCTCGAACGAAAAAAAGTATATATTAATACATCCACCGGCTTTCGATTGAGAAAGTGATGTGCTTTCCTATAGGTGAGAGGTGAGGACTACTTGCCAGTGTGGTCTCGAGCAGATCATCACAATTAGGCTACAAGAGACAGGGTTTACCATTCGCTCTGACGAAAGGCTAACGCTCGAAACGTCAGCTTTGGAACTATATACGGTGGCCAATTTTCGTCATCAACTCAATGGATAATACGAAATTATCCGGTTATACTCTTCCACCAACGCAGCACCACAGGTTTTTTTAGAAACTTACGCCTTTATTCATTTTACTACAAGTGGTTTATTTCATTACCAATGATTATACGATTCAACTGTAACTCATGTTACTAAAAAATATAGCGAAGTTAACTTTTTATTTTTACTCAAAGGCAAACCGGTGGGCCAAGAAGTTCGATGGTCACAGAAACTTTTTTCGGTAAAATCTCCTTCATTAGTTTAATTCTCCTGAGAGATAACTCGGACAAGAACACGGTTGCATTTATTTATGGCTTGGATTTTTCCACACCATTTCCACCTGCCCCTGTCCTTCCTAATGGATCCATCCCCCCATGGGTACATTAACCAGACTAGATAAGGTAAAGGCAAATTCGGGCCAAGAGAGGGATGGAAACCGAACTAATGACCGTACTGATTTCGATCGATGAAAAGTGTATTAAAACCAACAAATAAATGAAATCACTGTTCAAATCTCAGGTATTTCTTTGCTCGAAAACCTGTGAAATTTCCGCAGCTGCGGACTAAAAACTTCCCTCTCCTCAACGGATCGAACGCCTCCCAACATCTTTAAGTATAAGTCGCTAACAATGAGAAAACATTTGTCTTAGGTCATTTTGAGACCCCCGCCGTGTTGTCTAACTTGGATCAAATCACGATGAACTTTGTGCAGTGACTATGTTGACAATATGAACCCGGATAATCTTCAACCGATTTACCACAGTTCTTTTCTAGAAAAATAGTTACCAGTATATAAAAATAGTTACCAGTATATAAAAATACATGTACTTTTGTTTCTATTCTATGCCTACGCTTTGAAAACAACATCCTCGGTAAGAGAAACAATTTTTAACATTCTTTACCTTTGTTTTGCATCAAATTTTTTTGGTTATTTGTATGATTTTGATATATTTTTTATCGTTTTAACCTCATACAGTTTACGAAAGTAAAGTTTGCCGTAACTTGTTTACGTTACTTACACTTCTAAACTAGTACGTCATGTGACCTTGGGAGGCTCACAAGTTGACGTCTCTCCTCTCTTTTTTCAAACCAAACATAGGGTTATACTGATTAAAAAACGTCAAGGGACACCTTCCTTGACGACTGCAAAGATCCATTTGGAAGATATCCTTCTCTTCTCCCTTCACGAAACCAAATACGTAATGCTAGTCCCTGCTCTGATAAGTAGCTGATACTAGCTTGACATCACATTTTCGTTAATATGGTATTCATAAGCCATTTGGTGATTTTCAATTGTACAAAATGGCCTGTTTTTCTCATCAATCAATCAATCCATCAAACAATTCAAAAGACAGATAAAACTTGCATAGCGCGAGTGCATAGTCCGAAACTTCAATAAGTTGCAAATAATTTTGAGCACAGAAATTAATCCTAACATTAGGCCCCTAATAGTTGATAGGACCTAAACTACCAAAATTGTATTACTTTTTGAACGTTACTATCAGAGTAGAATTAAGACCAACTACAATATGGGTACTAACTGATCTGACTGGTAACTACAAGTTAGGTTATGAACGGAGCACTCTGGCTGCCTAATTCTGACAAATGTTGAGAGCCGTTGGTAATTGTGTTTCTTTACAGTATATCAGCTAAACGTGGCAATTCACACTCTACCAATCTATCATACAGATCTCCTACATTCAGTATCAACCGCTGTTTTCGAGCATGCACCAGGACGGCGTCACATGGATTAAAAACTCGCTTGTCGAGGAATCTGATTTCTGCTGGAGTCAAACCCAGTTTTTCCGCAAGGAACATCCACTCTTCTCCACCTAAGGGTAAAAAAACGCAAAAATATTGAGTCCTGGCAATAACGTCTTTTAAATCATTAGAATTTGAAAGTTCTTCAAGGAATCTAAATGATTATTTGTCGCTCCAGTGCGGCCACGCTTCGGAATATTACGTTAGTGAGAGAATGATAACGATCGCCTTAGTGCTCTTCTCTATCCAGTCTATTTCCTTGGAAGGTTTAAATTCATTTTACAAGGAGTTTCGAGGAGAGACCGAACGAAAGTCTGTTACGGCGCATGTAGCAGCCGCTTAATAATAGGGTTTGTACGTTGCTGACTTCAAGATATATCACACAGAAGGGAAGGAAGGGGTCACAAGCACCTCAGAATTCCCTTTATGTATACCCTTGATGTGGTTCTGGTGGACTACACGCGAAAGGAGGAGGAGGAAGAGGAGGCGTTGAGTGCAACTCTGAGTGAGTGAATCGAGAAGCAGAGGATTATCCAATAATTTGTCTTAAGTGCATGCCGTGTATTTCCAGAAGTAGCTATGTATTGAGCCCTGAACACTTAAGACTTCTAACTCTTCATTTTAATCCTATGCCCTTCCTTGTTAATTACGAGAGAGAAATTGCGACGATAGAATTTTCGCACTGAGTGGACCTTTTGAGATGAAGTGCTTACAGCCATTAATACAGTCGAGAAAATTTGCAATAAAACGGAGGAATGTGGAAAACGTTTAGCAATAACTATAGAGTAGTAAGTATTAACAAAGTGTTTCGCCTCACCGCTAAAGTTTATCGTTAATTCGTTTCTCAAACGCAAAGGAATCATGGCAACATCAAACTCTTCAGGCAACAAAGGACCTACCGGAAGAACGATTTATTTATAAAAGCAAAAAATAAACAACTGAGGGTACGGTTAGGGTGGTATTTTTTTCATACAAGATAAAAACATTTTCTTTTCTGGCAGACACCATTGTCACACCTAATGCACATTCTATGGCTGCAACATACTACTTTCACCAAATCATCACTTTGTCGACACAACGAATTCTCGGAAGTGTACCATGCTTGTAGCCCTGTACATAGTCAAATGACCGTATCACTATATCTGGTTAAGCTCGATAGGACTAGATGAGCATTATGACTGAGCCGTTGCTGACCCTAACATAAAAATAGTGCTGCATACGAACAAGACATAAGGTCTAATTTACTCTCTCCGTGACACATGTAAAGGTAACAAAATGATAATGACTAGTGCACCTTAAAAAATTTAGGCCTAACGCAAAAATGACACTCCCTAAGAAGCATAACCCGACATCCCACTAACATCAGCAGAGGTGTATTTCAATTCACCTGTTGTACCCGCAGGAACAATTTCTCTCAGTTTTTTGACAACTTCCGGCTTGTTCGCAGTATTAGCCTTTAAACAAAGGTAGCGGATCTTCTTCTTAGTATCAGGGTCTGGTTGTTTCAATGAAGAGTTCTCCAAGGAGAGACTTTGCTGAAATTGGGCCACAACATCACTTGCATCGCACGTTTGTGTCGCCAGGGCCTTAAGCACCCCACCACACAGGACAACTGCTTGATCGTTATGGGCTGGATTGCAAATGTAATGGTGTCAAAACATATACAATGAATACAAAAGAGGAAAATAATGAAACAAGGATACATAGAAGGATACCTAATTTGCTTATATCGTTCAATTATTTTCTACATCAACACAACTGAAATACGACAATCGTTTAGATCTGAAACTGACTGGCTAAGTTGGGTGAAAAATCTAATGGTCTACCAAAGAATTATTTTATAACTAAACAGCTACATAACAGAAGCTTACCATCTCCACTGCTAGGCAAGGGGCTCTTTTCGTCATATCCATCAGTGCCGGCTTGCTATATGAAAAAAAAAAAATCAAGAAATTACCGCTTTTATATCGTCCGCAGTACCACTGTTTTAGTCAAGAAATCTAAGGATTCGTTAGAGGCATCAAGACGTCCTGTGTTTTGAGTTACACGACTGCCTGCACCGCAATCCCTATTTCAGGAAGTAAATCATTTGCTTTTGATAATAACAGTGGAGATAATTGAGGGAATGACGAGTAATATTTTATCCAGCAAGCTTTCGTCAAAAATCCATGTACTGTCTTAACGTGGTAACTTGAGGTAAAGAGATTTAATTTCAAGGAATTAATTTTGGGTGCGGAGAATGAACTCGTAATTGACAAGAAAAACTCATGAATAGGGGGTATAGATTCATTAGAATATTACCCGTTCCTCTAGAGATCCAAACCAGAATCCAACAAAATCAACAGGAACTTTGCAATTTACGGCAACAACCGACCGGGTGCATACAATAAACCCATGGCTAGCGAAGAGCTGAGACTCTGACCACAGGTGCAGGCATTGCTCTTTCTTACAACCACGTACATTATGGTCGCTGCAATGATTCACAGAACGACTTGCACAACACACTGGACAGCATACTAAAAGATCATATGCCATGTTCTTTAGCCAAGGAAACTCTTTTCGCATACACTCGAGAATCAGTCCTAGTCGTCGACAAATTGCACGAGCAAAATCCACCTGAAAGGGGTCGTATGTGGATTTTGAACGCAAATTCAGTCCTGATTCTACATCCGATGAGAGTCCAGCGGCACATCTTTCTTTGTGAACAACTACCTCAATGAAGGAAGAATGGCATTGGAGTATTACAGAACAACCTTCAGCGGGATGTGTGTAAAATCTAGCAAAGTTTTGATGTAATTGAGGTCGTGTTTGACTGGAAAACTCCTTTGTGCACCACTGAAAGACCATTAAGACCACACGAGGAAAAAGGCCAGACGGTACTTGAGTGGACTTGAACTTGAGATAAAGTGACGGGATCCCTGCAAAGGCTATCAGCTTCCTTACATCCTCCAGCGGTGGGAACTTCAACATGGAAGGTACAAGATATTCAGTTGGTGAATCAGTCGCGACTGACGACGACAAGGGACATAACAAGCAGAATTTTTCCATCAAGGCAATGAGAGTTTGACAAGTTTCTCGGTTGTCAAACAAGGGGCCCCATACATGTTGCAAGAGCTCTTCTTTCAAGATTCCTGTTCTCTCAAGCTTCAGCCACAGTTGCTCGTATTTTCTCTCTCGGCTTCGGTATGGCCTTATGGTAATTACCTCCTTGAAGACATCTACCAACCACTGAGGGTCCAAGATCACCATTCTCTTTAACTGTTTAGTGTGGTCAAAATGAACTAAAATTCTCTGATCATGTAAGAAGTTCAACATTGCCACAAATTGTTCAGTGCTGGAAATACCACATTTTTCGGTTGCAATATTTTTGGCCTCATCGAGAGAAATCCACTTATGGCCATCTTGATTCTTCTCCTTCATTTCCTTTTCAAACTTCAACCACTTGATCGGAATTGCCTCTTTCATTTGTGGTAATTCATTCGCAACAGTTTCTACCTCTTTTCTCAGATGATCGACCCCTGGACATTTTTCAACACTTCCGGATTTAGTGTTGTCTACAACAAAGACATCAACTAGATGTTTACCATAAACCCGCGTCTTCAGTGAGCCAAATATCTTGCGGGCCAACGCATGAGGATCTAAACCTTGAAAAGGTTTATCAGCGTGAGTGCAAACAAGGAAAACTGGGGGAAGCCTTTCTGGTAATATTTCAGATGCAAACATTTCCTGGAGGTCTTCGTCTTCCAGAACCAAACTAGATACAGAGGACATCCACAAGTCAAGATAATCCATGTTACTCCTTTCACAGAAAACATCCTCGATATCCTCGTAGAATCCGCGCTTCACTTGAGGGCTGACTTTACCATCTGGATCTCGACTTAAGTCGTAAGCTAAAAGGTAAATCGCCCTTGTTGTGAGAAATAAAGGATGGGTGGCGTAATAGACAGATTGTCCACCAAAATCCCACAAAACTGAGTACAGACCTTCTTTACCTTGGGCACCTTCGGCTTCTTCTAGTTGAAGCAAATTTTCAACCAAAGCAGCTATCTCATCCGGTACCTCTTGTCCAGCCTCCTTTATTGCTGCTTTTTCCCAAACCTTTTGGAAAACTTTGGAGTTGGAAGAGTCAATCCCACTTTCAAGATTTGACGCATCATCATTTTTCATCTGTATTGAATTTATCCCTTCTTTAAGGCTCGTGAAAATGCATTGAGCTGCACATTGTTCATAGGAAATGGGTGCTGGATCTGAATTTGTTGCTTCATCTCCACTTTCTCCTATTTTCCATACCTCTTGGGAAACTTTGCAGTAGGATGGGTCACTCTCTATTCCTTTGGTAATAGTTTCTTCTGGGTTGAAACGTTCTCCTTTTAATGACCTCTTTAAACTTGTTTTTCCCGACTGACCTTGTCCAATGAACATGATAGGCACTCTTTTTACAATGGTTTTCCCCTCTGAAAGGGCTTTATTATAGGCTAAAACTGGGGACTCGAGAAATAATGATAGGGCTGCTAAAACTGCTGAAGGACCTCGAGAAATAATCTCCCAAACTGAAGGAAGGGATAAATAAGGCTATGGGCTGTAACATGGGTAAATTAAATTAAATAATTATAATGTGGTTACCTTTTTTGAAAAAATTAATTCTAAATAAAACTTTCAAAAACTCGGATGGTCCATTAGGTTTCGCCTTTTTCAACCTTTGAGCTCAAACCTTTGTCTCACATGATTTGGAGGGATATGGAAAACCAAACAAAACAGTTTTTATGGGGTACAAACTCATATTAACTAATGGGGTGGAAAATCCATATAGAAATTTCTGATGGGAAAAGGGTCGGAGGAGGGGGGGTACGTACAGATCTTATTGGACCAATAACTTGGTGGTCCAAATCTAATGGAGGCAAAACCAAACAAAACAGGTTTTGGGGGGTATCCACATCCGGTAAATCTAAGGGGTCCACTAAGGACACTAGGTAGCTATTTTCATGGACTGAAATGTTGCTTTCTAGCTCCATGTAATTTGTGCTGTTACCTACAGGTTTTTCTGTATCAATTAAAGCCAAGACGCTTGTTTTCATATACGTTTTACAGGTCATATAAGACTTGCGGGTAAAAAAACAAAACAAAACAAAACACAACCAAAAAACTTCGAGAGAGTTGTCTGTAAAATGGTCGGTCATTGTACAAATCATGTTGATCGATGGCGTGATACCGTTACTCCGTGCATCTATAAAGTTCGCTGTTTCAGCCAATTAGAACGTGCGTTATATAAAAGCTTAATTATACATTTTCATTAGAGCCAGAATGGTGCCTTCAGGGATATTTAAGCCTAAGTAAGCTTGCATTTGTTAACCATTTTTATACATTTCTGGTATAATATTCTGTGACAGCTGTCAATTATAACATAACTACTAAATTCAGATACTCCAACTCAATATCATGAGCGTGCCTCGTTAAAGCAGTAGATAATTTTTATGATTACAAACCCCAATTTAAACAAGAGGGGGTTGAAGAGAATTAGAGAAGATTATGCAAACCAGAGGAGCAATGAGGGGTTTATATACCTTTCTAGAATTCTATCAAGACACCTGTTTACATAAAGCTTTCCCAGCCATAAGCCAGTAAGCTCAAAAACTGCAAACTAGTTCCTAGAATATTTTTCAAGTTATTTAAGCAATTCCTTGTGAACCAGCAAGACTTACTCAAATAAAATGCCAAAATAATTACTGCCCTAAGAATTGCCCAATTCTTCCCCTACAAAAACCCATTCCAGGCTATAAAACAAAGTATTTTGGAACTCTTGAACAAATGTGAATTTGTGCGTACTTCCGACCTTTTCCCATTCCCAGAACTAGGAATATAGATAACGGCGTAATACGCGACTAACACAGTCTCTAGACTGTTCGACTTTACGCAACTATCTGCGTCGGTGTATTGATTAAAAATCTTACAGTATATATATTACCGACTGGAAGAAATTGCGCCGTTAGTTACTGACCTAAAATCTTACAGTATGTAGATATACCGGCTGAATGAAATTACACCGTTAGTTAACGGCGTAAAATCTTATAGTATGTATATATACACCAAGAGAACGGAAATTACGCCGTTAGTTACTGGCGTAAAATCTTATGGTATGTATAAATACAGACTGAAAATCGCTTGAAATTTTTCGTGAAGTTTATTTTCACTATGGATTTTACATCACATGATGAACAGCGGACCTAGCTCTAAAACACTACTCCGTTTGAACTAGTAAATCGCTGCAAGTTGCACATGATGAACAGCGGACAGTGAAGATGTAGACCATATTTTATCAAAACGATTAGTAAAGATTTTGTTTCACGACTAAATGTCGCTTTCTCAATTTAATCAGTTTTGTTCCTCGTTAATATTCATATTCTCGATTATTCGGACAATTTCGTTTAGTCCCAACGAGTCTGCACAATCAAGGTTCGACTGTATATACCTACGGTAAGATTCTACGCCATCAAATGACGGCGTAATTTGGCTCTGTCGGTGTACTACCAACTGTCAGATTTTACGCCGTTAACTAACGGCGTAACTTTATCCAGTCGGAATATTCGAATACTGTAAGATTTTACGCCGATAACTAGCGGCGTAATTTGGCTCAGTCGGTGCACTACACACTGTAAGATTTAACGCCGTTAATTAATGGCGTAATTTTATTTAGTCGATATATATGCATACTGCAAGATTTTACACCGTAAACTAACGGCGTAATTCAATTCAGTCTGTATATATACACACGGTAAGATTTAACGCCTTTAAATAACGGCGTAATTTCATTCTGTTGGTATAAATATATACTGCAAGATTTTACGCCTGTAATTAATGGCGTAATTTAGTTCAGTATATATATACTTACTGCAAGATTTTACGCCGTTAACTAACGGGGTAATTTAATTCAGTCTGTATATCTACAAATTGGAAGATTTTACGCCAGTAACTTAGGACGTAATTATACTGCAAGATTTTGCGCCGTTAACTAACGACGCAATTTCATTCAATCTTCATTTACATCCTGTAAGATTTTACTCTAGTAACTAACGGCGTGATTTCATCCAGTCGGTATACATACATACTGTAAGATTTTACGCAGTCTTCATACTGTTACATTAACGCCGTTAACTTACGGTGTAATTTCTTCCAGTCGGTAATATATATATATATATGTATGTATATATATATATATCCTTGATGTTATGATATCAAAAATCATCCATGACAAATAAAAATAAAGAAAATCCAATGCTATAACGTTACCTGGTGATTCACTCTGTCTATAAGCTCTTACACGTTCAACAAGATCGGGCCTTCTTAAACTCGTTAAAAGTATCTCAAGGTAGTCTAAGTTGTCCTCTCCCAAGAGACCCTGATGTATCATTCTTGAAAACAAATCTCTTGGTTTGCTACACTTCTCCAGATATCCTGACGGGATGAAGTCCGCCAGTATAAATTTCATGCCTTGAAACTCGTCTTCCTCGATTTCTTCAGACAGTCGCTCCAAGAATATTCGAAACTTGTTCAGTACGGTTATTCCGCTTACAACAACCCGAGAATCGCTATGAGCCATGAGTGCGAGCTATCAACCAAGTAAAACCGTCTGAATGTTGCCTTCATCTACTTTTCAAGTTCATGTCAGTTTCAGTAAGAATCCTAGGCATCATGCATCAGAAGTTAACAAGAATTGGCTTACCAAGACTTCGTTGGTATGTTACTGTAAGTGAAGGTCCTGTATCTGTTCCCTTCAGTGACACTCTGGAGCTACAGTTCGCTGATGATCTGAAATCACTTCATAGGAGCTGAAACTATTACTTATGTAAAAATAAACTGGTGAAACACCTCGCCAAACATTAGTATTAGTGGTATTTCACGTCCATTTCCGCATTCGTCCATCACTTTCGGTTTGATAAATTATTTCAATTGGTCCATTTACTATCATGTGACAGCATTGGAAGGAAGAAGACCCCCCTATCAGGTTATAAGATATGACTATTACACCACACATATGGTTTTGTAGCCCGTAGCCAAGGTACGTTGCCGTTAGTTTACGGTTGGTTAGTTTACGATTGGTTACAATCGCTATGAGCCATGAGTGCGAGCCATCAACCAAGTAAAACCGTCTGAATGTTGCCTTCATCTAGTTTTCAAGTACATGTCATGCTGCAAATTCACGAATCAACAGAACTTCTATCGCCTTTCGCGGAAGGAGTTGAGGTTGTCGGAGACACATGTCAGAGGATGACTGTGAACATTATGCCAAGAGCTAGAAGCACCGCCTGTAGTGATTTTGGGACATTGATCGGTTTACATGATCAACGCAACCTTGAATGACTTTTTAAATCGGTACTTAGCAACAACCAATCACAATGTAGAGAATATAGTATAATAGAGTGATTTCTTACAAATTTGGCAGAGTAGCTTTTTACACACCCGTTGTTAATAAGCGAATACGAGAGTAGAATAAAACAGATGGATTGAGTCTAGTTCGTTAGAATTGTATCCCTAGTAAACAGGGCAAAGTTTACGAAAGAGGTCTCTTTTGCATGGGTTGTGCCAACACAGTCTCTCTCTCAAAAGGAGGATAATCATCACTCGCAATATCTCCTCAAATGAAGTAATATTCTTCATTTAGTTTGACCGTGGTTTCAACAAATAGACTGGGTAAGAACAAGGACCTTAGGTTTCCCAATTACATTGTCTGAAATACAAGAATCAAGTCATCTTCAGGTAGTCATAGGATAACATGATTTTAAGTCATCAAATTGACATTTTCCTTTTGTATTTTCATTGATATTTAACAGCATGTATGACTGCATGAAAACCTGAAGGCAAGTTATTCTTAAAAATATGAGATGGTCATCTACTATATAAATAAAATTTGTACAATTAATAAATGAGATTAACTTGTGCCTGTGTTATTTATTGTATTTTTTTCATAAAAATTGCTATTATAAAAAAGAAATCTAACCTTTCATATTTGAACACCAACCAGAAACCCTTTGCTTATATATCGCCTAATAATGCCTGCTTTAGTTTTAGCTGATTCCCCATAAAGAGTAATTTGATGCTCTTAGCTTGTGTACTGTGCCATCAAATAAGCAGCAGTAGGTAGACGACCAAGGAACAGGAAGAAATTCTTGAAAAAAGTGATTCCAATGTAGTATAAGACTAAAATGGAATGCCAAAAAAGTTAAATGCAAAACAGACTGTTATAAAAATTGGGAAAAGTCAACCAAGTATGCAAGCTGTACTTCAAGTATTTTCTAAGCCTCCTAAGATCCTACCAGCTAGAGGGCTAAGACTATACAAGAAAGTACAAAATTTAAATGTATTCATGAAAAAAGTGAAATGTGGAGCAAGCCACGGTAAAAATTGGGCAAAGTTGACTAAATATGCAAGCTGTACATCTAGCCGGTAGTTTTTCCTAAGCCACCTTGGATCCTACCAGCTAAAGGTACAAGACCAAATGAAAAAAATAGAAGTAAATGTACTCTTGTGAAAAGTGATTCCAAGGAGTGTAAGACTAATTTGGAGTGCAGAAAAGTCAAATGAGGAGCAAACCATTATAAAAATTGGGCGAAGTCAAGCTGTACCTCTAGCCAGTAGTATTTTATGAGCCCTTTCAGATCCTATTGGCTAGCAGTACAAGACCAAATTAAAATAGAGAAAATGTAAATTTATTCTTGAAAACATGAGTGTAAGACAAAAAAAAAAAGAGTGTAAGACTAATTTGGAGTACAGAAAAAGTAAAATGTGGTAACAATTGGACAAAGTTGACTAAATATGCAAGCTGTACCTCTAGCTGGTAATATTTTCAACCCCTCCTGAGATCCTACCGGCTGAAGGTACAAGACAATAGAAATTTCATCTTAGGGATCTTTCTACCCAGTAGCACTATGACAAGGGCATTATAGTGGCAATACTATTCATGAATTTTGTTTACCTTTGCAAGCCTAGGTCTCAGCGGTGTTAAGCTAAAACTCTGCTGAACAAGAAACCTAAGATCGACGAGGGTGAAGGAAGCAGCCATACAAAATTTAGCGAAACCTCCTTGATTTAAACTCTACAATGTACTCATCACAACTAAAACATATAATAAGTATTACTCATAAGGCATTATATAACTTAGATTTCAAAGAAATAAATTCCCTAGGTGTTAAGAGTCCCAACAGTTATAACTTTAGGAAATCTTTTAGCATCAATGTAAATAAGCCCAAAACTGAGTTAGGTTGTAGGACCTTCTCACACAGGGCTGCAATTGCCTGGAATTCTTTATCTGACAAAATTGGATCTTTCTCAAATCCTGTAGCTTTTAAAAATTGACTGAAATTGTCAAAACTTGATATTAAGAATATTAATCTAAGTTTGAGAAAGGAGGCTCTTCAATTTACAACAAAAGCTCTGATTATTATTATTATTATTGATATTGATTGTTTATATATATATATATATATATATATATATTTAATAAATAGATACTTATATTATATAAAGTAATTTGATTTTATATTTATTTACAATTATAGTAGGTCCACATCAGCTTATAAGTTGCGTATTCCTGACCAGCTTTACTAAATAAAGTTATGTATGTATGTAATAATGTTCATGTCTGGTTCAATCACATCGCTAAAACTGTTGGTAAAACTGGAACAGTTTGCCATATTGGAATTGGCCGACAATTTCCGATAAGCGCCCGACTCAGAAAGTCGTCACTAGTGCCGCTCAGGTGTACCTATAGCCGGTAGTTAGGATTTAGGCACAACCCTTTGCTAACAACGCTTGAATAAGAATAAGAACAAGAGAAAGATAATGAAAAAATTACCACATGTTATCCCCTGTGATCTGGATTTCACCCAATTTTCTGGTTTTCTGAGGTAGCATGCATGGCCCAGAACCACCCCACAAACGTGCTCCCCTGGTGATAGTTTTCCGATGGAAAATCTTTGTTGATTTGGTCTACACTTAGTATCTTGGAAAATTTTCCCCTTGCCTGGCTTGGATGTAAAAGATACCACCATGAAAGGCACAGACATCAGCAGTGGAACATAATCTGTTGCTCGTTAGAGTCGGGTGAGCTGATGCAGTAGTCATTGCGTTGATTGGCACTTCAATCACAAAAAAAATAATTTGAAAACGACTAAATTGTCCATGTAAATACTAGGGAAATGTGTGTCAATGGGTGTTCTTGCCACTTGAGGGTTTTTCCGTGCACATCCTACTGCAAAGTGGGGCTTCCACACTCAAAGGCTTTCGTGTAACTTTTTCAGTAATTAAACTAAACCACTCCTCCTGTAGGGGGTAAATCAAATACATGATATCATCAATAGCCACCCATTGTATTAGAAATCAAACCGAAAATGTTCTCCAACCCAAAAAGATAAAAAAAAAACTGAACAACCTCTATCTTAACTTACTTTTAATTAGGAATAATAACTCTGAAATAAGAATAAAGCTTGCTGAGCAGGTTCAATCTTCAATGCACACAAGTTGAGCAACCCTTGTTGCTTTCATCCCGAGTGTTGTAATAGCATACTTTTTGTTGAACTGGGGTTAACCAATAACATCCATTTTGCAAAGTCCTCTTCTGTCAACTTCTCTATTAATCAATCATCTAATGAATATGCAAAGGATTTAATTTCTATTTACATATGGCATTAAATGTGGCCTTTACAGTGAGCAATACAATAAGTGTAATGACAGCAATACAAAAAGAGGGAGAGGGAATTGGAGAGAATTTGTGTATACAGTAGGTAGCATTTGACAACATATCCCATAATTTTGTCGATGAATGGAGGATTTTGATCAGTGGAAAGTATTGGACTTCAAAAGCTGTGGCTCAGAGAAAATCTTAACAAAATTTGTTACCTGCACCAGGATCAAGTAATCACCATGTGATTCAGTCACCCATTGCACTAGCAATTTTCCTAGGAAATTTCATCATCATCTGCCACATTTATTATTTCTGTGGCTGAATCTACACTACTCAAGTACTTAAAAATCACTGCTTCTTAGAAAATTTTCACATTTGAATTCTTGAAGTATAAGAAATCAAAAGCACAAAAGACGGTCATAATCTTTTACATAGCAAAAAAGAAACATTTAATTCAGAGAACAAATACTTCTGATTGAATCAAGTTGCAAGTCTGTTAACAATTTTAGTGGTGCAATTGGCTTGTTAGCACTGTATCCTTAAATATTTATTTTAAAATTAGACCAAGACAATAAAAGCTTTCTTTGAACACTACCTATGGTACTTTCCAACAATGGATTTTTAAGATATGAAGATATGCTTTTTAAGATGTGTTTCCTAAAATAACATCCTCCTCCAATGACATTTGATACCCATCACTGTACTAAAATATACAGCCCTTATGTATGGCAAAAATGGAAGCAAAAATGTTATAAAAATAGATATTGGGTAATATATAAGACTATATAACGTAATTTCTTGATTCCAAACTTTTGTACATTTTTGTTATATCTACATGAAATCAAAATATGTCAATTCTTACAAAGTAACATAACAGCTATAAAATCAAGGGTATACAATTTAACTTTGGATACATTTGGCTGACATCATTCACAAAAAAAGTAACTTTTTTCTGGCATATTCCTTCTTAGTTCCAGCTATAATGCAGCTGCAGCCATAAACTGTGTCTTAGTCCAATTTTACACACTATTAAAATTGTATATAGATGATTGATTTCACTGAAATTCAGCCCTATCATGCATTGCACTGATGAGCCCATAGAAAAATTGAAATATACTGGGCCGGTTATTTAAACAAGGTCTAACCCAAACCACAGTTTTACACATTCAGTGCACCTCAGGCATTCTAAAGTATATAAGACAGTTGATTTAATTGTACAAATGCCCTTCTGCTATTAGCTTTCAGCACACTTTATGATGTTCACAAAAATAAATGCTCAGATAAAAAGTCCAGAAAAATTGAGGATTGTTTAGGATGTGGTTTTGTTAAATAATGGCTAACCTTTGTTTAAATAATCAGACAACTATGTTCTGCTTTCAGTTTATTTCATAAAAAAAAAAAAAAAAAGGCCACACTCTCTGTTAGTTTACCTGCATAATAACCCACAAGGAATGTTAGAAGAACACTTAAAATAATTTGTTAATCACTTGCCTCCATTTCACAATTTACAAATTTTTCATGTGTTTTCCCAAAATCGTACATGGATTTTTGCTGACTGATACATAGAAAGTGCAGTCTATTGCTTAAATACTTTTTAGTGTCCAATGGACAATAAATGTTTTATAACTTAATTATCCCTTGCATTCTCATGCTTAGGCTTCCTTTGGCTATTTGCACCACAACATAAAAAGTACAGCTAATAATAAGACATGAAAGGTCTTAGTTTAGAAAGTTAAGAAATAAGATTCTCAATTTACTAAACTATCAAGAGTGATGGCTAAAAGAAATCCCAGGGTGCATGTCGACCACTCCTCTCCCCTCTTTCAGAAGGGGGATCTTGCCATTCATGTAAGCGCTGACTGTGAACTGGCATCTTCTGGTTTTCATGTTAAGGTATTAGTTAGTCAAACATTAAACTCTTACTTGTGGTACACCTGACATTTCACAAAAGTTACTGGTATTTCACAGTCAGAATACTGTGGAGCTTTTCCATCAATTTTCTCCTTGGTTTGCATTAAATTTTCCTCTTTTTTTCTTTTTCAAAAATAGAAACAAAGGATAATGAAATTTGAACCAAGGGTAAAACTGAACCATATGAACTACATCACAAGAGTGGAATATCATTATAAGGTGTATTAAATTGCATACCTTATGACTAGCCAACAATATTCTAACAAATATCTTAAGTATTGAGATTTTAAAATATTTCTTCCACTATGTGGCATCCTAATTGAGTTAATTCTCCATCTTTGAAATAATATTTGAAAATGCATTGACTAGAATCTTACAAAGAAGTAGAATTTGCTTGGGTGAATACTGCATACAGATACAAAATGTAGCATACCTCTATGTTAACTTGCTAATTTGCATCCATGTATGCCAGATACAGAATTAAAATTTTATGCCTTAATCATTATCCAGGCCAGAATCTCCGTTGAACAACTCTCTGGAGTATCCTCTCTGAGACTTCAGTGGTTATTACACAATCAGTTGATAATGAAAATTGTGAGGTGGTAGTTTGTGCTTCCTCCATGTCAACATCACTTGGTGTTCCAGGTGCTGCAACAATGTTACAGGTAGATTGACGCCTTTTTTCCAGAGCAGACTGAAATGTCTCACAAGCACTGGGAAAGTCTTCATCCAGTGAGAATTTCTTTGCCAACTTTGTAGCTGGTCCAATGGCCAATTGTCCATTGAATAGCACACTACTGACATGAAAAGATCTTTGATTAAGGCCCTCTTGAAGTTTAATATTCAGATCTTCTAAGGAGACATCTCCACCTTCTGTCTTTCTTATTTCCTCAATAACAATGTCATAGGCAGTGCCAAAGAGATGTTCCTCAGAGATATTTGCAGCAATTATATACCTGGCAACCTATCAAAAGGCAAATTAGCCAAGGCAATTAAACACAAATATTCAGTGATTGTTAAGTCTTCTAACTGACTCTTAAACTAAGAGGGTAGGTAAGTTTTATAGTAATGTTGTACCCCTTTTACATTTTGCTGGCTACTTCAGTCATCAATTCATGACCAATGATTTTTAAGGAACAGTCACCTTCATCAAAACTCAAATAAAACTCTACAATGTGGTCCAGGTTAAATAAGATACCTGTCAGTGATCAAACTATGTGTTTTATTTGCTTTCCACAGGTACAGGTAGGTAGGTTTGATAGGTTCCTATGTGGAATACATAATTTCTATAGATCACAAGACTCATTTGACCACTTCACTTACCAGAAATTTATAAATAGATAATATTGGGCTGTTTCCCCTCTAAGACTAATACATACAACAAATGCAAAGTTGCATGTCAAACTAGTCAATGAGAATTATATACTAGTCACCTTATTCAATGGTTAACATACTCTGCTTAATAAATGTGGACATTTTGCAAGTTGTATCAACTCACTATTATTTTTCCAAGCCCCAAAGGGGCAAGGAAATAAAAGATTTATTCTTCCACTACTATTTCACTTCTTGGTACTTTGATTTAGTTTGCAAAACACATCCAATGGCCTATCTGTACATCATATTGATCGCATAAGGAAGACATAAAAGACCAACTTAACAAAAACAAAACCATTCACTAAGTTTCACTTGTGACCAACAAAAAAATAATATGCTGTGCTTAATAATTGTTTCTTTCAAAAGCAAGCCTAAAAAAGGGAAAATATAATCAAAATTTGGAGTGCTCATAGTGGCAATTTTGTTGCTCCGTATTTTTGGCTTGTTCTACAGTGTAATATCATAGCACATTTTGCAGGTTCTCACGACCTTAATTGGTAAAATGACTATCATCATAATTATAGTGAAATAATAAATTAATGAAGTTATCAACAAGCAATTACATTTTTAAAAGAAAACCCTCCAGTCGGGATTTGATTGAAGTCAATGAACAGATTTCAGTTGACTTGTGCATCAAATGACAAAACATCAAGTCATGCAAGCAATTTACTTGAAGTTCATTTGGCAAGACTTATCAGTTGAAGTGCATTTTCTTAGGATAGTTGCTGTACACTTTCCTTTCGGGCAAACTTTCCCTTGAAATTTTGAAATTTATTAACTTCCACAGAAAATCAGATTTTATAAGTTCCAGTGGATAAAAACAAGAGTTTGAAAATTCCTGAAAAGTCGTTCCTTGAAATTTTGTCAGCAATTTGATTGCAAAATAATCTTTTAAAAAAAAACCCAAAAGGAAAGAAATTCCTATAAGTTTACTTGCTTCACTAACATTGTATGCACAATACTGTATCTCTCTGATCTTGAGAGTGTAAGGGTAAAGAGCCTTTAAGTTCTTACCTCAGAAATAAATTTGACATCGGATATCTGGAAAAATTTACCACCTGTCTTTAGGGAAATTCCTGTGAAAAAGTCGGTCACTAAGTCATGTGCTGGGTCTGGAATGTATGCTGGCTCTGGCTGGGAGATCACAATAGTATGAAGAGTGACATAATTCTTTGTAAGCTGATGACAGAGCTTCATTACATCATGGCCATGTTCACACTGAAAATTTTCAAGAGTTTTTCTTTGATCCAATATGGCTGCAATAAAATAGATGAAGCCAAAATGCTATTAATCATGATTCGTGAATCTTATAAAATTGCAATAATAATCTAGATATTTCTATGTGAAGGCATAAATGAAAGCAGTATCTTCTCATTCATAGCTTTACCACAATCTCAAGGAAGTAATACCCTGAACTTTGCAGCCACAGAGGTTATTAATATATTTATATTAATATATGTAGCAGGTAATTTAGTGTTAACAACGGAGTTGCAAATGTAAATTGGCCAAGGCAAAGTTCTACAACTGTAAGCATTATCTGAGGCAGTGAGTTCCCATAGCTTTTCTTGTAATTCTTTACAAATGACTTTATTTATACTCACGCAGTAATATGCAGACTTTGATGGCATTTTTGCGACACTTTAAGTTGTTACTATCACCGCCAACTTCACTGAGTTGGACTGCTAATGCCAGTCCATCTGCCAGCCCTCTTGTTCCACCTGGCCTCCCAAGGCGACGCAGGCTTTCTATGGTTTCTTTCATAATATCCTTTCTGTCTGTAAATTTCTGTATGAGTGCTGTGTTATTGATTCGAGGATCACCAGATCGCATTCCAGGGCGTGGATGCCTTTGATGGTTTTGGTAACTGATGAGTGCCAGTCTGAGATGGAAATTGTCAAAAATATCATTGATCAGGTGCCTCAGTTGAGTCTTCAGACGTCCTAACAGCACTGGATTTGATAAAGCACAGTCAACGACTAGAATCAGGTCCAGGTTGTTGTCATTGTGATTGCAATCTGCATGTGTAGCAAAGAAAACAGAAAAAAATTGAAACACATTCACAAAACAGAACAGCATATCAAAATGCATAGAACATTCTTTCCAATTTTGTTCACAAGTCTGTATATCAGCTGTAAATAGGAAGAGATGGCAAAGAAAGGAAACATCAAGGAAAAAGTTACTGGTAGATTTTTTTTATAGTCTAGTTATTTCCTTCTGATTTCTCCTCATAATTTCATTAAATTGTCAAGGTGAGAGGTGATGAGGAAAAACTCATTAAAGCAACAACTAGGCACCTTGACCTGACACCAAATTCTTGGGACTAGAACAAGAACAACTGTAAGAACTGTGTGATTGACTAAGCAATTGATAATAGGATCTTGAAAGTGAAATGGGTTAATATCAAACCGACAAATCTAAATGACTAATTGTACTTGGGCTACAAAAATGTCACCCTATTCAAAAACACATTTTAATCTTGACTGAAATTTTTTTAATCCTCAAAAGGATTCAAACACCACAGCCTGTTCCAATTTTGCAGTTAGATGCTTGAAGTCAAAGCCCAACACTTTGCTTTGATTTATGAACATGAGCATCTATGGTACTTTTCTCTATTATCATTACTTCCTCATATCCAAAGTTTATCATCTTTTACTTTCAATTGACATATTAAGTAACTAATTGTCATGACTATTTTGTGGGTTGATTCCACTTTGTCATTTTTATAAGTTAACATCCACACTGTTACAAGCACTCACCTGGAGTGATTAAAGAGAGTGAGCGTGTAATTGGCTGCAATAGAATTTGAGATTCATTGCCAATTCTCACTGCTTTGACCCCGCAATGGTTAAGCCAAGGGAGTTTGTGAATGGCAGCCCATCGAAGGCTGTCTACCATTTCCTTCCTATTGGTGATTTTAAAATTTAAATTCCACCAATTGACTCCCACTTGCTCACTTCCTTCCAGGTGTATTTCTGAGGGATCAAAACCCAGAAATGCATTCATGCTGTGCACAAGGTTTTGTTGCACATTGACATCTGCTTGCATACCAAAAGAGAAGCAGACCAGCTCCACAGCTGCAGAAGTAACAAATAAAATTTATTTTTGGTAGAATGGACTTTTTGTTAGTGCATCAACAACAAATGACTCCTGTCAACCCTCTCTTACCCTCTCCTACTTGCACCTTGAACTGACTAGATCTAATTCAATCATGTTACCCTGAATCTAATATAATTGTCATGCATTTCCTGCACTTAGCACACCCTCAGTACCTTGAATCCTTCAAAACTTTTTTTCATTTATTTAAAACATAACAGCGCTAGCTGTCCCCCAAAACAATGGGGTCATGTTTCCAGGGGCTGGGATACATTGAACTGCAGTTCACTGATTATCTTCATAGAGTTTAGCTGTTTAACACCTTTTTCTCCAGATTGTTCCACTTTAACTGAGCTTCTCAACATCGCAATAAACTTTGATTTAAATGTGCATGGCGTGATCAGAAATACTGGTCGATTAGTGTTAACAACCATAAATAAATTTACACTATTTCAAATCTAATGCACAGGTCAACAAAAACCAGCCACTTCATTCCGCAGACGGATATTCAATATCCCTGGGCTCTGAGCTCAGAATTAACTAAACCATTGAAGAGCAAGTAACTATCATTACATTAAATTTTAACCACAGAAGTCCCTCTTTTCAGCTTTACGAACTGTTCTGCTTTATTCAGTGATGGACTAAGTTTGCGCTGTTCATAGTTAACCATAGTTATGATGACGTACCCATGGCAAAATTTCTGGCGATGGCTTTTGAAATTTTATAACTCCACAGTTTTCTTATTCTTGCCACCATTTGCTACCCCCCTATTCAAGGTCAGAGCAGTTGGAGGAGTCATTTGAGGTGGACCTAATCTTGCTAGTTTGGGTAACACTCACATGTTGCTGAATGGAAAGGAAAGGAACATGTCTGGATCACAACAGAAGCTCTCAGTCCTCTTGATCACAGTTTTCTTATTCTTGCCACCATTTGCTACCCCCCTATTCAAGGTCAGAGCAGTTGGAGGAGTCATTTGAGGTGGACCTAATCTTGCTAGTTTGGGTAACACTCACATGTTGCTGAATGGAAAGGAAAGGAACATGTCTGGATCACAACAGAAGCTCTCAGTCCTCTGGTAGTTGTTTTCTAGCCCTTATAAAGAGGTTTCTGTTCTGCCAGTGGTGCAGTATTCGCCGTTAAGAGTTGATCAATTCGAGCTTCAACATCCCCCTCCCCAAGCATCAGGTAATTTGACTGTCATCCTTGCCCTGGGGTGAGGAATTTTAATCTTGTCTGGATGGGATGGGAAGTGTCAAGTCTTCTCCGCGGAATAAACACGTTCACCATCAAATCTGGCATTTGGGTAGGGCATTTGAACACAATTTTGGCCCCAGTTTGGGGACGGGAATTTGAACAAACCAATCTGCAAAATTTCAAATGCCCAAGAGGGGGAGGGCGCGTTGACGCTTCGAATTGATCGACGTATAACACTGGTTTATCTTGGGGCACTTATATCAATGAATTGAGTCCTTGATCTTATGATATTAAAAAATCAACCATTTGTATATCGGCATTATTCTAACTACAAAGAAAAATGAAGAAAATCCAATGCTATCACATTACCTGGTAATTCACTCTGTCTATAAACTCTTACACGTTTCACAAGATCGAGCCTTTTAACGTCCGTTAAAAGTTTCTCAAGGTTGTCTAAGTTGTCCTCTCCCAAGAGACCCTGTTGTAACATTTTTGAAAACAAATCTCTTGGTTTGCTACACTTCTCCAGATGTCCTGACGGGATGGATCCCTGCAGTATAAATTTCAAGCCTTGTAACTGGTCTTCCTCGATTTCTTGAGACAGTCGCTCCAAGAATATTCGAAACTTGTTAAGTATGATTCCTCCGCTCACAACAACCCGAGAATCGCCATGAGCCATGAGTGCGAGCCATCAACCAAGTAAAGTCGTCTGAATGTTGCCTTCATCCAGTTTTCAGGTTCATATCATGCTGCAAATTCACGAATCAACAGAAATTCCATCGCCTTTGACGGAAGGAGCTGTTAACCTGTTTCGCATGACAAAGCTAAAGAGTTTATTTGAATGTTGATAACCTTAAGTGACACATATTCCGAACCTCGTACCCAGGGTCTTTGTTCAAAGGTCGCCCCGTCCTAGGGGAACGACAACAGATACATGCCCATCGATGTCCACCGCCCTTAAGCCTTCACATGCACTTCCTTCATGACGTGTTTGAGGAGTAACTCTTCCTCTCCAGCAAAAACCGTTCGAATCAGGCCTAGAAAGTCTTGTGAGCTTAGAGAGGCAAGGAAAACAAATAGCAAAGGTTTTTGGAATTGCCCTTTATGGGGCTATAGAATACACATTCATACATGCCCACAGGTGGCCTGCAACTTCAGACATGCTTTTTTATACTCGTACCACAACATTTTTACGCATGAAGAATAAGTGTAAGAAAAAGACAACGAAAAAAATTCTGGGATTGTATCCAATTTTCTGGTTTTGTGGGGGCGCATGCACGAGTCTAGAAACTTAAGTGGCCCTAAACCACTCCACAAACATGCACCCCCGGTTATAGTTTTTTTCATTCCCCCCCCCCCCCTTGAGTGTAAAATAGTCTTCACTGACTTGGTTTATATTTAACATCTCGGAAAATTTTTCCATTGCCTAACTTGGATATAAAAGCTACCTTTAAGAAAGATACAGACAGAGCAGGGTAACATAACCTGTTGCTTGTTGGAGTCAGGTGAGCTGGTGCAGTAGTCATTGGGTTGATTGGCACTTCAATCACAAAAAATAATTTGAAAATGACCAAATTGTCCATGTAAATACTTGGGAAGTGTGTTCAAATGGGTGTTCTCGCTACTTGGGGGTTTTTTTCCATGCACATCCTACAGCAAAGTGGAGCATCCACACTCATAAGCTTTTGTGTAGGTATCTTTTTCAGTCATTTAACTAAAGCTGAGTCCCAGCATACTACACCACTCCTTCAGTAAGGGGTAAATCAAATGCAACATGATATCATCAGTGGCCACCCATTGTATTAGAAATCAAACAGAAAATGTTCTCAAACCCAAAAAGACAAAAGAAACTGAACAACCTCTATCTTAACTTGCTTTTAATTAGGAATAATAACTCTGAAATAAGAATAAAACTTGCTGAGTAGGTTCAATCTTAAATGTACACAAGTTAAGCTGCCCTTTTTGCTTTCATCCTGAGTGTTGTAATGACATACTTCTTGCTGAACTGGGGTTAACCAATACTATCCATTTTGCGACGTCCTCTTCTGTCAACTGCTATATTAATCAATGATTAAACAAATATGACAAAATTTCATTTCTATTTACATAGTAATGGCAACAATAGTGGCCCTTACAGCAAGTATTACAATAAGAGCGATGACAGTAAAAATACAAAAAGATGGAAAGGGGGTTGGAGAGAATTTGTGTATATAGCAGGTAGCCCTTGACAACACATCCCACAATTTTGTTAATGAATGGAGGATTATGATTGGTGCAGTATGGCTACATCAGAAAATGTTCTTGGCAAGCGTAAGTTTCATACACTACTCAAGAATTTCTTTGTTGTGGCCACAAAGACACTGACTGACATTTCTGGGTATTCATTTAACTCTTTCACTCTCAATATCTTGATAAAAATTCACCTTACTGTCTGCTGCAGGCAATATGTTTTGTAATAAGTTTCTTTTAAGAATTTGGTGTCGGAGCAAATGATAATCCACCAGTTACTATTTTTTGCAATTCTCATTACTTGTTTGCTTGAATTGCATTCATGCTGTAAGGAGAAATTATGTCTTAGTCACTGCTGAGAGTGAAAGGGTCAAAGAAAGATACAATCACCAGTGCCATTATTCTGCTTGCAAGTAAAATTACTGTAATTTTCTCAACAATCAGTAGTCCTTATGGAATCATATCAGCTAATGAAGCTATATTAGTAATTAACATTTAATTTATAATTTTGGTTATAATAATATTACAATCATCATTTGTCTTGTGATCTTAAGATCCTATGGCACGCACCATTAGTGTTTAAAAATAAATCATTAAAAGTATGGGGTATGCCAGCAGGTACTTTCTTAACTGTCTCTCAAACCTTAAAGCAATGTAAATTACAAAATATTTCACATTCACAAAGTGAAATTTGTTGCAAAGGCTAAACAGCAATATCATTTTATTGTCTGAGACCTTCCTCATTGATGATTGACTACTGTTTACGATATAGCAGGTAAAAGCCAAGAGCACAGATACAGCTGAAGACAAAGTAAACCTGAACATCGTGCTTCTTTCTCAAAGCCTTGAAGTAATCAACCACAGATTCCTGCAAAAAGGAAAGAGCTTTTTGATAAGAGCACAAAAGATACAGTACTTGAAACAGGTGTGGAGAAAAAAAGGAGCTTTACATTAGTTTTGAGTGGGAGAACTAAAATTTCACAAATGAAAGTTATGCAAGATTTATAAAGATTTAACCCTTTTAACTCCCCATATCTGATTGCTAATCCTCCCCTCTAACTGCTACACATTTCCTTGTAAATTAGTTATGAGAATTTCATGTTAGATCAAGATAACTTCTTCCTGATAAGTTTGAGTATTCTCATTACTGGTTTGCTGGACAATGTACAGATATTATGAGAAGACATAACATGTTAATCACTTCTGGGAGTCAGCAGGGTTTATGTATTGTTTTGCCATTTTGGAACAGCATTTTCTGCCATACTGCTATTTTCAAATAGTTTCAATTCCAAGACATCAGTAACAACAGCTGGGTACATGGCAATTCTATAAGCAATATTCTCTGACATGACAATGTGCACAAGATGCCTGTAGAGTTTTTTTTTTTTTTTTCATAAACTCTACAAACATTAGATGATAGCTGTGTATTAAATTAAAGAATAAATGCCTCACTGGATTACAAACTTTCCTTGCTTGTTGATAATCTCACAAAACTATTAAATGCTGAGTGAAAACCATACAAACATTTTTCATATAGTAGACATTCATATTGGATTAAAAAAAACAAAAACAAAACAAGACTCACCCATCCTCCTTGTTCAAAAATCCACTTGGCCAAGCGGTCCTTGATAAATTCACACACCCACCCAATAATCATTTTGATGAGTGGTATTTGGTTGATGACTTTTAATGCTAGCTTGTAGCCAAAGTAGAAAAGAGTCACTATTCGTCCCCAATTTACTTTACCATCATTAAATATCTGAGCCCCAACTTGAAGAAATGTATCAAAAGCAGTGTCTTTGGAGACAACTACTTGTGATATCAAATTGTTCAAAATGGTATCATTCGCTAAACGATCTCCAATGTCACGAATGACATGAGCCACTTCCTTATTGACTCTTTTTTGATTTTCACTCAGTTCTTGTGGAACGGGGAGGCCATCTGCGCGAAAACACTCGCCTAAAAAGGTGGTGACAATGGCTGGTGCTTGCCCTGATACTTCGTCTACACTATTGGCTCTTTGATAAGATGGCCTTTGCTCACCATTACCATCCTGTTCATCATCTGATTGTCTTCTGGAGCCCCCACCAGGAGCCATGATCTTCCAATCTAAAAAAAGAGAGTGACTTAACATTACATTCTACAAGTTATTATGGACAAGATTCAGCAAGTTATAACACACCCCTACAGTCTCCAAAAATGAAAAAAAAAATGCCTTTTCCAGCTAGCAAGAAGCGAAAAAATTTAAAAAATAAATTATGTACAAGTAGTCATTATGAAATGTGCTCAATAACAAAAGAAAAAATAATGTTATTAAGACTTTTGTCTCCGACACTGACTCAGAGTTAATTTATATCTATGTCAAGCATCAAGAATTCTGCAAGAACACAAACCATTCAAAAGAAGGCAAAACAATTTCATGTAGTCAGTTTCCCAAGGCAACCACAGTATCTGATATCTAAGTCAATATTTACAGAAGGTATTCTTTGTGACATTTTTTTTAAAGTATTATTATTCTCATAGTACAGGAAAGTATTGGACTTCAAAAGCTGTTGCTTAAAGAAAATCTGAACAAAATTTGTTACCTAACCTCAAATATGCACCAGAATGAAGCAATCACCATGTGATTGTCACTCATCACACTAGCAATTTTCGTGGAAAATTTCTTCATCATTTACAACATTTATTATTTCTGTGACTGAATCTACACTACCAAATGAAAGCACTTAAAAATCACTGCTTCTTAAAAAATATTCACATTTGAATTCTTTTAAGTATAAGAAATCAAAAGCAAAAAAAACAGTCACAATCTTTTACATGGAAAAAAAGAAACAGTTAATTCATAGAACAAATACCTCTGTTTGAATCAAGTATTACTTGCAAGTCTATAAAAGTTTTCAGTTGTACAATGCTTGTTGGTCCGGTATCCCTATACTGTTTATTAAACTGATTAATCTGCCATTTATTAATCCTTCAAGTCTAATATTAGATTTGACATTTCTAAAATTAGAACAAGACAATGAAAGCTTTTATTCCACACTATCAATGAAACTTGCCCACAATGGATTTTTATGAGTCATATTCTATCATTATCAAATAATTAGCTCATCAGATGTGTTTCTTAAAATAACCCCTCCTCCAGTAACACTTAGTCCAATGTGATACCCATAACTGCCCCACTCTACATGAATGGGAATCAACAATAACAGCGATGCCAGTCAACGAATTCAGACTTCCTGGAACAGTCTGTTTTGTTTTAGTTTTGAAAGACTATCACATGGAAAACAGCCAAGTTTTAATTCGCATCTTTAACCTTCCAATTCATAAACAAATAAATAGATTATTTTTAATTTTCATAGTCGAAAATTAAGTGGGCACGGTTCGTATAGTATTGTCGACACAACTTAAGCGTCTCGATGAAAAACATAACTTCTGTTTTGAATTTTTTGGCCCAACCGATACTAAAAATTGATATGTACTTTACTACAAGAAAATATACCAACAGTTTGAGCACCAACACAAGTTATTTGCGAATAAAATGTATGTGAAATGAAACAGACATCAAACCCAGCTAAACTTGGGCTTATTTCTTACTACAACGAGAGAAAGCATGTTCGATGCTCAAATCTTTCTTACGCAACTTCGACTTGAATTTATCACTATTCGTTAGTATCTTGACACGGTTTGTACCTCAGACAACTTGATTTTTTTTTTACTTCCACAGGAGTAAGAGACCAAAAAGAGTTTAACCTACTAGACTAAGTCCCTTTCAAACATTCCAGCAAATTTCACTAAGGGAGTCGCGTGCCGTTTACAGCCGCAGAAAAATACAAATTCATCTCGGGTTACAGCGTTGTAAAAAAACATAAAAGAACAACTGTTGGAAAGATTCCTATCGAAACCTTGACAGAGGGCTATTCTCAAAAAATTTTCAATCAATTCTTCAACGATCAAAATATCTTGTCACGTTTGGACATAGCGATCAATAAAATAAGAAAACCTTTCAGGAAGAAAAAGACTTTCCGATAAATTTTATGCGTTCGATCTACTCACCAGTTTAAGGGAGTGGAATTTACGACTTGGCTCTTAAAAATGTTCCTCAGCTATAAGAGATAATATTTTTCACGTCTTCGTACCCGCGAGTCTCAACCCTGCATATTTAAACCGATGTCATGGCGGAAAGTACCTGGCTGATCAAGCGTTCGACGTTGATTGGGCACAATATAAAACGGCTTCCGTGATTCGTGGATTTTTTCTCAATTTCAGTGATGTCATCGAATGACGCGCGCCAACTTCAAAGTTTTCCCGCAACTTTTCTAGCTCGTAAAAAATCGCTAAAGTCGTCCCATGCTTATTTTGAACGCGTTTTAGGCAGAGAAATCATATTTTCTGATTGCATTGGACTAGAAAGACGAGGAAACAAAATTTTGCTTATTCAGCATTATAAAAACGGGAATTAACCAAAATAACAGAAACAAAAAAGCCATCTGCTGGTGTTTTTGAAATACGTGCCCAGACAGGTTACAAAGCACACAAAGCAATTAAATATTTCAAGCCATTTATTTTGTCATAATGATTATACGTGTTTTCACCGTTTGTTCTCTATTTTAAGACATGACTCAAGAACGATGTGTTACTAGTATTCGCCCATCACATGCCATGGGTAAAAAAAATTGAACCACTTCCACTTTACTCAGCAGAAAAGAAAGTAGTTGTTTTCCTTTGGAACGGAAATGGAACGGAAGATAAATCGAGCATGTAGTGCACGTGCTCTATTGTAAGGCGCTAGATCGGCAGCAGAGGGGTATTTCCCATTTTAATTATTTATAAACTAAGCGGCTCAGTCGGTTAGATCTTCGCAAAAGTACAAAAAGATATAATTGTTTGTTCATCTACCGACAAAAACGTTAATAACGTTAATAAAATAAACATCATAACGTCATAACAAAAGATAAAAACGTCATAACAAAAGTTATGATATTGATGAACAGAAACCCTGTGATACAACTTTGTAAGGGCTTACTCGGGTTAAGTGCAGAAGAGCATCCCAATTCTAACTAAATGATGAAACTACAAGTTTTTATACCTGTCTACTCAGAAACTATGAACTTATCATAATCTACAAACGCACCTAAATGACAGCTAAAATTTAACTCTGCGCGGTCAAACAAAGCAAACCACGAAAAAAAAACCCACGCTTAACACTCTCCAAAATAGTCGATATGATCTCACAGTTCTAACTGAAAAGATATGAGACCCGTACTATCTGTAACTCCTTTTTCGTGGAAATTTTACTTTGCGGAAGTTTGATGCGTGGGTGATCAAAATGCACACAAGTATATTAATCTCAAAGTAAAAGTATTTCCATCTCGTTCTACAGAGTCAGGTCCTTTTTCAAGGCAAGGTGACAATGAACTATTGCTTTGATAGAGTTAAAAAGAATGGAGAGAAAATCTATCAAATTTAAGTATTGGGCTCTGAGTCTTGAGACTATACATAAACTTTTGTGAATGCCTTTTTATTGGTGTCATTAATTCGTTGATTAGCAGACCGCAGAACCTCCGGAACCCATATTTTTTGTAAAGAAAAGTAATGAAACGAAATAAATAACCAAAAAGGCCCTAACACTGTTTGAAAGTTCGTTTTCGGATATACAGAGGATTACGCTTAAAGAGAATTATGTTTTAATCGTCCTTGACATCCAACTAGAAATAGCTGACTTTAATTACGGCGAAATCTACTGTACAAAGGTATGCAATTTTATAAGGAGCTATTAAATGGTTTAGTTTTGATCTATTTTTTTCCATTTCTTTATTCTATAAAGAAAAGTACAGGTTCCGCAGTCAAGTAACTCCGCTTTTTTACGCCATTTTAAACGTCACAGAAGTGATTTTCCCACTAAAGAAACATTTCTCTCGAAGGCCTTGGGAGCATTACAAGTGACAGTGGAAAACACAAGAATAAGATAACATAAGATATTTAGTATTTTGCATTCATTTGCATCCAAAAGCATACTTTTAAAGGGGAATACGTGATGTTTACATAACTGACTGAAATGTAAATACGGGTTCGAGGAGAATGATTTTTCTTGTTCCCTCACCTCTCCCATCCTTGACCTTGAACTGTTAAAAGTGTATATACAAATATTATGATTGTGATGATTTCAATCAATGGTAATCTGAACTTGTCACTTTTACATCGTTGTCAAGGTCAGTCCTACTAGACAGTTTCCGCTCTACTGGACGATCGAATTTTATTACGAATTCAAAAAACTGGTGGCAAACAAAAAGGAAAAAATAAACAAAACTTACAAAACAGACTTAACTGAGGATCTAAAAGGGGTGATGTTTACAGCTGACAGTTAAAATGTGGCCAAATTATGGCTAACGGTGGATATCTTTTCATTGCGGTCACCAGAAAAAGTTTTTACGATTAATTTTTTTTCGACTAACGATTGAAATACGTCAATTTTTACGCCTAAAAGCTAAATCTTTTGGCTGTTTTACGACGAACAGTTAGCCCCATTAAGACCTTGTTAACAAGAGGAATCGGGAGGAGGGAAGAGGAAGGCTCTTTGTATGATACCAAGAGATCTTTAACATCATGATAATATCTTGGGTACTAGTATTGCTCAATTTTTGTCCAAATTATTCTCAATATTATATACATTATGTTCGCTTTTGATATTAAAATTATACTATTTTCTCTCTAAGTACGATTTCCAGAAGAAAAAAAACAAAAAAGTTCAAATTATACATTTATTTGCAATAAAGCATGGTGTCTCCTTAAAATAAGTTTAATATTTGCTCTATGAAAACATTATTAACTACTGGACTTACTCCAAGACCAAAAGCGGTGACTTAATGTGTCATAATGTACGATATTAGCATCACGTTTCCCTTCCATGTCTATTTGTCGCCTGTGAACCGACGCAGTCTTTACTTCCGGTGTGCCCAGTCCCTTAGACGACAAACTACACAGAAATACGGTAATCCACTTCACCTTAGACATTGAAAATTTGAAAATAGACTGAAACATGGACCGAACTTGAAAATAATCAATTTTAGAGACCAAAGAAGTCATGACTCTAGTGATGTTTCTCTCAAAAAAAATTTTAAAATATGCTGATCATGCTTGAAGTGCAACTTTTATGAAAAGGGAACAGATTATGCTCGTTTTTTCAAATATGCCTAAAACTATGCTAACACAATCTCTAAGGGCTCATTCTGATAAGTAGTGATATAAAAATGGGAAGTATCACATTAAAAATGTGTTACCGCTGCGATTACGAAAACTCACATTTCCTAAATGTGACTAAGATGGGGTCTATAACTGGCCACAGAATAGACCATAATGGAATAGGGATTCTGTAGGACCAGGAGCGACAATCGACCCAAGTATTCCCGCACCCTTCCCCCCTTCCTGAGGCTTACCCACCCTGAGTTTTAAAATATGTTACAGAAAGGCAGCAGCCTTTCATTGAAACAGTGCTACCTATTTGTACCAGTCCCCTCGAAGACCTCTCACGGGCTTCGTAAGATCGCAGGCTCATTTGTTCATGCTAACTTACTTGTTTCTCAAGTACAATGTGTCCGTCCATCAAGGAAATAAGTAACCAAATGATTGAATGCAGAAGAACAGACTTGATCTGATAAAATACCTAATCTAGTCAGCATAGTTTAAAGTTTACAAACACCAGATCGAGAGGGGTACCAGGATCTTCTTTGCAGATAATGTGACACTTCACCATTTACTTCATGAAGTGGAACCTAATTGCTCGGTGTTCTACGCAAACAGAGCACGAGATAGTCACGACAGTGAGAGATGAAGTTTGTTCTCTTGATGATCAGCTCTTCTCCATAGCAATATGTGGGAAACTATCAAAGGTTTCCTTCGACGGCACAGAAGGAAATTTTTCATCACAGGAGCAGTTGTCGGTGGAGTTTACCTGCTTAGTCGCTACGCAAGATGGCGTTTTGCAGAGTGGCAGCGACAGCAAGAAATGGAATACGTCGAACAGGCAAGGAAACAACACCATTTTGAGAGCAATCAGAGAACTTGTACCATTACGTTATTCTCCTTGGTGCCAAATTTACGCGATGCGTTGATGGAGAAACTCAACTGCGAAGCAATAACTGGAAAACTTCGTGAACGGCCTTCTAACAAGTTAGAGCTTTGGGAGCAACTGAAAGTTCTCAGTTTTACCCGTACTATAGCGTCAGTGTACTCATCATGCATGCTGTTTGTGTTCCTAAGAGTGCAGCTGAACATTATTGGGGGTTACTTGTATCTAGATAGCTTGACGATGACGGGAGAAGCCTCGAATGGAAAAAATGGAAAGAAGGTACACATTGCTGAGGGACTACAGAAGAGGTACCTTGCCGTGGTTAGATACCTGATGGGTGATGGACTGGATTTTTTGATAGAAGAGATCAGGAGAACTGTAGAAGGTAAAACTAATGGTTGATGGACTTCCTTTCTTTGAGCTATTTCCAAGCTGCCAAAGAAGATAGCTCAGAGAAATGGCTGTTTAACACTTACTAATTTGAATAGGGCACCGAAAATATATTTCATTCGACCTAACTCTTTCCCGAGAAAGTTTACATTTACAGAGTCACACAGAAGAACTAATCTGTTGCAACCCATTTCCTCAATAGCCAGATTAGCAAAAAAAAAAAATACACTTAATCCTTTCATCTCAACATTATATTTTTACCCCTAAGTACACAATATTAATACATACATTTTCCTTGATTTGCTGAGTACCACAAAGCTGTGAATCTAAGTATTAGCAAGCTACTTGTAGAAAATGCTGAAACAATTTAGAAATTTGACTCCAATTCTTTCACCCATAGGTGAATTTGTAAACAAAACATTATGTGAGTATGAGAGCGATCTTTGCAGCAATGAACACTACTTAAATAAGTATCAGTGAAAATAAGGCCTGAAAAAAATTTCAGCTTGTATGGGATTTGAATCCAAGACCTCTGCAATACCATTGCAGTGCTCTACCAACTGAGCTAAAAAGCCAATTGGGAGCTGGGCATTATGTTGTTTCCAAATAAACCCATAAAGTGATGCATGAAACCTGATGTGTCTGTGAAATGCAGAAGAACTAAGCTATTTGAATTGCAATAACAGATGAAGAATTAATACAACTTTTTCAGAAATTTTGGTATAAAACAAAGCTTTGTGATAATTTGCAGCAGTTTAAAGGGGGATCTGAAGCCTCAAATTGAACCATTTTATATTATAAATCAAACACTTTTTTCAGTCTTTGGGCTCAACTTAGTGTTGATATATTAAATAGTTTTATATCGTATCTTAACCCAGTAGCATTGCAGCTTAGGAAATTGATATCAGCAGTCAATATTATGTCACTGGTGGAGGCACTCTTTGCTTCAAACCTTGCTTGTGGCAGACTTATAAAGTTTTGTGGCTCTTAATGGGGATTGAATTTGAAAATGGAATAATAATGCACAGTTCTTACAGAAAATTTTAGGCTTCAGGCTGGGCTAGGATTGGCTGGGGATGTCATAAATCGATCAGTGAATATGTTTGTGTTGTTTATCTAGTCATTCTTTTAACTTCGCATCAACTATTTTATATGGTTGTCCATGTACTATTTCTTTTCCCCAGTAATCACATTTGAAATATTCAATACTTTCATATACTCAATATATTTGAAAACCTTATCAGCTCAGTAGTCTGCAGGATAGAGATCTACAGCAAAACTTGATGCATTTGTATGCAATCCTGAGCCCAGTTTAGTGAGTCACAATGAGTTGTTACATTAGGTAATGTAGAGAGATGTGTTTGTGCATATGGTATGCTTAGTAAAAACTTTTTTGCAAACATGGTGTGAACTTCTTCAAGGTTAGTATTAATTTTATTTTGAGAAAGAATTGGTTTTGTTAGGCTCTCTTAACTTCATTTGTGTAAACATTTACATTGCTTCCCACAAAAGGGGTAAAGTGATACAGTATTTACTATTTGTCTAATTCAGTGTATAACCATCAGTAATTTATTCACAGTGTATTGCACAGCATTTGCATGTACCATTGATTAGAGTAAAAGTAAAATCATTGCAAAACATGGAGTAAGCTACCAAATACCAAACTCTTAAAAGAAATTGGCTGGCAAAAAAAAGGAAAAAGGGAACTTCAAATTGAATTTTCTGGTAAATAACAAGAAGTGATTGAAATAAATACTGATACTTTATCGTATTCCTCCAAAGCTAACCAGAAATGAATGCCAAAAAAATTACAATTTTAGGCTTCAGTTTTCCTGATATTGACATCTCCATTGACTCAGCTGTAGAGGAGAACCTTTTTAAGTCAAACTGGACCATTATTACAACTCTATTGCATCAGTGCTACAGTTTTATTTGGTGGTTTTAAGTTTAAGAAAGCAGTATTATCTGCCAAAAAGAGTTTAAGAAAAAAATTTCATTAAACTTGATTCATGTTATGGTATGCAATAACAATATCATAAACTTAAGGTATTTAAGAAGTTGTGTATTACAATTAATAGCTATAATACAAAAAGACTGGTTTGACAGGTTCCTGGTAATCATATGTTGGGGTGATCTCAAATGGTTTAAAACTGTATGGCAATAATTTCATTCAATTTGTTCATGTTGATATTGTTGTCTAGGTCACTCCTTGTTCAATGTCTTATTTCTCAGGTTCCTTTTGCAATTTGTCAAAAAACACTTTTCAATGGTTGCTGAAGTTTCCTAGTTGACTAAGGAAAATACCAATGTGAAGCCAATACATGAAAAAATGACCATCATGTTGATAATGTTTTAAAGCTTAATTTTTTATTTTTCATGATTTCATGTTCACCTTGTCTTTCAGACATTTTAGGTGAGATATCATTGAAAGAAAAGTTCAGCCTTGAGGAACTGACACGACTCATCAAACACATACGACAGTCAATGGAATTTCCAAATCACAGTGTACCCATCAATGGCAAATTAAAAGATGCCTCAAACCAGCCAACTAAGAATGGTCATCACATGAGACCACTCACAAAATTCATGCTGCCCACAGATGTTGAAAGCTTGTGTGACACAGTTGGTAAAGAAGGAGATGATAACTTCAAGAATTTAATAGGGGAAACTCTTGATATTCTGGAAAGTGAGGACTGTCTGTATGTGTTAAAGATGTGTTTAGATGCTGGATTTGCTCATGTCATACACAATATGATTCCCTTCTTTCAAGCTGAGGAACTAGGTGAGTTCATAAGCCTCTACTTTTAAATTCTACACATGTGTACATGCTACTAATACAAAGAAATACCTATTGCATGTACAGGGATGTAGATAGGAGCTGGCAGCTGGAAAAAATTATCAGGTTTTTCCCGAAAAAATTTCCAGCTGATGAATTTTGAAGGATGATATACAACTGCCAAAATAGATAATACATTAAAATATTGTGATGAACAAAATACACAATTGAACACATTATGAAATTAAAATATTTGGTTTAGTTTTCTTTGTAATACGCTTTGTGTAAATACATGCACAATTACATGTATTTGTGTTATTTTAGTCATTGCATGTGACAGCACAGTTTGACAGTTTGTCTGAGATGTGAATTTATCCTACATTTCTGATAATCACCCTGTTATTTTATGTGTAGTCCAATCAAGAATTGATTGCTATTGGTCTTAACTCAGAAATCAATTGAGTCATATTCAAAAATGCTTTTAAGATCCTTTCCTTTCTGTTTCATATTTGTAACATTTGAAATCAGTTTTCATTTGCATTTTTGTAAGAGAAATAATTATTATGGAAGAGTTACATATATTCCTGTACTACTCTTACATGTGATTAGCTCTGTGAGCAAACAGGTCATGGTCTTTTCTGATTATTTTAGATTGAACTCTAGTTAATGGTTAATATTTTTCAAACTTGTACAACTTATACCTGACATTTTCAACAGAACTTGGTGCTGTTGGAGGCATTGAGCTTGAATCAACCCTTGATCTCCCACTGGCCAAAATCATTCCTATTATTAATGGACAGATTAACCATGTCTTGTGTGACTCGGATAACAACTACTTCCAAGACTTGTTCAAAGTTGGATCTGCAAGAGACTTTGCAGCAAACATTTATGAAGCATTCAGCTTTGAGTTGGATTAGATGTCTGCAAATAAGCCAACATCACAACTGACCATACAGACATAGAACAGGCCTTGAGGGGCCTTGAGGGGCCTTGAGGGGCCTTGAGACCTCAGACTGTAGATTTCCTCATGTGCTGTAAGGTTTAATGTAAGGCAGTAAAGGATAGATCATGTGAAGATGTACAGCGCATGTGTAGCCTTTTTTATCCATCTTCCAAAATGAGAGTGTAGGCTCCTAAAGGGACTGGAGATAATTGTATCAGCAAGTAATTGAGGTCTCTGTGGACTGTGCTTTATTCCTAATTCTCACTTCTGGTTTTGTAAATTTTTTAATTTACAAAATTAACCAGAAGTTTTTGCTGTTAAATGTACTTGGTTTTTTGATACATTTTGGTTTATTAGTGGTAAACTTCTTACTTGCTTCTTAGATAATTGATCCATGCCTCCAATGTAAATACACATATCATAACAATGATATACATGATTGTGTAACTACTGGTAATCAATTCATACAACAGAAATAGTCATGATTCAATCATAAACCAATTTTCATACCTAAATATAACAAAATGTCTTCCGTAAGACCAATGCTTCCCTGCAAGTTGCAAGTTGGTATTATGCAATGTCTGTTTTACTTAAATGTAAAATTAGACTTCATGATTCTTGTTGATGAACCTGCAATGATTATTTAGTTATTTATAGAGATGTGTTGGGGGGGAGGGGGGGCTCAGAAGACTCAGAAGACTGTGATTGGTTTAGCATGTCAGAGTCAAGGTCTTCTTTATATCTGAAATTATTTCTGATAAAGAGTTTGTTTTGTAAATGTGTTATTTTGATTATGAAAACATGTAGACAGGAAATGATTTAATATATACTTTCATCATTACAATTTTTACCTTGCATTTAGTGTATGTCAAAAACTGTTATCTGACTGACAAAAAACAAAATGATGTGTCAGTAGCTAGACAGAAAGTGAGCGATAACATCCTAAGAATTCAATTCCATTTTTTTAGTGTTACTGTGTTACTTTTTGTATTTAACATCAATATGGTGATCTTGAGAATTTAGCCATAGTTTTGTTTTTGATCAGAAAAATACATGTATGTATTTGCTTGAAGGATTACCAGCCCTCCACCTCTCCCCTCTGAACACTAGTCATTTATTTTTTCTGAAACTGTTTATTTCATTTATGTATAACCTAGAATTCTTTAAGAAACAAGCATAACTGCAAGTTAGCCCTTCTAGAAAAGCATAGAGAGAGGAGAATGAAAAGAGGGAAAGTGAAGATTTTTAAATATGATTACCAGTATATGTTTTTGATGTGTAAGTGAAGTGTTTTACATTTCATTTGAGTTTTGTTTAAGTTTTGTTGAAGGATTCAATTTATTCACTCTGCATCTCGTTGTTGTTGTACAGCATTCCTGTGACTTCGTGTTTAATGTGCATTGTGATGACATAGAGTTTGGGGAAATAAAAACTATTGCTTACAAAATCAATCTAGATCCTGCGCTAAGAATTAATAGAGAATGATGTGTATTTTATTGTCTTGCTTTGAACACAACATGGAAATGCTTGTCACTAAAATTACACCTCAGCATAAAATGCTCGGGTGTTTTTTCTGTTTCAAAATGGGAAAGAGAGCATATCCTTGTGCACACTAGTGCCATATCAGTTTTGAAGGTCTATGGTCATTAATACACTTTGTGACTACATACCAGGCTGTGATTTCATTTTCCATTTTGTGTCAAAAGTTATTCAGAGTGGGTCGGGTTAGATATAGACTCGAAGTTATCACATGACACCAAAATCGCTCAAGCCTGGGCGCCATCCAGGTAGTTGGGCCATGCAGTAGACAGCAGATACCTCAGACCAGTAAGCCGTCAGTGACGAATTAGAGAGGTTCACGATAGTCTCTGCGTCTGACTCAGAATTTTCAAGACATCTATGTGCATTTTCAAGGTATGGAAATGTGAAATTTTCTCTGAACTGCTACGATTAGGAGATTATGCTAGTTGACTATCTTTCAGCGCATTGCGAAGAGCTTATCACACGGCGTATATTAGAACGAACAACCAGCTGTTTATGTTATTTTAAACAGTTAGATGCCCAGTTCCTATCTTCAGCTGCAGCAAAACACAGTGATATCGTATGCAAATAAGTAACATCGATGGTATTTAGCTGATTAGTGATTTTCTTGGTTGTATCTTTTACATTCTTGGCTGAAGCAAATACCTGATAAAACCTAAGAAACTTGATACATTTACACCTAATGCGCTAAATTTATGATGATGATAAGGTTCTCGAGGAAAGATACTTTATAGCCTTCGTCTGACTGACTTGTTCATGGCGATAGATCGATGAGATACGAATCTTTATGGATGATATGGGTGTCAAGTGAAGCTTATTTCGAGCCACATTAACTGCAATGGAGCAAAAAGCGCTGCATAATCATCTTTCAACCGTGCTGCCCGCGTGGGACAGACGGCACCTCACAAAAAGACTGACAACAATGACTTTCAAAGAGCGACTTGTGCTAACTAATCAGGAACTAACACTAAGGTGCGGCATCTCTCACGTATCGTCAATAAATGTGATGAATTGTTTAAAATACTCACCTTAATCTAAAAAGTAACTTTTAACAACTCATAAATAACTTCAGAGTAGAGTAAAACAGGACTGAGAAGTGTTTTATCCCTGCTACCTTATAATTTCAAAGGCTTCACAGAAGTCGCATCGATGTGAGAACTACCAAATCTCGTTTGCAAAGAAAAATCGAACTCTGTAGTTTCTTATGAAAATTAGTGCGTCGTTCCATTTTACGAATCAAAATGAAATGCTAAAAGAAAATGATCTTTGCTTCTTCAAAAATTACAACCGGCTGGCTCTTTTTTTTGAGCAAATACCCGCATCTGATTGGTTGACTGCAGCTCATTTGCTGTGAAGTTGTGTCTACCTGTGTCACTGAGAGTTTCGCGCCGAAGAAGCGCGGCTGCGCCACTGTCACTAGTGCCTTTCAGCCTGCTTCACTCACCATGGCCATTTTCGTTGACTTCCCTAATAAATCGTCAATAATCAAACTGAAATCGATGGAAGTTCATAGTGTAATCGACAGACGAAACCTGGAACGAGAAAGGAAGGTGTTCGAGGTCGATGATTTAATAGTCTTCCTATTTCTTTTTGTGGTTAAAAGCTCCCTTGTAGTTTCTCGTACATTCTGTCTAAACTAAACAAATAATTTGGGATGAATATAAGTAGAACACAATTTTAACTACTAATTAATCTTGCGAAATAATCTTGTCCCATCTGATGGTATATTGGCCGACATCTACTGCAAACAAATCAAGACATTAGCGCCTAATAAGCTTCTCATTGGCAAACATAATCTTTTATGTGCAACACGTTGTCAACGAAACAATGCGTCAAATTTTCCCAAAAACAAACGAGAGTCTTAGCGCTTTAATTACAACAAGAAACTAATCACTCAAATTTAGAAATAGTCCGTCTTCCGACAACAGAATAGTCGTCAAATGATCCCTAAAGTGCCTCAGTCAATTAGAGGAAGAATGGCGAAGTTTGTTCGAACAGACGGTTCTTTTGTTAGCGACTAGCGTGGAGATGAGTTAGTGAATCGGAATTAGTGGTGACCCACGCGTCTCTGCAGACACAAGTTTGATGAGTTTCTTTGAAAAATGCTTCGCTATGGTGAAAAGGCACTTAAGGCTTTCCAAACCGTGACGATATTACAAGCAGCTGTTCACAGGATATTGCGTCAAATAAGTGGCACAAATACAAGGTAAGAAAGTAAACAAAACCATTTCTCCTTTTGAACAAGTCTTTCTGCGAGAGGCAACCTGTTATATGATGTTAAATGCAAACTGAAACTTAATGCATTGGGAATGCAAAAGTTCAAGTTTGGAGCATTCAACTCCCAAGCTACAAAACTTATAAACTTTGCACTGTTCGAGCATACTATGAATTTCTGTCTTTGCTGGATAAACAAATTGCAATGATAATTTGGTTTCGTTAGGATTTGAACTGAATGTTAAACTTCGTGTTAAGTCTCATAATACCCGTTGGGATATGGAAAACTACTCAATAAGGTGGTGTGCGTAGTGAAAGTTGTAAGTGTGGAGCTTGTTATTGCTCGTCACATTACCAACACGAACAGATCATAAAATCATAGAATCATAAAATTATAAAATCAATTGTGATACATATCAGCTTCCTGATACTTAAAAGAGAAAACGTTTTGATGGTGTAACTTGTGTGTTCAGGCTCCATTATATTAGTATATTGATACACTTTGCCGACAAAGGATTAATCTTACCATCCCATAACTTTGTGAAGTTATGAGCGAATTTCACTGAAGCAACAAAGAGGAAACCGAGTGTCAACTTTTTCTAAAAACAGCTGTCGTAAAGCAACACAAAACAAAACAAATAGCAACAAAAATAACAACAATTTGGTCTTCTCCGCAGAAACTTGACACTAGGTTGAACTCAAATGTAAAATTAACATATAAAGTGCTGAAATAACCGTAAAAATATGCATTTATACACTAAACATATCCTACCTTTCCTGATAAGAATAACAATGAGAGAGCTTAGCATGTAATCAGATCCTCGTCCACCCATATCTATGAAGTAACGTTTGAATTGTTTAGAGATATTTTGCATGGCAGATGTTTTTTCTCCTTTAAGTTTCTCAGTTTTGCGCAGAAATTCACCGCGCATCCGGCCAATAGTGCGACAGATTCTATTTTTTTTTCATTTCATTTTTCATATTTCAAGAGGAATAGTACTTGCTGAATGTCGGCCGAAAGTCTGAAGTTTGAAAATTGTCTTGTGCAACAAACTCTGAGTTTCTTTGAGATCTAAGGGATACTTAAATTATTTTCGAGTGAAACAGAAAACTGAACGAATTGATGAAGACATGTTAGAGGCTTAAAAGAAGTTGAGATGAAAGCTTTATGGCTCGTCTAACATTTTATTATGCAAACAAGATAAATCTCCCCGCACTCTTTATAGAGAAACAAGTCCATTCTCCTGGTTGGTTTTCGTAGCCATTCCAAAAGTATTCAAAAGCGTTTTATTGGAGTTTCCTTCATTCCCAGTTGTTACTGATATGTCTCTATTATATCAAGTATGGTAGAAATTCCGGATTGAAATTAATATCTATAATAAGACAAGTTGTTCAAGTTAAACAAAGCAGGAGTATGGAAGAAGGACGACGCTGTTTCGCAGCTACGGCCAATTTATTCCATTTGATATAAGCCGTTTAAATCGTACCAAACAGGAACGTCAATCAATTTTCCCCGTGACTCCGCCTAACGTCAATAAACGGGGATCTGTGAATTTGAAAACTTAAAAAATGTCAATACCAGGCACAAAGGTTATATTTGTGAAAAGCAGAATTTATAAGTGCTGTTCGTATTATTTAGTAAGTGCAAATTTTCTTTCTTTCCTACCGCTGATAAAGGGATTTGAAAAAACTCAACTTTGGCTTGGTAACAATGTGCATAAATTTACTGAGAAAAGACAGCGACTCACCCTTCCTCTGAAATATTTTTATTCGCATCTTTTGAATTTCAATTACGGAATCCTACATAATACAGTTTTAAATGCAATACAGTACCACACCTAAAAACAGAATTTCTGATGAACTTTTCGTTACGGTGAAAAATGTGGAAAAATGATCTGTCCCCATCTATAAATTCATTTGAGCTGCTTCTGTTTTCGACCAAGAATTGATATCGAGCACTCTTATATACAGGTGTTGGTGTTGTATTTTCTTAAGTTTTCTCATTACGTTTATGTAGTAATATTGTTTGGATAGTAAAATGAGAGATAAGCTTTATTTATCCCCATAAAAGACAATCTGTTTTATCATTGTTATAAGTATTGTAAACAAAGATGCTCGTAGAAGATATGCTAAAACAAGGACAAAGCAATTATATTTTCCGATTTGCCTAAGAAAGCCAAAGGTTGTTCCAAACTGAGCGTGGGTGGCTGCAGGCCCAGGTAAGCTCTTTGCTCTTCAAAGTGCGTGGTGTGCGGGATTTGCTCGGCCTTTGGAATTGAAGGCTAAGATTTCTATCCCCTTATAGTGTTTGAAATTTTTTTTTCAGTAGGTGGCTGCTGGAAGCGATCAAATTCCATATGTCTGTCCATATGTTAAGTCGAGGATATCTTTCCTTTTGCACTCTAAGGTGATTTCTATCGATGAGGCAAATCTTATCTTTTCGGGTGTTCTGGATTTTAAGTTATAGACCAGATACACATGAGCCACATCGATATTCACGAATTCAAATTGATAAAGCGATTTCGAGACTAAGTATCTTAACTAGCTTCTACATCAAAGCACCTCGTTCCATTTATTTCAGCTCGAAAGTAAAGTATTAGATTGTGGAACCTTTATTTTGCTGAAGGATATCATAAGATATACTTCGCCCGTGGCAACGGGTTTTATCACTCAATTTTACTCTGGAATAACCACGAAACTGAAAGAAAGTAGAACTAGAAATACTTCAGCTGAAATGAAGAAGCTTTCACAATTATGTTTACGAAAGTAAAATCGTTTTTTGTCAAAAAAAGTGAACGCACGCTTTTAATGTCTTTGTTACCAATTAAAGTACACAAAACAACAGATATGCGACAAAAATAGTAATCTAAAACCTGTGAATTGCATTTCCTCAATCAAAAACACGTTCTAAAATCCATTAAAAAACCTCAATTTACGTTCTGCCTCTTTTGTTTTTCGACTGTCTCTTTCAAACTGAAACAAATTAAAACGATTGGGCCCGCGAAATCTATTACCAAATTTACATGTGCTAAAATTTATAAGAAAAGTATAACACTGTCAGGCGAATAAATATTTCTTTAAGAGCTAAATAAGCAACCTCTTGAAATGTCAAATCAGAGAGCTTGTTCCTACAGAAAAACCTAAATGGTTTATTAACACATCATATAGTTGTTGACCCATTACGACACCCAAATGATATCATCAAGCTGCGAAAATTAATAGAATCCTCGAGTGATGTTTTGGAAACAATAGTGATTAGGCAGCCTAATAGTCTTCTAGCAAGTTTTGCAAATGTTCCTCTTCAAGACGTGCCAGTCTCGAGTCTTAATTTAGATTTTTAATTTTTTTTTGTGTTGGCTAGTTTGTAGTAACAACAAACGATTGTTTTGAGTGAAAAGGTGTTGCGCTGACGCTTTTCGGCTAAGACTAAACAAGTTTTGATGTCTCCCACAGTCATTATTATCATACTATTGGATCTGGTTTTCGTAATGGCTTGAGTTCACAGCTCAGTTAAGCTTGTGGCATCCTGTTATCGAGGAACAATAGTTAAAACTCTCTTACCGAATTCTCGAAGGTCAACAAGAAGCTGTGTCAAAAGTAAGTTTGAAACATATTAAGCACGGTGTTCGGTCAATGACATCTTTGTTTCTGTTTCATAAGTAAATGAAAGGTTTTTGCGCTCACCTAAGATTATTTGCCTCAAAATCCAAACCAAAACGTGTTAAAGTTGTACAAAGGGAAGAACAGTTTCAGTAACACACATTTGATGCGCATATTTTTTTGGCCAGTTTCATTCCAGAAGTCCCTACTACTGAACAGTCTGGAGAAATGCTCCGTCACATTCTCTCGTAACTCACCAACCAAAAAACTGTTCTTGTAGCGTAGTAGAATTTTCCGAAGTGTTCGTGATATTGATCATTCCCCTTTCACTTACAAAGCGTCAAGAGGTGAACTTTTAAATGAGAAGACTAAAACCGCCATACAAACTGTCTATGAGATACAAGTTGTTGTTGGAATACCACTTCTTAAACATTTACTATCAGAAAAAAAATGGAAACAATTTACGATAAATGTTAAGAGAAATTTGATGTTGTTCGTCGTGATTTTAAAGATAAACGTGTCATCGTTTGTCTCAGCTGTACTGAAGAGTCAGGCTTAGCTCGAAGATGCAAGCATTTGGGTGTTACTCTGTAAATTCGAAACTAAATAAAGTTTATGTATGTTCTTGTATCTATCAATCGTGTGTTGATCGCGACTTTTCGACTGCTACACAACTAGTCTTCGTCAGGTGACGAATGTCTATTTCTTTGAGAAGCCAAGTTTGCGTTGGTTACTTGTGTGATGGAACTCTGATCACAATTGATCTACGTGAACTACTTTGCCCTAGGTAATACGCGTTAGATTGGGTTCGTTTCCATGTAGTCACTAACTTGTTCGCAGCTGGATACCCTCTTGTAGCCTTGGCATTACAGTTTGATAATCATATTGATAGTAGTAACCGTATGTATTCCATCAGTTGACTTCGCTTCTGCTTTCCACGACATGCCAGTGGAACTCACGATACGGTAGTCACACGCGCATTTAGTGCCGAGAAAGGCGAGAAAGTTATTATTTCTCTAATGCAGTTCTTCAGGGTTGAGTTTGGGCCTTCGGGTACTTTTTTATCGTGATTAGATGACGGATGTCCCGATTCTCCCTAGGTTCAATTTTTAAAGGGAACGGTTTATGAGATGCTTAGAACGATCAGACTACGTTAACTCATTGTGACTGGTTGATAAGCGTTCAAGTGCTGTAACATAATTACATTAGGTAAACTTTCGCAGAAAATAACCTTATTGTTTCACCCATGCATCTTCAGATTGATTGACTGAACTTGAAAGGAGAAAATTGATTCCAACATGCCTCATCTGAAAGTGAATGTGAACGGAAAGAAGTACACTATTTCTGGTATCACTCGTACAACATGCAGCAAACAGATCCTCTGCGCCTTGGCTAAAGTCGACGCAGAATTACGATCAAGACAAACGACTGAGCCAAAAGGCGACCCCCTCGTGAATGCATCGGGAGCTTGTGTAGAACAAAACAGGAGGGCTAAGAAAGTTCGCGAGACGAGAAAAGAATTTAAGAGAGAAGAAAAGTGTACGAGGAGTAGGGAGACCGAGAAGAAGCAAAGAGAAGGAAGAAAACGTTCCAGTGGCAAAGTGCATATAACAAAACCAATGGAACTAACAAACAATGAAGGAATTCAAACGTCTAGTGGAATGTTCGAAGCAGTAGAGAAAAGCTCCGAGAATCAGCAAAACTGTTCACCATCGCTAAATGAACGAGAGAGTGTGAAAGAAAAAGTCGTCGAGAGCAGTTTTCGAACGGTGGAAGACTTAGACCGGAATATCAATGGACGAGACACAAGCTCTGTGGACAGCAGGGAAAATAATGTTGAGGATGGCGCCAAAGACACTGATCATGACACGGGGATAAGTGAGTTACAATCAGACAGTTCATTTGAACAAAACCAAATCTTGCACCAAAATTCCGGCGTAAATGGAAGCTCAGCGAGGAGAACTTTAAACAGTACATTACAAATTAAAGTGAAATGCGCCTCTACGAACACAGATACCATAGAATTTGCTGATTTGGCATATTCGTGCATGCTCGAAAATAGTATATCAAACTTAGAGCACGACGAGTACATCGTTGCTGAACTGATTGGCAGTGAGACCGACGTTGAAATATTCGACGAATGCACATGTACATACATTGACTCAGAGACTGAAGAACTTCAACAAGAGATCGAAAAGATTCGCGATGATTTAAAGTTAACAGAATCAAAGCTTATTGAGCAGGAGAAAACGATTGAAACGCTGAATGTCTTGATAGACGACGACGATGATGAATATTGCGCCAACTGTGACGTCAACGATGACGTAAATAAGCGAATTGACGAACTTAAACAGTCAATCAAATTAAGTACTCAGTTGTATGATTATCAGAAGGTCGAGACGCAAGCAAATGCGTTGGAACTAGAGAAAGTTGAATCACAAATAAGGAGAAAACGATGGCACGTAGAGTGTCTGTTGAAAGAGCTTCATATGGCTCGGAATAGCCCACTTACTGGGAATGGACAAGGGAAATCTGCTCCCTTCCCGAGAGACGGTACCCTGGTCTAACAAAATCATTTGACATAAGGTTGTTATTTTCATATTTACTTCGTTCTATTTGGAAACTTAGTTTTTGACTGGAAATATCGAAGTTTCTCCGTGATTCCCATGTGTTAGTTAGTAATGTATCTATCGTGATCCTCATGATTGATAATTTGTCAATTTTTAAATAAAGATGGTTAAGTAAAAGTTGAAATTGATTTCTCCCTTTACTGCCTGTATCATTTACTAATCAAATGGAACTTAGTTTTCTTCCATTAAAGACAGTAGTGCAAAATCTATTCCGTTGGTTTCCATCCAGCTGTTGTAGTTTGCAAGGATTGGTGGGTCGAGTGAATGGAAAGTGGCATGCCTTTTATGAGATGTGGTCATGCTTATGCTCACTTGTTGTTTGATTATCAAAGACCGGCACCACTATTCCTTACGGTATACAAACTCGTGATTTTGTGCAACATGAATAAAGGGGGTTGGGGAGAGTATAGCGGGTAATTTGGTGTTAACAACTGAGTTGAAAACGTAAATTGGCCACCGTAAAGGGTAAAAAAGCTGACGTTTCGAGCGTTAGCCCTTCGTCAAAGCGATTCGCCGTTCTTGAGAAATTTTATTTCCGCCTGTGCGTGATTCTAGTGCACATATTCAGCCTTGACAAATTCAAAATGTTCGTGAAAAATCCGATTTTTCCCAGATTGAATAGAAGATGATTTGTCTGTTCTAGTGTCATTTGAAATAAATTTAGAAAACGTTGCCCACTGTTACTGTTGTGTTACAAAAAAATTTCATTCCAGCGTTGAATGAATGAGTCTTTTGTGCTTTTGTGGAGCTTATTCGAATGACAATGTAAGGGATAAAACTTATTAAAAAACGAGCACGCCTTCAGGAACTTAAACACATCTTTCTCCAGTCAAACGGTTTTAATAGATCCAAGCCCTCGTGAAGGTAAAGATGTTGTTTAGCTTAAATGGTTGTGTTTTTTTTTTCAAGTGAATTTTGGTAAACAAAAAAAAATGTAATAACTGTAAGGCTAACTGATTATTCTATGGAGCATCTTCAGTTTACGCTTGAAGCTATCTTCGAGCTAATTACGCCTCTTTTAAAAATGGGTCAGTGTTTTGTTGTTTAACAACACAAGCTTCTGGACTTGCTACCGTAAATGAAGCGGAAAAGGTAATCGTGCCGTAGAATTTGTGTTTAATTGTTTCTACGACCTATTAAAACGATGTTTTTCCTTTTTTCTTCTTCCTTATTTTTTAAACAGAGAAACGCGCAGCTCAACCAGCTACTAGTGAACTTCTATTCGTGGCAGAAATACAAACAGGTTTGAACAAACTTTCTTCGCTGAGATATTTATTAAAATTTTGATTGCAAGATAGAGAGAATATGGATACAAAATACAGAAAAAGCTTAGCCCCTTTCTTGAAGATTTTGGTTGATGTGGCTCAAGATTCATTTTGTCATTGTTATTACAAAAAATGGGCTAAATTATTTAAGCGATGAGATGTGTCAGGGTAAAAAGAACGTACTTGAAATTTGAATACTTAAAAAAAGATGCGATGCCTCGTGCTTTGTTGAGACAAATAGTGCAGCTATCGAAAGTTGTTTTAACAAAGACATTCCTTAAAAAATCCTTCGTTTCTCGGAAACTGTGCTCGCTTATACAAAGAGCTTTGTCAGAAAAAATCAGCTCTTTGAACAAATATTTATATAATTGCGAAATATACTTTTCTTTGACAGAAAATAGCGAGAACGCGCGTGACTGAAGATTTCATATTAATACTTGGAATTCAAAAATCTCTCTTAAGTTAGACTTGCTTGGGTTTTGCAAAGGAAAACTGAAAGTCATAAGTCGGGTGTTTGATTTGGCGTATGTTTGACTTATTAAAAGCCGGCTGTTCATATCGTGGGCTACAGTTGTTTTCCTTAATTAAAAAGGAAATTCTCAAGAGGTCTGAGAACTACACGAGTAAATATAGCAAGGCTTCAGAGAATTAATAGTCCATATTAGAAGGCTTGAAGGCTCTTAAAAACGTCTGGTGTGTACCGAAAGTGCAAACGTCGTGCTTCTTTTAATCTTAGAATTTCGGCGGAGTTGAAAGCTCGAACCACAAGCTGCTTTGATGCGAGACTGAAATATGTGTTGTGTTGCCACTAAAAACTCAAGTTCTTTAGTAATGTGCAAAATAAGGGCACTTTTTGATTTCGTCGAAGGAGTTTTCAGTAAACAAATGCATCAACGAGGAGCGACTCTTAATGAGTGTCTCAGTAGTTTATTTCACTCTTGCATCATCTTGCCTGTTGCATAAATATAGAAGCTTTGCGTGCTCTAAAGACTTTGAGCTACAACGATGAATGTCGCAATTTCAACCTCAAAAATCGTGAATCAACTGATTTGTAACTGTTGATTTTAGAGAAAGAGAATTATAAAACAAAGGATAACGTAGTGGACGGACTACCAGAAAAAAGTGTGAGAAGGCAGAACAAGAAGGACGGAGGGTGTTTAGTCTAAAAGCTTTGTCTGCAAAGACAAGCGGTTATAGCGGGTTTCGCCCATAACGAGTTTCGCACATATCGTTTCGCCCAGAACGAGAATGGTTTCGCCCAGAACAATAAAGGTTTCGCCCATAAGTAAAACTTCTACACTCTCACTCGGAAAACGTCAACCTTATAAACTTTTGTATGCACAGAATGAAGAAAAGTGACTTGACCTGAGATCATGAAATTTTGAAACGAACAAGTTACTGTTGAAACGAACAAGTCAATTATAGCTTTCACTGTGGAGCGGGGATTGTTAAGGTAATTCGCGCACGAAATACTGCAGAGACGTCCGTTTGTCATAAAAGCATTGCTATGATTTTTTTGCATCACTTTTCTTCTCGAGAATTAAATTAAACGCTTTTGAAAACACTTGCGCGTGGAACATATCATCGTTGCAAATCTTTTGTACACGGAAGATAAGTTCCGCACGCCAGCTTATGAATACATGTGAATACGGTTTCGGGAATACTAAAACAAAGGAATCGAGAGTTAAAGATTGTATTTCTGACATAGGTAACGGCAACATATAATTGGAAAAGAGATAGAAACTAATCAAGTTCATGAGTGCGTTTGCGTGGAATAGCTTTACTACTCCAACGAAGCGTGCGGTACGAAAGCTTTAACTTAGAGGAAATTACCGTCTTGCACAAAAAAAATCTCAATCAAACCTTATCAATAGAATTTGAAAAGCTTACTCTTGCAAAAAAAAATCTCACCTTTTCACTAGTCAATAGAATTTGAAAAGAACCGAAGTTCACTCCTGCCAAAAAAAAAATCACCTTTTCACTAGTCAATAGAACTTGAAAAGAACCGTTGTTTACTCTGGCCAAAAAATCTCACCTTTTCACTTGTCAATAGAATTTGAAAAGAAAACTGAAGTTTACTTGGCACGCTATTGTTTCCAAAGTGAAGTCAAATGTAATTTGAATACCAATAGTAATTGTGTTGTTTATGAATAGACGCGCGGTCCTAATTACAATTTGTTAACTAAATAAAATATTGAGAAATTGAATATAGGAAAAGGAATTATTAGTAAGTTAAGTTATGGATCATTCAAATGCAGGATAAGGAAGGTTCGAAAGGAATAGTGGTTGAACCAGTTAGTTTGTGAAGATAGAAATGTAATAAGAAATTAAGCTGTAATGAAAGTGTAGGATAACGAATTATGAGGTATTATGAGAATTATGGTAGGATATAAGGGATTAAGTTTACCGAGCATTTGCATTTATTCATAAAGTTATTTATTGTAAAGTTAGATTTTAGTCTTAAGAATAAAATTGCTTTCTTTAAAACGGTTGTTATTTTTTTCATTTCGTTATAAGCTGTTATAATGCTCCAGTATAAATTACAGTGGAATACAGATTTTTGGAACCTCTGGGGAATTGAAAATTGTTTCAAGAAATCAAAGGTTGAAATGAAGTGTTCGACTAAGAAAGGAAAGTTCAGATGAGAGACGAGAATATTTTCTGCAAAGACACATTTCTTATGATAATTTAAACACAAAGGCATAATTGTTACTAAGAGTTTGTAAATTGCATCCACTAAGATATCTGACATCAAGTTGCACTTTTAGTTACAGTTACATTTTGTAACACCATACAACTGTTGGTACTGACCACCTGACAATTTCCATCAATTCCATCATGTGTGAAATAGTAAGACAACAACTTTTGTTTCATGTTTCGGTTTTTTCCCTAAAACATGGGGTCAAATGGTGTCCTTTGGACATAAAGGCCCTTACTAGTATAAACTATGAAATCACACCATCTTTTAGTGGCTCGTGCGTAATAAGAATGGTCTTCTTCAACAACATTTCTGCCTTTACCCGTTGTGGTGTACTCGTACACTCGTTTCACAAGCTCTGCTTTCGTTCTCAGACCTTTGCACAAATCACCACTGCACCTAGCCCACAATCGAAATTCTGCGGTTTTTAGCTCTTCAGGCTTTCGACCAAGGACAGAAGCACGTGGAATGTCATCTTACGTGCGCAATTTCGCATTTGAAGAGTTATTTTGTAGACCACTTGAGGAGGACGCCATACTGCAATAAATAAACGCCACGCATCGAGGCCTGTCCGACCTCGTTTTCGTGCTAGTATTCCCAGGCCCCGCGCTACGTCCGCCATTATGAAAGTCGTGTATGAACATTGTATGAACAGAAAACAAAAGCCCGGTTACCGGGCTCATCTAAAGCATATGTCTAAAGAGGCCCTTAGCCTGGATAATCACTGACTGTCAGTCTGGGCGAATCGAATTTATGCCTGGGCGAAACCATTCTCGTTATGGGCGAAACGCTTCTTGGGCGAAACTCGTTATGGGCGAAACCCGCGGATACCAGACAAGCTATGCACAACCTCGACGGCAAACTGCAATCATACTTACGAGATAAACAGTAAGATTCTTCGGTTACAATCTCTATGAAATGGGGTACTTGTAGCGTGCTGATAATGAGTAGGATTGAGGCAGCTTTTGCGATTGAAGCATTGCGTTTTTAAAATGTCTTATATTTTCCAATATTTCAAATGTATGTTTTTTTACCCATTAAGTTAGCATTTACACAGGCCTAATTTGAAGGATGAAGATAATATATTCAAGTGCAAGCGGTCATTCCATTTCAGCAAGCTCTAGGTTGTAATTCTTCGTTCCTTCATCGTTTTGGAATAACTGGATTTTTTTCGTCTGATTGTAGATAATCGTTAACACTTTGCTCACAATCAAGATATATTAATACTACCCTTTTATTGACAATAAAACACATAAAACACATTTGGTCGGCTTGAAAGTGTTTTCAGCTAGCATTAATGCAGGGTATTAATTACATCACAGATAAGTCCCACGGCATAACATGATTCACTTATTTACAAGCCTTAATCTACCTTAATTTATTATTTTGCATCGTTAAGTAGATTTTACATCAAACCTACAAATGTTTTATCTATCAGTGATCTTGAATAAAAAAAGAAATGTTTTTTTTTTCCTCTGGCATGTGATGCAATGAAAAGTCCGGCAGTTAAACATATCACAATATTGAAACTGACATTTATTTTTCTTAACAAAACTCAGTTAAGCCTAAGATATTTTATCGATGGACGTAATTCGACGCATTTCTGTCGATCGATTAACAAATGTTTGGAGCCAGCGATCTAGAGATTTCATTATTGTATTGGTAATTTACTCAGCAACAAAGGAGATCTTTTGCTGCTTTTATAGAAAATTTTTAGCAACGAGCAAACAGAAATCTGCATACGCTGGATGGGATTATCCGCTTAGAGGCTAAACCGAAAAATTATTAGCACACAAAATGTTAAAGTTGCACTAATTCGTTGCAGGTTTCTCGTTCAAAATTTTGGTAGTAAACGTTTTAGTTCTAATAATTGGTTAAATACAAGTCGGAACCGACCAATTTTCCTAACTGTCTTAGTGCAAACCAATTTTGATTGCTTTCTTTTATCGACTTTTTTAAGCCACACAATTTACGAAAAGGTCACACTCGGATAAGTTTAAGGGGGTTGTGATACTCTTTGAAATTTGTATTCCTTCAAATTTTCACGACCCAACTAAGAGTTCCATGTTTGTGGCTATTTTCGCATTTTCCTGATCTTACCGTGTTTGCTCCGCACGAAGGCTGTAAGATAAACTTTGGAGTTCAGTCTGATGCACATTTTCACACTTGAGTCCTTTCAATATCGCCTCGCGCACGTCTTTCCGTAGCAGTCCATAAAGTAACGGGTTGAACAGGGCAGTTCCGCACGCTGACGCTTCTGCTACCTGCAAAGCCAGCGCCAAGCCGCTTGTTTTTTTCTCGTCAGCTGTGTGAAGCTCATATATCGACAAACAAAAGTAGGGCAACCAAGTCACCATGAACGTACCGACAAGTAGAGCGATGATTTTAACTGTCTTGAGCTTTTTTATGAACGATCGGTTCGAGCTTCTTGTGCCGCTTTGCCCGTTTGGGTTCGATGCATTGATTTGTCTCGCATGCTGCCGTGCTACGTAGTAAATTTTTATGTTTACCAGCAAGATACACAAACATGGTAGACCGAACACCAGGGCGAATCGCAGGACTTCGTAAAGTTTTGGAGTTCTACCATTTTCGTCTTTAAAAGCAAAGATGAGGAGGGCCTGGAATATCGATACCAGCCATATGGCAGCAATGATGACTGTGGCGCGAAAACGATTCAGGAACGCGTCGTACCTAAACGGGTATGAAATGGACATGAAGCGTTCCAGCGTAACGCCGGCCAGGTTGAGAAGTGACGCAGCGCCTAATAACGGAAACAACGTGTCCTTAGCTGTGGAGGCGTTTTGACCGGGGTAATACTGGCACCAGATATTCAACGGAACAAGGACACTGGCCATGAAGAAGTCGGCCATAGCCAGAGATAAGACAAATGCGTTTGTAATCGTCCACAGTCTACGAACGCGGCAAATTGTACCAATTACACACAAGTTGACAATCAAACCGAATACTGCAACTAGTACAAAGTACGTAATGAGAACAGGTAGATTATATGGCAACACGCTCGTCGTCTTTGCCTTCGGCGGGCTGGTACTTGCCTTATCCAAGAGGTTTAAACAAAGGGAAAAATTACCCAAAAGACAGGGTAACACTTTATTGGAGTTATTGAGCTCTCTTAGTGCTGTGAAGTTGAATTGAGCATGGATATCTGGACATTTTCGAAGCAGTTCTTCGACCGAGTCGATATCAGAAGCCATTTTCACCTAATGAGTCAAGAGGAAAGAAAACACAACACCTTTAGGCTGTAAATTTTACGCAGACTACATCCAAAATTTGGCAACCAGATTTTTTCACTTTGCCCTTACCTGTTGAGTCATTGTCCAAAAATTAAATTCCGCTTGGGATCAGAAACTACTTGAAACGAGTGGCTTTGCTCGTACTCGCTCCTTGCTTATTCAAAGCTAAAAATCAACAATTCAAGATTAAAATTAATTCTTCTCGAATACGCCGCTGAAACCAGGGTAACCGCCAGGCCGTAGGCATAAAGTCTGTTGAATTATTTGCCCACCTGAGTGACGCTTACTTGATTTGTTTTACGAAAATGAGTTGAGCATCATGCAATGATTATGTGCGACACACATTCTCTCTCTCTTTCTCTCTCTTTCTCAGTTTTAACGTAGGCTTGACCTCATTCTTTTCTTACTCAACCACTCAGTGACCAACTGTTTAAAATGGCCAATATGTCCTTTTTTTTTGTTATTTAGATTTTACAGTACAAATGACGATATGGCTTCTTAAGCGACATTAAAGAAGTACATCACAGTTTTCATCCAACTAACAAAAGATATTAAGAATTTTTCAAAATATCGACACCGTTAAGTCGTGCCAAGTCAAACAAATGAAAACGGCTATACGCTTTGTATTTGGGCCATTAAGTTATGCTAAAAATTAGACCGAGAGAGCAAAAAAAAAAAAATAATAAAATTGTGAAAGGTGCCACAAAGTAGGGCGTTAATTTTTCCCGAGGATATTTTCCACTGCCCACTCATTTCCTAATTGCTTAGTAATCTTAAATAAGCTTTATGATGATGCAAACCCCTACAATAAGGGCTTAATGGCGTGAAAAATGCTATATTAGTAGAAGATAATCACAAAAATCGTGCGAAGATGTTTGAGGATGAACGAGACACAAATTTCAAATGATGATCTAGAACTTTTTAACGCCTAACTCGAGGTGCATCAACCGTCAGCGATATATAACTCCCTATGATGATCAAAAGAATCAAAATTGTTTGTTGTTGTTAACTGAGTTTCAAGAAACACAAATGTTAAAAATATAGTGAGGTTCTATAGAACTGCATCTTATTAGAGCTCGAAAGCTCTACAGTGTGAGATTAAATTAACTTTAAGTACCAGACAGCTGCCCTTGTCTTAACGAATAGATAGGCATTTTTTCGTTGTAAGTATATTGATTTCTTTTTACTCAATTAAAAGACAAGAACTCTTGGTAAAAAAAAAAACTCAAAAGGAATACAACAGTTTTCTTAACATTACACTAAAAAAGCCCAGGTTCCGTGAGAGCAGAGCCAGTGTTATGTAGCTCGTGCTGTTCGAACTCCCTTATTTCTTTTTGCTAAATCATTCTCTTAGACTGGAAATCAGCAAGTATTAGTTAAAATTTGTAGTGGCCCGGACGTTATTCTAAAGCTTTTTTCAGAACTAATGGATCGGCCAAGAAACACGCGCAACAATAATTACGGATTATTCCTGAAAGACTATTTGCATTACTAGGTTTTATTAATATTTGAGTGTGAAATGAGTTTTTTTCGAGGACCGGACACAGGAAAGTCACAGCACAGTTTACGCTGCCTACCTTCTTCCTTTGTTAGTGCTCCAAATCCCTTGATCCAACCGACAAAAAGATCTTCAGGGGAATGAAAAGCCAGGACTGTTGCACGTTCAAAGAGATCACATGTGTTATCGGAATAATGTATGATTTCATTAGTTTCTTTATTTGCAAAGAAAGTCTGATCTTATCATTAAACTGGATTTGGTCAAATTGAGCAATAAGAAAATAAAGACCTGTGGTAAATGTATGTCACGAGTTCGTTTTGGAATGAAACATTCTGATCGGTAAAACTGTGTCAACTGTCAAGAATAACGTTCCATCTGCGACAATTTCCTATTGATATAATTTTCTTAGGCATGAACAGATATTGAAAGTAAGCGAGTGTAATAGTTTTTTTTTTCAATGGATAACACAAGTCATTATTGCCTAGGTGAAACAGAAATCAATTAATCCTGATCTCAGTTACGGAAGCTTTTAACAAAAACTAACTTTGCCGAAATAACACTAATGAGAACCTTGGCGTTGGTAACAGGACAATAATTTAGCTTGCAGGCAATTCAAGAGTATTGAGTGTTTTTTTTAAAGATCATTTGCATGTGAAAAGGAATAATATTTCGCCTTTTGTAAAAGCCGAGGCTTGTCACCACCTTTGAGAGTAAATTACAGGCAAGACGAGGCCAAAGTATGAACAGCGTTATTTAAGATCCTAAAAAAAAATAGCTTGCTCTTTTTCCTCAAGAAAATGAAAAAAGAATGAGAAACTAACCAGCTGGAGTGCAATATCAATTCTTTATCTGACTTCTATGCCGAGTTTCAGTCACTGGATGAGGAAATGTAGTCCTTTATTAACGGGAATCTGCTATCAAATGACTATGTAAAATATTAGCATTAGGAGCGGAAGTTTAATTTAAGAGCCTCTTTCCTTATGAAAAGATCCTTATCAGTGCCTATTAGCAACCCAAATGCATTTAAATAAATCAACATTTGACAAACAAGTGATATTCAAAACTTCGCAAACAAGCTTAGTCGAGCAATTCCTTATTTTTATAATACTTTTTCAATATTATGCAGAACTATTACGATGGAAATGAAATTCTCTCAGTTAAATCTTCCCATAGTTTTGATTATTTCACTCTATGATTTGAGAATTTATTATAAAGAACCTAGAATAAAGGTCCCTAGATCAAATGATCAAAGTGTGAAAGTTTCAAAATTTACTTACGAACGTGATATTTATTCATGGCAAATAAAAACTTTCTTGTCCTAACTCCGTCTATTCCTATCTTTGCGCGGAACAAAGCTCCTAATTCATTGCACACAACATTCGATAAATTACTCGGTGGGTCTTAGTTAATTAATTTTTGGCATCTTTGACATTAATATTAGCAAGTTGTTTAAACACCGTTCGCCATGCTTTTGCAAATTATCATAATTATTTCCTCGACTTTGTTTTCATCTTTGTTCAATCATTTACCCAGTTCTTTTTGTATAAATGTGGATTAACTAAAATTTTTATCTCTCATTGGTGCAATTAACTGTCTCAATGAGATGATTGATAGCTGGCTGACATCACGTACATTGTTTCTAATCAACAGTTATATGTATGTTTGCCGATAGCTTTTCTTCTTCCTAAAATTCTTATTTATTTGACGAAGATCTGCTCAAAAGCCGTCGATGTACTACGGGTGTAACATGAGTAACACACAAACCATAATAACCGGCTGTAACGAGTATGAAAAAGTGCCATTTTTCTTTTTTTTTCTCTTAGTTTTTTTTTAATAAAAATCATTGAAATTTCTATGTATCGACCGAAACTGTGAAACTCATGAGGCTGCCAATACTCCAGTTGATATGTGAGGTATACATCACAAATAGGATAAGTGTTCTTCTTTATTCTGAACGTCATAACCGGAAGTTTTCGCTGACACCTAAAAACCGTATACATACAGTGATGTCATAAGACGAGAACGGACAATCTGCCGATTTGAAAAAGTGGTCAACTGTGAGTGTGAACGAAATATAAGGAACAGGTTTTTGAAAAAAGTGAGTTGTGCGTTTCCTGCAGTGTTTAAGACTGCCCTCTGTTGCGACAGCAAGACACGGGAAGTTCTCTTAGAAAAGTCCTGAACGTGCAGTGGCGATCTTGATAGGTTTGCACATTATTTTATTAAGCGGGAAATTCGCAAAAGAAAATTTATTATCAAGCTAGCTTCTCCCAACGCAGACCTGCTTGAGTATGTCTTGAGCGCTTACATAACTTTTACTTGTAACAATGAGTGCTTACAATACCTTTTACTTGTAACATTATAAATAAAAGAAGGAGTTGAAAGTTAACATCAGTCAGGGCTGTAATAGAAAAAAACTCTCAAAATATAAAGAAGAAGAAACATTTCAGTTACTTACGAAAATTGTGATATACAATACATTCCTCATGAGATGTTTTACTTGAGGAGACTAATCGGTGAAAGACATAACATCGTCTCTTGGTTTAAGTTGGCTGTCAGCCAATGAAAATACAAGACAGCATTATCTTTGCATATTTTATGAGTAACGCATTCATTGTTTTTAGCGAATATCTTATAAACATCAAGACAATGATTTGAAAGAAAAGGTATAACAGAAACACTTTCTTTGCTTTCAAAAAGGAAGAAAAGCAAAACAAGAACCTTAACTGGGATTGCATGCAAACTAACAAACTAACAATAACTATTCTCTGCAGGTTACAGAATTGTCCAGACTGCAGAAGACGTTTTAATTTGTTAGTTATGGTTTATTTCACGCAAAAAAGACACACTTTTTCGGTTTTCTTGACCTCAGATGTTTTCGTGCTGAAAGTATTAGACAGGTGCCATTGACGTATATGATAGGAATTTTCGTAGAACATTAAAAAGGAATATAAACGAACGACGATTTCTTCGGAATTCAGAGCATCAATTATATTTAGATATGCGGTATGTTTTTAAATGAACGGTGGTTTTGTTGAAAATAGCTGAGTGGGGGATTGATTGTTCTCTAACTCAAGCCATAAATTGACGGTTTTTGGGAAAACATCCCTTTACACACTAGGTTTTTGTAAACAACGTCCGATGGTTGAAGGAATTTTGTCGTTTTGCTGAGGAAATGCCTTTCTTTCTGATGAGAATGCGGTCTTGAACATTTGCCTAGTTGAGGGGTGCGATGGAATCTGTGACCTGAACGGTCTACTGAAGTGTTCACAGGTAAAATACGATTTGTTTTTCTTTATTGTCACCTCCATAATATACTTGGTACTTAAATCATACTGGATGATAGAATGTAGAACCATTTTATTCAAGGGGACGGCAACTGTTAGGAGAGTTTACCTGTCCACTGAAGCTGAAGTGTTTCTTTATTCAAATATCGCAAGAAAGAATCTAAATGAAAAGAAAAACCAACTTACGAAAACACCGTAATTCCGCATGATTAAGTATAATCTCATCAGACTGTAGCAAATAGAACTAAACCATGCTCGCGTAATAAAAATGTAACTGATCCACTTCATTTCTTTTTCTTTACATGAGTAGAATTCAATAATATTGAGCCGTCCCTTTAGCAAGTTCGTTACAGACGAAGTTATGTCGCTGATAAAGATTCAGTCATAACATACCGCAGATAACGTTTCTTGTTTTTGTTTCGCTGATATTCATATGGAGACGTCCATGATTTCAGCACCCCGAGACATTTCTCCCTGTTCGACTCTGTGGTCATACATTTAGCATAATCTGAAAGCAGTGGACGAACCCAACATATGTGCGGTTAAATAATTACAAGTGTTACAAAAATTGATACCTAGATTTTAATTATTTTTCTACATGAATTATTTATTTTTCCACAAATCTTGAACTAAATCTGACTTACTCTAGACAACTAGCACATGTCATATTTTTGCCGGGTAAAGTTTTTGCTTTCCAGTAACCCAACTTTCCAGGTGAACGTAAATTCTTGATCTCCAAAACCTAGAAATTTATCGTCTGTTTTGAATTATAGTAGTTATATCAAACCTTTCAATTGTTTTTTTTTCCTTCCAAATAAGAGGGAGTGGTTAGATTAACTGTTCCCACTGCCACACAGAGTTTCAACATTATAATGGATTTCTTTCAAGAGCGATAAAAAAGGGAGATAGTGAAAATCAGATATACTAGTAAGAGTCCAGAAGAAAAACAAATTTAAAAACTCCCTTAATTGAGGGCTGGTAAGAAGAAACCAATTATTTCTGGTATTTTTAGAAACAATTTCTGTATTTCTAGCAATATAGATATCAGTTCCATTTGTATGAAGCCGAGTGTGTTTCTAAAAGTTCTCCGTTCTTACATGTTGCACCAGTACGATGAGTTAATTCGATCTTAGCAACTATAGGTAGGAGGTATTGTTGTTTTTCGTGATTTAACGTATTGTCTACCTATAAAAAAGCTCGTCAGCATGAAAAAATGAGGTTAGTAGGATATAAAGTTATCGTTAAGTGTGGTTTTCAAACTAGTGTCGCTCAGCAGAGGGACTTGTCCTCAAATCATGAAACACGGGTTTCGTCGAACGTTTTTCAGTACACAACAGGGATGAGAATGCAAACTGTCATCCGCTTAACGTAGGTTGATCTGATTGCATTAAAACATCTCAAGGAAACATGACAAAAGAGAGACAGTGGCCCATGAAATGTTGATATGGCTCATCAAGTTCTGATATAAGACACTTCAATCCCAGGATCTTCGCGGAACCAGACAGAATTTATTGGTGGGAGGGGTGGAAAATGACACGTGATGAACTTTGTTTTGCCCTGGGAGACCAACAAATTAAGTTGCCAAGCAATCTCTCATGCTATACTGGCGATTCAGGGAAGCTCGTAAAAACGTAGTTTCTATGAAGATACTTCAGCAATATCTTTTCATCAGACATGCGCGACTTGAAACCTTCTCTAGCAAAATAAAACTCTTATCGCCTGCCTGAGGTGCAAATAGAGAACTGAGATTCTGATAGCTCGCTTTTCGTAATGTCGAATTGCAATTTGGCGAACGAGTGTCTCTAAAGTAACGCATCGCGTGCATAAACCTCTAAGATATTTTACTACTGAGTTTTTTTAACAGATGGTAACATTCTTGTCTGTGCGTTTGTGTTTAGAACTTCCTTGAAGACAACGGTTGGCTTTAAGAATCAGATTCATTCAAAGCAATAGATTTTTTGACGTTCTTGTCATTCTTAGGACATAGCTTTAGACAGTTTCGTGATCTTTCAAACGTATTCAGGGTGTACAGCTCAGTTAATAAGTTGTGAACCGCAGTTTTTTACTTCCAACTCTGCACAAGCCCATCAGAGTAGAAAACGACTAAAGTTGATTATTCTGTTTTGGTGATAACGCTTCAGATTCAATGATATCCGTCTGGAAAAGGCCTTTGGGTGAGTAGAAAGATGCCAAATGAAATATAGAACTGTTTTGCAATCAATTTTTTCTATTTGGACTCTCGCAAAATCAGCTTTACGTCAGGTTTGAGCCTCAGCATGAAAAAAATTGTGATTTTGCGCCCAGTTTAAGCTAATGGAGCATAAATTTTCTCTGCACTTATAAAAATCTAAAGCTGGGTTATCATCTCACATGGGCCTGATAAGAGTAATTAGGAAAATAGCACAAACATACAGACATCACGCACTGAGGTAAAAACACAACACTGAGTTTGATCAGTGCGTCGGCTTCACATGTCAGACAAAGATATTATAATCTTGCGGTATTTCTTAAGACCTGCCGAAATTAGCCCCCCCCCCCCCATCATTTTTTAAATTATAATTTTATGAAAGCAACTGGTAATTAGGGGTTTATGGAAAGAAAATGTAAATTATTTTCCTTGCACCTGTAGAAATGATATTAGCTGTAGCCCTCAAGCGCCGACACGTTTATAGCAACAGAAAACTTGTACTTCTTATGGATGAGGTTGTCCGATGAATTATTGACGAATCTCTATTTGCTAATTTCAGAAAAGAAACTGCATAAAATTAAGACTAATACAACGATGTTTTAAGAACGCTCCTCTCGTATCGTTTTTGATTCATCAAATTCAACAATTGCCTCTTGTATAAAACACACTACCTTCTGTTTTCATCTGCCATACCTTTCTAAGATGATCTTTCCTTAGCTCTTAACTCGATCCACCATTTTGGTTCATCTACTTGTTATGTATTCAATGTAAATTTGAATTCTTCGATTCATAAGCCTCAAATGAAGACTGAGCACTTGAAACTGAATCTTTCCTCGTGATTTGGTGGCTGATCTATCTGAGGCAACTAATGGTTTCACTCAAAAAGAAACGACGTGCTTTCTGCGATGTTTGTTTCCCGCAAACTAGGTCCTGATGAAAAGGGCTTTTTATCACTCAGTGTAGGCGTATACCCGTCTCCTGTTTCCTTTTGATAATCATAATTAAATGTGACGTAATAGTTATTTTACACGTCAATCAGATTATCAAGTTCTAAGAGAACCATAAATTCGTCTAGCCTTTTCTTTTAGTCTTTGTTGGGGAATAAAAAACCAGTGGACTTTAGGAAAGAACTTTCTCGCTTTTCCATCTTTTTCTCGATGGAGTTGTTTTCATTTTGGCCTCAGATTGCAAAGAGAAAAGAGACATAAGATGGTGGATTGCAAGATTCAATGTCTTTCGTTTGCGTCCTTTATCTCCCACGCGTATAGTACTTGAAAGAAGATTTTCTAAGCCGTATTAGGATTTAAAGAGTCGCCACTAACCGGTTAAAATGCAAGCAAACGATATCCTCGAGCGCAGAGCAGGTGAGATTGTGAGCCGTCTTTGCCTTCAGCTCAGTCACGTTCTTAACTCAAAATAAATTAATTATTCAGAAAAAAATCGATGGCTTTAAACCACAAGAATAAAATATAATCATTTATATTCCTAATGAAGTATGCAGACCAAGTTTCTTATCTAAAAAAGCTATTTTTTTTAAGTTTTAAAAGGTCCTAGTATAGAGTTACTATGATTTTTTCTTACAAAGTGTTGATAAATGACAACATATCTACAATACACAAGAAAATGAAAATACGTGACAATGTATTCAACGATGAATGAAATACTCCAGCACTTTGTTTTGAGCTTAACTATGATCAATTGTGTACATTGATCTTCGCCAATAATTAAACAAAGAAAAATATTATATTGAAATTGTCAACTTTATAAGCTCGCAATCTCGCCTTTTTTTGAGTACAGGTGATAAATTGCACTATTGTCATTATTTTGGTTATTGATTAGCTTGACCTTATATAGAATGTAAGTGTCACTGTGGTTGCAACTGTGTCATAAGACGTCTGGAAATTTCCACCAATGAACCTTAAAAGGATTTTAAGTTATAGACAACCGTTTGTTTTTCTTCCATTAATTCTTGTGTAAAACGCTGGACACTGTCAATATCAAGCGTTCCCCTGTGGACTTAACGCCGAGTTGAGTTTCCTTATTAGCCTACTGTTGATTCCGCAATGGCTGAGAAACGACGTAAAAGGTACTACTTTGCAGGTGTTCCGATTTTACTGTAAGGGCACTGATTCAGTCGTTGCACGTGTGTTAGTGAACACGGCAGATTGTTTACATCGGTGGTTGAACTCTGGACCAAGTAGTTCGGGTTCGACTTCTGTTGATAGTAACTCTGTTCTTATCCCGTAAAAGACAGTTAACTCTCACAGTGCGGTGTCTTCCGACTGCTATCAGTGAGGTAGACAGGTGTTTGTAGAAATGTGAAACCACTGGAAATGGGGGATGTATCCTGAAAAAAATTTTGGGAATTAAAGGACAAATTTGAAGTAATTCTAGTTGTTGCATTGTATACTTTAGGAAGGCGTGAGCTTTGTGAATCAGGACTCAAACGATGTCGAGTGAAATACAGTGCATGACCATTGCTTTCATTTGATTGGATTGGTTTTGTATTTCACGTGCGAATTAGTACATCGGACTTAACGGGTTTAAAAGCAATTTTTCATCGAGATAAATCATCTTGATGATAGATGAAATTTTTCATTGCAAGTCATTTGGAATAAACAGGCTTCACACGCGAATCGCCGATCATTAAATGAAAATTACCTAGAACATTCTAGAGTTGATGGTTGAGTTAAAATGACTGCGTTAAACTACTCTATGTTAAAATTACTTTGATGGTTCAAGAACATACGTAAGAATAACATGATATAAATGAATGCCAACTAAAAAACTCGAAACGAAGATTCGTTGCTAAGCTAAGTAACGAAAGCTTTTTCATGTCACAAAGTTATGCAAATTAGACAGAACTGACAACTTTTTCAAACTGACCAGACACAAATTGACAAGAATCCTATTAATTTGTTTGACAGGCCATATGGTAAAAACACAATGCTTGGATGCATACGTGTGTCATAACTCCTTAATTGCCATCCTTCGCAAATAAATATCGCGAAGTATTAAATTATGCACATTTTAGTGCGTGCGTTAAGACGACAATTTTTTAGAGGTGTGTTTAATACTTAATATTCTACTTTCGGGCTTGCTAATGATGATTTGGACGTTTTTGAACGCCTTGGGCTAACATTAGAGAAACTGCTTTATTAAAATTCGTTGGGATTTTCTGTCATTTTTAAAACGATTCTTAACGCCATTGTGAGTCATAAGAGCTTGGTCTGTAGATTCGAACCGGTCTTCACTCCTCATCCTGCTTTATTGCTTCATAATTCATCGTTCGGCAAACAGAGTTCTTAAACAAAACAATGCTGAAACCCATAATGAAGCCAATATACAAGAAACTGGTATTTGACAGCTTCAATCAATATCTCTGGCAATCCTTTCCTTTATTTCCTATTGCGTCATAAGACAATGAGATATTGTTTACCTCGGACCTAATGTGCGAGTGCTTCACAAAACCTTTTTGAAAGCTCCAGAGCGCTCTTTATTAATATATTTGTTCGACCGAATATGAATTTCTTTTTTCGACGTTTCATTGTGTATAGTAGAATAAAGTTTTGAACTTTCTCTCTTCAACTACTATTGACTAGCAAAAAGGCATAAAATTTGGTAAATTTTGACAGCTGAAACACCTGTTAGGGTGATGAGTATTTTGACGCAAATAATGTGTTCCTAAAAAATAATTTATACAGTTACGCTTTTGAAAAAGAAACAAAAAAGTCGATGACATTTCTTACTTTCAACCAGAAATTCAAGTTGGCCGGTAAGGAAAAGCTATAAAAATAATAATTAACTGTGAAACATCCTGTCCCATTTTGTTCAAATCGTTTATTTTACCTTCTATTAACAAATAGTTTTTGTGTAGTAGCACCCCGTGAGGTTATACATGTTCCTGAATTTATTTACAAAAAAGGTTAAATTGTCTCATGCTAAGTCGCTCACGCAAGTCCCAAGCGCCAAACAAAGCGCTTTGTTGCTAAGTTTTGTTGTAATCGAAATGTTTTCCGTTCAAATTATTGGGTTCTGTGAATTAGGAAATAAAAGCGGGTTATAGTAAAAGAATTGTTTGGGTTTTATGAGGTGAATTTAGGGGACTAACATGACTTACCCGAGTTCAATTATTGATGTTTCTGATTCTGAACTGTGGGATTTCCAAGACGGAATTAACGGTAAATGTGGCCGCGCAGCTCACACATGAAATTATCTTTCATGCAAATATGACAAGAAAGTAGGTTCTTCAACTATATACCCTGAGGCGAATACAGACTTTGTGATTAAGCATAGCTTAAGCTGTTTGACTCACATGTTTTCTTTATCTATTTGCAGCCGTTTACGCATCAGGCGCCGCTCTACCCGCGTATCAACTCGACGCACGATGATACGAAAGGCAATAAATGGGGACAGCAGCTCGGTGTGGTCATTGGACAGCCAGCCACTACGACCACGCAAAAGAATATTGTTAAACGTCGGAGGACGATTATTTGAAACGTGGCAAGATAACCTGGACAATTATCCGGACACACTTCTAGGGAGTCCAGAAAAGGAACTATTTTATGATCGCGGTACCAAGATGTATGTATTTGACAGAGATCCGGAAATGTTTCGGCACATTCTCAATTATTACAGGTATTACTTTCTTTTTTTTTATATACTATTGTTAATTTATAGAGAATAAAGGTTTGCAAATGTACCTTGCCCCGCACAATTATATTTCAATCCCAGTAATATTTAGGCTTCATGTGGATAAATTTTTCTTAACCAAAAGTAAGCCACAAGTTTCATGCTAATGATTCCATATGGCAAGTCCTCCAGATCAATACAGCTTTATAACGAGAAAAAATTATATTGGTTTCAGTTTCAATTGTTTTCCATTTTTTAACTGAGCACAAAAGAAGGCTACCTTCTTTTGTAGCGTCTGCGGTGCTCAGTTTGCCGTCAACTCGAGAGATTCTTTTTTTCTTTTTGAAAAGCGCGGATCTATAAGACCACAATTAGCCACAATTTTTAGGGTCTGTGGTTTCAGAAATTTCCTGCGATACTTAACATACAGTGTTAAAAATTTGTATTTGCATTTGAAATGGAATTTTAAAGGCTTGAAGCCCATAATTTGTCATCATTTTACGAGTCGGTTTTCCTCAGAAAACGAAAACATTACTTAACAATGGCACACCAGGGAATTTCAACATATATCATCTGATATTCTGACAAAGAATATCATATAGCCTTAATAAGAATCCGAAAAAAAATATTTTTCGCGTTGGAACTGAAACAATAAATAAGCTCTGAACTAAGCTTAGTTAAAAATCAATTAGTACCTGGTGGTGATGGGGACGGAAACTAAACTAAAAACAAAAACCGCACGACAACCACATTTTCAATTTGCTAGAAGATGTTTTTTATTGTTTACACTAAAATACTTATTATCCCTCTTTTCCTTTCACGATGTTGGTTCAATCACTTTTCTGAAGAAGATTTTATGGCATCTCTTCGGCTCTTCTTCGGAACTTTACTTGAGTCCGAAAGGAACTCTATCAGTAGTTAACTTTCTTACTTCCAGGACTGATCTGAAAGCGAATTCTCCTAACAGGTGAACGTATTTCTCTCTATTGGATGTTCGAGAGAATTTGAAAAAGGGCATGACAATATCTTCGATGTAATCATATTTTTTGTTCTCCCGTGTATTGAAATGAACTATCAATCGCTCCCGGGAGTTTAAGAATTAAATGAAAACAAAAGGCAATTATAAACCTTTTTGAAACGCACACAAGTAACATGGCGAAACTTTGAATAGATGTGAATTTAGATTTCCAAAAGTGCAATGATTCTCGTGTGAATTGTTGCCAGCTTGTTCATTTATTATTCATTTTATCATTACCTCATTTAAATAAATGAATGTTAAATCGTTTGTCTCAAGATCCAGAATCACTACCAATTGTCCAGTTAAGCTAGTAATGAGGATTGCAACTTTTCGTCGTAGCCAGGCAATGAGAATGAACGATTATGACTTCGCTGCTATTGACTCACCCTTATGGTAGATTTCCACGCTCTTTTATTTTCGAGAGCTTGATGTTGATCCTCTTAGGCCGATCTATTGCCGACTCTAAATCGTGAGATAAACGATTTGAATATATATATTCATTATCTAAAAAACGATGTACAAACATGATTTTACAACTTACGCAGGCTTTAAGCTTTTAAAAGCCAAATTATCTCGAGATACCCGTCCCAATCACCGACACAGCTTTACAGTTTCTTAAGAAACTAACCCTCTTTACTAATCAGAAACAAGTGCAATTGACAGTAATCCTCCTCATCCTCATTTTGTCGGTTCGCAGGAAACTTACGATAACAATCGTTTCTCTCCAGACTCGGTAGGTTACACTATTCAAGTGACTACTGTGCAGACGAGTTTCGTGATGAGCTTTCTTTCTTTCGTATCTCTATAAACGCCGTATCTAATTGTTGTTGGGACGATTACAGGCAGCCAAGAAAAATACGAATCGACAAAGTGTTTAAGTTAGAGGATCCACACGAAAATCTAGAAGTTGAGAGAGGATGTAAACTGAAAAAAAAGGTCTGGAACATTTGTGACAATCCTCACGAGTCGGTTCTTGGTAGATCGTGGTACTATTTCTCTGGAGTGCTGATTGCTTTAAGTATTGTTTGTACTGTTGCTGAGACTATACCACCTCCTTGTGACGAGAAATATCTTTGTCAGAACTACACTTGTGGGAAGGAAAATTGGAATTTGTCAGCCATAAAGTATGGAAATGTTAAGTCCTGTGAAAAAATCGATAATTACTTGAAGGAAAGAGAATTATTGTATTTTTCATTGGAAAGTGTGTGTGTAGCAGTGTTTACTTTTGAGTATTTGACGCGGTTTATTACAGCACCAAACCGCTGGCATTACGTAAAGGAGTTTATGAGTGTGATAGACTTGCTTTCAATATTACCATATTACGTTGGGCTGATATTGGATTACGCGCTGGAAACATCAGTGGACAGTCTTAGCGCCTTGGTTTTGCTGCGAGTGCTTCGTGTCTTCCGTGTTCTGAAATTCACTCGACACTCCAGCCGACTACGAAGTTTGTTATTTGCAATCAGACGCTCTGCTTCTGAATTGGGCTTCATCCTATTCAGCTTCTCTCTCGGAGTAACTCTGTTTTCCAGTGTCTTATTCTACGCGGAAAAGCTCGCGGACCTCAAACCGAACAGAACAAATCTGTTTGACAGCATTCCAGCCTCTATGTGGTATTCGGTCGTCACCATGACAACAACTGGGTAGGTTATGTAAAAGGGTGCTGCCCTATCATCAAATCCAGCTATTTCTTTAGGTAGAGAAATTTGTTGGAGTATGCAGTTTGAAAATCAAAGGTATTCGTAGAAAGGTATTTGTATAGGTAATAAGATGATTTCGAGTACAATTTGGTGATAGTAAGCACGAGTAAACTTTTCAAAGCCAAAATTTGTGGTCTTTGAAAAATTTACAAGTTGATTTAATGATTTACTTTAAAAAAGTATAAGAGAAAGTCAAGACAGACGTAACTTTGAAAGCGCGCGCACTCGTGATACAACTCTGCACTTGTGTTACAACTTTGCATTCATGTCACATGAATAATGCACTCGTTTTCAGCCAATCAGACGTGCATAATTTTTTCATGTATATTGCAGGGCCAATAACAAAATGACAGGAATCCCTCAGAAAGGTTCTTCCTTTTGCAATGCAATGTATTTCTTTGTTAAAACTCCTAGATATCGTAAACCAATCGCTAACGATGATAATTAGTTAAGGTAGCCGTTTCAAGGTTACATGTAATTCATACTAATATCACTCTCTAAAACCAAGACGGGCAAATTAAAAGTATTTCTCCACAACAGATAAAGTTATATAGTTTTCGGCAAACACCTTGTTACGACTTATTTAACCAATTATATACCATTCATACGTTTCAGTTATGGAGACCTTGTTCCGAGAACAATCATTGGACAACTGATTGGAAGTGTTGGCTGTATTGTTGGCGTGTTAATGATCGCTTTACCTGTTCCAATTATTCAGAAGAAGGTGAGCCATTTAATAAATGTTCATTATCAGTATTGCTACGTTCTCTGCCATGTCTCAGTTTTTGTTTGACTGTGTTTCTTTTTTACTTTCATCACCTTTTTTCCTCAGTTTTAATCATAGACTTTATCGTTTTCAAATTTGTCTCGCTCTTTCCCGATGTATTGCTGCAATGGACATGTTGTCAATCCCGTTTTTTGTGATTCAGGATAAATGTAATTTCTGACATTTGAGAGACATGGGAACGAATTAGTCAGAAACTAATATTCTTAGGGCACGTTGAAGAGCCTCGCATGGCATCATGGAAGTTTCGGATTATTTAAGCGTTTCGCGTGAAAATGAAGTCATTCTAGGTTGGTCACTTTTATGTTTGACCACTCTCTTTTTCTCGTATTGATGTAATTTTCGTTTTTCAAATCCTTGTAAAAAATATCGCTACATTCATTGATTTTTCTTTGTGATAAGAAGTGTAACCAGGTCAGTTTACCCTTTCCTCGGGGTATTGTGCTGCTACATTAGATGAGGAATACGTTTCCACATATTTTTTGGTCACTTTTAAAGAGTGGTCTTTTAGCGGTTTTTCGCATCTGGCGTAGCACAGGTTCTTTTGTACACATGTTAGGATCAAATTAGGATGCATATACTACAAGACTGGCCGACTCATCCTAAATAAACTTTTCACATTAAATAACTCATCTGAGTGTAGTCAGAATTTTGTTACCTTGATGACATATGGACGTGCCCAATTGTTAACTCTGATGTCACAAAAGCTGAGAGCGAGAAGTATTTGAAAAATCGACAAGAAAAACATAAAAAAGTAATGTTATAAATCTCTGCTTTTCACAGGCAAATTTACAACTTGGACTTTTGGATGAAGTAGACGAGGCCATGGAAGCAGAGCTCTGATTGAACGTTGATCATTGGCAGCTGGATCATTCGGTAATCACGTACTGGATGCGTAATGAATATTAAGAGAATCATAGAGCCTGTAACTGTGGTCTGTGAATCCCTTCAATCTACAGTTTGGTATCTCTAGTCAGTTCGTAAGGTTTTTTGGAGAAAAAAATAATTGCCATGTATATTTTGGAAATGACAAGTGTTTCCAAGCGGTAACGTGAGAAAAAAAAATTAAAAACACAATTCTGATCTAAAAGATCAGCTTTCTAGAGAACATTTAATGGATAATTGAATTTAGACTGAGAGCCAAACGTTAATAGCCACTTCTTTCAGGTTATCATTTATCAGTGTGATTATCATCGGTTTTGATACTGATCATCGCATTTCTACAGACTTAAAAGAGAAATATGATCCAGAAATCATATTTTCTCATTTTCTTCATTAAAACTTATGTATAAGAATTGAACCAAGCCACGTTTATAGCTTCAAGAGGGAAACGCAAAGTTTTGAAAACTGTATTCAAATGTGCTGATCATGAGAGAACGACTACACCTCTGCTCCTTGAACCTTGCGGAGCAATCTGGACGCTAACCTTTGACTCGGGAGAGTCTCGCTCCTCTATCTACCATGCTCTGCGATCCGTTGGAACCACTATCAAGAGGTGCACAAATAGGTATTCTTAACTCAAACAGTGACTATCTTTATTTTTTGTTAGTGTCCGATATTCGACTGACCAACTTTTTTCTGTCTCTGACACACATGTCGTGGCTTTGCGCATGTGACCAATTTACTAGGTTGCTTTTAAAATGGCGGCGTCCATTTCAAAACAACTTTTGAAAAAATCTCGGTAACCCATTGTACTCTTTTACAGTGCTGCAAAGAAAATTTTAATCTACACCAATGAATAGAGGAGATGTAACTGATTATATCTTGTCTACTTTTCCTTTAATAATAACCATTAATATGTGTGTGACATTATTTAACATATGTTCTAGAAAAATAAACCAATTAAGACAAACGTCTGTTAATTCAATATTTTCCGTACCAAGGAAGAATTGCAATAAAAATCAGTTTAGTACTATTGTACAATACGAAACACTTGTCTGGTATTGCTGTCTGTGGTAAGCAGGATACCATTGTTTCTTGTCACCTTCTGAACCTTTAAGAGACCTTGAAACTTGTATTCAGGTATTCAGACAGATCACTTGCTCTTATCCTTGTGTTGTCATTAAATATGATGGTGACGGTCGTTAACACTTCACTGCAAGAAAAAGCAACATGCGACGTGACATGTTTTATTAGTGTGGCCAATAGCTCAGTTAGTTACAGAACAGTCTACAAATCTGGGGCCATAAAGTTTTGGCATCGTGCCGAAGGGAAGGGTGAAAGTTCCGTAACCCAAATTAATAGATTCTAGAAAAAAAAATTCTTTCTCACAGCTTGAGGATCTTATCGAACTCCCAGAGCCTGTTTATGAAACAGTGCCACTTGGGTATTACTGAATATTATAAGCATTACTGACCAAAAGGCCTGCCTGAAAAATTCAAAGCGCCTCGTTCAACAATTACCTTACCTTGAACTGCAGAATGGGTACAGGTAAAGCAATGACAAGCACTCCAAACAGACAACAGGCGCTTCCCACCAGCCGACCAGCTAGCGTCACGGGTATGATATCACCATAACTTGAATAAGAAAAAGTAACAATCCTAGGTTATGTTGCGGGCATAGCTGAAAAAAACTCATGTGCAGAGCAACCTTGCAAAAAAACGCATGTAAACGTTATTATAGATATAAATGATATTTTTATTAAATAGCTTTAAGGGGAAACTTTACTGATGAACCAAATTTTTCAGTGTATCACCGAGGGTCCAATACAAGCCGTCACCAACAGGTGACCTGGCCACAATCTCGCAAACGTTTCGACTGAAGAAGCTGACTCAAGGCCGGCGACACACATGGCGACGGATACCCTTTTTCGCGGCGAAATTTGTTGCGACGACGAGGCACTTCAATTAAAAACCAAAAACCTCCGTTCCCGGTCGTGATAAACTGATAGACGTACTCGCAGCGATGATAAAATCACGGAAACAGAAGCAGCCGGCGTATAGCGATATTGAAATGAAATTAAAGCTTGGCGTGTCGACAATATTGAACACCTATCGCGGTAATCAGTGGACACCGCCATCGCTGCACAAGGTAAACTTAGCGATGATTTCCGCCGATAGCCGGGATCAAAGAATAAAATCACATGGTATGTCACCGGCGTAATCTGTTAAAAAGCTTTCAACTGGAAATACGATAAAGTTATGCGATTTTTGGAACTTATTTTTCAACTTATCCTTATCTTTACATACCCTGCTGTAGTTGATGTGATCACTGCGTACCACATGGCTTCGGGAATGCTGGAAAACTGTGTGTCCTCGGAATATTCGGCGAAATAGATGATACTCGAAACTAAAATAACCATGACCATATACAGGAATCCTATCAGGCCTAACTCAGTGGCAGAATCCTTCATACTTTGGATCAACTGTTTTAATCTCTTAGAATGGCGCAGTAGTTTGAAGATGCGAAGTATCCTTAAAACTCGTAGCACCACTAGAGCATTCATGCCGAGTTGGGCGTCAAACGACAGAGCGTTTAAGATCAAGTCAATGTAATACGGCAGAATTGCGAGCAGATCCACGATACTCATGAGGTTGATGATAAATTTAAGACGGCTTGGACAAGTTAACAACCGCGAGACAAACTCGAACGTAAAGAAACCTACACAGACTGTATCAATATAGAAATAAGTGTTCTCGTTTTCCTCTTTGCAAATTCGTATCGTTCCTTTACACGCGATTGTTTCAGTCGTGTTTGCCACCACGCTGATCACAATTGCGGTGACACTTATCAGATAAAAAATCTTCGCATATAAAGAAACAGACGGTTCTTTAAGTGTAAGCCAAACCTTTTCTCTAAAGGAGGCGTTTGGATCAATGCTATGGACAGCCTTTGCGGCTTCTTTATCCTTAGCTTCTTGTTCCTCTCGTCTCTTATTTAATCTTTCGTAAGCTGCTTCAAACGTCTCGAACCAGCAGCACTCACAAAGCATACTAATGTCCAACCCGAAAAACGCCACTTCGTCTAAGAAAGATTGGACGCAATCATCTCGCGGACAATGGAGCTGTCCAGAGTGATAAAAGTTCCAAATGTAGCGAAAGGTGTCTGGATCGCGGTCAAAAAAGAATTCGTTCTTGATCTTATCATAAAAAATATTTCTTGCTTTACTTCCCAGCAATGTGTTTGGATAGATGGAAAGAAAATAATCTCGAATTTGGAAACGTCTGCCACTCACATTCAGAACAACAATTTTGTCGTCGTCGGGGAAATCAATTTCTGGTCGTTTACGACGAGACGAATGCGAATTCGTACTGCGGATGCTATGTTTGGAGGAGCTGTGGAACTTGGAGAGAAATTTCGACGGAGATATTAGCGACAAAAAACTTTTCATTATGGACGTTTCGCTTCTACCTGAAGATTCCGCAAATGCTGAAGATGTAGAACTGTTGATGCTACACGATGCATGCGTAAATTTCTGATCTGAATATTTTTTCCTTTTAAGATAGGAAACTTCGGAAGGACGATCTTGCAATAGAGATTTTGAACTTCCCTCTGAAGAATGGTTTGAGTCGGAAAAATGGGCCATGTCTGGATGAAGAAACGTTGATGACTTTTTCTTCAACCTGGCGCTCGAGAGGTTTTTTAATCTTTCGCCTGAATGTTCAACTTTCAACCTATCCCCTACTGAAGCAACAGACTTTGCACTTGATCTCCATTCTCGAGGCGCTGGAACTGCAAGGGGATTGCTGTAGAGCCTTAAATTAGGGGTCGATAATTGTTTACAAGTAGATCCACTCATTGGAATTGGGACGTTTTGTGGTGTAGTGCAGCTTTGTGTATCCACGCTCGAGGATCTCTTCGGTTTGGTTGTCGAAAGACGATTCAAGTCATTTTCCGATTCGTTTCTGTTTATGAATGTGTCGCACACCACTGGAGAGACGATTTCGTCAGCCAGAGTGTCTTTGTCTATGACTTCCTCGTTGAGAATTTGGTTTGAAAATTCGAAAGATAAACCTTCTGAACTTGGTGTTGACATAGGTGTGTAATTTGTGGCTATTAAACAACAAAGTTGTTTGGACGGATGCCCGCAACAGGTTGATTTGTTCCGATGTAAGTTCGGTGTGGAACGGGCAACAGGTAAACAAACACCGCCTTCGTTCAGCTTAGTCAAAATTTCTCCCGATCTGTTCAAAGAAGCTGAAGAATCTCGCGCTAATTCCACGGAAATGTCTTGAACGCTACAAGAGCAGGCGAGAGGTACTTCGTCAGCACTTTTACAAGACAGTCGGCTGTTTGAATCAGCATGATGAATACTCTCGTTTTTTGCCGTATGGTCTTGGCAGACACTTGCGTCGTTGTCAAGTGAAAACTCAGAAGTTGATGGAGATGAAGGAACAGAGAGCGATAATTTCCTAGGCCTAAATGAAATCATAGAGACATTTTGTAATGATGGCGGAGCGAGAAACTCTTTCGAATTTCTTCTTATCAAACTTTGTTCAGACCTGCTTGTTCGCGCACAAGGTGACAATAAAACAGCTGGCACTTCAAGATTATTTTTGTTTGAAAATTCAGCGGCTTTGTTACGTTCTTCGTCGTCCTCTGAAACTTGAATTATGGGCGAGAATAGTGTACGCGGTATTTCTTTAGAGGCTTCTAATGAAGAATCGTTGAAGAAATGATTGTCTTCCTCCATATCATGATACTCACTCATGTTTGAAATAGTATTTGATCCCTGTTGGGGATGCGATTGTAGTCGTTAAATTCTGGTGCTAAAAAAACTCGTAAATAAAACTTTAATAAACCGCATTTTCCAGTTTACTAAATCTTCTTGGCTCCAGTTTTTTAATCTCTAACGAGAAACGCTCTCCTCTCTCCGCCGCTAAGTTCAAAGTTTGTACCAAATCCAGTAAAGGTTCCAAGACCAGCATTGATGAGAGCTGTTTCAGTAACTATTCTTTCCCTGTTTCAACTTCCTTTAGGCAAGCGGAGATTTCTGTGTTTGACAAACACAAATCAAATATTGTCTTTAAATTTCCGCACCTTTGTCAAAATCAACAGATATTTCGTCTGCGTGGAAATTTTTAACACAATTGATGTTTCCAATAACGCTTGTCTCGCATCACATCACTTCCTTCTTTGCAGAATCCCACGCAACGAAAGAAATGATTCTCGGGCGAACATCGAGAAATACTGCCGATTTATTAAATCACGAGTTTGAAGTCATTAAATAAACATCAGTTTGCGCACCTCCAAAGAAAAGAAAACTGCAAAATAACGTAAAAGGAGGCTCTCGGATTCGATGAGTTCGGTAATTTTTTGAAGAATTTGGCTTTCGATCGATCAATAAGAAAAATTAGCATCCTTTCACAAAACAAAGTGGGTAGACACACTTCCCAGCGGGTCTTTGAAGTAAAGTAATAACAATTTTGAACTCACGGAGACACCAACCCAACAAAAACAGAGATAAGCAGTTACAAGTGAGAAGCGATTCTTTAAACTTTAATAAGGCTGGCTTCTATCGTGGAATCTATTCGGAGCCAGGGTGAGTTTCATAACAATCAACTTCTTTTTAGACAGCAAAAATTCCTGCAATAAAAAACTTAAAATACTCCATTTACAAATGTTTTATGAGCAGGGATTCTGGTACAAATTTCAATCAAAACATCTTAATTAACGCACCAATTTTCAGAAGTGAAATTAACCGTAAATAAAACAATGTAAATGGCTTTGAGTGATGTACGTAAGCAGTAGAAAAAGATCGATGAGTTGATAAGATGGTACCCAACTCAGTGGATGTAAAATTCTTAGACAATAAATTACGGTTAGATAGTTTTGACATAAATATTCTCTTGGAGTCTATGCGATTTGTCAGAAAAGATTGTTCCATTTGCGCATAGCTTGATACTTGTTCACGGGCAAAAGTTTTCATGTTCGAAGACAAAACTAAAATGTCTAGATCGTTCGTCCTTAATTTCTTTACGTCCGAGTTTTATTTACAAGTTTTTATTAGGTTTGTGATAAGGAAACAAATTTTTTTCAGAGTATAACACCTTTTGTAATTAATTCTTGTGGAGATTAGCTCAAGAATATATCATTTCTATCCCTTCTCAGCCAAACGAAACATCTAAGACTTAACAAGTTGAAAAACAAATACGTGCTGTTAGAAATGGACTATTCAAACATAAATTTCTCCTTAATTTACGAGCCGATAAGAATCGCACTTTCATAAACAAAGCTCGATATTGTCGCGTTGTCTAAAACGTCTTCCCTGCAATGAGGGGAAACAAGGGCGCTTGGTAATAAATGGGATTCATTGTAGTGTTCGTCATAACGTGGCTTAAGTGTATCGCATCCAGGCTTGAGTTAATGAAATAATTTTGTCTAGACATTGTTTGGCTACATTTTGAAACTGTGATTATGCCATTTGCCTTATTTAATAAAAGCAATCTTCTCTTCCACGAGAGGACAAATGTTTCTATTAAAGGAAAGCTATCAAATAAGATATAAGACGAAGTGATCTCAGATTAAACTCGAATGTCTTTGGATGGTTTCAAAACGTTCAATAAAACGTTCCCTGTGGTTGAAGGTCAAGGAAATCATCCTAAAATAAATTCACTGACGTCATAATAGTCATTCTAGTTATCTACCGCTAACCGTATCGATTTTAAGGCCTTTGACTTGGTTTTTGACAGAAACTTTGACAATTTTTACTTCAAGCGTCACTTCGAAAGAAAAGGCTTTAATATAACTCTCTAGCTTTTCAGAAAAAATGCTCGAGAAAGAAAATTCCTCACTAGTGAGGATGGAGACTAATTTTAATTCCAAAAAATTTAAATGATAACGATGTTGTCGATTTTCTCTGGTTTAGGCGGCGACATCATATAGCACCCTAGCACAACGTTGGGTTCTTTACTTACGCCCTCGCATCATTCTTCAAATCAAAACTTTCTTCTAAGAAATACAGGCAAGCTTCCGATATATACTTTTCACTTGTACTGTGATAACGCCGACCACTGCGCTCTGATTGATTGCCAAGTTTATTTGTGGCCTCAAGTCACTACGTAAACACTAGCGTGCGATCTTGCTATGAACCTCGCCAAAATGGTATGTAGTTAGAAATGACCCTCGAAGATAACACTCCTTTAAATAAACAAAGAAAATATAAGGCTCGTACAATCTATTTGGAATTTATTCATGAAAATACTTTGTTTGCATTATTCGTTCTCTCATAAAATTTAAATCTTTACTTCTCTTATTAAGCGTTAGCCATATATAAGACGGTTATTTACCAACGACTTATTTATCAACAAGGATACTTGTGTCACCTCACAGAAATTGATAATTCAACACAACGAAAGACGTCGTGGGTAGAAAAAGTTACATATACAATAGTCACTGCTTCCCTTTTCCTTCTCATCAATTCAAAGTTTGCTACAATGTACTGAAAGTTAAATTTGGAACTGGAAATGAAAGCAAGATAGTGCAGTGTGACAAACACATGTCCAAACAAGGAACCAAAGTCATCTCAAAATGTATGAAAATTCAATGTCATTACTTTTGTTGGGTAAATACTTAGTTTTCAATTGTTTTTGTAAGGCATTAACCAATTTTTCCGAGAAATTATCTGACCTTAATTATCAAGGTGTGCGAGGAACAATGACAAGTCCCCTAAAAAACCTCATAATGCTGCATTCAACTCCTAATCTCTCAGCAACCGAAAAACTAAGTCACCCTGTAGAAGACAGCCCAGCGACTATCAGCAGATAGTATTCCCTCCATATGTTCTTTGACCGTCACTGTTAATCAAAATTGGCGTTGTCTCCTCACTCATATTTTTACTGATAAAATACTTTCTGATTCTCTTCTGTTCAATAAAACCACTTTTTGGAAATTGTCTGTTTCTACACATGACGTACTGAAAGAAGCAACCGAGAAATGACAGGAAGACCCAGGTTGCAGACAAGATGTAATCTAGGAAGAACAACAATAGGTATACCATTACATTTTATGCAATGAAATTTTCACATTCGAAGCTTAGGGCGCTGACCATTCCACAACAGTTCTTTAGGCGAGGCAAGATTACTCACCATTTCGCTGGAAAGGCCTCGTAACATTTATATGATCGCGCCGATACTGTGGCTTGGTAGCATGAAGAATGACATCGATCACTATAAAGGAAATACTTGTGTGGATGAAGAAATCAATACCTAGAAAAACCAAGTCATTCAAAGAATTAGTAACAAGATATCATTTGTCTATTGATAACTGTTGATTATGCACAACACGATGGTCAATTGAAACAGCAATCGTAAAACTTAGACTATCCAACTGGAGATCCCCAAGCCTAAATATCTGAAATTTTGAGATTGGAGTCATTCAAATTCCATCAATACCATGTTCCCAGAGGAAAGAGGAGTTTAACCCTTTAACTCCCAAGATTTAATAAGTAATTCTCCTTACTGTCTGCCATACAATTTATGTTATGTTAGTTTGGAGAAATTGGAATTGGATCAACTAATAATCCCCTTTCTGTATTCTCATTACTTGTCTGCTTGATATCATACTGATAATGTAAGGAGAAATTCTGTTTAGGTCACTAGTGGAACTTAAAGGGTTAAGCACTTCACCATAATCACCACACTGTTTTGGAAAATGAATAAATTAACTCAGCCATGATTTCCATTTTCCACACATTGTTAACTTTTGTTACATCCACTAACACTTTCTCCATCCCATTCACCAACTGAGGTACTTAGGAAAAGGTTATCATTGCTTTTGTGTGATAGATTTTTAAATGAATGTGTAATTAAATCATGCTAACCACGGATACTTGTACTGGATATGTAACACATGGTAAGGGCATTGAAACAAGTAATATGCATACTTACCTACAATAAAAGCATACGCAGACACAATGGAAGTGTAAAGAACACAGAGCTGGGGAGTAAAGTTCAACATCTATCAGCTTCAGTTTAGGAATTCTATTAAAAGCCTTGAGTGTAAAATTGCAGAAAAAATGACTCCACCCTGGCATTAATGGTAAACACTGTAACACTGAACATTAAGATTACACAAACATTTGTAGGCTTGTTCTGACACCAATTACTATAGACTGAGCAAGGTTATTTGATGAGTTGTTTCTACACAAAACGTTATGCTATATCAACAAGAAAAGGGAATACTTATGACAAAAGAACAAAATCACTGGTTAAAGTGCCACTAGAAAAGTGCTGACATTTGAAGTGTAAGTTCTTCAAACAAAGAGAAAAAACTCAATGAAGAATGATTGACCTCAAAATTGGTTAACACCTGCCTCATAAAACTATGGACATCAAGTAGGATGATACCCCACATGAAGACAATCAAATATTACAGACTTCTTTACTTAGCAGTAATAATTGAGCAGAAAATTTCTTGACAAAGATTTTACATACAAATAAAAAATGTGCTCCATTCCCAACATGTACATTCCTTTCTCAAATAACTTCAAACTGCCCTTCTATAAGCTTTCTGCCGCATAAAACACCATATCATTACAGTACTAAGAGTGCTGTCCTTACCAGAAAAGGCCAAAGTACCAAAATCACTGGAAATACTAGAGTACATGCACAGATGATGGCCCCATAGTCAAAGTCACTGCCTTGAACAAAGTCCAGGTCCCCTGAAATTGCAAAATAGACTGGCTTTAATAGTTATTCAGAATCAAAATAATAAGTCAATCAGAATTTTTGCTGAACATTTGTATTGTCATACTCCAATGTATAGGCACATGTGTGATTACGTTTAAGTTGTTGAGTTTAGGCATGACACAGTAGCTAATGTACAAATAGCTCACTTTTCCACTACCTTTTGGATCAGGAGGAGAATATTTTAAAAGCAGTAAATGCAATTATTTTCACTATAAAAGTGTGCAATCCATAGAGACCAGATGACAAAAAGCTCAGCTTCTGTCACTCAGCATTTGTTCTCTGTGCTTGAACTTTCTAGAGATTAACACATAAAAAAACCAACTTAACCTCTCTACTCACCAAATGGTGTGAACAGTAGTGTTGCTCCAATCAAGAAACCAAGGAGCAATGAATTGAACAGGAGACAAATCTTTGTCCACTCTGTAAACCACCACAAAGCAAACAACAACAAACCAAAAACTACACCTAACCCAGCACTTGTCAGCATTGTACCTGATAAATTAATTGAAAAAAAAAAAGATACATGTTAAAAAGGAAAATAATTATGAACAATATGTTTTTGGCTCATGAATTGTTTCATGCCCCATGAATAAGTGATTGTCAGCATTTCACAAGTATTTAATTAAACAGGAAAAAAATCTATGAACAGACACAGAACTCATGTTAAGTAAGGATGAAACATATTCAGGTATTTTTAGGTAAGGTAAAGCCTCCTGTCAACTTAGACCAATATTTAAACTCAGGGCATCCTACATACCAAGATGACTTAAGTTACTGTTGGCATCGATGATGATGAAGAATATAATGGAAAAATTTGCAAGTCCTCCAAAAAATAAGGCTGAAAAAAAAAATGAGATGCTGGTGAATAGGAACTTTTGATTTTTGTTAGAGGTAAGAATGGTTGGAATTCCAATGTGTGCTTCAAAACAGCTATGAAAAATACCTAAATGAGGGCTGTACACTACCATACAAACAGGGCTGTAAAAAAGCCAAATGGCTCTGTGAACAGTCCTGCAGGAAGCAAAATGTGAGAAGCAAGGAGGAAAGAAAAAGGGCTGTTGTCATATCATGATAAAATGCTCACTGCCAGAGTTAGGTCAGTCGCCTAATGGAAGATATTTGACTCTTAGTCATGACCTTGAGCCAAACATTTAGCCATTTGTCCTTCCCACTCTTCCAATAAGTTAATGTAATTATTATTACATATTGCAGTTAAGGAATAACTGTTTGAATGAAAAGCACCCAAGGATAGAAAAACCTGACTATCTTAGGGGGGACTAAGTCCCATATTAAATGGGAAGGAAGGAGCCTTGCAATTGAGATGAGGTGTACAGTAAGTTTTCAGTCTATTACTTGAGGGACACAAATGTAAACCCTTTCTACTATTTTTCTTCTTTCAGGCTGTTTCATTTTTTTCACTTTAGTTCCTGGATAGCACAAAAACAAAACATATTATAATTGGAAATATCTCACAATTATAATTTGTCAAATGACACTGATAATGGAGCAAATTAGTCAGACTAATTCCCCATTCACACCAACAAAAAATTTCAATAAAGCGAGTTGCACTGAGTGGAAATCATTTTTGCCACAAAAACAAAAAAAACTGAACTTTACATGGAGTCCAAGTAATCACTAACTTGTATTTTTATAGTGCTTAATTATAAGCAAAGCAATATCAGTTTCTGCCATTTCTTTGAGAAAACTTTGTCTAAAAAACACCTTAAAATAGTGTCTAAGCTTTGGTGTGAATGGTGCATAAAACTTTTCACCAAAAGCAGAGTTATTTGATACACAAGAAACAGTATTGTTACTCACTGAATTTGAAGAGCCGAAACCCAAACAAACAAAAGATTAACCCAATCAAACTTCCTGTGACAGCAAATACAGCATCAACAACACCAACTGTAAAACAAACAGTTAACACACTACTTTTAACCCTTTTTTAACATAAATGTAGTTTTATGTATTTAACTCTGATATTTTAGGAATAAAAGACATCAGTAAGGATTTTATGAAGAAAAATCATAATCACAAAGAAAATTTAAGTTCCTTGTGAAGATTTGAACCTCTGCCAGTTTCCAGTGTTGAGGGTAAGAACCTGTGAAGACCTGATGTTGAGCAAATGTATCAAGAGCTACCCATAACAAAAGATTTCCAAATTTACAAAAACATGATGTGACTAAGGACTGAAACCAATGCATTGTAAATGTGCACTTAACGAAAAGTACATGCTTCAGAAACTATATAATTTGAAACTCACTTTTAGAAAAATATGTATGAAATAATGACACTGATCAAGATTTGAGAGTCCAGAGTAACCACCCATAACAGCATTGTATATGCGGCTACAGTACTGAATTGTTTTGAAAATAATGATGTCCATACAGAAGTCTTGGGCTCATTTGAAGATAAATTTTAAATGGCTGGAGTACTCTTTCCAATCTCAAAAGTGGTAAAAAGCATATTTTCAATGTGTACTTTTCATAGAGGAGATATTAACCCTTTACCTCCCAGAGGTGATTAACGTAAAACTTCTCCCTACAATATCCATACATTCTTCAGCAAACAGGTAATGAGAATATTCAAACTTATCAGGTAGAAGCTGCTATCTTGATCTAGCACTAAGTTCTCATAACTAATTTACAAGGAAATGTGTAGCAGCCAGAGGGGAGAATTAACAATCAGATCTTGGGAGTTAAAGGGTTAAGTATTATTAGTTCCTGTAGCATGATTCTCCTTTAATTGCGACTTACGCCTGAGATAATTAGGAGCGTAGATTACTGTTGGTGAGTATGCAGCCTCCTTATTGGTAACTGGATCATACACTATAACATTGTACACAACACCTTGGCCAACTTGGTGAGTATCAAATTTTGCCACGGGAAGTGTTGGTGCTTTCAGAGAGGCAATCTGTAAGGGAGGTAACAACAATATTTCACACCCGATGTTTTTACTGATTGCTTCTTTGGCCTTTAACATTTGGTCCGAGTAGTGCTTTTGCTCCTTTGAAGAAGTTGTAAATAAGGAAATGACTACACTTCTCATTGGTTTAGAGCTAACAGTATGGCTGGAATTATGAGGTGAGTGCATGGCTTAGTTCTGATGAAAATCAGCTTTCAAATGAGAAGCTTGAATATAATTGGTTAGTCACCAGAGGTCAAGAATACCAAATCTTTTGTAAAACAGTTTTGTTACAGTCACCTTTATTTGAAAGACTTCTAGATGTATGCAACTTGCTGATAAACAATACTATTCAAGCTGCAAAAAGGTGATACTACATAGTCATACAATTCAGACTCAAATTCTGTGCAGAAAAGTAAAGGCAGCAAACAATGGTAAATGAACATTGTACCAATTTCATCTAGTTTGCGATGAGCCAACTGGAAACTTTGAAGTCAATATATATTACATAAATCATAAATAAAAGAATCTGACCTTTTTTCCATTGGTTTTGATAACAGCTGGATAAGCCATTTTTTGCAATCCCTTAAAAAAAGTGTCCTCTGATGTATCCCCTTCTTCAAGAAACATAAGATAGATATCATACTCCAGACGATAATGTTCTGGTGACTTCTCTGGATGAATTTTATTCCCATCACATGGTACAGAACTAGAATTCTCAGACCTGTGGAAAAAGAAACACAGGGAAAAAAGAAAGAAATAGTTCATCAATTCAGAGTGTCTATTGATCTGACTCAAACATAAGAGATATTAGTCACAATGTTAGTCACATATATTATACAAAGTTGCAGGGTAGTGAAATAATGTGACTGACCAAAGATGAAAAAAAAAAAAAACCCTTTGTTCCACTACAGATTTGATATCTTGTTATCAGTTGAAAGTAACCAGTGATTCTTCCTAAACCCACCAAAAATATTACTTGAGGGTATACAAATAAAAAGCCATGTCAGGTCTCTACACCATGTATTGCCAAATGTATGCTCTTATAAGTAATCTAACCTACCTTTTATAGTACACATTAGCATATGCAAAGGTAACATTAGTTTCCACTCTATCATAGGATATGACCAGATTTGGATCAAATTCCATGTTACAAGTGAGGCAGCAACCACCAGGGAATGGAGCTGGAATTAAGATAAGACAAACATATAGCAAAAGATCTTTTGTTAATATCAACAATAAAAACAAAATTATGGTATACTTCTAAAAATGTAAATAAAGTGTACAGATTCTCTAAAAAAAAGTACATTTCCCTCCACTTAAATGGAAACAAGGCTCCAGAAAAAGATACCTTAACTGAAATTCCATCATGATGCTATCAATAAAATAGATTCCATTTGTTTCAATGTTTTTTCTCATTAAAGAGAGAGCATCACAAACTACTTGTAGCTATAAGAAACATCCTTTTCCACTGCCCAGCTGACATCTTGAATTTGTGACTTAATAGTGAAACCCTCATATCGCCTTAGACTACAGCTTATTTGTAATGGTTTTAAGAGGAGGGGGACTGGAGAGGTCTGAAGTTGTAACAGCTTCAAATCCAGTCAAAGCATCTATAAGGGTTCTGAAACAGCACTAATATCACTGTGAGGTAATGATCAAGGCCATGTTTAATGTTACAGTTAAAAAAAGTACCATGAATGGAATTTTGAATACAAAGTACAGTAAAAGAAATCATACTGCCATTTAAAAAGAGTAGTACATACAAAGTATGTAATCTACCTTCAAAGGAATGAGAGGGGATAACTTGGCAAGCTGTCAAAAACCTAAATCTGTTTAATTTTTTTCCAGTGTTTCTCATTCATTTGTTTTAATGTAGAGGATATTACTATCCTCCTGCAACCACATTTTCTATACCTTTCACCTTCAAGATCTGAATACCAGAGTGATTCTCCAAACTGTTTGTCATTCATCACCTATATTTTTAGACCTAAAAATAAGGTGATCATTCAAACAATATCCCCCAGTTCATGTTCATTTTTTTTCACTTCACATCACCTTCCTACTTGAAAATGTAAGTACATTGTGAGGATAAATTCATGCTTGATTACTTATTGGAGTGAATGGGTTAACAAAACCCTAATTAGGGGGTTCGCTTCCGTACTGGGATACATTCCTGATTTATTTATCCAGTTGCTGTGTTGTTTCATGGTAAAATTAATACAATAAAATAAAGCTTTACTGCAACGTTATCCCTGCAATCTAAACAGCACTACATAAAAACAACTCACCTCCATAGACATATGGAACTGAGATGATGTCAACATTAAAGGAGTCATCGTTACTCTCTGACTTCAAATAAAAGTGATAATCTTCAAATAAACTTTTTATTAGATACAGAACTGCAACACCTTGTCCTGTATCTGTTTCATCGTATTTAAAAACAGGATTGAGAGACAATGTCACGTTGTTTTGCTGTGCATGTACTTGGATAATTGCATATCTCCAGGATCTCTCAACTTTATTATGTTGGAGTTCCATGTCCCATGTTACATGTGGTTTAAGTAGTAATCTTTCTCCTCTGTTTGGTTGAAGATGAAACGCAGTATTTCCTGCGGGGACTAACAAAAGTCATGATTCTTAGGTTTCTCTTTTCTATGTAAACTGTGAATTGTTAATAAAGCATGACCTGTAAAAGTATTTGCATACAATCTTTTATACATCATGTAATCAGAACACTGACTAAAAGACAATGTGATTAAATCTCCAGAGTCAACAAAGGGGGGAGGGATATTGAGGTCTATTAGAAACCTCAAAACTGTAGGAAAATCATCTAAAACCACAAAACTGCAAAAAAAATATCAAAACCAAAAACCACATTAAATTCTCCTTGTCTTTCCCCTCTTCATAAAAAAAACTCAACACAACCCACAATTGCTTCTGGAGGTTCTTGAGTTTCTTCCACTGCTGGTAAGTGAGGTATGTTGGAAGCCATGGGTTGCAAACTGATTGACCTAAGTGCTCCAAATTGCAATGTCAAAGTCTCAGGCGTTATTCAAGATGTGCAACCCCTTAAGGATCCCTACAACATTTAACCTATTTGAAGTTATTATAGTGACATTTGGTTTGTCACACATTCCTCTAAATAAGATTTACATTTTGCAGCTATAAAATTGTAAACTTATGGGAAACTGCTCAAAAGAACACAGAATTAAACGAAGTTCTGACTAGAATCATAATGAAACAGTTTATTAAATCAGATGATTAGCACACACATCAGATGACAACCACACATACAATTCCATAAATAGAAACAAACCGAATAGAAAGCTGTTTGATTCGGTGAACAAATAATTAAGACTCCACAAATGCCTATTGTTTGTTACATCAGATCCGTTGATCCTACCCCTTTTTATACAAATGCAGATAAAGCTGTCTGCTATAGTAAATTGAAATTATGTCATCATTTTCTTAATTTACAAGTTTCAATCTCGACGGCATTCTTTACGTAATTTTCGGTGAGAAGACAAAACGTTCTGTATAAAAGCCCAAATTAGGTACTTCATGAATAAAAATCTGACCATAAAAGTGAAACAAGGTAGTGTGGCATAGTAGTTAGGCTTGACAGGAAATATTTTCTTAATAAATTAAAGTTTGCGTGTCGAAACTCCACAAGTACAAAATCAAGCAGATCTCTTACCTGCAAATTCGTGCGAAAGGATGCATACTACAGGGAGGATAAATAATAAAAAAATAGCTTTCTTTTCTTGTGACATCGACAAAACCTTAAAGGATCTTCAGAGATGATAATTCCAAGACTTATCACACAAGAAACATAGAACTCAACATCACGCTCTGTTCGACATTTGTTTTCACTTACCGCACGGAATGCTGGGATAGTATCATGCTGCATGTGAAAGAGGCTTGTATACCCAACTGTGATTGGCTGGAGATCAACGGAAAACAAGTTTTTCAAACTGTTCAGCATTCACGATCAAGAGCACGTTGGTTCGAACCCCCTTTTGAAAATCAGTGGTTCTCTTGCGATCTGCGGCAGATGCACTGAGATCTACGGTTGAATAATGTCTTCAAGAGAACGTAAGTTACCTATTTCTTATCCCAAATTATTATATTTCCACTATTTTGTCTGAAACTTACTCCGATCGCAGAATGTACTTTCACACGAAATCTTCACTATTTATTTACAGTAGCATGCATGGCGATATCGACAAGCTAGTCCGATTGCAAAGTTAGAGCTTGGCATTAGAAAGCATTGTAATTATTTCCATATTTTTGGATAACGGCAACATTTGCTCCTACTTAGTGTTTTTTTCTTCTGAAACTCAAATTGCTCTCTGTTTTGTTAAGTAGCCCGTTTACACCGTTACCCACTGCATGAACATTTCTGCTCTCCTGACTGTTTGCATAAGAAATGGCTCGAGATCTCTTGTATTTTACCTTCTTTATGAGGTTTTTTACTGTGTTGTCTAATAGTGAATGCATGTAATTCAAATACTCTACTTGGACTTTGTTATTCGAATTTCTGTTTAATGAATATCACGTTACTATTCATTGTTAGTATTTCTTGAAAAACTCTTTCAAAGTAACAAACAAAGGCTCTTTACTAATGTTGTGCATTAGTAAGTCAGTTTATTACAGAAAAAAGAATACTTTTATCCAAACAGAATAATACGTTAGCATACGATGTTAGGTGGCATCGGCCAAAAACAAATTAAAAATCAATCTTTAATTTAACTTTTTAAACCAGTGAAAATTGCATTTTGATTGAAATGATCTATTTGATTTTACAGATACCACCCCTTCTCTTGATGACAGCCTGACAAACATACAGTGGCTTTGTAAACTGGAATCCAATCCACTGTTGGAAACGGAACAGAAGAACGCCACCGGGGAGCCAACATGTATGAATCCTTACCCAAAGCCTCCATTCTCTTACGCTACCCTCATATTACTGGCTATTAACAGCACTTCAGAAAAGCGCATGACTCTGCAGGACATATACAAATGGATAGAGGACAATTTCCCTTATTACAAAAACTGCAAAAAAGCATGGAAGGTAATAACAGTTGTGTTGTTTGATAAATTGATGCAAATTTATTTCTTATCATGAATGGATGATAATGTTTGTAAGCCTTAGTTTAACGTGTATACTTGGCAGGACAATCAAGTACAACAGTGCTTTTGATCCTTTCTAATTCTACATAAGAATATTCAATCCCAGTCTTGCAACAACACAACAAAAAGGAGCATTTGACTACTGAAATCTCCATGCAATAGCCATCTGTTCTGCGCTAGAAGGGTTCCCACCATGTGCTAGTTTTGATGGACAATTCCCAGTAAAACTGATACATGTTCATAATCCCTGTGAAATTTTGTTCTTGCAGAATTCCATCCGTCATAACTTATCACTTCACAGCTATTTCCTCAAGGCCCAAAGGCCATCCAATCTTCCTGGAAAAGGAAGTTACTGGTCCATATCACCAGAAGGGAAAGAGAACATCATGAAAGAAGTCATGAAGCATCAGCAGCCACTTATCAACCAAGATATGACCTTAGAGCAATCAAACACAAGGGGACTACGACCAATACTGCCCAAACCATCAGAGGATCAACTCGTTGCTAGCACTTTATTGAACAAGGGTGGTGTTCAAATTTTAACAGATGGAAGTGTTAATGGATTACCTGGTAGTATTCCAGTAGTGATTTTACCAACCCAGCTTTACATGAATATGTTTAGCAAAATTGCTTCTCAAGCTGCTACAGGAAGTACCACAGCAGTTGGAGTAAGTCCTACTCTCGTGCCCATGACAACAGAAACTCAAAGTACTGTAAACCCTGGGTTTGCCCAGCTAGTTCCTGAATCTGAAGAACTTGGACAAGATAGTGAAACAATCCTCTCAGAAATAGCCATTACAGAGGAGGAGATAGGATCAGGATGTTCAACATCAGTGACTCAGATATCACAAGAAAACTGTGAAAACAATTCTGCAACTATGACAGTGGAACAAGCCCTATGTAAGATTGAAAAGAGGGAAAATGGAAATTCTTCAGAAAGGTTTATAAATAGTGCACCAATCATCAGTAGGGAGACCTGTGAGAGCCCTAATATAGTTGATATTAAAACTGAGAAAAATGAAATTTTAGCCCTACACATCAAGAAGACTAAAACAGACAAACGTAAAAGCAAACCTTACAGTAAGAATCAAACATCTTCATGTGTGCAAAGAAAGCAAGATTTAAAACAACCCAAGCGCTCACCACTTCGGCCCTGCCCCCAGCTCACCTTGGCTGCCATCAATTCACAAGCTAATGAAATGTCATCACCAGGACACATCTTTAGCAAACACAATAACAGTGAATTCAATTGTATATCACCTTTAAAACCACTGATCACACCTACAAAAAACCTTGAAAACCAGAGCTTCCTGACCTCCTTGCTAGTTTCACCTCTTGGTTATAACAACAGTGGTCACACAGGCTTTACATCCTTGCAATTTTCTTCAGACAGTGGATTCTTCTCACCATTCCAGGAAGGGACAGTGGATTATGGATTTTTATTGTCCCCTGAGAGGTTTGGAAACAGTAGGGTTTGTAGTACACCACAGAGCTGTCGTAAATCTTTGGGGCTTGGTTTGACTTGCAAAAATCAGGGAAAGAAAGCTGATGAGTATGATGCTGATTTTGCAAGACTTTGAGGTTTAGCTTTATCTAGTATGAAATAACAAATTTATTAAATTGTTAAATTCTAATAGAGGCTAATTTTCCCCGGACAAAACTAACCATTTAGATTGCAATAGTTAGAAAGATGAATAACATTACAGCTTTAAAAGTCAGTGATACAGCAGACTGTAATTTGTTTTTTGTGTTCTAACACTCAGTTATTGCTTCCTTTTTTCAGTGTTTAAGTTTTTTTCTGATCATTATTACTATCATTATAAATCATACTGTAATACTTTTCAGTAACATAATGTTACTTACAGGATCATTTTAGCTAGACTCAATTTGAATTAACAATTGGTTCATATGTCAGCGTGCGTTCATCGAGATATGAAGCACGCAGGAAGTTTGGAGAGTATGAAAGATGCGTAAGAGTTGCTCAAGGCGTAGCCAAGAGCAACTCTAGCTTCTTGAGTGCTCTCCAAACTTCTCAAGTGCTTCATATCTCGATGAACCCACAGCTGATGTATGAATCAATTGTTTTATAACATTTTCAACCCAATGGAAAATTTTTTTCACAAGGGATTTGTTTGCTGACATCATGAGCATGCACAATAGGAATATGAAGCACGCTCGCGCAATTGAATTTGATTAGACAAATTTACTAGCTATGTTATAACTCTTGTTAATAATCTTTACGTGCCATAGTAAAACTAAAACAGGTAAAAGTTTGTCTAGGAGAAAAATAAAAACTCACTTACATGTTTTCCCAGCTAAATGCAACTGAAAACAATCAAAAATAGGTTAAACAAAGAAAAATTAGTATATAGAATTTTTCAATAGTTTCTGTGTTGTCAATACTCTTTTGTAACCAAGACTCTTCTGTGGTTTGATAGAAAAGAAAAATTTTTCTTGTCATTATAATGTAATTTTCTAACTGCAATACAGGATGGGTAAAGCAAAATTACATTTATCATATCAAGTTTTTTTATCTTTTTACTTCAGTTATTATAAGAATGTGCTCTGGAGTGTGTGGAAATGATCATAATTTTTCTTGTGAACAAAATGTACTCTTACAATAGTATTAGCTTTCATAGGTGTTTTCCTATAATTTTGAACTTAGTGCTAATCTGGTTCAAAAACGAATAATTCAACTCTGTCTTATTTAGTTTTACTAATTTGAATTCTGTGTGATGAAACTTCAGCCTCATAAGGTTGCTCTTACCCAGACATAAATTTTAATTTTTATCAAAAACTTGAGAATATGGTTAAAAAAACCAAAAGATATCTTATTTGTGAATATTAATAATATATATTCCTACCTATATTTCCTTGAGGAAAGTGTCTCAGTACAGATGATACGATCGCTAACGATTGTAAGTAAGTCACTCAGGAGGTCCCTGTAACAAACGACTTCTTTTTTTCTTCCCCTTTTTTCAGGTGTCTTGATGTCGCTAAGATTTCAAGAAACGCGTTTGAGATTTAAATGGCTTACGGTACACAACAGTCATTATTTATAAACAAAACAGGAAGGAAGAATGAACGTTTTGAACTCGAACGGAATACCCGAATTGTTCCATTGCAAAAACGTTACTCTCCAAAATGATTCGATTTAGCGCCTTTGTTCTCTCTGATAATGACCCCCACCCCACCCCCCTCGAATTTGTCTTTTTGTTTCGAAATAAGTGCACTATTCTTTTTCCGTGATAGCGCTGTTAGAATACATGTACATTGAGATCAACCGCGGTTCACCTTCCGTTAGCTGCTTACTAAAGCCTCATTAGATAAACGTTGGAATTCGTCTCAGTCTCGCAACTAAATGACCTCCTCATAAAATTTTGTGACGATTTCCCGGCTGTTCGTTCCAAAAAGGAAGAATCCAAGGACAAGTCCTTTTTCCAGTCTCCTTGATCCTTTTTGAAGGAATATCAACGCTTTGTCTCGCACATTCTGCTGTTTCTGAAAAGAGAAATAAGCGCCATGTTTCGAAGAAGCGCGACCCCGGGCGCTAAATCGAATAATTGCGGTACGTTACAAGACACAAGGTCATGAACTATTATTCCAGTTGTCAAAATGTTTACTTTCAACTATTGTCAATCATTTAGATTTATTCATTTAAGACAACCGGCTGCATATGGTTTATCGTGAGGCAAGGTGGTTAACTGTCTTGCTTACCACAATATGGAACGGTTTAGCGCGACACAGGGATTTTCGTACAGCGCAAAGAGGTCTTTCACGATTTAAGTTACAACACAAAAAGAAGTCTAAAAAAAATTGAAGGAAATAAGGTGGTTATACGCGCGGAGACGAAATGGTGAGGGGCATGGACGAGAAAAGCACTCTCGAAGGAACAGGTAAAATGAGATTTCAAGACATTCCAGAAACAAAAATGACGCCCAATGGTTATCAGTGCAAGTTATTTCTACCATTTTGGCCCACGATACTTTATTACTTCCCTGTACAGCTACATCTGTGTTGATACTCACAGAAAGGTTGCCATTTGTGATGGTTACCAACTTCGCTTACAGAGACAAGTGACAACATATGAGGAAAGCCACATATCAGCCCCTGAGGCTATGCTGCAACTAAGAGACGTTTAAAATAACCAATAAGGACTTCCATCCAACAGCGCTGCCCTTTATGTAATTAGTTCCCATGGGAATAATTGGACGGCGATGGAGAGCGGGAAAAAAAAACTAAGTTGGCCGAAACATGGATTTCCGCGCACTTTGGCTGATAAGGCTATTTAAGTCGCTGCAGTCCTCATCCGCAACTATGGCTACAATGGCTTCCCTCGATATCTTTGCAAGAGTCGCGCTTCAGGTTTATGAACGTATATACTTCTATCTGCTATCTGTTTCATTTAAATATTTTCAATCAACAATCTTCCGATCTAAAATAATTTCCTAAGTGTTTCTTAAGTGTTTCCCGCATTCAGTAATAACACGGCGTTTCGTTACTTTTGTGTCCTTTCAATGATTCCTTCTTCCCGTACAATTGTTTCAATATCCTCCAACACGTGTGGGTTTTCCATTGTTGGCGTAATCTATAGAAGTTAAGAGGAAAACAACTGAATTTAAACCAAATACCAACAAAAACAATATCATGTATAGGCGAGTATGATAAAAACAGTTGTAAGGTTGATTCGTAAGCTGGTTGTAACGACAGTTTTTCGATGTCACGAACCACTCTGCGAACTAGAAATCACAAATGAGGATTTTTGCATTGCGAGGAAAAACCAAGAAAATAAAATTTCCTAAAAAAAGAAACGACATTAACTTACTTTATATGGTTTTCCGTGAAGGATCTTGGACAGAATACCTCTCACAGTTTTTCCTGAGCGAGTCTGATGGAAAAGGAAAGGAAGGAAAGTCTTCTTAGACTAACCACAGTAGTTTTACACAGACGAACGGCTGGGTTTATTGAAGGTGAGAGGAGAACGTTTACAACGATTGACTGGCACTGAGAGAGTCAATTTGGCTTCGAATTTTTTTAACTGTTTTTTTCACATCCTCTCAAGCCGGAATAGAAATATGATTGATCACTGATTCGTGACGATTTTACACGCAATGACAGTATTGTTGTAGGTACCATTTTCCAATGAATTGGAGGTGGGGGTGATCGATATGAATTATCACCTTCTAATGTCAAAGTGAAGAGTCAAACGCCCCATCGGACTCTCACCCTCTTAGTCACGCCAATGAAAGGCGAAACCGATGCATGTGGGCGAAATTCCGAGTCTTAAGAAACTAGACAAACAAAATCATCACGTCGTAGTATTCTGATCAGGTCCTCAAAAACAACAAGATATACATTACTGTTAGAGATGAATTATGTATCAAGGTTGCAACAATGGTTAATATGAAGAAAAAAACAGTCGACTGACCATGTAATTATTTGAATGAAAGTGGTCCTCGCAGTAATGTGCACTACTTGAGCAGTAGTGAAAATAAGGCCTGACTATGTTCTTCAGTACGGGATTTGAACCCATGACCTCTGCGATACCGGTGCAGCGCTTTACCAACTGAGCCAACAAGCCAACTGAGAGCTGGTCATTATGCTGTTTATTCATCACTTCACGGGTTTATTCATGGGTGGTTCATTGTTACGTGCTCACTTTTTCGCTACTGCTCAAGTAGTGCACATTACTGCGAGGATCACTTTCATTCACGTCTTTATCCGCAGTTCAAATATATGACTTTCATATATTCTTAGCCGTTCATGTAATTATTCCAACTTACCTTGGGAAGTGTTGGTACTACGATGGCAGTTTTAAATGCCGCCACAGGACCAACAAACTCACGAACACTCTGAATAACTTGTTGGACTGCATCCTCTCGGGAAACACCACTCGCTTTGGCAAGAAATACAGAAATCAACTTCAGTTCAAATCAAAGGACGGGGACCGTTACAGGGTAAGTTTTACGCTCGTACGCCCAAAGCCTAGATGTACTCGATATATGATTCCCTTCTATATTATTTAAAATTCGTCTGAATTTTATCCCTGAAGACCTTGCAAGAAACGCTGAAGAACATAGTCAAACAAACTGGTCTTTCCTAAATCAGTAACTACTCTTAAGATGTTACCTTGTCCATATTCTAGCACGCGATTTTTTTTTTAATTCGGTATCAGATTCAAGGCATTGAATTGCGTGATTCACAAACGTTCATAACAGTTGAACTGAAAAGAATAAACATCTCCTATTCAATTTCTTAACAAACTCATTCGCGTACTTTTATCGATGACTATAAATCCAACTGGCAAATGACCCTTGATCGGGTCCTCAAGTCCCACGCATGCGGCATCGATCACAAAATCGAGACGAATCATTCCCTGAGAACAAAGAAGAAAATTATTGCGATTACGTCGGTACGTTTCAGAGGATGCATTAATGGACAACGAACGTACCAAATCTTGTAGATAAACACTTAGATCTGTTGCAATCGCGAGAATGTTGTTTCATTTGAACCAAGCCGACCCGAGTATGAGAGCAATAAAATACTTCACCTCCTCTAAAGATTTAGTGGAGATCCTGTGACCTGCTACATTGAGGACGTCATCGGTGCGTGCCATGATTGACACAAATCCACCATCATCCATAACACCGTCGTCACTTGAGTCGTAATATCCCTAACAGAATGTAGACCACAATAGAAGCAAGAGATGACGTGTTAACACACCGGCCAATGACAAGTTGTTATCTTACGACGGTGTACAGCGGTAACATACCGGGTATTTAGTGAAATATGTTTTGACGAATCTGTCGTCAGCCTTCCAAAGGGTCGCCATTGTTCCTGGAGGAAGCGGAAGCCTAAAATAGGAATCGCACATTTTAAAGTTCATTTTGTGTCCATCATTCTTACCGTTACTATGTGTCGAATAAGGAGCCACACATCAAAAGACAACCTCAAAACCTTGTACAAAAGATGGGTAATTTATCTAAGCCTTACTTGACAACGACTTGACCCAGATCTCCACGGTCAGCTTCGGTTAGGCCATCCTTGAGTATTTTCACTGAAAATAAACCGTACACTCGGTTGTCCCAGGTGAGAAGCAAATTTAAAAAAGTTGTTCGTTTTCATCATTATTTTACTGAATACTTCATAACCTTTCGCCTTAAAAAAGGTAACGTCCGCGTATGATCAGCCTATCTTTCTAAGGTTTATCCTAGTTTTTGAAGAAGGAATCGACAAGTAGGATTGCCACTACCCCCTGGATAGTATTCGTGGGATATCCCCCCACCCTGCATTCCATAGAGTATCCCATGGAGATGGGAGGAACTGTAACAGTTAAAAGACTTGTGTTAGAGCAATAAATAAAGCCTCAACCGGGATTTGAACCCAGACCTCTGGAGATGAAATCTGACGAGCCAGCCTGTGGGCAACTGTGTCCTCTCTTGTCACTCTGATCGAAGTCGATTGCAGCAACGGTGACCTGCCTTATAAGAAATGCTAACTAAAAGCATTTCTTAAGATTAAAAAAAAACGACAACAATTTGTATAAAGTGTCGTTCACATACCATTGTATCCTGGAACTGGTTTTCCAGTTGTCTGTAAATGCTCATCCATGGGTCTTCCCAGGCCCACAGCGTGTGCCGTGATGGCCCACCCAGTTTCTGTATTAAACAGGGTACAGCTAAAACTTAAGGTGTTTATCTCTAATGATAACTTTTCCATTCTCCCATGGCTAATTTGCAATTTAATGCTAAAGCGTATTTTCTCTATCTATTCGTTTACCGTGGATCAAAATTGCTTAGTCTGCAAGAAATCCGATACACTGTGTAAAACAGTCCAATCAATGTAATAAGCCGTTACATACGGGAATCATCAGTTCCTTATGACCCAGGTCTTTCCCATTGTCTCGGGCTTTTGATAATGTTCAACATTTTTTATTATTGGATGATCGAACTTCAGTTTACCCATTGCTCTTTCTCGCCACAGAGAACACATTCAACATTGCTTATTATCTATGAATGTGAGCCTAATACTGACATTGTTTGTTTATACCTCTAAATAATTTTTCGATATCTCAGTGAAAAGCCATCCCGTCGATACTCAAATTTGTCTTCAAATGAAGTCACTTCCCATGTACATTTGCACTATTTCGACTGCATACTGCAAATCTTAACCCCACGACGGGGAGGACCAGTTATATAACATAAAACTTCATATAACAAGGCGCAACCATTCGACTTTATTGTGTGGAAAAGATTGGCAAAATACGTTGAAACTTTGCTACCCGCTTGCGAAGTGACTACATCATAAAATCAGCTGAACGATCTAAGTTTTTTTCTCGTATCCAAAAAAGACCTACCCGTCTGCCACCAGTTGTCATAAACAGGTGCACTAATGGCTCTCCTGGCCCACTGCATGGTATCTTTGTCCAAGTGTTCACCAGCCACAAATAATCCGCGAAAACTGATTAATACAAGGAACTTTATCATAAAATAAAATTGATAAGCTCTACATAGATGGTTTGTGGGTAGGATTGAAAACCAGACACATTTTTTTGCTGTTAGCTACCTTAGTGTTCTCCTCGCATTAATAAATGAAAAATCACTATCAAAAAACTACAAAATGCCTCCGTGATGTAACAATGCCATTCAAATCGTGGCGTACGACAGGTTGGAAGAAACAATACTGAGCCAAAGAAAGGGCGTTTAAACGGGTTTGCGTACAATCACTTTCAATGCTGAGACTTAAACGAAAAGGTTACTCCGCGTTTAAACGGGTTTGCGGGATTCCCGAAAACAAAACAAACGGAGAGGCATGTTTTCAATAAAATCCGCCATGTTGAAGAATGTGGTCCTTATCATTGACAATCATTGACAGAGCACGTAATCTGCCTTCAGTTGTACGTAAAGATTATCAGCTCTAACTAATCAATGTGGGTCAACTGAGTAACTAAGTTTCGTATCTGTGTCTGCTTGACTCTTCAGTGCTACATACGTCCTTCCTCAGTTTGATTTCTATTTGTGGCGAGAAGACAAGTGGAGGAATGTGTACTTGTTTTCAATGGTCTTTCTAAGGTAGAAGGCGGAACATCAGAGTCACGTGCCTATTTAACTGCCTTTTGACTAGCCTCTTTTATTAACTGTTCGAGAATTAGCAAAGGAACCAGAAAATCCCAATTAACTTGGTGGTCGTCTGTCTCTCTCTCATTTGGATCTTCCTAACAGTGGACACCCTTCAGAGTGTTTTGTTTACTTCCTAGCTACCCTCTCTCTCCTTCAAAGATGGTTTAAGACTTCACACTTACTGTGACAGATCGTATTCTTTAATTAATTCACAGTTTGGGTCCTGTAGGGAACAAACCAAAACAAATTAGGAAGAATATTGTATCGATGCTACTAATGACAATTCAATTATTGAACTATAGCGCAAAGCCCTTTCCACAGTAGGGCTCACTGGCGGTCCGCAGAGAGGGGCTCGGATCAGGTATTGCTGGGATGGGTCCAGTAACTGCCCTTAAGGAGGAGCCATGGAACCCCTTTTCCAAAAAACATTTCACACCGTCAACCTTTACTCGAATCAGGCTATATGTGTAACATCCCTTCCAACTCCTCCCTCTCTTTCATACATATCGCATATTACATAGGAGAAAGTTGAGTGGTCCTGAGTCACTTTGCCTCACCGGTCGGCTCTCAATGCAGTAAGGAGTAAAGACCGAGGAGCAATGCCCTGACAGTAAATGACCCCGCAAGCTTACCTCAGCTCTAACGATTCTTATAGCAGTTGGCGCCGTAAACATGCTAACAACTTTATGTTGTTCGATAACTCTGAAGAAAGCCCCAGCATCTGGAGTACCAACTGGCTTACCCTAGAAATAAACATGGCTTTTTTAGGTCTTTCCACGGTTCAGATTACATGAAACGTTCAGTTTCTCGAGAGCAAGTTCGCCGAAGTGAATTATCCTTTAACTTTCTAAGCTAGATATGAAGATAGCTTCTTTAAAAAACATCATTACACCGTCCCCAACCCTCTCTCGCTAGTTCTCATGCTTTTCGCTAGCGTCCTAGCGTTGGCGCAAATTTGGCGGGAAAAGTGTGTAGGTCATTGTCAGTGACTTCGTATGAAATAAGACGGATGAAAATATCTGATTTGCTTTCGATATGTTATAAAATTTATAGAAAAGCATTAATCCTTTTTAGAAACAAGCTCGTCATTTGCACGATGGCATCTGGAAAATTTAAAGTAAATTTGAGTTTACTTGCATTGTGAATTTTTTTAGCATTTTAAAAGTAGCGATATTAACCTGTCAGTTCGCCGAAGATTAAAAAAAGTAATTTTGATACGTTTTATTTTTTCCAGAAAATTGGTCCATCGATAAGCCTCGGAATGATAAAAAAACTTGAACCAGTACTTAATTTCAAGAAGCGAGCGACGTATAGTCGAGAGTATTGGGCAATTAAACCACTGAATGCACCTCGAGAACAAACGAAGAAACGAAGCAAAGACGAGTTTTGTTTTCCCTCATCACCAAAGGAATCAAAAGACGAACACAAGAAGGACACAAAAATATCAAAGAAAGCTGAAAAGAAGGCTAATACGATCTTGAAGGTATAAAACAGCGGTCACATTAAGTAACCTGATTTAAAGTGGTTAGGTCAGAAGTGAGAAAAAATTGTTGTTAGAAAAGGTTGACAATGTTTTCGTCCAATTCAGTTCTACATAATCGGTTCCTTAAATTCGCTTTTACTTCTTCCAAAAGCTATAGTCATTCACAAATTTCAGATGCTCTCTTTTAACAAACTTAAAGCACCTGTGCGGTGATTAAAAAATGAAAGTAACTTGACTTGCAGTCGAAGAAATATACGTTTAATAACAAATTATCATTTTGACAGAAATACGTCAAAAGAGAAGTGTTAGAGACCATCAGGGATACAAGGGAACACATCCAGTTCTTGAGAAGTCAGCTTTATAAAGAAAGGAATTTGGATCAACATCGATGTCAGTAACTGGAAACAATCAGTAGATTTATTACTTCATCTCAGATAAAATCCTAAAAAATCACAACGTTTTCCATATTGTTCAACATTTCAATGCCAATCACAAGCCTTTTGTCTAATAAGAGTCCCTGCTATGGTGTAAGAGTAATCTTAACTTGTCTTGTTAAAGTGAATGCCTCCATGAAATCTACTTTGAAAACTGACCCTTAGCATTCAAGATAGAGATGATATTAGTTTTATGCCACCATTCCTTTGATTTAAAATTTAAAATTTGACTTAGGGTTTGTAAAATTACCGGGAATTTCAAGAAATAGCCCCTAATTGTTTGAGGGAGGGATACCCCAACCCCCTGAACAAATCTCCCTTTAAAGTGGATAATACAGTAATACTATACTTAATTAATACTCCACTACCCATCCTTGAACATAATATATCTTTAACAACATGGTTGAATTGATTGTAAGACAATGAGTAAATATGAGTGTAAAAAATCACATAACATGAAGTTAGAGTTGTCTGAGACAATTGCAAGAAATAAAATTAACTTAGTTGATTGCATATGGGTTTTACAAGGCAGAAAGAATTACCTCTTACCTCAAATAAAACAGTAGTACATCCAGACAACAAAGGGGCGTAAACTATGTAGGAATGACCTACCACCCAGCCAAGATCAGACGCAGCCCACCACACCTCAAAATTAAACAAGTGGATCAATTATTGATGTACTTGATTGCTGTCCAACTGAGTTTTTGAAAAACCAAAAATAAAGTTGTCATGTCTGCCAAACAGAAACAAAGTAAATATCACTAGGACCAATAAAAGCAAAAGAAAAACATCTTAAACTGCCTGAAGCGTTGGAAAACATATGGAACAAAATTTAACTGCTTTTAAACTTGTATCTGTAGTTCAGCGAGAGGCACAATTTCTTGATCGCTCATGGAGGATTGAGAAATAAAACTATTGCAATCCCTAATTAGTTTTGATACAAAATAAATGAAAATTGCAACTAACAGTTATCATTACAGTCATGCTTACTAACCTCTCCAGGATTAATTCCATACAAATTTCTCATGCTCCAATTAAGAGCTACAGCATGTCCTCCATTTGGTCGAACAATACCCTGTGTAAACAGATACAATGAAAAATTTCAACATTATATAGTTTTTATCTAACAATTACAAAATTTAATCAATGTACCAAGTAATGATTAATTTTCTAGTTTTATCAATTTTGGTATATGAAATTAACATTTTGAGAGACATCATGAATGTATCACCCTATGCCTAACATCATTTTTAGAGAGCTTATTACCTTTGGGTCACCTGTGGTACCAGATGTATAGAGAATATACAAAGGATCAGTTGACAGCACAGGTACACAGTCATGGGGCTGTGCTTTCTCCATCACTTGATCCCAACTGATATCCTGCCCTGGAATAATCCCCCCTGAACACTACATAAAAGGAAAGTAAATGATAGCTTTATTTGATAACATGACTATAAGCTTAATGGTACTTACACAAGTTATCTTTTGATTGTCTTAATAATGGAAAAGTTGACTCTCAGAGTATTTGTACCAATAACCACAAGATATAGTGGATTCTTTCAGTCAAAAAAATTATCATTAACAATTATTGCTGATGTAAGAGACATTTACCTGGTCTCTTTGGTACACAACACATGTTGAAGGCTTGAATTTTGACAACCTGATGGCCTCATCCAACAGTGGTTTATAATAGACCAAACGAGATGGCTCAAGACCACAAGACGCTGTGACCACAACCCGTGGCTAAGAAAAAACAATCAAACAATTTTATTGCGCAAATCTGTAACAGTGATACAAGTTTCTCAGGTAACAAGTATATAAAATGTATGAATTTGCTTACATACTTCAGCATGTTCAATTCTCCTTGCCAACTCTTGTGCAGCAAAACCTCCAAACACAACAGAGTGAATAGCACCAAGTCGAGCACAAGCCAACATGGCTATCACAGCCTGGAACAAAAATTCTGAATTTAGTACCATACTAGTGCAAACAATTTTCCTTTGAGATGCAGAAGCTACTCTCTTGTTTAATTAGGCAAAATGAAAGGAAATCAAGATACAATAAGAGCAAGAATGTAACAGCTTCAATTTAAGAATGTACTCTAGCCAAGTAGCTATAAGCATCACCACTCCCCCATGGATCAGATACAAGACCCCAGCATTTCATCATGGCTTCCCTGACATTTTGCTAGTACCCATTTATGCTCTTGGATAACAAGAGAGACACTGTGAAAGTTACCAGTTTTACCCAAGAACACAACACAATGACCAGGCCGGAAGTCTCGAACCCAGACCTCTTTACCTAAAGTTCAGTGCACTAATCATTGGGCCACTGCATCTCTCACAATTGCAGCCTTAACCCTTTAACTCCCAGACCAAATTTGTAATTCTCTACTGTCAACCATACAATTCTTGTAGTGTTAGTTCAGAGAATTTAGTATTGGATCAACTACTTATTCCAAAATTGATATTTTTCTTTATTCTCATCACTTATCTGGATGATACTGTATTGATATTGTAATGAGAAATTCTGTCCTAGTCACTCATGGGGGTTAAAGGGTTAAATAGAAACATTAAATCAGGGGCAATGCTGAGTCTCTTTCAGCTATGTTGGATGACTGTGTTCATTGTAATTAAAGTTACCTGTGGAATCATTGGCATATAAATAACAACTCGATCTCCTTTGCCAACATTTAACTGTGCCAGAGCACCAGCAAACTTTGCAACCTAAAAACAAACCTGGATTTCAACATACAGTGCTAGTATCACTTAGAGATGACAAATAGACAGAAAGCAGTTTCATACATGACAACAAAATTCCGAGTCAAGACACAAGCAAAGTTATTAATAAATCATTAACTGTAATTGTACCCATTAAAAACTAAATAGGCTCATCTTAATTTAGGGAAGAAAATAACCTAAGCATAACACGAAGTCGTATGCTTACCAAACGTTGTAAGTTTTCGTATGTATACATTTCTACTTTGCCATTCAATGGACTGTCATAAATCAAAGCTATTCGTTTCCCTCTTCCATTTTCAATATGTCGATCAAGGCAGTTATAACAAGTGTTCATCTCACCACCAACAAACCTGCAAAGAAAATTAGAGTTCAATTAAGCCAGCTTAAGCTCATCGTTATTGTTACCATCATGATAATAACACTAGGGATAATTAAATACAAGACTAAAGAAAGTCAAGATGCCATGCTTTCTGCCAGTTCTGTGAGAAATAATCAGAGCAACACGTTTTTGTTTTTCAGATTCTGATCATTCTCTTCTCATGTAATCGATTTACAATATCCATTTGATTTCAGCTCACCCAGTTGGAGTAAAATCTCATGACACGAATATATTTTGAACAAGAATCACGAACCATTTTGTAAAAGGCTGGTTGCTATTGTCCAGAACTTTCGTAAATGGCTTATACCAATTTATTTCTTCTGCCAACTCTGCCCAAAATTCTTCTGGTTCTTCTATGGACTTTTTGAACACCTCATCGTACTCACGAAGTTCTCTTTGCCTCTGTTGTGAGCTATGAAAATGGCGGATTGGAAGACCATGTAAACATGAGCATGACGTTCTCGCTGCATTCTGCAACGAGTTCCACAGATTCTGACGGGAAAGTTTTCTTTGCAATAGATTCAAGCGGGTAGTAGTCTGGATCAAACGTGATATTGACATTTTTCGGGGCGCATTTGCTGGCAGCCTTCAGACTGCAACCATGAAGGACGTTTACATTGCGTTACAATCAAAGGAGTCACGGTCACGGCTGTGTTGTCCTTCAGTTTCCACAATACATCGGTTATTAAACATGTGCTTCCCATGTGCTTCCCAAAGACTTCATCAATTCACGCACACCATTCAGATCGTTGTTTTAGACGAAGTATACCAGAAAAAACGCTGGTACGAACTGAAAATGATAAAATAATCGATCTCATTTGTAGCCTTGATGACCAAATCCCGCCGCACGTGCAACCGTGGGAATGGGGTGGAATAGCATCAGTTGTCATGCAAGACTTATGGAATGGTATAATTTATGCGGAATATGAAACCTGTGGAACGACGTCATCGAATAAATTTCAACCCACTCCCGTTCCCAACCTTCCCCATAAAATATACCATTCCCCTGGTCTTGCCACTTATGCCCTCACTCTTGAAGAAATTTAAAGGAGGGGTCCAATCTAACATACATTTTAAAAATATTGTAACGTTCATGCTGAGGAAAGTAGATGTATCCAAGGCAGTATAAAAAAGAAAGTCTTCCCTATTCGCTGGTTGCTTCCATCATATCGTCGTCATCAACCCTCGACACTGTTTAAGTAAGCACTAGTTCAAATCAAGTTCTTAAGTCCAGATCAGAAGTTGAACTTCTCGAGTGCCCAATCTAACACTTATTTGGACCAACCGCAAATTGATCAAATTCGATGTTGGTTCATTAGCTTTATTAGGGTCAAACTTGGAATACAAACTACCGGTATGTTATTGCGTAAGGTTTTTTTTCTTAAGCCGTACAGGGTTTGACACTTCATTGTTTTTCGTATTTTTCGGCCGTCAAATTTTAAAATTCGTTATCATTAAGGTTTCTACAGAAAGCGTGTGAATATTGTCCATGTTTGTGCGAGTGCATCATATGCGCAATTTCAACGCAAACCCTATGCACTCATTATTAATACTTTAGCCCATTTTTCATCCATCAATAAAACTTTCCGAAATCAGATCTCAACTGCCATTTCAATAAGGGTTACTTTTCAGCAGACAGTTCAATGAAACTTTGATTTACTCTCTATCAGTTGAGCCTCACACAGGAAATAACTACCTGCGAAAATCTTGTGGGGAAGATAAACTCGCTACTTATTGGCACTGAAAGTGGCACAAACAAATTAAGTCAAAAAGGAGAGATTAAAGAAACTGTTATAAGGAATTCAGTTCATTCTTCCTTAAGTTCTGATTCTTATCTGCGATATTTAGCTTTGAGTTCTCATTGGTCTCCTGTGAAATTCTTCCTTGTTCTAATTGGCTGTTACGATAACTTTGGTTCTTAATATACGACACTTAAATGCGTTTTATTTGCCAAGGCCAAATTGCAAACCAACGAACTATAGGGAGGGAAGTTATATTACGATTGCACAAGGCATAGTCCGCTTTTTTAGCAATTTTGTTTCAAGTTCTAAACCGGACATTTTAGTTCAGAGTAACGTAATTACCAGACTTAAGTGTCGATTTTAAGCAATGGAAGATATTAGCTACGCTTGTCCTCGCCAAAAATTCATAGAAGATCCGGGAATTCAATGGCGTGAAGGGAAGCCTGATTTTACTCAGGTTAATAAAGCCTATTTAGAGGGTAGGACAAGAATCCATAGGGATGGTTCGTTAGAGAAGATTGTCGAGGATCTCGTGAAATCATGGGAAATGGAAGCTTCGCATAAAACTAACACTGAGGTAAATAGAGAGGTCTTATGTTCTTAAACATAATTACAGGAAAATATGTGATGTATTTAAAAATCAATTGAACTTTTTCTTGATGTCGTGTAATATCTTGTAATCATGGCTAAAGAGAGAATCATAAATTTTCAAAGCTGAGATAAATAAATAGAAGAGCTGATAGTCACTATGACACAGCATATTTGTGAAACTCATATCGAAAAACAAAGCAAAATTCTAAGATATACAACCTTTCATTCACAGTTGGAGGATATTGGAACACTCCAACTTAACTGTGACGACATCTTATTAAAGCCAGATCACGTTTTTTCAGCGCTTACTTAAAAAAAAATGGATGATAGTATGTACATTGAGAATTGAGTTGAAAGTTGAAACGTTTCCACGGTCTGTTTGTTTATTTATTAATTTGTTTTCGACAAAAGGATTGGCAAAGTGTTGACACAGAAGCTTTCACCATCCGCGGGAACAACCAGCGCTCGTTTTCTTTGAAGGAATTGATTGAAGAGGGAAACTACAACGTACTGATGCAAAACCAGCCGCTGTACAACAATACCGATCATTCGTTTAAATCGTCACATGATTTGTTCAGGTCTGCATTCGACCAAGGGTTTCCATGGGAACTGATAGAAGTATTTTCAGGTAAGTTTAGCAAGTACATATTGATACTGTACTCCTTAGTGGAGATGAAACGCCGTTATATGACGAGGCTACAAAAACATGCCAGGTTTTTCTAAGTACAGTGATTAGTTTTCACTTATGTGGGTGTTTTGTCCCTCAGGTCCCCCAAAAGTGGCCTTTTCGTGGCGCCATTGGGCCCACTGGACGGGCCCTTACAAAGGAAGGGCTCCAACGGGGGAACTGCTTGAAATGTATGGAATGGCTGTGGCCGAGGTGGACGAGAACCTAAAGATCAAATCAATCGACGTTCATTATGATCCTAACCAGCTTTTGATGAAGTTGGAAGGAAAAGAATTGTTGAAGTAGCTGCAGAAGCATTATAAATGGTTAAGTGTCCTCAAACTTTGTTGCTCATATTTCAAAAACTGTCCGTTCGATAACATTAACGGGAACAAAAACCGCGTTAGTGAATAAAAACTCTTACAAATCTCAACTGGGAGAAGTCACGAAAACAAACAAAAAAAGACAATCATAAGGTTCCTTTAGCCACCATCGTTCCCAGGGTCTCTCTTAACTGTCTCTCTCTCATCGACGACGGAGGTAACAGAAACGGGATTTTCCATCACATTGTTTGAGGGAAAACTATGTTGGGAATAAAGGAACCCACACTGTCGCTTTTCCCATTCAGATTTTGATTTCTTGGATCCTCTCGCGAACACAACAAAGTTATATCTCAGACTGACTAAAACTACAATCAACCGTTCTTTTATCTTATGGACACACCTTAATCAAATGTAAGCTGATTTCCTATAAAGATCTCTCAGACAAAAGATAAACAGACTTATTCATCAGAGCCGACATGACGTGACGCTCGATTTCTAGGCCGATTTTTCACAATTATTACATTAACATTAGCTTAATTCAGTACTAAGTATCCTATTTCCGACGTTTAAAATATTCTTTTATTTTGGTTCTTTAAGAATTCCGCGGCGCAAATACTCAAGCGATAGAGCGCCGTCTAATAGTTTATCATAAATACAGTGTCATAGTTCTTTGCTCTCAGAATATTTTGTTCAGTGCGTTTAAGTTTACATCAGTAAATTCATAACATGATACTGTTGTTTCAAGTCATTTTATCTGCTCTGATTAAGTTCTTGTTTGTTAAAGCACGGAAATGAAGACTAATTTCTTTAATAGTTTATTTAAATTAAGATAACTTCTTTACAAACTAGAGGAGAAAAAGTTCCTGAGCAGTCGGAGCGCTAGCCTTGGGACTCAGAGGTCTTGGGTTCAACTAAATCAGTCTGGTGCTTACCAAACTATTTCATGGGTTACTTCGAGTCCCTCCTTGACGGTATTCTGTAATTGCGTTCGACGAAGGAGAACGCATACTAATCGTGTCGTTTTAACGGAAATCACTCTCGAGGGTTTTATGGACCAGTCCCAAGGGGACCGATTGTGATGCCATGTGATTTCAGGCATTGGGCGCAATTTTGGACCGGCGGACTGGCTGGCTGGCTATGTGTCACAAATAGCCTCGATCTCATGTGCAAATGTTTTCTCAGCCGCCTTGAGCTGAAGACACCGATTTTTTTTTCTGCGCAATCACTACAATGAAAAAACCTTTTACTAGAGATCGAACGCACTTTACTAATCTTTGATTATTGCTAGTTAACAAATAGATTCCATGTTACTGTGCACCTGTTCAGTGATTACAGATGACGTCAAAATGTGAAAAGAACAAAAAGTGGCAAACAAGGCACAGTCGAGTGTGTCAGTGATGTTTTTATCACATTTTAACTTTTTTTGTGATCTCTTGCTAGTTGAACAGACCCATGCCAGGAAAATGGAATCATTTTGTTTTTATATAATATAATAGTTACCGTATCTCTACGTCTGTCCACCAATAATTCATGATAATCTGATAAAAAAAACAATAAAAACGCATGTATAGTTCATCTTATTACATGAATATAACTAACTATGTGGCCTGCCTCCCGCCACTTCAGACTTTTAACCAATCTTTTGTTTATTAGAAGTGTTTTTCAACTCTCTATTTACATTTGCCTCGGAAAACTCGCCGATTACATTATCATGTTAAAATAAACCACTTCTCTTCTCTTATTTCATGTCATTTGAATTAATCCTATCTTAATTTGATTTATAATAAAGTTCGGACATAACGCGCGTTGTCATTAGACATAACGCGCGTTGTCATTAGTTGAAAGAGCGTGCTCTATGAGAGTAGAGAGCATAGAGCTGAGCTAAAGCTGTCACGTCATCTGCCAAATTGTTCTATGTTCGACCTTTTCCGAGACTATTCTCTGTTTTTTTTTTTCAGACAAAGGTTTGTTTACATGCCAGGCGCCGCAATTGGCGTTATTATAACCGGTGAGTAGAGACGAAAATCCTCAAAGAGAAAACGAAATGGACAGTCCGAGTTTTGTATTTTGAAGGTTTTCACACTCAGTTAGACCGCAAGCTTACGTAAGGTAATAAAATCAAACACAGCTACACTTGCGTAGTATATATAATTCCGTGTTCAAAAGCAAAACAGAACAAAACAGGAATGTTGAAAAATATAGCCAAACTGGAAGAACAGAGCACAGTCAAGGCTTCTCTATTTGTTTTTTAATAAAGAATCCGTTAAATTTCCCACGCATTACTTTCAATTTCCAAAACAAATTTCATTTCTAAAGCGAACAACAATGTCGTCAGCATGCTCTAGACTCTCATAAAGCACGCTACAATAGGCCAATCAGAATCCCTGTTAGAATGGTTCAAATAATCTGATTGGCTGTACAAGACTAAAACTGTCAAAATGTCAAAACCATCGAAGTTCAAAAACCATCAAAGTCAGTCACATTCTGCAACCATACTCGCTGCAGTAAGTAGGAGCTAGCGAGGGGTCCAGTATTTTGATAAGTGCCAATTAAAGGTCTTTGTAGGAATTTGTTGTACTGTGATTACGTCAAGATGAAGGAGGGGCTCCATTATTACAAATATTCTGGAAATATCGTCATAGGCAGTATATAAACAAGAAAGTCTCTCCTGTTCTCGAGTTGCGTTTATCACATCAGGGTCATCTTCCCTGGACGCTGTTTAAGGTGAGCACTGTTCAAAATATATAGTTATCACTACTGCTGGGAAAGTTTTCACTGCTGATAATCTATTATTAAGAAGTTAACTGATGTTTATTGCACTAATATGTGATATTATTCATCGGTATACCTTCTCCAGGTATCTAAAAAAAGGGAACTTGAAAATCAACAAAACTACTACTATGGGAAAATACTTCATATATTTCTCCGTTTGAAATGATCCTATAAGATGACCCGCAGTTTTGACATACTTTCATTGTACGTTTGCTTTCTAAGAGAGGAGTGCATGGCCAAGACCAGTAGATCTTAATATTACTTTTAAATATTCACTTAAATAATCCGTTATGTAACACAAATCACAAATTGCTATTTTAACGTTTGTGTACGTGTTCGCGGTTGATCAAATGAATCCGTGCCGTCATCCTGCACAGCCTACGCACCATGTAGTATTCAATTCATGTTCTTTGAGGGAATTCTTTTTGCCCCGTCAAACACGTTTTAATCCTTGTCTACAGCATTTAAGAATTATTGGACGAGTTCTAGCAAATAAGGTGATTCATATTCTTAGAGGAATAAGTTAATTATCCAGGAGCCCATGTAATGGCTCCTGAATTAGCCCATGCCTCCATCTGCTCCATGCCTCCAGGCTAGATTTTGACTGACAACCCCAAACAGATTCATATCCTTGTTTGTTCGCTGTGTTATGCAAGAGTGGTGTGACGAGGGATGATTAGTCGTCTGTGGCGAGCAGAAGAATTATTTACCAAAGCTAAATAGCAAGAAGATCATAACTAGTTCCCAAGGGAGATTTAGTCCATTTAACTTCTATTTATAAACCTGCTGAACATTTTCGACGACAGGAACGTTACAAGAAGACATTAGCATTCGTTCAATGTTATGCAATGGCAGACAACACTTACGTCTGTCCTCGCCAAAAATTCATGGAGGATCCGAGCATTGAGTGGCGTGAAGGCAAACCTGACTACACCAAGGCCAATAAAGCTTACTTAGAGGGTAGGACAAGAATTCATAAGGAAGGTTCGTTAGAGAAGATTGTCGAAGATCTGGTGAAATCATGGGAAATGGAAGCTTCACATAAAACTAACACTGAGGTAAATAGAGAGATGTTATTTTCTTAAACATAATTACCCGACGGTTAATACTTTCTGTTAAGTATAACACAATTGTCCTTTTTCTCTCAGTATGCATGTGATGTATTTAACATCAATTGACTTTTGTATTAATGCCAGTCAACTGGCGTTGTATGTTCTGTAATCATAGTACAAGGGAGTATGAGGAAAATCAAAAATCTATCTTGCAGAAAGAAAGAAATATCAAATAGATCGTGACCACGGTACAAATTATTTGTGAAACTCATTTAGAACTTACCAACTGAACTGTGACCACAACATAATGTGAACCAAAAAGTGGATGATAGTGGTGTGTTTGATTTCGTGTATATACAGGTTAGTATGAATAAAAATGAAACCAGGATACGAAGAGAACTGAGATGAAAATTGTTAGTTTGATTATCGTTGCAGAGCCCATCAAAAGAACTTGCAGTAGTAGTGAAATTACAAGATCTACATTTCATTTTATGCACGAACGCACTTTGACTTCATGCTTATCATTTTTTAAAAAAAAGATATATTCAGATGTTCTTTACTTTCTGTTCTTCTATTCTTTTTTTTTTTGCAAAAGGATTGGCAAACTGTTGACACAGAAGCTTTCACCATCCGCGCGAACAACCAGCGCTCGTTTTCGCTGAAAGAAGGGATTGAAGAAGGAAATTATAACGTACTGATGCAAAACCAGCCGCTGTACAACAGTAACGCTCATACGTTTGAATCGTCACATGATTTGTTCAGGTCTGCATTCGACCAAGGGTTTCCATGGGAACTGATAGAAGTGTTTTCAGGTAATTGAAAGATTTCAGTGTTAAGGTTTGTTCAGGTTAGCCTCTTGACTGGCAATACCAAGTCTAGCGGATATATATTGATATTCCTAAGTAGAGATAGATAAACATTTTTATATGACGAGACTGCTAAAACATGCGGAGTTTTTCAAAGTGCATTGATTAATTTTCACTTATGTGGGTGTTTTTGTCCCCTAGGACCTCCACGGGTGGCCTTTTCGTGGCGCCATTGGGCCCACTGGACGGGCCCCTACAAAGGAAGAGCCCCAACGGGCAAACTGCTTGAAATGTATGGAATGGCTATGGCCGAAGTGGACGAGAACCTAAAAATCAAATCAATTGATGTTCATTATGATCCTAACCAGCTTTTGATGAAGTTGGAAGGAAAGGAGTGTTGAAATAGCTGCAGAAGCAACGTACGTCTACGATGAAGCGTCACATGACGCTCATAGCTCAAAATGGTCCAAAAACTGTCTGTTGAATTAAATTTGAGAGAAAGAAAATAGCTTTAGCGCATAGTAACTCTGTGGCTTGTTTGCGGTAAGCAAGAAATATTTTTTTAACTAGGAGACGTCATGGTAGCAATTAGAAGACGGTCTTGAGGTTTCTTTAACCAACATCGTTCCCAGGATCTCTCTTACTCGTCTCTTTGCCGGATTGACGACGGAGGTAACAGGAACGAGATTTTCCACCACACTGAGCAAGCGAAGACTGACCCATGTTAGAATCCCTTGGTGCAAATATTCCAACAGTACAATTCAACATGGCCTTTCCACACATAATATTTTCTGTTAGTGTATTCAAGTTTTAAATGGTCAATTAATTCATTACATGATACTGTTATTTCAAATCATTTATTGCACGGTTTTAAAAGTTCATGCTTTGCAGAAGCTCATAGGGTTCTTTACACTGTAACAGCTGAATGCATTTAAGACTGCACAGAGAAAAGAACTTTACTCGGGACTGCTTCACTGACCAAACAGTTTTCAAACAGTCTGTCATTAACATGAGCCACGTCTACAATAACTTGATAATTTCTAAAACAGCATTTTACGTGCCCCTTCGCTTCATTTATACTTTAAACTAATAATATTTCTTGAATAGAGTTTGTAACTTAGATTCTATGTTCTATTATTCTCTGGATTCTATATCAATTTCTTGTTTACTCGTTGAACCTGTTTTCTTCCTCTTCATTATGAAACAACTAAACAATTTATTTGGAAATACGTATCTTCCGTTCAAAAATTAAACGAGCCATTACAGGTCCTTAGCGATAAATCATATTAGTTCTGTGCTACAAGAGAAAAAAATAACACACCGCACGACATCTTAAAGAAGGCGTGAGTTTTTCCATTTAACATGGTGGCCTTCGTAACATGTGATCATAAATTGTGAGGGACTAGCTCAATGTATGGAACGGCAATTTTCCCCAACATAAAAATTACAATGAATGTGACTTTTGCATGTGTGAATGAATGTAATATGAAAATGGAGATTTCGTGAAAAATAAATATTAAAAAAGACAGGTTCAACAAGTAACCCAAACAAGTTTCTTTTGTCTTGGTCCGTTTTCTTTTACGGATGATATATGCGTCTTCTCTGTTCTTGGCAAGTTAACATCAACGTTTGGATATCATCGAACATGGCGTTTGGTTCATAAGGTGCAGTGTACCGGGCAAATGGCTGGCCATCGTGATCTATTAATATCTTTTCAAAATTCCAGTTGATGTCATTGTTCCGAACAGGTGACCAGCGGATGTTACTCAGGTCATCTATGAACCCGTCTGGGGCGGGACAACGGGACTGAAGAGAAAAAATGATACAAATAATTCAATGATCTTGCAGAAATGAATTGAAACATATCTGTGGCTTGTTCAAGGCTCTCAGTCAGTGAAGACCAGCCGAACAGTAAGTGAACAACAAACGACGGCTGCGGTTGTCGGGGAAACGACCTCCAGACGGAATGTCTCCTTACACTATCTGTTTCTTTATTTGTTTTTTTAATAAAAAAAACTCATGTTTTCTTCTCGTTTTCCCTGAATGTGACCTTGGTTCATTACTTTGGCTTTGTGTTGGTGGATTCCCTGTGACTGCTCGGAACTCAACAAAAATTGGAATGCAAGCAAAGTCATCACTGTGAATGGGACTAATGAGCATTTGCCCTTCTCGCGAGTCTTGCTTTTTTATTTTATTTTGGGATTTAAGATTTCTTTTAATAAAAAGAAGCCTCCTGACAACATCTTTATTTATGTTTTTCAGCGCCGTGCTCAGATGATTTTTTTTTTCATTACTTTTAAGGGTGCTTACAGAGGCGGCAACGAGCGTTTTTAAATGAGCGCTTGGCAAAAAATGCTGATGATAATTTTAAAATATGATAAAAATAATAGGAACCTTTGCATCTGGGCATTGACTTGCTCACTGTCCTAACGCTGAAAACAAATATCGAGTGGAAAGGGAAATATATATACGCCTTTCACTCTATAAACTGTGACGGACGACATACTCTAATACCAAACTAACAACAAAGATTGAATAGATATCGATAGCGTCGCTGAATATATTCCGAAAACCTCATGAACGAAAATAATCCTAGAACGAATCGCACGTTTGTGATGAACTCAAAAACCAAGCAGCGTACGTTTCCTTTCCTATAGCTATCATTGGTGAAGAAAATATCGTATTCCTAGAGTCGAAGATATATAATACTACGCGTGCTTTCTGCATGAATTTTATTTAGATTTAAGGCGTCTGTTTCCATTTGAATGATTACGCCTTTCATAATGAAATATTCACGAAAATAGGTCGGTTAACTTTGGTTTTGAAATGATCAGTTCGTAACTCATATTGTGATTTAGCTTTTTCCTCAGTGTGTGTTGTGTGTAGTGTGACAAGTGCTTCCCTAAACAAAATTTTCGTGCGCCAATTTCTCAGACCTGATTTTATCACTTCATCATCTGTTCATACTAGGGTTATCAATCATGCAAAATAATGCTGTTCTCTTTAGAGGCCATGAATGTATAACATTTCATCGCCTTACAACAATGTTCCTTGATCATTGATGGAATTAAACCTTTATAAGACTAAAAGAAATATAGCTCATACGAACTCACCTTAAAAAAACTATAAATTTTGTCTTCTTTCTTGCCATTCACGTCTCTTTTCTCGAACAATGGGAAATTGGGAACGAAACCGTGTCCTGGCCGAACATATTTCAATCCGTTCATGAGCTCGTATGAATTTTCGGCTGGCTCTTGGAAACCAAACTGGTTACATGGAAAACCAACAATTCGAAGTCCACATGCATTTGGGATTCCATCTTCTGATCTCCAGAGTTTTTTTTGTAATGCATTCAGTTGATAATATTGTAAAGTGTAACCTCAAAAGGTAGCGACATTCACAGCCAGCACAACATGTCCGTGAAATTCGCTCATAGAGACATTTTTCCCATTCAGATCTTTGGCAGTGAAGTCGTAAAAAGACTCCGCACTGTTAAGATGACAAAGGGATCTTGATTTACGTCTTTGAGAGCCGTTCAGCCCGCCTATAAAAAGGCAAAAAACGGCGAACAACGACCAAAGATCACTCATCGTATCCACTCATCCGTACAGATGCAGAAAATATAATTGAAGATTGAGGGCGGTTATTTTCATGTAAATGACCTAAGCTACGTAAGAGATCAAAGCTCTCCACACCTGTCTCAAAATTTAACAAATAAGATAGATTTGTCTATTTTTCTTCTTCCTGAATGGACAGTTTTTTTACCAGTAAAATTAATTCTACGAAACATTAAACCGACAACTGAAGTGGCAACAAGAAAGTCATTGGAAATAAAATGAAATTTCTCTCGGAGATGAAATAAAAAAAGGGTCTGGTCAACTAATATCAAATATCACCTTTAGTACATTCAGTACCATAATATTTGAAGAAAAGATTGGATTCCGCATTGAAAACATTTAAGCAAATAATGAATATTTTCTCGGGTGTGTGTCTGTTACTAGGGTGTTATTATTTTCTCAAGTCAGTTCAAATCAAGAAAATTCTGCTGTCTCGACCATTAAAAAGTTAGGACTGAGAAAGGGTAATTGCACTCTCAAAAGAAGATTCACGTGGCCTCGAAACATCACAATTTTCCCCGTCCAATTATCAAGTAAAACTAATTGAGCTTTTAATCGATTTTTTCAAAAATCCTTTTTCTTAAATTTTCAATAATCGCCTCCTACAGAACCTGCTACCAACAGCGGTCGATATCGCGCTAAACTCTTTTTTTCCATCTGCACTGTAAATAATCGTTGGGTCACTAAATGGAAAGTTGCTTTTCGAGCGACAATAGAGCCACCGGTCTGTAAGTTCGAAGCAAGGACTACAGCTTATGTTATTTTATTTTCTGTTAAATATTACAATGCCAAGTGTCTCAATTCTCATTTGCGGAAAAATAAGAAATCCGAAAATCGTTCAGGTGTTTAGCATTTCGCGTTTGTGATGGTCATTATCTCTGACGCTTGTTTTCTTGCTTCTTCGTCTATCACTAGGAACATTTCATTGCCAAGCCGAACCCTTGGTATGTTTCTTCTCTTTATGCCGACTCTTTTTTTAACACCAATCTTCTCGTAAAAGGCAACCAATTCATTTTTGCAGCCTCCGATAATTTCTTTTGCTCCGAGACTGGAAGCTACTTGTAGTGCGTATGCACACATACTCTTGCCCAGGCCCTGACCACGAAACTCGGGCTTTACAATAAGGGAGGACAGCGTAACGTTATGAGCTATACTTGATGTAGGCGTCTCCAATATTTCAAACTCGTCGATAACTTTCGGATTTAGCAGCGATGGATCTAAACCAGCAACCTCCATAGACTGTTGAACTGCGGGAAACGGCAATCCCATCTTCAGCATTCTTATAAATTTATTCAAGTCAGGTGGCCTAGAGGTGGAAGTCTCTCGTAAAACACAATGAGCGATAACTTGCTTCACTCCATCGAACGTCCCCAAAGCAACCAAATGACAGGGGAAGGCATCACGTGACTCGATCATACTGGATGTACGCACATAGTTGGGTTCCTCAATACCCTCCGCGGTCACAGGTACTGACCACTCTGACGTCACGAGAGACGACGCATCTTTGGTATACTGCGGCACAACGTGAAGTTTGTAAAACTCTACATTGGTAATACGTGCAACATGGCTGCGTTTATACCAAAACCAGCAGATGGCCATGGTTAAAATGGCTACACCCCAAGGGACACTGTACCCCATAACTACAGCAACACTCACAAGTACCACACAAAGCATCAAAAACGACAATTGTTTTCCGTTTGCCATTATGCAACTTCCAGATGTTTACTGCTACTGCAGCTGGCACAAAATTCCTGGAAAAGGGAAAGAAAAATTTAAAATAAAGAGACTATATGTTTTAGGAGGAATTGGTTTTTTGTCGATAACATTTACGTTATCACCCCAAAAGCTCTCAAACTGCAATATTCCTATGATCCCCCTAATGTTGGCAGTTGAGTGCCAGTCAATTCTAGTCCCACCTTTATAATACGCTGGTGACGACTGTTCCCCTCCTCCGTTCTCCCTGATAACCATGTGATCCCCCAAAAATCCTTTAAACCCCACCCAGGCGATGAATGTCCTTTACGGCAACCACTTTTAGCTGATTATAGACATTAATCACGGAAAGTGCATTGGAGTTCACATCGAGGGGTACATTACGCGTGACAGAGGAGACATCGCGACTCACGTGCCTCTTACGTCTTAGTAATCTCATTAGAAAGGCAAGAAAAAAAATCTTTCATAGGAAGTACGATTCGACGTTCTCGGAAAATCTCGTGCAGTTCCTTGACGAAGTTATTTGAGGTCTTCTTTCGAATGTTACAAGCTCGTGCGCGCATGTAATTTTCCTTTGCGCAACTTCTGTGCAGACAATAGGAAAGCCGGATAAACAGGCATCCTGGTTCATTTCCGGGCGTTGCTGCTCAAGTCAGAGTTTTCTTGTGGTAACAGAGAGATCTAAAGGCCATGAAAATTTCCCACATCGGCTACAGAGATTGCGTTTTGCTGATGTGAAGGGTTCTTAAACCGCCCTTGGATTCAGGTTTCAAACAGTTAGTAAACACAAACGAATTAGTGTAATGTGCCAGATGATCAAGGTTTCTAGGATAGCCCCCGAAGCTTTGCATGCGGTTCGTGTTGTCCTTAAGTATAAGATGAAAGATTGAAGTTTTTTAAGAAAGGACCACGTCAGCGCTGCACGAAATTATGTGCATATATCCTGGCTACGCCTCTCTCTGCTCTGCTCAAAACTGGGGGGGGGAAGGAATCTTCCCAAGTGAAGGGAGGGGTGGGAAGGGGATTGGAAGCTAGAAATTGTTCGTGAAAATGGCCCTAAAATGATACATCCCTGAGATGTAGACAAACTGTAATCAAATAAAATCACAAATGTGATGTTCGTAGAACCTCGCATAGGCAATTTGGGAAAAGAGAATCCATATACTGATGGTGCTAACAAAGGTTTCACAGATATCGCACGTGCACCACGGTGTTGCATCGACTTTGCGAGATTTAATACGTCAAAAAACCTTTTGAGTCAACTTAGCTTAGTTCAATAAGTAAAATTAAGCTTTTATAGGCCATCTGTTTAAATAACAATAAAGGGGGTAAGTTTTTAGAGAAACTGTGGTGCTGCGTCGGTGGGAGAGTATAACGGGGTAATTTGGCATCATTAACTGAGTTGATAACGTAAATTGTCCACCTTAAGGAGTTTCAAAGCTGACGTTTCGAGCGTTGGTGGTCGTTATCTGACGAAAGACTAGCGCTCGAAACTTCAGCTATGAAACTCTTTACGATGGCCAATTTACGTTATCAACTCAGTTGATAATACCAAATTACTCTTTTTAGATAACAAAACAGAAGTCTGATTACTAAATAGCGGCCTCAGAATTAAGAATCTTGTACACCACATCATAACAATGGTTGGCAATAGCTACCCCCTACTACAAAGGATTAAGTCGAAAAGAGGTTTCAGTATGAAAAACACTTCCGACGCGTCTCAAAAGTTAGGAATTATGATAAGCTAACGCTGAGAAATATTCTTTACATTGGAAATCCATTCACTCATTTCCTGGATTAACTGCATGATTAGGCTTGTCGCGGCATAAAACAAACTTTCCATGTTTACTGGGTAAACTAAAGATAATTCACTTTGGTGATCCTAGCTTGCGCAAGTCAAATGAGCATTGAAAAGAGAAGCGTGCAAAGAACTTGTTATTGACAGAGTTTGACGGGTGAAGTGAATACCCATTAGACGTGACTACTAATCTATGAGGAAGACAGATGATTTTTAATCAAAACAGTTATAGTGTATAATTAATCCACGAAGATAGCGCTTTTATCAATCTCCAGTTTTCTCTCCGCGTTTTTTCATTATTTTTTTACGCTCTCGCGATAGGCTAAGACCAGAACAAAACGCACACACCCAGTGTTCTGTAAAACTGGCTCTACGCTAGTGCACGCCGGAGAGAGAGAATTCCTTCACATGCCACACAAGGTCTTTATTGTGACTCACGTGGCGTTCTGACTAAATTATTGTTGTTGGCTATGTTTGAAAAAGATTACAGCTTGTAAGCCCCACTTGAATGAAAGTTTGTTGAGACAAAAAAAAATCACACAGATTGCTTTTTTAATAAACACTTTGGCATTATGATTATAACAAAAGAGTATCTGAAATGTTATTGTGGTTGTATAGCTGGGTTGTATGTGTAGACATGCACCATAACAGCGCCTTTAGGTGCCTTCACGGGCCTTTGGAGTTTTGTGCATTATGCTAGATCACGTAGCATCCTTTAAAACTTGGAAGTTCTTCTCTGGAGCCTGTTTTAACACCTAATACACCTAAGGGGAAAAATTTTCCATTTCTTGTCCCGCCCCTTTTCTTTTGGTACATATGTATAGCATATTCAAGCCCGTTGAGAGAACGAGGTTTTTGTTACATGAAATAAAGCAAATCAAAACGTGACATTTTTTTCTGAACTTAGCGCTATTTTACGAACAAAAGAAAAAAAACGGGCAAAACAAAATTACTTTTCTCCTCTCTCATCTATGGGATTTCTCTTGCCATATTTACCCTTAAAGACTTCTGCAAATGCCCCCCAGATGTCTGCCAACGGGTAAAGTTTGTTCGCAACAAACAGAAAGACGGACTGACCCCCCGATGGCTGCATTATGAAATGTTGCCGAATGTCTGACGGGGTTTGACATGCAATGGCCTTTGACAAAATCTTAATGAAATTAATGTTTTATCCCCAAAGTAACCTTTATGTTCAGGAAAAGAAAGAAAAAACCAACATCACGATAACAAGAAAACTGTTTCCTCTTCTTGCGGTCACAAGACACTGCATCTTGACGCACGCGAGGATCGGAAATGACTGTATGAAGAGCGCCAACGTTTCAGACAAAATGCAACGTTAAACGGAGCATCAGATTTTCAAAGAAAAAAAAGCCATCAAAAACTGCAATGTAATCTTGTAAGTAAAAATTGACACTGAAAAAAATATTCCAGCATCCCTTCTTTCCCTTGGAGGCATACATCACGAATCTCACGTGAAGGAGAAGGAAGAGAAACCAACAGGTATTTCTTGTCACGTTTTGTTTACTTGACACAAAACCGGTTTGACGATCTTGTTTCATCGTTTTCATCAACTGCCAGAAGGGCTTAGTCATGCTCGTATCTGATTGGTTCCCTAAAGAAATCTTGAGCTGACAGCCAATCAGAAAAGGGGACGTACGTGGGATTGAGAGGGGCGGTAACTAGGCGTACAACACGCAAAACGAAACTATATTTATCGACGCAATCGAGCTCACCATGATGTCTGTCGAATTGTTCTTCGTTTTCTAGTGAGATTTCGCCTTAAATTCCCGTTGTTAAAAGTCAAGAGGAAAATTTTTAGTCATGGCTGAAGTCCAAGATCTGAATTTAACGTTTTCTGGATGTGGTTTTTTGGGAATCTATCATCTCGGAGTTGTGTCTTGCTTGAAAGAAAACGCTCCGGCGCTCTTGAAACGAGTAAAATGTTATGGCGGCGCGAGTGCTGGTTCCTTTGCCGCAATTGCGTTGCTTTTAGACTTAGATGTTAGTGACAGTGCTGAGTTTGTAATCAGACTGGCTAAAAGAGCGAATTCTTTAACGCTAGGACCCCTTCATCCAAGCTTCAATGTCGTCAGAACTCTTCGTCGATCATTCGAAAGGATTCTGCCTCCCAACGCACATGAACTCGCCAGTGGAAGGCTTCATCTGTCGTTAACAAGAATTTCTGATCTCAAAAACGTTATTGTGTCTGAGTTCTTCTCTAAAGAAGATCTTATTGAGGTGAGTTATGTTTCGTAATAATCATCTATGTCGTAAATTCATGGTCAACTTGATTTGCATTTCTGGCATTGTCGCTTCAGACGGTGTAATAGTCGCCCAAGCGCGGGATGGAATTTGCATAGAATGTAGCCAGGGTCATTCCTGGCCAGTGGTTCCCGTTTAAAGAAAAAATTTATCATCAAGGACCATTTATTGACCTGTTTTTTCCAGCAACAAAATTCTAAAAACCTTCTCGCGTGCTTTTCGTAAGGAGCGTGGTATTTTCCAGTTGCGTAATATGAAACTCGTGTGATAAAACACTGGGAGAGCGACACTATGATCCTATTTTCATGAAGAGGAAGTTTTAATTACAATTTTTTTGAGTTTAGGAACTTATTTCATTTTTAAGGCTTAGCTGTTTTCTGTTGCTCACCAAAATAATTTATTCGTGTGGGAAATTGCGCAGCGTGAGTGGAGTGTTTGTCTTAGCTTTGTGACGATTGTATGTAAAATAATAATCAGCTCACAGCGTCGCATGTTTTGAGGATTTGTTTTGGCTGTAAGAGTGTTTTCCTGCTGTTCAAAGAGGATATTAGAAATATTTTAGAGCATATGCCCCACCATGTTAATCTATTTCCTACCCTTTTTGTTCAGAATTAAACCCAATTTTACGGTTGAAAAAAGATAGACACTCGGTTGCTTATGTATGCAAACATTTAAATATTCCTGACTAACCAGTATTTGCAATATTAATCAATCATTTGCATGGTATTTGGATGGCATGCTGTAACCTCTTAACAGTTAACTTGACACTTGAGAAATAACAATTTATCAGCCCATTGTTAGTGGAAAGTTCTGCTTGCATCCGTTGAATTGTACAGTGGTTAAGTTCGGCAAAAGCCAAAATATATTTGATGCATCTTTGAATAAATGTTTAGGTTCATCTACATAATTTGTATCATCTCATTTTAATATGAAAAACTCAGCAGTGTTTTTGACAAGTACAATATTGTAGACAGCACAATAATGAAGACAGTCTCATGCAGTCTCACATTATTGTAGGCAGCAAAATAACAAAGGCAGTCTCATGGGCTACCACCAAAAGAGAAATAGATGGTTGATTGTAAGAATTTTAAAACGTCTACACACCTAAGTATTGGGTACCCTTTGTAATGGAAACATCCCACAATCTCATCTCAAGTTGCATTCCATTGCCACTAGTTACATAACCAACAAATTAACTAGTCAATTTTGGGTTATAACCAATCACGATTGCCCTTAAATCACAGACATCTGAAAGTTGTTCTCAATTCTAAACTGCTGTAGCATAGAAAATGGTGAAAATTACAGTGCAATTATTTTGCCTCTGATACACATCACTATTTAGTGTGTAGCTTAAATCTTCTCAAAGACCATTTCAATTAGATTTTTCCAATCAGGCAGTACTCTTTCTACACCTCATACCATCTGTTTTCAACAATGTGAGTGTCGTTGTTATGTTTTGTTGAATTTTCCTAAAAGGATAGATGTCATTTCTCCAGTAGCATTCTTCGTTAATTCTTTTTGTTACACCTCTTAGAACAGGAGGCTTAAGTCAGAATGAAGATTGTTGTTTAAAACACTGTTTTGCTGCTTTTCCAAAGACACTTCTGAAATACCTAGCCTTTATTGAAAACAACTGCTGATGTTTTAAAGTAAAACATCTTGTACAGGCTCATAATTCCAAAATTGTGAATTAATGCCTCTTTGTACTAACAACAACAGAAGGCAGATCCGTTGCATCACCTTACTCATGACCTCACACCATAAGTACTTCATTTTTGTGAGAGTACATATTATTTAAAACACTGAATGATGTTATGTACTTTATGCTTTGTTTCAGGCTTTGATTGCTAGCTCATATGTTCCTTTCTACTCTGGATTCCTTCCTGCAAAATTTAGGGGAAAGGTAAATTTTAACATCATGTCATGTGGTTTAGTTTCCTGTTTTTCTTCTTGTTGAGTAGGATTAAGTTGCAGGATTAATGATATTATTTCAATATGTGGGGTTCAGACATAATTGCTGATAGGTAAATAAGATTTTCCTTCCAGTAGACAGTCAGTCACAGAAAATAAAATACAGTTGAAAAATTTCTTTGGACCACAGTTGGTGTTTTACTGGCTGTAATGTGGGATGGGGATTCTACTGTTACATTCTTGCAAAAGTGTAAAAGGAATGAAAAAAAGGAAGATCTGAAACTTGAAAATTGACTCTAGCTAATCTGTGATAAGGGCATAAAAAGAATCCTGTGAAGGGCAAATCGTATAGATCTCCCTTCACAGACCTCCCTTAATTGAATTATTTGGAGACAACAATTGTTTACTTACAGCTTTAATCTCACAACTGCTTTCAAACACTGGAAAGGTTATTTATAGATCCTCTGTTACACAGAAGATGATGTCATTGTTCAGAAAAATTATTAAATTTCATGGGGTTGGCATGTAAATTTATTAGAGACCAAAATTGTTTCTAATCAACAGAATTGTGTTTTCAGTACTATGTAGATGGAGGGATTTCTGACAATCTCCCACAGCACTTCAAAGAAGGTGAAACCATAACTGTTTCGCCTTTCAGTGGTGAGAGTGACATCTGTCCCAAGGACAGTTCTTCAAATGACTTCCACATTGAACTTCGAAATACCAGCATGCAGTTTACGCTACAGAACCTGTACAGGTGTTCCCGTGCATTCTTTCCTCCACAACCAGATGTACTTTTTGATATGTGCAAGCAAGGATACAGAGACACGCTGAGATTTGTGAAGCAGCATTGTAAGTAGACATGTCTAGATGCACTGTTTCCATTCAAAATATTCTTTGTATGTCTGTCATAAGTTGATATGTGAAAGTTAACAAACCTAAAGATTTTATAATTATTCTAATTTTACTGCCATCCTCATCATTATCATTCTGGTGAAGCTATGGAAGCCTTAAATTTGAGTTGTTACACAGGTATGACTACTTAAGGCAAGTTTACAAGAGCATTTCAACTGATCAATGAGTGAATTTAACACAGTGACAGATATGGGACAGTCATTCAAGGCATTGTGTGTTGTTCATGTTATTCAGTTAACATAGAGTTTTGCTGTTTTTCTTTCCAGATCCAGAGACTCTAAAGAAAGTCCCAGTCCAAAGGCCTTCCATGTCTCAGTATCTTCACTCATCTTGGTCCAAGTCCAGCCATGGACTTGACAAACAACAGATCAGTGTCAGTTCACTGTCTGCATACAACTCATACAGTAGTGGAGAAGGAGATGCTTTTACAAGTTCCGAAAGTGATGAAACTGATAATGAATATTCAACAGAATTAGAGGAACAAGGAGAGTCCAAGCTCACCATCAGTAAGTTCATTTAACCCCTTGGTTCCTAACATCAGTATGCATATTCTCCATAATGTTCTTTATACATTTCTTATGGTGCGAACTAAAAGAAAATTTGTCTAAGAATTCAGAGCTTCTTTAGTTTATAGTTATTTTCTTTATTCTTAATGTGTGATTCAGGGTTGATATTAGGAAAAATTAGATGGTAGTCACCCATAGGGTTCAGAAGAGGAATTGATTTGAACTAAATGAAGTTGAATTGAATTTAGACTACTTTACATTCAAACAACAGAAACTGAAGAATGTGAAATTCATTTGTTTATGCTCCCATAATAAATTAATGGTAAGTTACACTTGAAATGTTCATAAGAGACAATGTGAAGAGTCATTCTTAATTCTTGATTATCCATTTCTATTCCAGTACTTCACCGTACAAGTGAGGCTGTGAACGAGGCTGAACTTTGGTCATGCTTCTTCATTCGCCGGGTGTTTTGGGTGTTGAAACTTGCAGCAAAACCATGTGTGATTTCTCTGAAACAGATCTCGCATCTTGCAAACATGTAAGTTTACCTTGGTCTGCATTGTTAGAATTTGTCTGAGAGACTTTGAATCAATCTGATATTCTGTTGTTTTCCTTTACTTTAGAATCCTAGAGTCACTACCAAAAGTGGAGAAAACAGGAAATGAGTTCCTCGATGAGCTGTTATCCATGGTTTATATGGTGATTCACACCTACCAGGACAAGCATCAAGTCCAGTGCTGGTATGTATTGTTTGGATTGCAAATAATTTGTCACCATTCAGCAAATGTGTTTGTTTCAACTACTCACACTGTTTTCTTTTGCTTGGGTTACACCTCACAAAGTTCTCTCAATAGCTGATCACAACTAATAGATAAACTCTTCTATTTTCTTTAGGAAAAAGTCTGGACGAGCCATAACTTCAGGACAATGGCAGGAAGACATTGCCCGTGTAAATGAAGGAAGGTCTAGCGAAAATGACCAACAGCAAGTCAAGCATTCTGATGATGACAGTGACATAGAAGTCTTAGTGGCAGAAAATACAGAAAGCTTAATCCAAAGTGCAATGAGATGGGATGATAATGTTAGTAACCGCCCATTTATTACTGCCAGCGATAGACACAGCAGTCAGAATCTGACAAGATGCCAGTGTCAAGGAGCAAGTAATGTAGACAAAGCCCTTGGAGTTTCAGATGATTATGTTGTCTTAGATGGTTATGAGACTGATGTTGAATCTGAATTCAGTGGGAATGAAGAACTCCAGGAGTGCCAATAACAAGGCCTTGTACAAACTGCTGTGGCCTAATTATTTACAGTTGTTGATGAGCATTTTTAGTTTTCTTACAGACAAGAATCATAGGAATCTCTGGCATTATTTTGTAATCAAAGATTAAGACATTTAGGGTTCTTCTCTCAGAAGAAAACAGACATCATCAGGCTAAGTTTGTTCATTATGTGCATGGGCTACTTAACCCACAGACATGAGATCAAAAGATATTTCTGGGAAAATATAATATATATATATATATATAATATATATATAATATATATATATATATATATATATAAGGACGTCAAGGAAACTCAGATATCTGTGGAAAGACAAACCTTTTTAAAATTGCCAGAAAATTTTTAAATGGTTTAGTAATTCTTTGCTGGGTAGGTCTTTACTAGCTTGTGCTTAAGAGTTTGATGACTGTCTCATCATCTATCAAGAAGGAAACTGCATTAACTAAGTAGCACAATACACAAGGAAGCTATTATGTTGAAGTACATACAACAACTGAAAATTATGATGGGCCAAATTTCTATTTTATTAGGAATACAAAAGGTAAAGTCTTATTCAATTTACTTTTTCCATGGTGTTGACTGGACAGGTGTTTGGTTTGGTGCAATGGTAATTGTACAGAAATAATTTTATTGTATAAAGATATTTGATTTTAGTCTTTACACAAGATTGTGGTTTGAAGTAATGTATAATAAATAAAACCACTCAAATTTTAATTAGAATGAGCAGCAAATAATTATGGCCTTGTAATTAATATTATTGCTGTAGGTTTTTAAAAGTTTACCACTGGGATATTTTATACATGAATGCAAAAGAAAATTGCCATTATTTTCATCTGATGTACAGTATGAGTTCTAATAATATACAGAATTTAATAATAAAATGAAAATTGTGGTGTGAATGAGAGTGATTTACTTTGTAAATCTTAAACACATCAGAGTGCAAGCACACTATTGATCAAAATGGCATGCAAGGGTCTTTTACCTAAAACAAGAGAGTGACCACTTTATTTTGAGATCATCTTTACCGGGAAAATAGTCTTTTGCATGGTGTTACTCCATGAAACCCATATGCATTGTTTGTTGATTTAGTTTGGCTACACAAGGTGGTCATGAGTTGGTGGCATTTTATGATACTCTTGTGGTGAGCCATGGGAACACAATTCACTGCAGGAGAATACCTCCTTCTCTGCATAAAAAATTTAAGAACAGTACTTAAAAATTTTGCATCATCAAGGATGAGAGCTGGAATTCTACAACCAGCCCATCTTCTCCAGTATGGTACAGGGCCCTTGAAACAGTTCAAACAAGTTGATTGCCTGATATACATTCACTATGGTTGTCTTCTAAGAATGCATTGCTCCCTATCTGTTGTTATTTGATCAGATTAGAATTAAGTCTTCAATTTGTGCGATTGGTTTTTAAATATCTTACATCTACCTTTCTAAGTTGTTCACTCTCAGACATCTATCTCACCGTTTTTCTACTGACCTTCACTGACCTATCTTTCGTTAAAGACTCTTTCAGTGACCTTTTGTCCTTGATTGACCTTCGCTCTCTCACTGACTTTTACTCCTTTATTTAAATAATGTCATCATTCACACACTACAAGTTAAATGGTACTCACAAGGAACCGAGACGAGTATTTGGTAGTACCGGAAGCAAAATCTGACACACAAACACGTACCGGTTTACAAAAACTCGCGCGAAATCACAAGGTCAACAAAGGTGACTTCCGGTCATGTGAACAAATACCGTGATCCTCATTTATGATGTCATAATAAGCGGGCGATTTGCCCGGCGGCCGAAGAATTATTTATTACACTTGAAAATTTGTTACATGTACACACCTTCAACCGACAAACTGACGAAGATTGAAATTTTCTAAACATGTCTGACGTCCAAGATTTGAACTTGACTTTTTCGGGCTGCGGATTTTTGGGAATCTACCACATTGGAGTGATGTCTTGTCTAGAACAAAACGCGAGCAGTTTTTTGGGTAGGGTGAAATGTTTTGGAGGAGCAAGTGCAGGTGCTTTTGCTGCTGTCGGTTTAGTTATGAACTTGGACATCTCTGACATCGTAGAATCGGTTCTAAGACTCGGTAAAAGAGCAAATTCTCTTTCACTTGGGCCATTTCATCCGAGTTTTCAGGTCGTCAAAACTGTCCGGAAAGCGTTTGACAGAATGTTGCCTGACAATGCACACGAGATAGCGACTGGACGATTGCACATTTCACTGAGTCAAGTCACTCTCACAGGCTTTAAAAATGTCATCATTTCTGAATTTTATTCTAAAGAGGATCTCATTGAGGTAAGTTAAGATTAAAGGCTAAATTGAGGTTTATGAGCGAAGTCTAATCGTAGGTTAAATCCATTTGGAAAGATCGCAGTGCTCGCTTTAATTTATATTAGTTAAAATGTATTTGATAGCTTATGATACGTTTTCCGTGTGTATGTTTTTGTAGTTGTTAGTTAGATTTATTTCATCAGCTGAGTAAAGATCGATCGTACGATCAGACAATTGTCAGTCGCGTTTCTTATGTCTGTAAGATGTTGAGAGGTCAAGAGAAGTTCTGAGCTGATGACAGTCCCCAATTCCTACTTTGGTATTTTTTTTAAAATGATCATTCATATCATTCATGAATACAGTTATGCACCCTCCCAATTCAGCGGCAACAAAAGTAACAATACTTGTTTTAAAATGTTGAAATGTTCAGATGTTTATTGTTGTCTGGGGAGAGATCAAGGCGGGGGTGATGGGTGGGGGCAAAGCAGGGGAGTGGTAAGAGGTTTCGTTTACCTCAGGGTAGAAACTCAAACCATTGTCACTGTGACAGTAAACCCCGGTGGAATTTCAAAACTGAGAAATGAATCACTATTGAGTTTACTTGTCATTTTGGTTGTGATCAATTTTTTTTCTCATTAAAATAATGTTAATGCAGAATGAATTTGATGTCTCCTTTCTTTTTTAACCCAAGAGTGATTACATTGTTGCATCTAATTTCTCCTTACAATATCACATCTGAGTCACATATTAAGGTCACAAGAATAATGGAGGAACATAGGAAATGTATAGAGAAAAGTATGAAGAATGTGAACTGTGATGCTAGGATATAAAGGTTCTGAATACAAATTAATAACACTTAGACTGAGTTTATTTTAAGTCATTTTGTCAGAAAAAACAAATCATTTTTGATATCATAAATCACATCAAATTACCCAGTAATATTGAGTTTTATATTTGATTTCATAAATACCACAGGCACTTGTAGCCAGTTCCTATGTACCAGTATTTTCTGGAATGTTTCCAGCTGTATACAGAGGAAAGGTATGTTACTTTAACTTGCATCAACAGTCATGCTATATTACATGTTGGCCTCTGTAATTACTGGTTAGAAAGTGGTTGTCTTTGTATCTCTGGTTACTCACACAACACACAACCTCTCTTCATTATGTAACAAATCCTTATCTACAATGTATATAACAAAATTTATCTGCAATGGACCATCAAGGACTAAATTATCTGGAGTATGAAAATTGCCTGAATTATTACAACAGACTAATTGCCAGATAATATAAATTTTATTTCTCCCAAATGTATGGTTTAACTTTTCACCTAATTTCAAACAGTAGAAATGAAACTCAAGAGTTGGTATCACTAGGAAAATGAATTTACTCTAATTCTTTTGCAGTATTATGTGGATGGAGGAATTTCTGATAATCTTCCACAACACTTCAAAGAAGGAGAAACTATCACAGTGTCCCCATTTAGTGGAGAACATGACATTTGTCCTAAAGATGTTTCATCAAATGAATTTCACATTGAACTACGAAATACTAGCATGCAATTTACTGGGAGTAACATTTGGAGATTGTCCCGTGCACTGTGGCCACCAAGCCAAGAGGTCTTGATTGATATCTGCAGGCAGGGTTACAGGGATACACTGAGGTTTCTAAAGGAGCACTGTAAGTGTCAATCAGTTGATATGTTTTAACACGCTCCAGTTGGTTATCATATTGATTCAATTACATGCCCAACCTCAAATAAGACCCCACCCTTTAGTTAGGAAAAGTACTTGCAGGCTAGGCCTAAAATATGGACCCAAACCCTCCTATTTCCCTCCCCCCTTCCCTCCACACACAAGAAGAATATTGATTATTATTTACTGGCTTACAATCTCTAAATTCACTGTATATGGTACATCTTAAGGTCATGTCATTATTTACTGTTTTGTTGCAAAATCGACTTCCCACTTGCTGAAAATGGTGAAAAATAAATAACCCCTCACTTTGAAGAAGTGCCTACTCTCAAGGTCCAAACACTTAATAGGTCCCCAGGGCACTTAATCCAATAAAAATGGCAATGCACATTCCTGAATCTGAACTCTCTTCCAAGAGGTTATTTTTTCAATGGTTTTCCACAACATGAACTGTGAAATGGTGAGGAAGAAGAGACTTTTTCTTCCTGTCTGGTGGAATAATGTTATGGACAGAAGAATTGTTTCAAAAACCAGGGAAACTATCCTTGTGGGTTTTTTCTCTCCCTCAGCTCTGAGTTATGTTCACTCTCTTTATATATAACACGGACACACATTTTTTAATCAAAGATTGAAATGACTGTAATTTGCAATGAATTTATTTACCAGATCCTGATACACTAGTGCTCGAGTCACTAACAACAGCCTCTGTGATGTTCAATATTCTGCCATTACACAGTAGTTCTCCACTAACCCATTGTCAGGAATCATGTGTTATTCAGAGAGCAAGCCACAGTTCTGATGTATCATTTAATGATGACAACTTATCCTGTGATTACAAGGAGACTGGAAGCCATTGGGCTGAGACTGAATTGGAGGAAGGAGAATCAAAACTATCCATGAGTAAGCAAGTCTATAATATATGCTCTTATATTAACCATTTACACCTCACCATCAGTTTTCATATTCTCCATACTGTTCTGTAAACATTTCCTAAGGTGCTGACAAAGAGAATTTGTGTAACAATCAAAAGCTTCTTTTCTTTATCATTTCTTTTATTCTCATGATCTAAACCTTTGATTCAACAATGATAAAGTAAGGAGAAATATGCTGTCAGTCACTATTAGGAGTTAGGGGTTAAAAGATTCCCTGCATACTGTTTCAATCAATGATCTAATCATTTCCTTTATTCACATTATTTTATTGTGTGATTCTGGGGAGATGGTGTAAGGAGAAATTAGATGCTAGTCACTGTAGGTGGTCAAAGGGTTACCCTAGTTTTTGGTTATAAGGTGCATGGTTTTTTCAAGTTATGAGTATCTACTGCTGTGTACATACTCATGTGTCCCAATTTGTTCTTAACTCTCAGTGCTTTTGGATGCCAACAATATCACAACAGAAGCTGAGCTTTGGTCATGTTACATTTTGCGCAAGTCATGTTATGTCTTGGATCTCTTTGCCAGACCGTGTGTTTTAAGTTTCAAGCAAATCTTGGTAATGCTGAAAATGTGAGTATTAATTTCAGTCCTTTATGTAAATTAAATTTCATTGTTTAGCATAGGAGGAGAGTACTTTTTTGTTTACTCAATTAGTTTATATTTAATTATTATATGAAAAAGTTTATTTTTTTTCTTTGGTTTTTGATTTGCTGCTTGATGTTTCAGAATTTTAGAAGCTTTGATCAAGATTGAAAAGACAGGGTGCAAGTACTTTGATAACATGCTATCAGTTGTTTCCACAATGCTGCATACTTACCAGGACAAACATCAGGTTACAATACCCTGGTATGACTCTCAAATTTTGTGTATCAGTTATGACCTCCCATGGAGATTTTTCGAGGGAATTAAGGCTGACCACATCCTTTCTCCACAATTTGGAAATTACACCATTGCTTCATGTTTCTTCACAAACTTCTTATTTGAATTTTAAATTGATTGCCAGAGACAGCCACATTAGCTGTTAGGCTCCATTTCCTTCAACTTTCTAACTCCCAGAAGTGATTAACATGTCACTTCTTCCTGTGATATCCATCCATTATACAAAGAAAAGGTAATGAGAATACTCAAGCTTGAGGGTAGAGGCTTTTATCTTGATCTCACTCCAAATTCTCAACACCAATTTACAGGGAAATGTGTAGCACCTTGAGGGTAGAATTAACAATCAGATCTTGGGAGTTGATCATTTAAGATAGAACAAATCTAAATATTTATTAATTTAAACCTTGATAAATTTCAGATAGTACTTCACTTTCAATCAATTTTACCTGTGATCAGAGATGTTGCTGAGCTATAGTTGTTATCATTTTCTTAGGAAATCTACATCTTTTTTGAATTTGACGGAGGAATCAACAGATGGTAAGATATACTTCTTACACCATGGTTATTTTGTTTCTGAAAAACCTTTTGTTGAACAACTACAGCAGGATGCTGTGTACTATTATAATAATACTTAAATAAAAATCATTAAATTTACCTTTCACTTCCACACATAATTATAATTATATCTTCAACAGGTGGAGAATCATCACTTATTTTATACAGCCAGATGGAAAAAGATGTTATCTCTGATGCCATTGAAGGACCAAGTACTGCTTATCACAATGAACCAAGCATCTTGGTTAAAGAATTCCAAGATAGTTTGAAAGAAAACATGGATATAACTGAATATCCTATTAACCGTAGTGAGACAAGCAAAGAACTGAAAGACAAGGATAATGACAAGAGGACCACCTCTTCTGTTGTTAGTTATGATGACGATAGCATGGATGTTGAGAGCAACGATGAGTATGTGATTCTTACCAGCTGAATGAACAAAAATTTGGGTTTAAGCAATATCCTGTTTATAGTAGATGACAAAAGCACCAACAGCAGAAAATATAATTTATGAACAATGAGATTAAGAATTCCTTTGAGAGGGGCTGATTATCCTTTTACAATAAGACAGAAATATTTATGCAGTTTATAGAATGACTTCTGGTTTTCCCTGTTCATATAGAAATGTAAAATCTTTGGGAAAGAAGTGTTCTCTAAATTTATATTTCTAACCCATAATTTTGTGAGGTAACATGACTTGTGCTAATTAAAAGGATTCTTCTATAAAGCCAGGGTTATACTTATTATAAACTGTAAATAAATCAAAATAAAGACTATGTATTTGAAATGGCCATTGTATATAAAAAAGTAAATCATCCTTTGAAAAGAAAGTGTTGTGACAGTATTTTTGAACAAAATGTTTGTCTTTGTTCAGGCTATTATGCTGAGGTAGAATATAATAGTTGAATAACAGTACTGGAATAATGTGAATAAATTTTTGTGACTTTCCTTTCAATCGAGTGATGTGATTATTTATAATAGATCAGTTATATATTGTAACTATAGTTATATATTGGTGAGGTAACCTGCCTAACCGTGGTTGAAAAATAAAAAGTGTTTACATGCAATCTTGCAACCCAGGGTGCTGGGGTGAGGTTTCTTGAGGTTGTTGTTGTGCTTGCAATTAAGGAGTTTGAGCAGAGGCATCCCAAGCTCACATCTCGAAAAAGACAAAGGATTAATTCTCAGGCAGATATGTATTTATTCCTGAAAGTGTCACGTGTTGTGTTACACGGTGTTTGGTTGTGCAAGTAACTGTTGACTTAATACATTATACGGAACAGTTTGGGAAACCAAATGTGGTTGATTTACAATGCTAAATATTCCAAAATGTGAACATTTTACACTCCTTGTGTGTCTGTTGCAGTTTCTGATGATTTCTGCCATGAGACAGACAGGAAATGTACAAAGTTTTAAAACACATGTTTCGCTTTTGAGCTTTTGCCATGAATGCGACCCCTGCTAGGCAGGTTACCCCACCTTGACACGTTTACATGGCAAATTGTCACCCTGGCTGACAGGGTTACCCTACCTGGCAGACCGGGCAACCCACCTAGGCAGGTCACCCCCAACTATCATATAAATGTGATCGAAATAAAATAAGAATTTATATGGACAGGCGGGTTACCCCACTTAGGCAGGTTACCTCACCTACCTGGGGTCCCCCACTTCCATGTAAACAGGCCCTTAACATCTGTAGTCGCACTTAGGAAAAACTATTACGGGACCACTATTTGTGTACCTGACCAGACCAATACCAAGTAGTTACCCCTCTCGGTTTCCATTGACAAGTTGGTGTAGCAATCAAACCATCATTATTAAGTGGTTTCTTGGAGTGTTTCAAGACCTCTTTTAACCTCGGTTACACTCACAATTAATCACAATCAACCTCGTTTCGCGAAAAAAAATGTGCGAAACCAGAAAGTACTCCGCCATTTATTTGCAGACGATAAGTATCCATTGTTGTCTATACTTGTTTTTCAAAGCTCACCAAGAAGAGGCAGGAGATTATGTTGTTACACATAAAAATTGTGGGGTGGACAATTCTAGATAGTATGCAGCGTGTACTTACCGGTTTTTGTCACAGCCTTCGCCACTCTCTGCGCGCAAGAAAACCCTGAAATTGCAGCAGTCACCAAGAGTGTTCGAACTTCATCTTCGTTCTTGTTTACAACTCATTCATTGTTTCCTGAAACAAAGATATTTCATTGTTCACAGAATTTGTTGATCAAAAAACTGCAAATAAATCATATACAGGCAACATACTCAACATACTCCACATACTTCATGCATTGTGAAGTCTGTCACTCTTTCAGGAAAGGTACTAATTAACCTTCCATTTCTCTGGGGAGTAGACAAACAAATTTGCACTTCCTTGCCAGAGTGGGGAGGGTTGGAGATGTCACTTCGGATTGCCGCAATTCTTTTCAGTCTGGATCACTTATTTGTGTAACATTACACAAGTAAAGAAAAATACGAATCAGCTGAATTTTGTTTTACAAATTTTCGCAGAAGAGTATTCTCAGTCTCGTGGGGAGTAGGGTTAGGTTGACCTTAATTTAGAAGTGTTCAGCGGCAATCGCTCAGTTGTTCCCGCCATTTTCAATTTGTACATTGGTTGCACTGGTTGAGGTATACTTTATACGATCTAAAAAACCGTTATACTCGTTCAAGATTTCTCTTTTAGCTAGGTTCACGCGACATGGATAACGCTCATAAACGCAAAGGAAGCGAGGAGGTTGGCAGCTCTGCAAAACGATCCCGCCATGATGAGGGAAACCCGCGAACCTTCGAGGAAGAGTTGGCTTTGCTCGGTGAAGTCGTGGACAAAGATCCAGCACACAAGTGGTCCAGGCCGGCTGCACCGAAGTTAAATCCTTCCTCTGAAAGCCTCGTATTTCAGCAGTTGGAGGTGGACAACTACATCGGTTTGTGCCTCTAAGTTTCTTAATAGATACAGTTATTCTATTGTGAAGGTTGAAACTTTTTTTTTAGATTCTATCTTTAGATTGGGTTTGATTGGTGAACTTGTTTTACATGGTATTGTAAATCATACTGTTTTCGGGTGTTACCGTCTTTGCAAGTGGTCGAGGGTGCAATCCTTCAGCCTGATTTCAATTTGTGTCAGGAATGAAAAATGAATGCTATAAAGAAACTAATCATATTATAAATATCAAGATTTCTGTTATGATTCTTCATCGCAGGTAAACCCCTGCAGGGAATGCCAGGGTCCAAGGTTGGTCCAGTACCGATAGTTCAGATGTATGGGGTGACAATGGAGGGGAACAGTGTCCTTTGTCATATCCACGGGTTCGTACCATATTTTTACGTCCCAGCTCCGTCAGGATTTCAGCAGAGTTACTGCAGTGTATTTCGGGATTGTCTTGATAAAGCTGTGTTGGGAGACATGAGATCAAATAAGGATGTTACTCAGGTAGGTGTCATGCGTTCTATCTGGATATGTGGAAAAGTAAAAAAAGGAAAATAACATTTCACAGGATTTACCTAAGAAGATGTCATTTGTTATTCAAGGGGAATTGCCATACAACTTCATCTTGCCAGCTCAGGAGAGCAAAAATTACTGTATTTCTATCAATCTGCTATCAAAATCTAGCTATTTACTACAATTTTCAGATCATGTGTACTAAAGGCACCCGCAGTCGAGTGTTGATCAATACCAGCAATTGACACTCGACCAAAATATCGATTAAGTGTGGTTGACACTCGATCAACCTGTTGATTGACACTCAGTCGACAGTCGGTCGATAGTCGGTGAATAGAATCCTACTTTTTGCAGACACTCCATTGAGGCGTGGCGCGAAAACTGGCAAGCTGCGTTCAGTTTTAATTCAAGCTGGAAAGATTTGTAGATATCATTTTGGTTGACAATTTCATTACAGAAAAAGACACAAAGAGATGTGATTCTTTTGCACACAAAGAAATTTGGGTTTAGCAACTAAGTTCATGTAGTAAATTGACCATGGTACAAGAATGCGAGAGCTGACATTTTGAGCATTTACCCTAGCCTTTGTCAAAGCGAATTAGGGAATTATGGGTCGTTAGCGGTGTATATACTGAACGAAACAAAGAATGAAATATATATTAATTGCCAAGTTTTGATTCAGCTGAGCTGTCATTCAAGGTTGGAGTTTTTTCATTACATTAACACAGTTAATTGATTAGTGATCAAAGCTCACACTAGAGGAATCTTGCTCAGCTACCACCGAATCATTGAGACTGAGGCCTTCAGTGGATGTCAGTGATGATTTGAACTGGACTTTACACAGGACAGGTTGGATAAGTCCTGTTAGACATACATCCTGGACAAATTAAGTATGTAACATTTAGTGCATTATCATAATTATCCTGGATAGATCTAAAATTTTAACTGATATACTAAGCGGTTAGGGGAAGTTCAGCTCATTTAAAAATTTATTGAAAACTTTATCTATGTTTCTATCATTTCCTCAGAACAGGCACCTCAAGAAAGCTTTTTTTTTCTCAAGTGTGGGGTGGTGACGGTTGGATGGGGGGGGGGGGTGTTATTGGCAGCTCCTAGATCCTTAGCTTCTCTTTATCAATTAAATGCCTAAGGAGTTTCTTTGTTATTTTCCGGTGTAAAAGCTTCCTGTAGGAAAGAAAGGAAGAAGTCTGACTTCTTCCTTGAATCATTTGACAGGGCAGCTCAGCAACATAGCTCGATCTTTGACCGACAGCTTTCCACAACGCTCCCTCTCAGTGGAAACAACTGTGTTGAACTTATCTCTGTCCAAGATTTTTAGCTCACAAATTCCAATGAATTCCCTCAGCATATTTCTGGCCACTCCATATTTCTCCATAGCCTTGGCAAGGGAACACTTTCTCTGTTTCAATATCTTCAGAACTCCTTCATAATGGGTGTGAACTCCTCCCAGATCCAGGCCTGTGACTATAAGGTGTAACAGAAAGTATCAATGAAATTGTGAATCTAATCTTTCCAGTCCAATAACTTCCATTTATGTTGTGTACTTCAAATATCACAATTCAAATGCAGTACAGTGCAGCTTATTGTGACTATCATGTAATCCTATGAGTTACACTATTGGCTACTTTACATCACATGGTTGGATGGTTATCTTGCAATAACCCCCATCTGCATTGATATTTGTCCTTCAATTATTTCCATCGAAAAGAAGGAAATCCAGCTCAAGAGGTTCAAATTTTTATAATTATTTTACAAGGAAGAAAAAGAAACTCTTTTCCTAGAGTCCAGTGTTAGTGACATTAAAAAGCCAGTCACAAATGCTGTTCTGGAAAATACAAAAAAGTAAAAAAAATATGCTGTCAATGTCTTTAACTTTATTTAAGTCTCAAATTGTTCTAGCCAAACACAAGTGCTCTACTAATTGGGGAGACTGTAAATCAAAGAGGGGGAAACTGGAGTACCTGGAGAAAAATCTCTCAGAGCAGAGTTGAGAACCAACAAACTCGATTTGTGTTTCAGCCATAAATCAAAGAGGGGACTGAAAAACTCAGTCTGTCCAGTACAGACCTCAAACTCAGTTAGTAAGAGGTATCTAGTAGTCAAGTGTGGTGAACCAATCATACCAATGACTAAAATCTTGAAAAAAGCTGGAAAGAGCACCTTAAAATTAGTAGAAATGGCTAAGTTTTGGAGTTATATCTGAAACACAAAGCGCACAAGGCCATAAGGGGGAAAAACGAGGATTCGTAACTTACAAAATGGATCGGCAAGACGAGGTTTGTAAGACTAAGAGATACAATAATTAACTATTAAGATAAAAAGGTATAAAGGTTGAAAACTAATAAAAGTCAGCCAAGCGTCGGTAGAGTATTGGCTGAGAGTCGACAGTCAATTGGCCGATTAGCTGTCGCAATAAGGATGCTGCCGGCCGACACATGAGTTGGTCGCCACTTGACCGGCTATTGACCCTTGTCAAGCTGGTGTGGACCATGTGTCAATTGACATATGGACCAATTGTCTATTGACACTCGACCAACAAGTCAATCGCGTGTCAACCACACTCGATTGATATGTCAGTTAAGTGTCGATCACTGGTATCAATTGTCACTCGACCACGGGTGCCTTTAGTAGACATGATCCCAATTTTCAACAAAATTAGCCAAAAGGAAGAAGTGTTTTATCTGAATAAGACCCTCCTATTAGTTTTCAACTTTTCCCAACTGTTCTCCAAGTAATTTTTGATATTATGGTGTAAGGAGATGTTAACCACTTCATTACCCAGGCTGTTCTTGCCGTTGACTGTGAGACAAAGGAGAGTATTTATGGATACCATAGCAACAGGAAGATCCCATTCCTTCGCATCACCATGGCACTGCCAAAACTTGTTGCACCAGCTAAACGGATTTTGGAGACTGGCTTTAAATGTGCAGATCTCCCAGAAAGAGGATATTCCACTTATGAAAGCAACATTGATTATGAGGCATGTTACAATCTTATTATAACTTTCATTTACTGTTGTAAGTTTCACCTTTGTAGGAAGATGTATTAATGTAAAATTGTAACCTTAAGGTTTCCCAAAGGGCAGTGAACATCTTTATATATTTTTTATCAGCCAGGGAATTTGTTAATAGTTGGTTACCAAGCTCATCAGAGCTTGCTATACCAGTTTTTACAGTATGAAGGGGTGAGAAGGTTATTGTCCCTCCACTTAGATGGGATTGATGCTTTTTCCACATTATCTTTCCAACACTGGTTCTGACCATTTTAAACTCATGCTTGAAGAAGGGGAAAAATCCTGAATGTTGTCTGCTAAACAAACTTTAACAGTACAGTGACTCACTCATGAGAAATGTGAGGCTGAAAAAGGGCACCAATTTAGTTAATAACTGTCCTGTTTATTTTTTTTTTTCTTGTTCTTGTTTTGAACATGAAAGGTTCGATTCATGGTAGACACAAGTGTTGTGGGCTGTAACTGGATAGAATTACCAGCTGGGAAATACAGAGTGCGTTCACCTTCCATGGGAGGTAGTGGAAAAAGTGAGGCCCAGCCTGTGTCTCATTGTCAAATTGAAGTGGATGTTGCCTATGATGAGTTCATTAGTCACAGTCCTGAAGGTAATTAGTCAATTCTAAGTTATTTCCTCTGAAATCGTGTACTATACATTAGGGAGGTAATCAGAACCAAAGCAAAATTCTCAATGTGCCAGCTCTATTCGGGTGCTAATTTATGGGATTGCCTACAAGTCAAGTGTTTTCATAGTTTTGATTAATTAGTAACAAGACTGTGTATCTTCCAGTTTTCCTAGCAGTCATAGTCATAATTAACTGATCAGACTGCTGCTTTGTGGTCATCCTCTGATTACAGCTGGAATTGGACTCCATTCAGTCCCATTACCACTAATGATTGTGATTCTCAGAAAACTATGATCACTTAGAATATTTAGGCAATGTTTTTGTATTATGATCAATTGCACTGGCAGTAAGGGCATGCAAGTAAACTTTTACAGCTTATTCTTATCCCATGCCTGGTTGACTTGTTGTCCTTGGCCAACTGGCAACAGTTTGTGTAATTTCATACCTCTGACTCTTTAGAAAAAAAGTTGTTTTGTAATATTCTGATTATAATGGTAAGAGGAACTTTATAGTAATGATTGTAATTGTTGTCATGATTCCTTTTTGTTCAAAGGTGAATGGTCTAAAGTGGCTCCAGTTCGAATCCTGAGTTTTGACATAGAGTGTGCTGGCAGAAAGGGAGTGTTTCCTGAACCAGAGAAAGATTCAGTGATTCAGATTGCAAACATGGTCATAAACCAGGGTGATAAGGATCCATTCATCAGAAATGTGTTCACACTGAACTCCTGTGCTCCAATTGTAGGGTCACATGTTTTGTCATATAAAAGGGAACAAGATATGCTTCAGGTCTGTGGCAGTTAAAAATTAAGTCAATTTAACTAACTCCACAACAGAAAAGAAAATGGTTATTTTCAAAATTTTCTCCAAGTAAAGAAATATTTTCAGGAAATATCCATGAGTCTTGGATGATTGTCACTAGAGCCATATGCAACACATTTTTCAGTGACAAACTTGCGTCATAAGTAGGCTGCTATGAAAGGAATTTGTCAACTTGACAATTTCCATGACTTTTTAAGGTTAAGTGTTGGGATAACATTATACTGCAACATCAGTCTTGTAACAGGGTACAGTCTAAGTTATTAAAGGTACTTACATATTGAGCAACATTCCTGACTTTCTTCTTTTTTATTACAATGACCAAAAATGTCTGTACTTTTTTATTTATGATGGCCATAAGCTGTCATAGTTAGACCTGTAAGCAATTATGGTACTGCTGTTTCTAATTTTCTTTTGCTGATTTTCTTATCTTTTTATTACAAGGAACAAAAATGTCTGTACTTCTTGATTTATGATGATCATAAGCTGTCATAATTAAACTTAGTCTAGTAAGTAATTACAGTTCTGCTGTTTCTAATTTCCTTTTTCTGCTTTTCTTATCCATTTGTTTAAAGGCATGGAGTGATTTTGTAAAAAAAGTGGACCCTGACATCATAACTGGATACAATGTTGTGAACTTTGACCTTCCCTATTTACTGAATCGAGCAGCAGCTTTGAAGGTTCAGTCCTTTTCATTCCTTGGACGTGTGAGAGATGAAAAGAGCACCATATCAAACACAGTTTTTCAATCCCGTGCTTATGGCAAACGTGAGAACAAAGTCATAAACATTTCTGGACGTGTTCAGTTTGATCTGTTACATGCCTTGCTGAGAGATTACAAACTGAGATCTTACACCCTGAACTATGTCAGTTTTTATTTTCTACAAGAACAGAAAGAAGATGTACAGCATAATATTATAACAGATTTACAGGTACATAAGAAAAGATGTTTGGTATTTACCATTAATTGATTAATTGCCCAAGGATTTTTAGAGTATTGCGAGGTTTAATTGATAATGTTCAGATTTTTAGTTAGAGTTGTTTTAGAGCCTTAATTAAGTGAAAAATGCTAAAAATGTTTTGGTAAAAACATCATCATCTTCAATGATCTCCAGTATATATGTGTATTTGTAAAAGATTTTAAAATAATTTTTAATGAAAATATTAATCATTTTTATTAAGAATGGAAACGACCAAACCCGTCGCAGACTGGCCATTTATTGTATGAAAGATGCTATTCTTCCTCTGAGGTTACTAGAAAAACTTATGTGCCTTATTAACTACATGGAGATGGCACGAGTCACTGGTGTTCCTCTTAGTTATCTCTTATCAAGAGGACAGCAGATTAAAGTTGTTTCACAGCTCCTCAGAAAGGTGAGTTCCCTGATACTTGCAGATAGTCTATTTGATATCAGACTGCAGTTTCAACTTGGTTTACATGTGACTGGAGGCTTATCCCCATGAGCTTAAGAATTTGGCTCAAACAGACACTGTCCAGTTTTTTTTTTTTTTTGGAAAATTGTTACTATTATAGTAGCTCTTATATGTGCATTAATGGTTCCTGGAATTTGTGATAATGGACATGGGCTGTAATTGAAGGTATTTCTAATGAATAACAGTTGCATCTGATTGCTGTAAAATCAGTTGTGCTTTGCTTTAATGCAAAAAGCTTGCTGTGAGGGGTTGTCAACTGCAACCTTACACCATTAAAATCAAAATTATGCTGTGAAATTTTTGTAGTCAAAAGAGCAAGACTTGTTACTTCCTGCTCACAAGGCAGAAGCTGGAGATGAATACACTGGAGCCACTGTCATTGAACCATCTAAAGGGTAAACTCCTTTTCACATCAGAGTTTCAGTTGTTAAAGTCAATGAATAGTAAGTGGGCTGTAGTTGTATTGAAAGTATTTCACTGATTTTGTCTGATTGGTAGAAAAGTGCTTGATGAAATTAACTCAGATATCACTGGTAATCATAAAATCAATCCATGTGACGTTCATTATTCCCTAATTAGCAAGAGGAAGTTATTTGTTTGTTTTTCTTCACAGGTATTATGACATTCCTATTGCAACACTTGATTTCTCTTCATTGTACCCATCTATCATGATGGCTCACAATTTGTGTTACACTTCTCTTCTGCATCATAGTGATCTGGCTAAGTAAGTAAATGGTCATGATCTTGCTAACATGCTTGGCAATATGTAGTTTTTGTTACAGTATTATTGCAGAAATATAGTAAACTGTTTATGTTAAGTCGAAGCTCAGTCATAGGGTTTAACAGTGACTTCTTAGACAGACACCAAATGGTGACTGAGTACTCTCCTTCCAGTCACCAGATGGAAAGATTTAGTCACTAACACAACATTGGCAAGATTTTTATTTCAAAATGAATTAAGGAAATATCAGGTTGTAGAGATGTTTCTTGAATTATGATGTATTCCTTCTCTTGAAAAATTAATCACCCATAGATTTTACAAAAGCATGGCAAAATCATGATCAAGTACTGATGATGATAAGTAGGTGAAAAAAAAAAAGCTTTTTCATAGTAATATTAATTTTTTAAATATTGACTTATTTTTATCTATTTCTCAATTTTGAGAAGCATCTAGAGGGAACTGGATAGCTATTAATATTATTATTATTATTACTATTAATATTATTATTATCATTATTATTATTGATCTTGATCATGATCATAGGCTCAAAGTTAAAGTTTTCTTTAGTTAACACCAAAGGTTATCAAAGGTGATCTATCTTGCTTTTACTGTTTATTAAATGGCTAATTTTGTGTTTGTATATTTCAGTCTAAAACCTGATGAGTTTATCAAGACCCCTTCTGGAGATTTTTTTGTGAAGGCATCTCTAAGGAAAGGACTGCTGCCTGAAATTCTTGAGCATTTGTTGTCTGCAAGGAAAAAGTATGGAGGGATGTTAATTTCTCACTACTTATTGCATTCTTTCATGATGTCTAGAGGTAGACTGTTGAAGGAGTGGGAGTTCATTTCATTGTTAGGCAATTTCACGAATAATATCTGGCATAACAATACCAAAACAAAAGTTTAGTTAAACTGATGCGATGCAAAGTGGTGCAACAACGTAACAATATTGTCACTTTGGAGGGCATTTCATTCAAAATTAAAAACTGAAGATTGACAACAAAACAGTCTGAACAGTCTTCTTAGTGTGCAAATGGCTTAAATACATTTTTAGCACATCAAAATCTCCTTTGTAGCTAACAAAGTGATAATAGTAGTTTTAAATGTTAGGTTGACAAAAAATAATGATAAACACACACATGCTTGATGACAATATGGTCTTATGTAATGATGCATCAATCTTTCTCAATTAGAGCTAAAGAGGATTTAAAGAAAGAAACAGACCCTTTCAGGAAGAAGGTACAAATTGTGACTCAGCAGATATATATTTTTTTTCACTTCAATGATTTGATTTAAAAATATTTGCCAACCACTCAACTATAATGCTTTTAACCATAGGTTCTTGATGGTCGACAGCTGGCTCTTAAGTTAAGCGCGAACTCTGTGTATGGGTTTACTGGAGCACAAGTTGGAAAGCTTCCCTGTCTGCCAATTTCACAGGTAGCTACAAGTTCAAAATATAACTAAGCTTTGATCGAGTTGCATTGTAAGTCTAATTTCTGGTTAGTTGAATTTATTCTGCAACTGCCCCTCTAAGTTTGTACCTGTCATAGGGACTGTATATTGATCCCAGCTCCATTTGACTCTTAAACTCCTACAATGTGATTATTAATTCCCACTCCTTGCTGATATACATTTTCTTGTAATTAAGTAGAGAGAAATTGGTGTTGTATTAAGACAAGACCTTTTAGTGAATAACTATTGACAGTAAGAAGTTCCATGTGAATTACTTGTAAGGGTCAAAATGTAAACTGAATGCAATCCACTTCTGGGAATGTCAATTGTAACCCTCCCACCCATGCAATAGGCTTTCAAATGTGTTTTAAAATTTTCACATGATTAATGTTTAAAATTTTTAATTGAACCTTAATTGTGATGACAGTAAGGAAGAAACAACAATGACAAAATGTGGAATATTGTTTCACTGCAGAGTGTGACAGCTTTTGGGCGCATGATGATAGAGAGAACAAAAGAACTTGTTGAAGAAAAATATACAGTGGATAATGGGTACAAAACAAATGCTCAGGTAAATACTGTTGAATTAATGCTGTTTGTTATGAAGTACCCGCACAGATAAACACAAAATTTCACCACTGAATAAGATCTATTGACTGTACAATTTAGCTGATCAGAGGATGGCTTAATTCTTCTTGTACACCACATTTGTTGCCTTTAGGTCATCTATGGAGACACAGATTCTGTAATGGTCAAGTTTGGAGTGGATTCTGTTGCAGAGAGCATGGAACTTGGTAAAGAAGCTGCAGGTTATGTATCTGGTCACTTTATCAAACCCATCAAATTGGAGTTTGAGAAGGTAAGATGTAATTGATGGAGTTTTGGAACATAGTGGACTGATCCCTTCCCAGGTTGATTTTGTTTCTTGTCTTTTTTTAATTGCATTATGCAATTTTGCACATTGTTGCAGGTGTATTTTCCATATCTTCTGATCAGCAAGAAGCGCTATGCTGGATTGTACTTTACTAAAGCCGATAAGCATGACAAAATGGACTGTAAGGGAATAGAAACAGTAAGTCTGCTAATTAGCTCTTCAACTGATAATTTCTCAGTCTTTTTCCCAGGCATAGCTACTGATTCTTTGTTACTTTTATTTATTTTATTCTTTGATAATAATGGCCTTTAGATCAGTGTAGGTTCTTTCTTAATTGTTGGTTTTGTTTTATTTTCACAGGTAAGAAGAGATAACTGCCCTCTGGTTGCAAACCTTATTAACTCCTGCTTACAAAAAATTCTCATTGAGAGGTACAGGTCTTTGAAGCTTGCTCATCACTACTGGTTCATGTGATCATTTGTATTCAGTCAATTTCTTACTTGTAAGTCATAAATGTTTTTGTCCATAGGGATCCCATGGGAGCTGTTGATTACACAAAGCAAGTGATATCAGACCTTCTGTGCAACAGAATTGATATCTCACAGCTGGTGATAACAAAGGAGTTGACAAAGACAGGGGACGAATATGCTGGGAAACAGGCACATTCTGAGCTGGCAGAGAGGTCGGATTTACAACTAACTTGGTAGCCATGATAGAGTAATTTTCAACAGAGTGTTGAAAGTGATCTAGGACTGCTTTGGTTTTGTTTTACTATGCCATGTTATTAATCTGAAAATCTCACACCAGTCCACTCTTTCAACCAATTATATGCAAAACAAACTCCACTCATGACTTAGTTGCCTGCCTTTCTTTCTATTTACTATAGGAAGTTTTCTTGTTTTTACTTTGAGTTCTCATTGACTCTTCAGGGTATTTCCTTTCATCTGATTCTCCATTGTTTTTTCTTTGATTTTGGTTTTATAACACCTAGTTGATCAGTTTGTATTATTGTTGCCTCAGTCCAATTTGTACAGTTTAATAATAACCTGTGCACATGATTGTGACAAAAAGTTACCTTCTAAGGTATTTTGCTTTTTGCTTTTCACAGAATGCGGAAACGTGATGCTGGTTCTGCTCCCAAGCTGGGAGACAGAGTCCCATATGTCATCATTGCTGGTGCTAAAGGAGAGAAAGCTTATGAAAAAGCTGAGGTGAATAGAACCTTTTTTTCAAATCACTTGATTGTTTTTAAAAAATATTACCAAGTTTGCATTCTTTGCAGGATCCCATTTATGTGCTGGAGAACAACATTCCTATTGACACAAAATATTACCTTGAGAATCAGTTGTCAAATCCCTTGCTGAGAATATTTGAGCCTATTTTGGGAGAGGCAAAAGCAACCTCTGTGCTTCTAAGTAAGTCTGCATTTTTCCTTCCCTTACACTGTAAATAGCCAATGACTTTGTTATCAAGTAGAAAGATCCTTCCTCAAAGAACTGTATTAACTGTATTAAAAATTAAATATTATCTATCTTTTCACAAAAAGCATACAGTTCATTCACATTAATATGCAGCCACACTAAATAATATCAACTTGTGTTATTACTAGATTTCCATAATGAGCCTCCTAAGGAGCTTGTTAATGTTTGTGATACAATGCTCTCAAACCTTACATTTGGAAGACATTTGTTTTAACCTTTTCACTCCCAAGATCTCATTAGCAACTCACATTACTATCAACTGTACAACTCTTGTGATGCAAGTTCTACAAATTTTATATTGGATCAACCAATAGTTCTCTAATTGATAATTTTCTTTACTCTCACAACCTGTAAAACCAAATGACAATCTCAAGTGAGGCCATGTGTAGTGCGATTTGCTGCTTTTGTTCTCCAATTCAACTAAACAAAAGACTCTTATTTTAATTCCCTTGTTTGATATCTTTGCAGAAGGGCAACATACACTCACAAAAACTATTGTAACATCAAAAGTGAGCAAGCTGGCTATGTTTACTAAGAAGAGAGAAACTTGCCTTGGGTGTAAAGCAGTCCTTGACAACAGTGAGTATACTGTGTGAAATTAAGCTGTTACACTCAAAAAATTCTCATAAAACACTAACACAACTGTACACAAAACATATGTCTGAACTTCAATTTAAGTAAAAAAAAAAAAATGGAGATTTGGCATGAATCAGTTTTTCCATTACTGTTCTGAGATGTGTTGTCACAACTTCTGATCACATCCTCTCCCTTGCTTACCAGATTCTGCTGTCTGTAAACACTGTAAGCCTAAAGAGTCTGGTCTCTACCAAAAAGAGATTTCTCACCTGAATGCATTGGAAGAAAAGTTTGCAAGGCTATGGACTCAATGTCAAAATTGTCAAGGCAGTCTGCATGCTGATGTACTGTGTACCAGGTGTGAAAAATACGATGATTGATATTTTTTGACAAGAGATAGTTGTGTTCTTCAACAGGACACTTCACTCTCTTCTTCTCTTTCCACCTAGAAATATTAATCCTCTAACTCCCAGAAGTGATTAACATGTAACTTACCCCTATGATAATAATAACCGTACACTATCCAGCAGACAAATAATGAGAATACTCAAACTAGTCAGGTGGAAGATTTTATCTGGTTCTAACACCAAATTCTGGTAACCAAATTACAAGGAATTGTGTAGCAGTGAGAAGGGAGAATTAACAATCAGATCTTGGAGTTTAAGGTTCTATACTCTACTTTGCTTCTCAACTCACAGAATAATTTAAAGTGAATGAAAAATCTTTTGGGATCATTTAAATCTGAATCCATGGCACTTTTTGATTGTGTTATGCATTTACATGGTTAATATCTGTTTTGTTTCAGTCGTGATTGTCCCATCTTTTACATGAGAAAGAAGGTTCAGAAGGACCTCTGTGATCAGGACAAACTCATTCAGAGATTTGGTGATTGTACTTGGTGATGACAGTTCCATTTCAAGAAAATAAGGATTTTCTCAACAAACATATCAAGACAAAGAAGAGTATTTGGAATTGAAAAAGTAATGAGTGCAACCCTGCATGAATACATCTCACATAATGCATGTAAAGTCATTAAGGCAAAAGTCACACCCCAGAGCCCAAAGAATCATTAACTTGGATATTTTCAAGTGTTTATAACTCATTTGTGCAATAAAAAATAGAAGCAACTTGAAAGTTTAGTTTTCTGTTATGAGCAATATTTTTTTTTAATTGGACAAAGGGATAGACAAAAACACCTAACTCAAAACTTAATGTTAAATTTCTCCCTTATTATAACAAATGTTGTTACTTTCTGATTTGTCATGGATGTCTGAGGAACAAATTTTGTTACCACCCTTTGTAAAGGTTGTGGTAATTCTCTTGCATGAGCAACAGTGTTTAGTTGTTTAAAACCTTGCAATTTCTGATGAATTGTTCCTTGAGCCTTTACAACTTCCAAAGTAACCCAAATAACTGTTACAGGCTTTACTGATTCAAAGAACAGCAATGCAAGAGTTTGTAAAAAATCCCCAGTGGTTCTTCAGGAATAAGAGGGAGAATACTCTGTCAAAGACTTTTTGTGGTGATTACTTTGCTTGAAGATCTGGTTGTCTGATACGTTCTTCCATATTTTCATTTTTTGCATGGATCTTAAGCAATTCCATAACTGGATTATCATACTCTGTAGGTGTAGGTTTCTTGTCTGTCATCCAGTAGTATATCTCCCAGTCATTGCTAGGTTCATTTATCAGCTTGTCATACTGATCCAGCTGGTTATCATTCAGACCATCTAAATGCTTATCTGCAAATGTGCTGCCAATTAAAAATCAAATTCAGATATATTTCTTTGGAAGTGTAAGACCTCTCAGTAGGGGACAGGAGGAGGGGTAAACTGCTCTGGCCATCTTACTCACATTCAAATCCATGCTAGGTTGTTTTATGTTAACAATTTATCACCATTTGGACCATGAAGATGACACATACTCCCCTTGGGCCCCCTTAACAACACTTAAAACACATGGGTGCAACTGAAACTGCATTGTTCCAGAAAATATCCATGCCCTTCCCGCAACAGAAGCATTGATTTGAGCCCGAAAAGATTTCCGTTTAACCCCATACAACAAAGCTGTAGTCCCAAAGGCAACCTAATCTTTACGACATTGTTTTCTTTGTCCAAAAACCGTATGCATGATGAAATATGGAGCTGTACGGAAATCTTGCCTCGAGATAGCCTGTGCAGAAATTTTATATTCACTTTCAAAGTTTTCATTACAGACTTTTGTTTGTATGCTACTGCTTAAACAAAACAAATACTACGAGAAACGATCTGGCACTTTCACCCAAACCATGTTACGTAATTAACCATGATTGTGGTAGCCACGTACCTCAACAGGAGTCCATTTTCCAGCATTCCACGCTTCCTGGAGCAGATGTAAAATGAATTTAACTTACTTTTATCTAAATCCATTTGAATTTGTTTGATCAAGTGCACCATTTGAATTTCAGTAGTTTTATATATGTGTACCTGCTTTGGTAGAGTAATCTTGCTCGTTTGCGATCCACCGGTTCGTTTTGAGGCGATTTGTACACTGGTATGGGTGGCTCTGAGTCTGAACTGTCGATTATTTTGTCAGATAATAAGCGCATATTTGGTCTCATTAAATGAGGGTGTCGAGATTGATAAAGAACATGGCGAAAATTCCGTCCAAACAAACTCAAGAAATACTTCCTACTAGCCGCCATTGCTTTTATGCCAGCAGTGTGATCTGCAGGCTCATGTTAGTATTCGTTTCCAGTTCTCTGCTGTCTAGATCATCTGAAACCCAAGCCCATTCACGTGGTGTACCGCTGTTACAGCGTTTTGGAGCAGAGGTGAGAGTGCGTTTTGGTATCCAAAACGCTGTGACACCGCCTTGATAGGATATTGAGGGCCTGGCCTTTGTAAAGACGTGTTATCTTTCCTACAGCTTATAATACATACATGGGTCTTACTTATGATCTATTAAAGGACAGACGCACGGACACGTCACCATTAACAACATTCTGTTTCTTTCTCAAACACTCTAAAACAAATAGTGTCCATGTTGCTGTGGATCTGTCCAGTAATAGATGACAGAAGACGTCAGAATGTTGTAACATCATCAGTAACGCACTCAGCTGTGCCTCGTTTGCCACCTTCTTGTTCTCACCACATTTTGACGTCAGCATTTGAGATCCATTACTGACTAGACGCATGGTATCGTGAAATCTACTTGTTAAATAAACAATACGCGTTACGCACAAATGTGCGTTTTTCTGTTGCAAAACCTCACAGCTCCAAGGCGTTTTTAAACAAGTATAACATTGAAAAAAATACTTGAAGAGCAGTTCTTGATTAGGTTCAATCCAAGGCACAGAGCGAAGTATCGCAATGAGACTGACGAATCACGTACTTTTAATGGATCAAGCGAATAAAACGAGTTCTACCGGTATAAGATTGGTTTCAGCTTTAGGCTTCAGTAGTTAAAAGGCTACTGCGAATTTTTAAGGTGAATAACAGCAAAGTTAAGCAAAACCAAACTTGAATTAAACTAATCACCAGATATGGGATCACACAAGGTACAATACTGACGTTATTCTTCGAAGTTGGTATCGTTATGTGTTTTATGTATACTGATCAGTATACATAAAACACATAACGATACCAACAATTATGAGGAAGAAAATGAGGGAGAGCACTAAGGGTCACACAAATTCGAGGGCATGAAAACGATGGAGGCCGACTGACAGTCGGAGAGGGTAAATGTAATTATAAGTTTAGAATCTTAAAAATCGGACAAGGAAAACCTAAAGTTGACGAGATACTTACTTAATAATGGAACAACAAGGGAAACCAATGGTAAATAGGTTTTTTCTAGATACAAATAACAACTGTACAGTGTCGCTGGTATAACATCGGACATTTGCACTCGATTCGCGCGTTATTCGTACTTTATTTTGTGCAGTTGAATAATAAACTAACGTAACAGTTCCCGTTACAAGTGAACCAGAATTGCACGAGATTCTAAGGCAACAATCGGACGACAAGGAAAGCTAAAAGTGCACGAGATTCTTACGTAACAATCGGACAACAAGCAAAGCTAAAAGTGCGCGAGTAACTTAACGTTGCAATTGCGTAACAAAAGAAACCAAAACTGTGCGAGACACAAAGGTAACAAACATACAATAACGACAACAAAAAGTGTGGGAGACACAAAGGTAACAATCGTACAATAACGACAACAAAAAGTGTGGGAGATGCAAAAGTAACAATCGGTCATCAAGGAAAACAAAATGTGGGCGAGATTAACCTAACAATCACATAGCAAGGAAAAGTAAAGATTCGCGAGTTACTAACGTAACAATAGGATATCAAGGAGAACCATAAGTGCGCGAGATACGAACGTAACAATTGCTCAAAAAGGAACAATTGCATAACAAGAGAAACCAAAAGTACGCGAGATGCAAACGCGTTACAAAGGAACAAAAGAGGAAACCAAAACTGTGCAAGATACTAACATAACAACTGGACAACAGGAAAAACTAAATCTGCCTGATTTAATAACATAACAATCGCATAACAAGTGGAACCAAAAATACGCGAGATACAAAGTGACAAACGGACAACAAGGTAAAGTAAAAGCTCGCAAGATACTAACGTATCCAAAGTGGATATCAAAGAATTAAGACCCAAAGTGCGCGCAATAAAAGCGTAAAAAAATGGTTAAAAATGAAAAGTTAATGTTCGCTCTATGTGCGATTCAAAAGTTTGATAGACTTTCGTAGGATGATTGGCAATGTACAAAGTCTCTGTTGTTTTCAAACTTTTTCTCTTCCTCTCTCCCTTGGTTTTCTTGTTGTAATCACGCGCGACTTGCGTAACCACTCAATTTGGCCCATCACGTCAACAAACTCTAACCTTGACTTTGAAAACTGACGTGGGCATTTCTGCGTCATTTTGTTGTTGTTTTTTATGAAGTTGTTTCAAGTTATTTTTTAGCTTCCTTCCAAAAAATTGTATTAGCCTTAGGGTGATGAGGCCAGCACTTGAGGAGATCAAACCGTGAGCGGGTTACCTTCAGTATCGAGACCACCAACACTTCTTGCTAGCCTCGATATCAATGGGTTACCAGAGAATAACAACCTATTTGAACAAAACCACTACCACAAAAAATGTTTCAACCAGTTTATTTTGCCTACATTGAATCGGCTAATTTCACTACTTAACAAAGTAACGCAAACACTGCTCTTGTTTCTACAAATCTCAGAAAACAGTAACAAAAAAAAAGGTACTTCTTGAAAATCGTTTTAACTTGAAAAAAAAAAAAGCCAACAAATTCCAGCTAGCTCAGTAGTTTAGACCTCAAAACATCAGGTTACTTACAAAACAAAAAAACCTAAAGCCAAACTGAATGTAAATCAATTCCCTTTCCTTAAAATGTCAGTAATTGTTGTTTCAACCATCGACGCAATTATTCCAAGGTTACATAGAAAATAAGAAAAAACAATAACGTCATAATGGCTAAAAACTAATTAAAATAGTGAGCTGTCAACAGTTGACAAATTATTATATTTTAACCCTTTGATCCAAGGAGTGACTAAAAGCTAATTTCTCCATACAATAACACCTCTGAATCACATATTAAGGTAACAAGAAGAAACAAAATGATCCCCAACTAAAGAAGTTCTTGATTGTTAAACAAATTCTCCTTGTCAGCACCTTATAGATTGTATAGAGAACATTATGAAGAATATGTATTCTGAAGTTGGGTTGTAAGGAAGGAAAGGAAGAAAAAGGAAGTTCAGTGAGGACTACAGATGTAGTTACCCATTGAACTGAGTACTAAATAAATATTTTGTGTTAATCAATCAGAATGAACTAGGGTGTGAATAAACTTAACTTGACAATACACAAGAGAGCATTGATACCTCTTGCTGTACCACTACATGTTGCAACAACATGAAAATATTCACAGCTCAAAAATTTACTTAAATATGATAACTACTGCAAAAAAAATCTAGAAAAAAGAGAAAACCACTTTTCTGATTTTCTGATACTCTTTTTTTAACCATAACTATAGATTTGTTGTACAAAATAGCTATTACACCCAGTAAACAAGTTTGATAGAGGAAAACTTCATAGAAAGACAGATCCTTTTCAATAGACAAACTCTACCAACCACCTGGTTTTATGAGGTGTACTTTTACATTATATCCAATGGCTTTGTTCATTACTGTCTTGATTTGAGACTGTCCACTAACCTGAAAAAAGACAGTAATTCTAACTTTGTAATTCATAACCATGGATAATTTACATTTAGGTGATCAAAATAAAACTGACCGAATGAAAAAATTAGATTTTCACAAACTAGATATGGTTAGTTCACTTCAGAGACAGAGTCTTCCACAGTTGATGAAAATTTTTAGCAACTAGTTCCCCATGGTATCCAAAGAGTGGTCGCGAGTCATGAGAACAGGATGGTGAGATTTTCCAGCAGAGTTGTGAGATTAGGAAAAGACTGGGCTTATGTTTGGGACACAAAATTGTGGCAAGCTGTTCTCAGAGGGCAGGGGAAGGCAAATCATGATGCATGATTAAGTCCAAAATTAAGATGTGATACGTGAAATTTACAGAAAGGTGAGGAAAGCGCAATTTGAAATTTTCATGTTAAATTTGTGATGCACAAAATGCTGTTTTAAGTGTATGTGAAACATGAATTTTTCCTTAATTGGGTGTGAATCCAATCAGATGCATATAATTTTTGCATCTATATCATTAGATTAATAAAATTCTTAATGTAACTCACCATTCCATAGCCTCATCAAGTCCTTCTCCTTTTGTAGCTGAGGTTTTGAATATAGACCATGTGCGACTCTTCAATGCAGAGAGACCTAGAGCATTTGAGACCTCTGAAGCTGTCATGGCTCCATCAATATCCTGAAGTCAAAAGAAAAAACTCAGATATGGCTTTGATTTTTAACAATTTTTTATGCTTAACTTACTTAGAAGTGTACCAAATTTCACATTATCACTCTTAAAATAGTTTTGTTGGAAAGTCATTGCTTGTTAAAAACACTATGCCTTGTTTCAAAATGTCAGTATTTTCACCACAGAAAGAAGTAACAGATTATTTAAATCTATGAGTCATAAGGCTGGCTATTTAAACAAGGTTCAGCAGTTGTTTAACAGAACAGCATCCTGAAAAATCCTCTATTTAGCCAAACCTTTCATCTAAACATTTATGTTTCTAAACGGGCATGAGAGGGTCAAAAAGCCACTAGAGGAAGACATATAGTCTGTGGGGCTAGTTTTTTACACAAGGTCTAACCAAACCACAGTTTTATGCAATCAGTGGGCCTCAGGGATTCTCTTTAAGAGGGTTGATTCAATTATTAAATAACTGTCCCTTTGGTCCTGTTGGGCTAAAAGGTTCAGTTAAATTGAAAATGGCTTAGACCAAAGTTTTGATAAACAACTGCTAAACTTTGTTTAAACAACTAGCCAATAGTGTTTAATTACTGCAGGTCCAGGGTTTTCCATTTCCATCCTTTACACCCTAAAATCAGTAAGCATATTCTCCATACTGTTCTCCAAACATTTCTTAAGATGCCAACATGGAGAATTTGTCTTACAATCAAGATCTTCTTTCATGGGTGATCAGCTCCTTTATTCTCCCGACCTTAATGCTTGATTCAGAGATGATATGGTAAGGAGAAATTAGATACCACTCACTCTTAGGAGTTAAAGGGTTAACCCTGATCTCAATCCCTATCCTTTTCCAAAATATTAAGAGTTTAGCAGATATCACTCTGTTTGAATTTTTTAAAAGAATGCATCACAAGAATAAATTCAGAACTTACCTGTTTGTTGGCAAAAACCACTAGGATTGCTTTTTTGAGTTCATCTTCCTATAATGAAATAATCATTTTTTTTTCAGGACTGTTTTGCCTCCAAGGATATTTGAGCCCCTTTTTCTTGACAAAAATAGTTTGCCACATTCAGAACAAAACAAAATTCTGGATATAACTAAGTAGTCTCTTTTTCCTTGATCAAATGGACAATTTGCTTGAGGCTTTGAGCTACTGTGCTTCTTTACCTTTTCAAGCTTTTGCCAATCAACAGCATCTTAAGGGAATGTTTGGGAATACCAGTACTACATGTTAGTAAAACCTTTTTCAATAAGTTCACATTTTGTACATCAATTACTAAGAACATGTAGAGAATCAGTGATCTGCATGCCTTTTGTTGGTTTTGAAGTTCAACAAAATGAAGAGGCACATTATTTTGCTGTGCAGACCATTGAAGGCTGTGGCTGGCCATAATTGTTTCCTAACTAACCCTATAAAAAATTGTTATCAGCTAAGGCTACAAAAATTGTAATTTTTTTCAGTTCAGTTGTCAAACAAGGAAAGCATTTGTCATAAAAATGGGACAGAGAAAAATCTGAGTTATCCACTGTGACACAAAGTTCAAACTTAATGATTCTGTGATGTGATGGCTGATCATTAGTGAACTCCATGCCAAGCTAAGCCATGTACCGGTAGTAGGTTCAGATATGACATGAGCTTGATGGCATTGGGAGTTTTGTTGTTCAACAGGAAAGATGCCTCTATTTTTTTATCTTGTAATAAATACACTGTACTCAACATCTTTTTCATTACATCAGTAAAATGTTTTACCTCTAACATGGCAATTAATTCCTGTTTCGAAATTCCTATTCTTTCTCTATCCATACTATCTACCACATATATAATAGCATCTGTGTTAGAGTAGTAACATCTCCAGTATGGCCTGTAATAAATAACACAAACATTAAAAATGGTTTGAATTATGAAAGATGTGATTAACACTGCTAATCATTATAGCCTTGGAAAGTTAATTATGAACAGGAAAATTTTGTGACAGGAGCAAAATGATTTTCAGAACATCAGCTCTCAAAACTGCTATAACTACTACAGCAACCTTGCTACAAATTCTCAAATTAAAGAGGCAGATACTATTAAGATTAAATTCAGTTGATAGATAATATAGGCATGCTTGATGGTTTTTAAAAAAATACTTTACTGTTACATTGTTTGATGTACAATAGGTCCCACATTTCAAGCATTGTCTCAAAATGAGTTCTTGAACAAATTCTAGGGCACTCCTTTTATAACTAAAAATTAAGTTCACATACCTAATGCTTGTTTGCCCTAAAAATAACCAAAAAAAAAGGTTGATTATTCTCATCAAAGCTTACAGGTTAATATCACAATAAATCTCAAAATGATCCTAAGAGACAAAACAGGCATTATTTTTTCTTACAGACAGTGTCACTACCATCATATTATTTATCTTACCTCCTAGATCCCACACTGTTTGAGGAAAGAAAAAAATGTAAATCAGTATATATTGCTCTATGATACTAGCATTTATGCGGTTACATCTAGCAAAAAGTTAAATGTCCCAAGTCCATTATCCCCATTCAAAGGGCAAACCCATGTAATTTGATTTTCAGAGCACTTTCCAGTTGTCAGAAATACAAAATTAGAGAGAAAGTGTGGGCTGATCGAAACAAAATTAAGGAATAAAAATTTAAGGCCAAAATTCCAGAAATAGTAAATGTTCAAGTCATGATGGGTTTTTGTTTATAATCTGATTGTTTCAGAGGGTAGTGAGAATTTTCATGCACAATTTCTGATCTAACTGGGGCAAAATCAAGGCAATCCCAGAATTCTTCCAACACCCAATTGCTCTGACTTTTGCTACATAACTTCATCTTGATACTAACCAAAATATCAAATATTTTTAATTAAAACAGTCACAGCTACAGGCTGTAACATGCTTCCTCCCTCACATCTAACATGACATATTAAACATGACATATCATTATTGCACAAGTTTTTCCACTCACCTTGAAATTTAAGGTTTTTATATGTAACTGTCTCAACATTAAATCCTATTGCTGTTGGGAAAACAATGAGAAAATTAAGTTGTAGATGTCATCAAAGACACAGCAACCCTTGATTTACGTTAATCAAATTAGCAGAGTGGACTGAAGATTCTGAAACTGAGAAATGCTACTTAAACTCAAGCACAATTAGATCCTAGGCTAAGTTAAAATTCAAAACTTCTGGTGTGCTAATTTTGAGCTTGTTGTTACGCCAATATCACTCATAGCTTACTTGGAATAGTTGTTACGACTTCTCCAACTTGTAGCCTGTAATTGGAAAGAAATTTAAAGACATAGATAAGGCCATTTAAACTAGCCTGAAATTGCGAAGATTTCTAGATATCATGGCTTAAAAACTCACCTGTACAAGATCGTAGTTTTACCGGCTCCATCTAAGCCTAAAATAAGGATCCGTAACTCCTTCTGACCAAACAATGACGAAAATAGACTAGAAAAGAAACTCCCTGAGGAGAAAACACATCAATCTCAGTAATCAGCCAAACTGTCTGTCTTAAAGAGGGCAGTAAACTTCAAACATACCCATTATTGCTGAATGCAAAAACAGTGAAAACTCACGGCTGATTGCGTGGCTATTTCTGTGGAAAAGACGTCGTATATGTCAACTCGTAATGTAGCGAGAGAATTATCATCTGTCGATTTTGGAATGAATGGAAAAACATTTCCCCAATAATTTCTCTAGAAAAGGGTCAGACGGAGTAAGACAATTTCTTCATCATTTCCTGATGTAATGAGACATTAATGTGGGCACCGCTGTAATTATAAAGGGATTGATTGTATCAATCGGGGTCATCTGTAGTGAAAAAAAATAAGTACACATTGATGATGTTTTATAGAATCAATTTTTCTTTTCAATTGACATCCGCTGACAATGTAACCTGGATTTCGTGCAATATGGCGGCAAATTTGTAGGTAGATAGGTCCCCGAGAAATACAGTAGTTATGATGTTTAGAGAGTGACTTGAATCTAAATAACAAAAGAATATAAAAAAATCATGGAGGGAGAGCCAGCCACTGAAGAGAAGCCAAGTGCAGAAGAATGGCCTCTGGAGAGGGCTGAGGTTGGTGCTTAACTTTAATTTCGTGAATTTTAATTTGTAATTGTTGTTCAGTAGTGCGAGTTTAATCCTCACTCGCGATTTGCAATAACTATTTCTCGGTTGGTGGGAGAAGAGCGGCAGGTATCGGTAAAATTTCCGCACAGCCCCATACTATTGTAAAACAACTCTGCCTTCCCAATGGCAATCTATTGTTTTTGTCATTGTTTTCTCTATCCAAGAACTGAATGCATAATGTCGTATGGGGCTGTGCGGAAATTTTACCTTTACATGGCTCAGAGGCAAGGGGAAATAAAACAACAGAAACTAATTATCTTTTTTTCATTTTGATTTGATCAGGCTGCAGTTCAACAACTCTATGAGTTCAGAGACCATTACTTTGAACACAATTCAATTGAGAAGGCCCCACTAAAGAAGAAGGAAACTGAGCAAAAGTTGAAAGAGACTCTGAACATTCTGGACCATGTACAGGGTAAGGAAAAGTCTTTTTAAACCTTTTCTTATTTGATTTAACCTTTTAACTCCCAGATCTCATTATAATTCTCTTTACTGTTTGTTATACAATCCATATAATGTTAGTTTGGAGAATTTTTTTATGATCATCTTCTAACTCCTTAACTTATATTTTTCTTTATTCTCATCACTTGTCTGCTTGATATTGTATTGATATTGTAGAGAGAAATTCTGTCTTGAACAGCCATGGGATTTAAAGGGTTAAAGTCATTTTTTAATATAAATTATAATGAAATTGGTAGTGTCAATAGTTAATAGCTTAATGTTGTAACCAGGATTATCATTAGAAAAGTAGTAGGTGTGTGATCTGAACTGATTACTGTGATTAGGGGCTGAATTGAATTATGAATGTATAGTAGGCATGGCATGTTGCTTTGTAACATGCTGTTCAAGGGTATTCATGGGTATGCTTTCTCAGAAACTTTCCGAAAGAAGTGATTTCCAGAATTCTCAAGAATATATGATAATCATTTTCTATCTTTGATCATAATTTACAAACTAAAGGTGTTGCTGGTGCAAAATGGTCTGATGAGCAGCAGGCTTCTACCAGTTACCAGCTTCCTATGACAACCCTGTTGTGAACTTTTTTCCTGAATTTGGAATTTATTTAATGAAATATTTTTCCTTGCCGTTGTAGCCCAATGCGAGGAAACAGCCAGATGTCTATTTTTACGAGGGAAGGCCTTGAATGTGATGCCTGATTATGATCCTTTGGCTCAAGATTCTCTGTCAAGAGCCGTCAAGCTGGATCCGAAACTAGTTGAAGCTTGGAATTGCCTGGGAGAGTGTTACTGGAAGTGTGGACAAGTTGAAGCAGCCAGAAACTGTTTTGTAGGAGCATTAAATCATGTGAGTTAAAAGACACATGTTGATTTGACAGCCTATTTTGGGCGATGGTTTTCATGAAGTGAGAGAGACATAAGAAAATACTCTTGTAAGGGATTGTAACCAACACAACACTGAACTCACTTGGTCCAGGAGTCAAACCCTGGACACAGCAAGGTGGGGTGAAGGCCTTCAGAACTGCACCATTCTTGCTCCCAAGTACCGGGTAGTATGAGTCTGTAACTCAAATTTAAGACACACCAATTTTCCTCCTTAGGGAAAGAGCAAGGAGTCTTTGAGGAACTTGTCAATGGTGTTGCGACAGATTGGGAAAGGTGAAATAAAAACAAACCCTTGTCACCATAAGCATGAGAAAATCCAACCCAAGTTTAAGATATTTGTCAATAAGGGAAACATAATTTCACAGAACTTGAATTGTCAGGAGAACAGCTCGCTGAAAAAACACCTTAGTTTATAAAAAACTGATGAAGAGTTGGGCTGCATCATTTGAATAATTTTTACCCATAAGCACACTCTAAGGTTTCTGTTAATGATTTGTTTTTAATGCCAAAAGAAACTTGGCAATAGCTCTTTCACTTATGAGTTAGTTTTAAACAATAACCAGAGTTGGAATAGTTTCCAAGTTTTGTTTTGGAGAACCTAGTAACTTTCTTAGATTTAGTTGATTTTGCTGAAAATTTTAATTTTCAGATCAAGGTGAAAAAGTAGAAAATATCAAAATGAGTGTAGAGAAAGCAAAAGAAGCAGTGCAGTGTGATGTTAAGGATGGAATTTCTTGGTGTGAGTGGACTTATTATAAAATATTAATCATTGTAATTGATGATAAATGACAAAAGTTGTAACTATAAGATTAGTTGTATTTTTATATACTCCTCTGGTAGTATCACATAACTTGCTTTGTGATTGGCAGTTCTCATAACCACAAACATGATGGGGGTGCATTATTGTATGGGAATTTCTTCTTTGTTCGTGAGTAAAAAAATTTGGAGAAAAAATCTTTCCCCTCAAGGGAGTGAATAGATGCCAGCAAATTTTTAAGGGAAACATGATAAATATTTAGTAATTGAATGATAAATGTCTTTAATTATCAATGGGCTGGCAGGTGTTTTTTTCCTCAATTTTTTTGGCAGACCATTGTCAAGGTATTTTCATCTCCAACTGACATGCCAATGTTCATTTTGTTTCAAAGACATACTTGGCAATGCCTATCTCTCCCTCTTCTTTTGTGGATCACAGTCTCCTCAGCTGATCAAGCAGTGTATGACTGCATATTCACAAGCGGTAAGAATTCCATATTAGTTTAAAGCCTTAAAACTACACAGTATATGGTTACTGTTGGTCATCAAACTGAAACCTGACCTGTGAGCACCTTTCCCTCACAGGAGAATTAGGTCAATTCTGATACTGATAGTGAAATGAAGTCAATAAGACAGACTTCATTGTACACATTTCTTTTCATCTTTTGATTCTGTAACTGACACTGTAACAAATCTCTAGCCTAAAGACATGATCAACATCCATACCCTTTCTTTACATAGGAACCTGACCCCACCCTCTTATTTTAGCTTGTTCTGATTAATTTAGTCTGATGAGCTATTCCTTTTTTTTTCCTGTTATTGAATTTTCTTTGATTCTGACCATTTACCGTATTTACCCGTGTATAATGCGCCCCCGTGTATAATACGCACCCTAATTTTTGACCTCTTTTTCCCGAAAAAAAAAATTTCATGACAAATACCAAGAATTAAAACTTCCATTTTTTCACTTAATTAACAAGAGCTGGGAATTCATCAATAATATGTTTACAACAATTTCTAACTAGTTGCTACTACAAATATCGCACGCACCGAGCACCTATTTACAAGCTTTTTTATTCAGTAACAGTCAAACGTTTTATAAATGTTGTAACTTGAAGTCCTTATTAATATACCTAAATTCACAACTTGAATTATTATCATAACAGCCGTTCATAAACATTATTTCTACTCACAGTACTGCTGGTAGCTTGAATATAATTACTGCATTGCAATTGCGTGATTTAAGTAAAATGTTCAGTGTCTTTAAACAACGAAACCTTCAAATTCCGACTCACAGTCCGATTCGAATAGGTTTCGATGACTGAATCCTCAAGTTCATCAGTGATCGCAGTTGAATTGTAAACCAATTCATCTTGTGATCCATTCGAATTGTTTGTGCACCCACACTTCAGAGAGGCAGCGATCATTTCTGATGGAATGCCTTCCCACGCTTGTGAAATATACGAACAGATCAGTTCCTCCGAAGCCTTTTTTTGTCGTCCAGTAAGTTCGTGAATTCCATCAGCCATCCACTCCTTTCGGACTCCATCTCTAAATGGTTTGTTCAAAGATACATCGAGCGGCTGGAGAAGGGAAGTTCGCGTTTGAAGAAAGTGTTCACAGTATCTGTCACGTGAGCCTCAAATGAGTCGTAAATAAGCAAGCTCTTTCTCCTCCCCAGGCCACCGATCCGTGCACTTTTACTTTCTTTGTTGCGTTTTTAACGTATGCAAATTAGGACGTGCTTGACAAACAATAGAATCCGTGTATAATACGCACCGCGATTTTGATGCTTGTTTTTATGGAAAAAAAGTGCGCATTATACACGGGTAAATACGGTAATGGTGTAATTTTATTAACAGTATAAAGACCCTGTAGCACAAAACAACCCAGATCTACACTTCAATCAAGCAATGGTAAGACACAAATCAGTATAAAAATTAGTATTAAGATTAGTTAAAGATTGCTAACTTAACTCTTTCCACCCTAAAATTAGCACTCATATTCTCTATACTGTTCTCTTTACATTTTCTATGGTGCTGACAAGGAGAATTTGTTTGATAATCAGTAGCTTCTTAAATTGGTGATCATTTCCTTTATTGTCATGACCTCTGCATTTTATTAAGGGTATTACTGTAAGAAGTAATTAGAAATAAGACACTCTTAACTTTAACAGAACAGAGTATGGGATGACTCTTATACTTTCTTTGTTTTAAATAAGTGATATTTGATCCTTTTTTCTTAAACCTTGCTTACCTAGCTTTTCTCTTGAACTTGTTCTTAAACTCAGGAGGTAACAAAATGGCAAATATTAGCCATATTAGTACTTCCATTTCAGCAATACAAAGACAGCAAAACTTTGTGGCTCAGAACTGTTGCAACAACAGCGGTGTCTCAGCTTTAGGCAATTAATCCCTGAAGTATACTTTGTTTTACCCAGTTATGACCAACAATATAGAACAATGGCTATAAATATATGAAAATCATACATGTGCACTTTGGTTGAAGAAACGAATATAGAAGCAATCCTTGCAGCTATGAACACTACTGAACTAATGGTTGAAATACAGGCCTGAATTTTTTTCAGTAGTGTTCATAGCTGCGAGGATTGCTTCTATATTCATGTTTTCAACATAAGTGCACATATATGATTTTCATATATTTACAGTCATTATTCACCACTTCAAAGGTTTATTTGGATCCAACATAGTGACCAGCTCCCAGTTGGCTTGTTAGCTCAGTTGGTAGAGCACTGCACCGGTATCACAGAGGTCATGGGTTCAAATTCCATATGGGCCTGAATTTTTTCAGGCCTTATTTTAACTACTAGTTCAGTAGTGTTCATAGCTGCAAGGATCACTCCTATATTCAAATGTTGAACTATTTTGTCAGAGAAGGTTGATTCTATCATTCAGGTTTCCTTTTAGGCATACAAATACCAGGAGGAATATAAATTAGCCATAGATGGCTTCAAAAAGGCTGGCATTTTAGACCCAGGTTGGATGGAGCCTGGTGATGAGAAACTTAAGCTGCTGAATATCTTAACAAAAACAATTGACCTTGTGGAGGGAAAGGTATGAACTAATAAACTAATAATTCTGTCTGAATGTAATAGTGTTCTCATTGTCTCACTGTGCTTTTCCTTCTTCATTCTAAATTAACATCTTTATAACAACAATTCTTTCATCTTCTCTACCTTTATTACAGGGTAAATTGAAAGGCAAGAGGCTCCATTCCATGGTACAGTCCTTGGGTCCATCAGATTTGGGCCCATATGGTGGTGGTAGTTACACCAGTCCATCAGGTCAAACAGTCCAGCTTGATCATATTCCTGTTTCCAAACTAGTTTCTGGCTCAAATCATAACAAAGTGATTGTTGGCAAAGTTGTGGGCTCTGTTCCAATGGATGATCCAGTGCCATAGTAAGTATTTCAGATGGCAAAAATAGAGAGTTTTATTTTACTCTTAAGATGTGATTTGTAATGTTTGGCTCTTGGTAACACTTATTTTCTGGTAAATTGGTTAATAAGAAAGACTGGTCCAGCAGCAAGTTAACACTCCTTACCAATGTGTTTTACATTTTCTTATCACCTGTTTAGTGGACAGTAAATTGATGTTGCAGGGGCAAATTGCATTATAACCATTTAGAGGTGAAATGTGAATGACAACAAGCAGAAAAATATTTTGAATAAAAATGCATGAAATTGTGAAATAATAATGCAAATGATAATTAATATTTGCTAAAAAGAATGTTGCATTGTTGAGGTAGTGGATATGAATTATTTTCTGCATTGGAAGTCAGTTTGTATGCCACACTTCTGGTGTCTTTCTTGTTATAAAACCATCTTGTTCTAAAACTTTTTTCCTCTTCTTGTCATTCACATTTCACCTGTCAAAGACTGCAGTTCAGGCAGTTGAAAGCTCATTATTTTTTTATTGTTTTAGCCAGAGATCATTCTGGAAATTTTTTTAACATGTTTCATCCCGGCTGTTTTCACATTGATAGTGCACTTATGGAATGTTACTTGTACGGTACTGTGGTGGTTACATATTTAACTGATTTCATGACAATAGTTTATCATGACCAGATTCTGTTGTTCTCAGTATCTTTGCCCTGGTGGATGGTGAAGATCGTTGTATACCAGTAACTGTTTACAACATGGCAGCAGGAGCTGGGTTTGCAGTTGGTGACTCTGTTGCTATCCCTGAACCTTTTTATCAGGAAACTGATTTCTCTGAAAAGGAAAAAGTAAGTGTATATCTCATCTTAAGATTTTGTAATTTTTTGGTAGAAATTTTATTTTGATGGGCACACCTGTCACTGCCAGGTAAAACTAAAACTGGGGAAACAATCTGTAACATGGTACAGGCATCCCCAACTCAAGTATAAATCTGGATATTTCAGAATTTCAAATAATTTTTTTCTGATAGCTTGCTCAGGGGCACTCCCTATTTTCCTACCACCCCCTCCTCTCATTGCAAAAGAATGAATTAGATATTAGGCAACTTTATTTCTGATGAAGCAATTACCAAGTAGTTTTTCCTCTTAATGACCCTCATAGCTGCCTATGATTAAAATGTGACTATTTCTTTAAGTTAATTTGCTAATCAGCTTATTGAACCGTTTTCACCTAGATATTCAAGTTTGCTTCGATTCGTATCGACAACCCTGTAGTTTTGGTGGTAAACAAGAAGAAACTTGGCTCTAACAGACTAGCTCCATCAACTCTTTTGGTTTCTACAAAAAGCGAGTGATTGATTCATAGCATACCTTTGTGAGGAGGGAAACTGTTTCCAGTGATGGACCGGTTAGATACAACAACACAAATCGAACAGAACTCATTTCGAATTTATGAATTTACTGAGTTAGGTGTGTGAAATTTGTGTCTGTCAATGATAGACGCCAGTCAAGCAACCACATTTATAAAACCTTATGGAAAATTTCCTCGAGGATTTACTTTTATCTATTTTATTCGACTGAAGCACAAAAATTGCGTGTTTTCACTGGTTTTAAGAAAAAAAAATCCGTTTTCACCTCTTGACATCATTACCTTGTGAATAAGGCCCCGTTTTACCACCATTGCCTCTTACTTTGAAAGAAGTCCACGGTAAAACAGAAGGCATATTACGACTGACGAGCTTGCTAATAATAGGGATTCGAGAAGGAGAAAATAATTGATATCCTACATAACAAAGAAGAACCCATATTAATGTGTAACTGGATTATGTTTCATAAATATTCTTAAAAAGAAAGGATACACGATTATTTATTAATTTCTTAAGAAATCTACACTCAAATTGACTCAAATAACCATTGGAGTTCATAACGGTTATCGCCTCGAAATACGCGGCCACTATATTTTTTTAAATCATGGCCAGCGTTGGCGTGGAGTAGACAACATGATTTGTAAATATTTTTCATGGAATTAATTTTATTCATGAAGCCCTCCTGCAACATCTGAAACTGATCTGCGACAGTTAAAATGCCGTCGTGCTGATTTTTTAAAACTTAAAGATTTTGTTACGATTTCAAAAAGAAATTGTGCAATTTTTTCGTCGATGCCAGCCTCAATCTCCGTCTTCATTTTGGTTATAAAGTAGATTTAGTTTATTTTAGAGCAATAGGAATGTCTTCCGTGCTTTCTGAGAATTTACGTGCGTGTAGTGGTTCCAAAAATAACCAGTGACAAGCACAAAACCGAAACTAACTAGGGAGGGAAAGATCGCGGGAAAGTCCCTTTCTTCAGGGGATTACCGAAAATAATTTCCTAGAAGCCTTATTGGCTGAAGATTAAGGGCGCGCGCTGAAATAGTCATCCGGAAAATAGTGACGTCTGGCGGGTCATTTTCAACCAATCAGATACGCTGAATCAAGCGCGGGTTCTTAGAAATCAGGGGTTTTCACCGAAAAAAAAACAATTGGGGTCTGACTATTTGGAGTTGTTTATTATAAATTTGCAAGCCTGTTATTCCAAGAACGAGAACTCGCTGGGTGCATGAAAATACGCCAGAACAGAGGAGCGAAGCATTGAGTGAGCAATTCTACGACAAAAGAAGGTAATTTGTTCTCTTCTTTCATCGGACAAAAAAATGTGTGCGTTACTAAAGAGTTCACTATTTTTTCTCGATGGCTTTCGCTTTGTTTCCCCTGCCTAAATGTTTTTAAAACCAAGAGTATCATATTAAGTTTCTGCCACAATTCGATGAAGTTGAAAAACTATCGATTGGTCTCTATTTGTTTTCATGTACAGGTTTCAAGTCTTGACGTTTCCTGAAAACTGCAACTTAAAATTTGTTGCTAGTTTCCTCTTATCTGAATGCACGCTATGTTAGACGACGTTAATTGAAAATCAGTGGCGCTTGATATGTGTTACTCTGCTTCTTCTTGCAGGTTTTGCGAAAATGTCTTTAGGCATCGCGTCAATTGCAGCTTTTAATCCCAACAGACAGGCGGTACGTTGTTTATGGCGAAACTAGGAAGTTTTTAAATCGAACGCGTAAAATTGATTTCGAAATGTTAATTTCATATTTGTTTCGGGCATGGCTGATCACGCCATCATCTCCGCGACCCCCACATTATATTTCTTTTCTCACTGAAAGGCGCTTTGTATTCTTTGAATTGTGAAATTCATTTTTAAAAACCAAATTCTAGATCACGGTGTTAAATCTGACCAGGGGATAAGTCATATGTTAATGTTTGTAGTCCCACCTCTAAGAAATTCGGCTCGCAATAATATCGCGTTATTTCTAATTCTACGCAAGCTAGGTCAAAAGTGTAATCGCCTACAGATCAGCCTTTGTGGGGCCTAAAGCAAACAAATTGGGCTTAGTATCTTGATAAAAAAAAGTTAGATAGATGAGAAATAGACAAGTATCTAAATTTTGTCTCTGTTTTTAAGGTAATTGTAGTGTTTTCAATACAAAAACGCATGCGTAGTTTAATTCAAATTCTTGGAAAGGATGATTTGCATTCATATATGAGTGACTTTGAATAGCCACAAATCATTATTAGATCTGTGATCGGGCATGCATACCCTTTTTTTTACAATGGAAAATCTTAGATTGTAATTGTGAATGACTAAATGTCAAAGAGACCACAAAATAGGTTAGGGTTCTTCACAGTTCAGCACAATCATGCAACTATGATACAGGAATATTTTAGTGCTGTACTTTGAACTTGATATACAATGGTGCAAATGAAAATTGACACCCAATAGGAAATTGGAAGTTTCTAGGGATTTGGACCCAGAAGAGATTAAAAAAAGTTTCAGATGAGTTAAAAAAGGCCTGGGTTTTCAGCAAGTTAGGACTTGGAGGTAAATATGTCTTAGACTATAACAATGTATAAGCTCTATTCTAAGAAATATCATGCAATCCATGATAAAAGCTTATTTTTTTAACTTGATGTTTACAGAGTGGGGAACTCGCAGTCTCAATGTTAAAGAAGTGGCTATCATCTTACGGCCATCCATCAACAACAGCAGGACCAATAATAGCATCTACCATCACTATCGAAGCCATTCAAGATCTGCTGCATGCAAATGGCTTTCCCATTGAAGGTATATATGTGTGATTTACTGACAATAAAATTTTATTGCATGTTTTGTGTTAAAGAGAGAAATGAAACACAACCTAATGTACAAGCATGGGTCTTGCAATACCTTTTTCTCTCACCATGAGTAAAAATTTCTAATAAAATTTTCTCAATCTCTGTCTTTGATGGCAGCACCCCAACATGTGGACTTGTGTCCTGGACCATTTGAAGACACACAGTTTGATGCAGTAGTGGATGTTGAGACCTCTGATGATTGTATGGATAATGGAGGTAAACCATATTTATCCCTGTTTTTTTCCTACATTCAAATTCTGACTCCCCCTATCACATTTGTTTCAAAAATTTTGTAAGTAATTCATTGATTCTTTCCATGTTTGAATCCCTAATGCTCAACGAGATAGCATCACATCTTTGATTGAATTAATCAATTTGCTATAATTTTTCTTTATCAAATTTTACACAAATGGTTTTCAAATTATGGAATAATACACCTAACAAAAACTTCTCTGTATGTGTTGTCTAAATGTATGTTTGTTTTTGCTTTTTGTATTGATTAGTGACTGATAAATTTGTGACAACTATAATTACAGATCTCAAATTTACAAACCTTGATGCTTGTTCAGAATATGGATATGGTGGATCTGACCTCTCAGAAGATGAAATCAACTTTTTCCAAGGTTAATACTGCATTGTTTTCATAGATAATAGTCAGTATTAACTAGGGAAGATATTCAATCTTTGAATGAACCAAAACAAATTATTGAATTTGTGACTGGGTTGGGAAAGAGAAGTATAAAGAAAGTGCAAATTTCTACCCTAAGCCATATGATCTTCACTCAAACAGGTCTATTGATATAGAAATCTTTAAGGTCTCTATATTCTGTTGCCAGTGATTTAAATTCATTATTTCTTATCCATAATAGATCTGCCACTGAGTCCTGACTCGCCATTGTTCTGTGAGTCAGCTGATATTGACTTTGGATTTGATTCAGGAATTGAGGCTGAGATGGATGAACCTCATGGTAATAAAAAATCATTTGGTAATGTTTATGATTTATGATTCTACCCTTAACCCTTTACACCATGACATCCGTATTCATTTATTCTCAATTGTGCCCCTGGGCCCACTCTTAGATACCTTCCAGAAAACTCAGAACAGAAATTATTTGAAGGTGATCACCCCACCATGAGGTATGCATTACAGAGAACAGTGTTTGGTTAGTAATTTAAGCATTCATTCTTAATAGATGGGGCAGAAGAAAAAGATGGCAAAAAAGAGGAAGGAAAGACTTGTGAAGACAAGAAATCCACCGATGAATCAAAGCAGAAAGACAGTCAGAATGAGCAGTCAAGTCCACCAAAGCCAGTCAACAGTAAGTCTCATTTTACAACACTAAGTGCTCTTTCACCCCTTGCAAATCAAGCAAGGTTGAATTTCTTCTTGTGAAATAAATGTTTCTGAACAAAGTTTTTTTTTTAAATCATTCTATCAGAGAAGACAAAAGCAGAAGACAAAAGCAAGAGAGTGACAGACAAGAAAGATGTTGTAGATGTTAAAGAGGAAGGTGACGATAAAGATGATGATGATGATGATGATGATAATGAAGAAGAAGAAGATGGTAAGAATTCAAATGTAAATAAATCAGTGGCTTGTTATCACCTAAAAAAAACACTGTTGTTCGCTAGCACAGTAATATTTGTTGATCAACAATTATAGCAGTAGGTGGCATATCCATTTTTTAAAAAATTTAATTTTCTAATTGAACAGTTTAGATCCAATTTGCTATAATTAAATATGAAAATTTGTACCTGATGCATGATTAGCTATACCAATTTAAACATTGTGAAACCTGATATTGCTTCAGAATACATCATCGCATTATTGTCATTGAACAGATGTGTGCCAACTTTAAAATATTTGAGGTTAATGCAATGGATTTGATCTTCATCTAATTCTCCAGAGATAATTTTTGTGTGGGGAAAATGATTTTTTGCCTTGAATCACCACAGAATTATTCAACCACTTGATGATTTTCTTCTAGATTTTCCACACATCCACTGTCAATACCTCTGGGAGTTCCTTCATCAGATTTTGCTGGAAAAACAGAATAAGTATATTGCATGGAAAAATCAAACCAAAGGAGTGTTTCATCTTCTTGATCACAATGGCTTGGCCCGCCTTTGGGGAAAACAGAAAAACAGGAAAAATATGACATACGAGAAACTAAGCCGTGCCCTCAGATACTATTACAGCAAAAACATCCTCAAAAAGGTTCCTGGTCAGAGACTGACTTACAAGTTTGTTCGCAATCTTAATGGAAAGAAGTATCCCAACTGAGCTAGAAGCCAATATTTAAATCAACCATACCTGAAAAGAAGTTTGCTTGTTGATCTGATGTTGCCGATAAGTGCGAGGGGTGACGAATTATGTCTGCTTTTTTCAGAGCAGACTATGGTCAGTTGATAAAAAGCAACCTTAAGTAAAGAATACCTTTAGATTCATAATGAACAAGCATATATCTCTACTCATTACATATGAACTAACATGTAAATATTGAAGACACTCACATTTTACACTTAACAATCTCTCACTCAGAGTTTTAGGTGTGTGCATTTGTACATATTTAGCTCATAAAGAGAAAGATGTACATAAGCCTCGACACCCTAACATCAGTATGCATATTCTCCATACTGTTCTCTATACATTAAGGTAAAAGGTGTGGACAGGGAGAATTTGATTTAATATCCAAAGCCTTTTTTGGATGGTGATCATTTCCTTTATTGTCATGACCTTAATGTGTGATTCAAGGGTGATATTGTGTGAAGAAATTAGATGCTACTTCTCTTAGGTGTTTGAGGGTTAGGGCAGTTTCCATTGATCATCTGATTGTTAAGCAAGGCAATGATTTCACATGTTCATAAGGAATAAATAAGTGAACAGAATCGAAAGTTATGGACGTTCAAGCTGTTCGAAATATTTGGACAGTAAGAGAAGTAAGTGACTGATACCTTACAATCGCCAATGGAAAAAGTGTTCCTTAAAAGTTGTTGACCCTTTGAAAAATATAGACACTGAACTGTTCAGTGCTTTCACTATTACTTGCAAGGTAACAAATTGTAAGGCACTCAAAGTGCTCTTTGATTGTTTGATATAGTGGTTATAAGTGTAAGATCCTCAAGCATGGAAGTAAAAACTAAATTCTTTTATGAAAGTGTTGTGCAAATTTTCTTGTAGATATCAGGTAACTGTTGGCTCGTGTGCGTGTACAGCTGTGGTGGCAATGGGGTCTCTCATAAAGGGAATAAGTTTCTAAAGTTTTCTCACTAATGGAGGGCTAACGCTAAAAACATCAGGTTTAGAAAGTCTTTACGGTGGTCAAGACACATTATCAACTCAGTTCATAACACCAAATTATCTTATCCACGGACGTAGCACCCCAGCTTCTTTGGAAACTTACCCCCTTTATTCTTACCGTATCGGCCCATTATTCAACATTTTTCCCCTCTTTGTGAGGATTTGTGAAAACGTAGTTCACAGAACAGAACAGAACAAACTCATCTGATGCTGGCTGGCAATTTGAAACGGATGTTGTAAACAAAATGGTCCATTTATTAAAACTCGAGTTTAACGCAAATTTATTTCTGGGTTTGCGCAAACTCACAGAGCCTCGGTCTTTTCCCAAGACCGCAAGAAACAAAAGTTATAGACATGAAATTCACACGGGGTTTGCGCAGATTCGCAAAACCTCGGTCTTTTCTTAAGACTGCAGAAAACAAGAGTTAAAGACATCAAATTTTAACGGTGTTCCATGAATAAAACTTTCGAGCTCATATGAGCTCCTTTGGTCACTTATTTGTGTATCCTTAGCTTCCGTATTTCGCCAGGTTGAAACTTTCGCCTTGAAACTGGAAGCTATTTGCGAAAAAATGCCGTAAATCAGACCCTCATCCACGTGGAACCAGACAGAAGATTTAAAGCCTTGTCCGATTCACAGTCATGACCAAACCTTCCGCCAACTTTACTGAAAGACGTTTTTCCTTCTTTTCACTAGCGTGCGACAAAGTCCCCATGAGGGATCGAAGTTCATACCTCCGGATTCTGCGCTGCGATGCTCTACCACTGAGAAATCTGTAAGCGGACGCATAAATGGTTTTTCATCCTGTAAAACAAATATATTTCATGTTGCACTGGATCTGTATATACAAAACACATCACAGAAGATTTTAAAATTTTGTGAGAATATAAGTGACACACTCGGCAGCCGCTCACGGTCCACTTTTTTTATTGTTGCCACATTTTGAAGTCATCTTTGATGTATAACTAAACAGACGAACGGCAACATGAAAACTAAAAGTTACTCAGACCACGGAAATTTCATGTATTGCATAGTATCAAGAGAAAATAATGGTACCTAAGCATTTGTAGAGAGAAGTGTGAAAATGTTGGAACAGTCTTCACCTCTTGTTGTCAGTTTATGACCAAAGAGATTTGAAGTTTTGTTAAATTGACGAACCTTGACGAAGAAAGTTTGAATCAAAGAACTGAAAAATCAGTATTTGTTGCATATAAGAACGATTGATTGCCTGGCAGACTTATTGATTAAGTGATAGACTGATGACGGACTGACTGACTAATTGACTGACTGAATATTTGACTGATTGACTGACTGACTGACAGATTGAGTGGCTGACTGACTGACTAATTGACTGACTGACTGATCGACTTATTGACTGACTAACTGACCGACTGAATAGCAACAGACTGACTTACTGTCTGACTTATTGACTGAGTGACCGACTGACTGACTGATTTACCGATTTACCGACTGACTTATTGACTGAATGACTGACTGACTGACTGACTGACCGACTGACCGACTGACTGACCGACTGACCGACTGACTGACTGACTGACTGACTGACTGACCGACTGACTGACCTGCTTATTGACTGAGTAACAGACTAACTGACCAACTGCCTCATTGACGTTTCAAGCGCTAGCTCTACTTCAAATTCACTATACTCTGACGAAGGGCTACCTCACACACTTTGGTTTTCCTTTTTCAGCCATTATAACGTTAGTATCTCACATACTTGGTTTTCCTCGTTGTCAGATTTTTGAGCCCTGTTTAAACGGAGCTGTAATTAATAGTCGATGACTGTTTCAACTATTACGCGCATTTAAACACGAACTATCATGCACTATCAATAACTATCATCTACTATCATCAACTATTATGTAGTTGGGACATGTTCAAATTCGACATAATAATGGATGAAGGTTTTTTTGCTTTTTGCACGAGTGGATGATAGTGAATGATAGCTTTTCCATCAGCAGTTTTGCCAAAAACGGGCTAAAACTGAAATGACAGATGGTAAAATGATTCAAATAGCTATCAAGATTTCGCAGAATGTCTCGTAGTTCATTCTCTTCATCTCCTGGTAGGCTCCCGAATATCTTCCACTCACAACTCCTTGACTAGATTTTAAATGCCACCGAAATTGCTGAACTCAGCGTGCACCATATTTGATTACCATATGAACCGTTTGAACGCAAACAAAATATCCAATCATAGAAAATGAAAGTTGAAACTATTGTCGACTATCACCAACTATCATAACCATTTTAACGGGGCTTTACATTATCGTCTCGCTCACTTTTAGTTCAATGTTTGCCTGTTGTCTAATTGTTGTGTTGGTATGTCGCCTGGCCAAACGCACGGCAACATTTCAAAGCATCACCTCGCAACATCGTTGAAAAGTGTTGTGAGATGTCGTTTACGTTAGTATCTCGAGCACTTTAAGTTTTCCCTGTCATGTGATTGTAGCGTTAATATCTCGCGCACTTTTAGTTTTCTGTCATGTGATTGTTACGTTAGTATCCCGCGCACTTTAAGTTTTCTCTGTCATGTGATTGTTACGTTAGTATCTCGTGCACTTTTATTTTTCCCTGTCATGTGATTGTTACGTTAGTATCTCGTGCACTTTTAGTTTCCCCGTCATGATGGTTACATTACTATCTCGTGCACTTTCAGTTTTCCCTGTCGTTATTATTACGTTGATATCCCTAACACTTCTAGTTTTCTGTTATGTGATTGTGACGTTAGTATCCCGCGCACTTTAAGTTTTCCCTGTCATGTGATTGTAGCGTTAATATCTCGCGCACTTTTAGTTTTCTGTCATGTGATTGTTACGTTAGTATCCCGCACACTTCAAGTTTTCTCTGTCATGTGATTGTTACGTTAGTATCTCGTGCACTTTTAGTTTTCCCTGTCATGTGATTGTGACGTTAATATCTCGTGCACTTTTAGTTTCCCCGTCATGTGATTGTTACGTTAGTATCTCGCGCACTTTTAGTTTTCCCTATCATGTAATTGTTACGTTAGTATATCGCTCTCTCTTAGTTTTCCCTGTCATGTGATCGTTACGTCAGTATCTCGCGCTCTTTTAGTTTTCTCTGTCATGTGATTGTTGCGTTAATATCTCGTGCACTTTTAGTTTCCCCTGTCATGTGATTGTTACTTTAGTATTCTGCACACTTTTTGTTTCCCCTATCATGTGATTGTTACGTTAGTATCTCGCGCACTTTTAGTTTTCTCTGTCATGTGATTGTTACATTAGTATCTCGCGCACTTTTGATTTTCCCTATCAAGTGATTGTTACGTTTATTACACCCATTTTGTATCCTGCACTCTCTTAGTTTTCCCTGTCATGTGATTGTTACGTTAGTATCTCGCGCTCTTTTAGTTTTCCCTGTCATGTGATTACGTTAGTATCTTGCGCTCTTTTAGTTTCCCCTGTCATGTCATTGTTACGCTACTATCTTGCGCACTTTAATTCAGTTTTCTCTGTCAAGCGATTGTTACGTTAGTATCTTTAGTATCTCGTACACTTTCAGTTTTCCTTCTCATGTGATTGCTACGTTAGTATCTTGTGTACCTTTTGCTTTCCTTCGTTGTCTGATTGTTACGCTAGTATCTCCCGCACTTCTAGATTTTCTTGTCGTTTGAGCGATTGTCTGTTAGTTTCTCATGTACTTTTAGTTCTCATTTTTTTTCCCGATTGCTACGTTAGAGTTTCGCGCACGTTGGGTTTTCTTTGTTATCTTATTGTAATGTAAGTATGTCGTCCACTTTTTGTTTTCTTTATCAGGCGACAGTTACATTTGTTTCTTGCGCCCTTTTAGTTTTCCTTGTTTAATGATTGTCTGTTAATTTCTCGTGCTCTTTTAGTTTTCTCTTTTGTCCGATTGTTACGTTAGTATCTGGCGCACTTTCGGTTTTCCTGGCATCCGATATGCGCACTCATGGAAAAATCGTTTGGTAATGTTAGTATTTCGTGCACTTTTAGTCTTCCTTATCAGGCGATTGTTTCGTTAGTTTCTCGTTCTTTTTTTTCCTTGCTATGCCACTCTTTTGTTATTATCTCGCGCATTTTTAGTTTATTTGTTAGGCGATTGTCACATTGTATTTCGAGCCTTTTTAGTTTTCATTGTGAGATGATTGTGACGTTAACATCTCGCGTAATCTTGGTTTTTCCTGTTAGACAATTGTTACGTTCGTATCTTGCACCCTTTAAGTTTTCCTTTTTAGGCAACTGTTTTTATAGTTTCTTGAACAATTTTAATTTTGTTTTGTTTTCCTAATGTTTTGTTGGTATATCTTAGTTTTTCTTGTGGGCCGATTGTTATGTTTAGTATCTCGCGCACTTTCAGATTTCGTTGATGTCCAATATATTGCTTCTTATGAAAGTATCTCTTTTAAAAATGGTGGGTCTTTGAAGTGACGTAATCATAAAATGTCGTTAGGCATACACCACAGGCTACCTAAACATACTATGAGTGATTTCTTGGTTAAAGTAGTTACAGTCTTAGACAATCCCGATGTAAATTTGTTGTTGTTGGGTCTTGTTTGTAGCTTTTACCTCATTGAATCGGAAAGGAAAGTTTGTTCGATTGGTCGCATTCCACTTTCAGCTCATCAACAGTTACCTTTGATGTTGATCGAAACCAAGTTGCTAATATTCTCTGAGGTCCAATCTCCCATATTTTCAGAAAAAAGCTCCACATCAGTTCATTTTTACAAGTATTTTCCTTGTACAATCGAACCTGTATTTGGTGGTCACCCACGGGGAATGGCTGGGTGACCGCTTAATTCAGATTTCATAGAGTAGTGGTGTTATAAAAAAAGAAAAGAAGTGCCTTTTTATCGCGTTATTGACCTCTTAATAAAGGAGGCATTGGGATCTATAAGAAACCGAAAAACCGTGGAAAAAATCTTTCAAAACCGCAAAACCGCAAAAAAAGATTTCCTCTCTTCGTAAAAAAACGTGGCACAATCCAAAATGGTTTCTTGAGGTCCTTAAGCTTCTTCCATTGCAGGCGCGTGAAGTACGTTGGAGGCTATAGTTCGCAAACTGATCGACCTAAGTGCTCCACATTGCATGTAGCCTGCAGAGCAGGCGTAATTTTGGCGAACGAGTGCTCATTATTTTCTTAACAGAAATTATAGCCGCAATCTTTAATTACAATGGCAAATTACAATGGGAGGAGAAAGAAATTTCCACAAAAGGGGTGGTCGACAGTCAATAATAAGGAGAGGGGTAGGGGTGGGGGAGTGAAGATTACGCCTGCCCGAGGTCATTATCATTTTGCAAAACTCCACTCGCCCACGAACGGAGTTCCTGATCGCATTATTGTCGCATCACTACTGAATTACAAGAGCTGCATTGGCTACCAGTGAGATTCAGGATAAAGTTCAAGATATTTCTTATGACATTCAAGGCCATTCATGGCTTGCTCTTATCTATATCATGGATTTGGTTTCAGTGAAGAAGAAATCCCCATAATACTTGAGGTTAAATGAAGAGTTGTTCTTAACTCAACCTTCCTTCGAGTCGAAGAAGACGTGACTTCAGGAAACAGAGCCTTTACCGTGGCCGCACCCACGTTATGGAATAAATTACTAATGTTGGAGTATTTAGATGTAGTTTCTAAATATGACATAAATCGATCTAGGATTTCGGAATTTTACTACATATCATATCATTAATAATTTTCTCATTGATATTTTGCTTTTTAAAGCACTTTATATTAGTTTTTAAATGGTAAGTATTAGATTATATTATTTTGAGATAGTAATTTCGATGATGGCGAGATCTGCAGATACAAATTTATGTTTAGTCTTAAATTGCTAGGTTTACTTATTTTATTTCAGTTGTTTTGAGCGCATTAGATCATATCCATATGTATATTGCGCTAAGTATAAGTATTTAATTATTATTAAATAATTATTATAATCGGTGCGGTTAAGCTCCAACTGTCAATCGCAAGTCAAATGTGCCATTTGCTTTTGCGGGAAAAATGCGAAAAATGGCAAACTTTTTAAATGATGAAGTTGCTAGTTTCGATTCCGCTTTCGAGGAAGCACTTAAGTGTCTTGCGGAATTTAATATGTCTTGCGCATTAAAATCGGAACAAAAAGAAGCAATTTCTGCACTGGTTCCGGAAAGGATCTACTGGCCGTGTTGCCAACTGGCTTTGGGAAAAGCCTGGTACATCAGGTGTTAGTTCGAAGGAAAGAAATTATGACTGGAAACCTTCGAGCGTAGTTGTCGTTTTTCTGCATCAACGTATTGTTTGTGATCAAGTGGAATAAGCATCTTCGATCGAATTAAAGTTAGCTACGCTCACGGATTGTCGTTTGGAGGACCAAGAGTGCGGCAATTTCGTCAGCAAAGAACGTTTTGGTTAAGCCATTTTTTTCGTTGATGTAACAACAGCCACGCCGTGTCACCAGAGTATGCCGGTTTGCATCAAACAAATTATGGCGTGTAAAATTGTAGTTTCCATCGCATTCTAATAACAGAAATACATAATTTGTAATAAAGTGCAAGCCCTTTCCTGAGCTGACCGATATTCTGTTGCGTGAACAGTGCGAAATCTTCGGCGGATACTGGCATAAACACAAGCTCGAAGGGGTCGAGTATTCTGTTAACCTAGGTTTCCGAAAATCCATCGCACGAGCCATCAATTACCCCCTGCCCTCAAGAAACTAAAAGTAACCACAGAAACAATGTTATTGTGATAACAGTACTGTAACGAGATAAATAAAGAAACACAAATTTTATTGAATTAGATGGTAGCGAATCCAAGTGCTGTGTGAAAGTCGATACATACGAAATATTCATTTAAAATACTGATGTCAGCTATTTGCCACTGAGTGAAATGGATCATATGGCAAATCTACACTCTAACCAAAGAATTTTTTTCTATTAAAATCCCTATTTGAGATCATCTTGGATCAGATGACTATAAAGTCACTCGTTCTCTCTTTGACCGGCTCGACGACGAAAGCTTCTGCCTTTGCAATCTCTGAGGAAAGGAGCAACTTGTTGTAAAACTGTCCGATGACTTCGCGGCGAAAAATCATCGTTCCTCGTGCAGCCAGCTGATTCTTTCGTCAAAAGTTAGCTTTTGGTTAGCTTAGAGAATCACTCAAAAGCAGCGAAACTCTAAGCCAGTTCTGACCAAGGGGAACCTTCGCCGCACTTAGTGTAAAAGAATAAAATGTTATGCCAACAGAAACGAACACAGCTACCCGTTCTTAACATAGAACTCTCCATAGAAAAAAAACGCAACAAACTAATATAAACAATCAGTAACGGGAGTCTTTTGTTCTCATCTTGACCTGTCAGAACTCTCGGTAGAGCTTACTTTCGTGTCACTGGCACTTTGAGAGCCTTCGATCTCTTTTGACAGCGGTGAAGTTTTAAAATGCTGACGAAATTAAAATGTCGTTGGGTAGTCATCGGCTGGTCACCTGTTTTATTTATTTAATCCGGGCCAGACAGGGAAAATATGTCAGACAAGCAAAATTTGTGGATATTTGGCTATGGTTCTCTGATATGGAAGGTAAACTTTCCATTTTTGAGGAAACTTCCTGGTTTCATCGAAGGATACGAGCGAAGATTCTACCAGGGAAGCAGTGATCACAGAGGTGTTCCAGAGAAGGTACGAATTCTGACAGGCAATCAAACCGGAAAATTTCCTGCCATAAAGTCAATATTCATGGTGAAGAACGTTTATGTGCGTTCACTTTTTTTTCCTCGCAGTCGTTTGAGTTTATTTCGCGTCTCTATTTTTCTAAATCGAACAGCTAAGGGTTAACATGCACAAGTTTTCTCTCTAGCAATTTGTAATTTCTTGGAGGGTATGAAAAGGCAAAATGTCAAAGCTCTCCATCCTTTGGCGTCGGTGCTGGCAGGTGAACTACACGTAATAATCTACAAATGAAAGAAATTTACATTCATGTATCTCGTATCCGTTTTTTGTTTCAGCCTGGAAGAGTGGTTACACTCCTGGAAAATGCCGAGGTAAGTTTGTGGTTGTATGTTGAGACTGTTACATATTACGTAACTCTTCTGTAACAAGGAACAAACAAACGAGAGGAATAAATAATCAGTTGTTTAACCTACCAGTAAAGTATTATTGAGGAAACCTCTGAATGAAGAACAAATTATGAGAAATACAAAACTTTATTGATTTATTATAATTGTTTATTTAATTATTTACGTTTTTGACTCAATTGCTACAGGAAAGAGTTTGGGGGATTGCCTATGAAATTGCAGCAAAGGATATACCCAGTGTGATTGACTACCTTGACTACAGAGAGAAGAATGGCTACAAGGCAACATGGGTAACATTTCATCCTCAAGATACTTGCCATCATCCTTTTGAAACAAAGCTTTACATTGCAACACCTCAGAATGAATTTTATCTTGGACCTGCACCATTATCAGAGATTGCAAACCAAATTCTACACTCTAAGGGTCCTAGTGGGACAAACTCTGACTATCTCCTAAACTTAGCTCAAGGCCTTCGGGACATTTGTTCAGACATAAAGGATGATCATTTATTTCAGCTGGAAAACCTTGTGAGGAAGGGTTTATCCAATGCGGCTTCTAATTGCCCTTTATCTTAATCAATTCCTCTCTCTTAAATTTTGACTGGCCTACATATTTTTAAATTGACATTGATCCCCTAAAAAATTTTGGATGCCAGATTCTTTTGAGCCACAGGCAACAATTGAAAAGTAAGTTTTGAAATGAATGTTTCCCAAATGCATATTAATTAGTTTTTCATACATAGCATCAATTGTACATTTATCCTCTTGTTGTTTGGTATCTATGTCTTTAAAAAAAGATACAAAAACCAAGACTTTAAGTGTCACTCCAGAGTATAACAAAGGAGGGTGGGGGTCCTGAAAATTTGGACTTCATATGTGTGAAAGGAAAACTTCAAATCTATCTTCTTGTGTACAAGGTGTGAGGGAAATTTTGATGTTTTTTCACAATGGAAAAATTTCACAGGTCACATACATTTCAGGAGGCAAGTCACACCTCACTCTGGTACATAAGTTCACAAATCATGCTCACCTTTTTGGTAAAATTTATGCATCATGCATCATAAGTCACATAAAAACCCTCTGCCATCCTCACTCCCATCTGTAATGAAAGAATTTCTTGGTAACAGTTCTAGGAGTTAAAGAACCTCCTTTAAAAATTTTGTTTACCCTTGAACCCTAACACAGTTCAGTGTGTATGTTCTCCATACTGCCCTCAGTGCTTTTCTTAAGAGGCTGACAGGGAGAATTTTTGTATCAATCAAGAGCTTCCTTAGTTGTTGATTATTTCCTTTATTCTTGTGACCTTAATGTGTGATTGAGGGGTGGTATGGTAAGGAGAAATTAGGTGCTGGTCAATCTGAGTGTTAAAGAGTTGATAGATAACATTTAAAAATTCCAAAGTACATTGTAGGTAAAAATTTTAAGACAAATTTAGTTTGGAACACTTAATTGAAACACTAGCTTGCAGCATACTGCACACATTCTGTCACAAAGGTGTAAGTTTTTAAATATGAAAGGACATTGTATATTGTGGCTGATTATTTATTTTTGTGTCTGTTTATTTATCACGTGTTAGGCACATTTTTCATATTCTGAAATCCTTGAAACTATAGACAGAATGTTGACAAGTTCAAATTCAGCCTACATTCAAGCATTCCTAATGACAACAAATCAGCCAGCGCACTTTTTTTTTTTTTCATTCAAGGACGGTTCATTTACAGTCTACATTAACCCTTTCGCTCCGAAGATTACATTTTCTGTCTGCTATACTAGTCTTATAATGTTAGTTTGGAGACTTTAATGGATCAATTAATCCTCAAATTGATTCTTTCTTCATTCTCATCACTAATGTCTGCATGTTATTATAGGGTTATTGTAAGGAGAAATTCCATCTTGCTCACTTATGGGAGTTAAAGGGTTAACTGAGATGAACTTAACAGATTGAGTTTGATATTTAATTATTTATTGTCAATTGAATTTTATTGAATACCTATATTTTATCACAGAGTGAGTCTTACAGTTATGTTATGATTAGCATTCCTGATAATTTGGGAAGGAACACCAAATCACATGATTATTTTAAAAGATGTAACATAATTGCCATCTGGAATGTTTGTATGTGAAAAAGGTAGTCCAATATAACTTTTAACTGCTGTTGAGAATAAACAGAAATTTTTATTTACCAAGTTTAGTCCTTTACAACTTTATTTTTATGGGGTGGCCCCTCTTTGTTTGATCCTGTTATTTATTTTTCCTATACAATGAAAATATTATAGTAATAATGTTAAATAATAATGTTAATGCTGATGATAATAGTAATACATTTGAATCTGTATTAAGTAGTCATCTATGGGGAATGGCAGGGTGACTGCTTAATACAGGTTACCCAGAATAGAGGTATTATGAAAAAGAACAAAAATGCCATTTTAAGCCATAATTGACCAATTTACAAAAACCTGCTTAAAACTTCATCTAACATTGATTTTGAGAGACAGTGAAAGATTCAGTTTTACTTGAAAGATTATTCTTAATTTTAAAAACAGGTGGAGGACAATACAAACAGGCTGTTAGGACTCCATTACAGTTGACCACAATTGCTTAATAGAGGTGACTGCTTTATAGTAGTAAAAAATTTCAGTGATTTTAGGGGAAAAAATTTTGGGACTTTGAAAAGCAACTGCTTAGTACAGGGTGACTGCTTTATATGGTGCCACTTAACATAGGTTCAACTGTAGAAATGATGATGACAATTATTTATTAACAGTAATTGATCATACTCATTAAGAATGCTAGTTACAGTGGGAATGGAGTCCTTGTAACCTGTATTGTCAGCTGTTATGGATCTCCAAGTTTGTTGTCTCAAGGAAAGAAGTATAGCTGTTGCATGTATGAGTATAAATGGAGTAAGACAGTCATCCCTTTCCCGTGTTCCAAAATGTGACTACATAACAACCACCAACAAAAAATAAAACAAGCTGTACAATTCTTAATCAAAGCAGGAGGTAGACCACTTTACCACTTCAAAATTAATTTGTCAATCTACAGAGGGTTCCAGCCATCACTCAAATCTATCACTGGTACATTGTACATTAATTTAGACACATAATTCACATAAAAAGAGAAAACATCAAAAAATTAACTGTGGCCAATTTTACCCATTATGTTGTGAACAAAGCAAGCTGGATTTTGTTATTAAGTGGTTCAACATTCTCATTGTTGATTAATTTCTATCATTCATTGGATAGTATGGGCAAACTTTGGTCCTGCAACACACAGCAGGACACAAAAGGGTTAACCAAGGTGACAGTTGTCAGACAAGATTAGATTGCCCACATTTTGAAAAATTAATGAGCAGTTCCCCTACTAAGAACCACCGTTTTATTCAAGTTCATGCATAATGTCAGAGAGCAGGTCGTATCTGGAAAAAAGAGCATTTTTAAGTATCATAATTTCGAAGGAATTTCGCTGAATATTTGGCGTTTTCTGAGGAGGTTTGCTCAGGGAACTTTTGATTGGTTAGATTTTTCCAACCATGAATTTTGATTGGTCGATATTGAATAATCGTCTTACCCACAAAGTCACGAGACTCGTGTCACGGGATTTAGTATCCGCTCTTAAAATAATTTTTGTCTCCACTTGGATCAGTTTCTGTGCTTGTCATCTGAAATATACAAAGGCAACTCAGTGGAGGAAACTACAATTGACTTGAACGTTCTAGAAAATGAGCAAGTTCAAGTGTAAGTGTCTAAATATCACTATTCATGTGAAAGAAAAAGCGACTCGCGAAGCGGAAGGAACAGCGTTTGTCTCTGAGAATTGCTCTGAACCTTTTTTCACCAAGGAGCTGTACGAAGTTGAACTGGCTGTCGGCGGAATAACAAAGGTGATTTGTAGCGTACGTTTCAGTATCCGGACAGGGAACACTAAGGGATATTTTAAAGTCGCGTCGAGCTGTGCATTATCGGTGACAAGCCGCAAAGCCTTGGCGCGCTTTTTCCAGTTATACCCGCGGTACTCTTTTTAATCATCTTTGCTTCGCTTTTAAATTTCTCGTCGTTTACCGTCGCATTTCCCTTCACCGCCGTAAGGAAGTCGGCCCCGTGACTTGTCGAGCTTATTGCATCAGATTTCTGGCATGGAATTCTTGAATTACTAACGGGAAATTCTACACCAGCGAACAAGGGAGTACGACATGACCTGAAGTGAAGCTCTCTGTTAGACTACTAACATCGATGTTTATTGCTAAGCTAAATATCAGCAAACAACTGGAATGCCGAACACTTATATCGTCCTTTGCCTTCGGGTTAAAGAGCCATAAATGTTCTCCGTTTCATTTCGTTACACCTTGTATTTTCTAATTGCACCTATAAATAGAAAGGGAATTGAGACTGGTCCCGAGTCGCATTGCAGTATTATACATGTACCGCTTTTTGTAGTGATCATTTGATTTTTCTATTTTTTTTCCCATATTTATAACCTCACGTTAAACATTGGTATCTTGAAATAAATTTTTTATTTGTTTTGGTTTAATCCAGGAAGTTGGAAGTCTTGTGAGAGAAACCAAAGCTGAAGACTGGGATGTTTTCTCTTGTATAAACTGCAACATGGATACACATGCTTTACACGCCGTGAAAAAGTACGACCGAGTATTAATGAGTAGAGGAATGGAGGTAAGGACATAACCAACTCTTCTATATATTGCTGCAAAGCTGAAAAAAAATTGTGGTTGTGGTTTCTCTTGCTAAGAATCAGCTGGAAAACAAACAGTTAGCTGTTTGTGGTAATGGTGGGGGTAAGATTGACAAAGTTGATGCCTGATGTGAAATAATTCAATTTCAGGGTTGGTTATTCATCTCTATACTTCTTATTTAACTTAACTCTTTTGAGTGGTCAGCTCTGGAACTATCATCTTTCCTGTACCTGCTTTTAGATTCAAACAGATGAACAGGTGTTTTCTGGTGTCTTATTATGTATCCACTTTGTCCTGGGAAATTGTCAATTGATATTGAAATGTTACATTTGGCATACTAAAAATTCTAACATCCAATACCAATAACCTTTGACTAATGACAGTTTACACATATAAAGATAATATTTTGTTGCGAAGATCAGTTAGTTGGGTTTATTTGAAGCTTGGTGAAGACCATCAAAATATGATTTGTTTATCTTTTGTTGTCAATTTCAGAGTGATCCAGTTGTTCACAGTAAAAGTGCCAGTTCCTCTGAATATTCTTCAATCTTCAAACTTATTCTAAAACCTGCAAAAGAAAATGATCCAGATATTGTGGATAACTCATGTGAGTGATTAGATGTAGCATCTTGGTATATGTTAGCTTTGAACTATTCTGGCACCTTTTTCTAATTTTGAGATTTCAAACTAAGAAAATTCTTCTCATGTATCCCTTTAATTAGCTTATTGTTATATCAAGCATTAACTGCCAGTGTACCAAGGGTCTGTTTACATCAAGCTAGGGTAGTACAGTTGTGAACAAGAGTTAACCAGTTCAGAAGGGAAACTTGGTAGAGCTTTTAGTTCCACTTGGTCTGTCACTGTGCCTTTCCAAAATGTCATGGTGTTTTCAACTAATACCTTGAAATATTAAGGGTTAAAGTTGTTAAGTCTGTACTTGGTCCAAGAGACCCACAAGGTACCAGAGCTTATTCTCCTTGGATGGGAAGCAAGTCCCCTGTGGGTTATCCCAAAGTTTTACAGGCTTCCCTTTCAGTTTGATACATATACATTCTTCCAGGTAGACACTGAGAGAGTTCTTCAGGGTTTCCTGACAAGAGGGCAACCTATGAGCTTTGACATCTGGACCCCTGGACCCAGAGTCCAAAGGTCCAACTGACAAAGCTTCTGGGTCTCCCAATATTTCCATACAATGATAGCAAAAAAGGGTATAACTATTTGTAGCAGAAGAGAACTCCCCACACCCCTTCCTGTTGTCATCGTACCATTAGACAATTACTTTCTGACAATCTTTGCAGCATACTTCCATGACTCTAGATTAAATTATGTTACTTCATTGATTAAGCATGGGACATTATAATATATATATATAATCTGATGAAAGTTGGTAACAAAATGAGATATTTGCTTTGTGTGAACAGAAATTGAAGCTGAGTCTTTTTATCTGTAAAAACACTCGATGAGATTTAACTTTCTTTGATGTAAACAAAAAATTATGATAACGTTTCTGTTCAATTGAAATTAAAGTTAGAAAACATGACAGTGGTGAGTTTTCAAAATTCCATTGTGTTGACTCTGTAAACCTATCTATAGAGGAAGTCAAGATATTAGTGACATGTGACACAATTGTGACATGTGACACAATTGTGACTGCTCTATGATCATTAAGTCACAAGATCAAACTAAAATTTGCTTTTTATGGCAAATGATTTCTTATGATAATGTTTCATATTAAAAAATATCACTGACATTTTATGGAGATTGACCTGTTTACCCTGTAGATATTACATGTATATATAAAGGAAGAGAAGCTCTGATGATATTTTAGAACAGTATAAAATTTGTAGTTGGTTGTGTTTATGATTATAAACAAGGAAAACTATTTGATCAGTTGCAGGCAACGCTATTTTGTTGGGTCAAGACAGGATATCTCTTGCCATGGTCAGTGTACAGGAACAAGTCAAAAAATTCCTACAAGCTGAAGAGGATGCAATGAATGAAAGAATAAGGTAACAGTGTCATTGTTATTCCACGTCATGTGTGATATGATGTGCAAGAGAAACCAGTGGCAGGTTCTGAGGATCATCATTTGTGGAGTGGCTTGAAAAAATGGGCTAAAACAAGTTTCAGAATATTTTGTGAATCATTGTGATCATTGTCTCTCATTAGTCATGTGTTCTTCTTATTTTTTTCCACATTTAGAAAATTTGTAGCGGCGCAAAAGGAAGCATTTACAACCCTTCAAGCACAGGTGTTCAAGGATAAACAAGCTGTTTACTGGTATGTAACATGCTTTTGATTTTCACTAATTTTGCTGTGATTTCAGTATGTTTATGAATTAACCCTTTAACCTCTAAGGGTGATAAACTTCTAATTTCTCTCAACAGTATTGCCCCTGAATCAAACAAAAAGGTCATGAGATTAAAAGAAATGATGTAGAAACTCAATAAGGTCTTGATTGTCAGGCAAATTCTCTTTTTCTGCACTCAGGGAAATATATAGAGAACAGTATGGAGAACTTGGATACTGATCTTTGGGTGTAAAGGGTTAAATATACTTGATGTGCTTGTCAGAGAGCAAAATTATTTCAGTTTCATTAACAATAGGTCATGTGAAAGTCATTACTGATAGTAAACTTGCTCTTTTTTCACAACAGTGCTATCAAAAGAGAAGACGAAAAAGCCATGGAAAGCTCTCTGGATGAAGCTATGGCAGATAGTTCTTTTGACACCCCTGTATTATTTAAACCTGGTATGAACAGTCTTTCAAATGTGATATTTGATTATAGGGACATAAATTTTTTATCAGTTGTGTCCGAAGTTTAGTTTGATGAAATATTATGTAGGTCATGTGTTTAGAAGGTTGCATTCAAAACAATTTTGAAATGCTCTGCATATTATTTGAAAGTGGTAGACACCTTTATTCTCTTGTCCTTTTGATGATAATTTTTTTTTTTAAATTCTACTGTGTGAAACCAAGAGATATCTGTTAAGCTTTTGCTAAAATCCTGCTAAAAAAGGAAAGCACTTGTTCAACTGTTTTTTATCTTTGTGGAAACTGTACTTTAGTCCTTTAACAAAGTCTCTGTTAGTTCTAATTTTGCATTCTGCCTCCTTTTCAGCTGTTTCAACTCGTGGGTGGAATGACCATCCCCCTGCCCAAGTCAACCAAGTCCACATAACTCAGGTGGCTCCTCATAAATATCCATTGAACCCAGGTGCTCATCCTCCTCGCAAGACAACCAGACGTCCACACAAATCACATCAAAAGAAAGAATCAGATGCTGATCCAGTGTTTTCTTTAGATGATTTTACAGATGACTGTGAACCATTCTTTGAGTCCGAAGAAGACGAGCTTAGTAGCAGTGGTATGAAAACATTTATATTGTGTATTGAAAAATCTGTTGTGCACATCCATACAGGGTTTGATCAGGTTTACAAAAACTGATAGTATTTCCCATGGTGTGTTTCCCCAAACAGAAAAACATTTCATTTGATACATTTATTTAGGTACAGATAAATCAAACATTGCTTTCAACTGATAATTTGTACTAAAAGATGACAATTGTTTCTTTACTAAAACGTTCTATTTTTGGCTCCTGTAGATTCTAGGCCAGTACATCTCAGTTTTAAGTTTGAACTTGATACCAAAGAGTTTAGAGAGATTTTAATCTGGTGGACTATGTGCACAAAATTTGTATCAAAACTTTTTACAATAAGCACTAGAGAAATAGCATTGCATTCAACTGCTCTCTGCTCCTAATTTACCATCACCAATAACAACTTGACCAGAAGATATTGGGATTTCTTTTTCCATTTTTTACATAATAACAATATAACTTGTTATTATTTTATATACTTAAACAGTGGATAAGGTTGAAGGTGCATTCTGACTGGCTACTCAAACCCAGATATCCTTTGCTATTCACCTCTGAGCAACTTGAACTGGATTTGTTTCTGAAAATGTTGTAATTGTTTCAGGAATAAATTAGTTAAAATCATCTTTTTCTGCTACATTATCTCAATGTTTCGCTTTACAACTCAGTAAATATCCACCATTAGCCACCTCCACTCCAAGGAATAGTTGTTAATCATTCTACACTGTATGTTTTCACAAGACATATTTTATGCCAGATAGAGATTTTACTAACACTACTTTACTTTGACCATGGTAGATAACAGCTTTCAAAGTGAAGAGCCTATCCATAACCCTGGATTAAGGAGTGTCAAAAAATCTACTCAATATTCCTCTTCCCTACCCATAAGCATGCCAGCAGGGAAAATTTCTCCTCCTATGGATGATCAAGAGGTAACTTCAATTGTAAGCTATAAAGCATAGTCATCGGTATTGAAAGTCGTGTACAGTTTCTGCCATATGGCTTTAGGAAACTGACTGTTGTTTAAAATATGCAGAAATTAAGGTGGAAATTAAACTTTTAAATTGCTGCAGCTGAAGCTTTCAGAAATTTAAGGTGTCTTCTCTTGAGATTTATATTCTAAAACATGCCAAAGGACTGTTTAAATTATCAAGCAATCTCTCTTCAGAGACAAATGTGTACATGCATTTTTTTCTTAATCTGAATATTGTTATCTTATTATTTCTTATAGCTTGCTATACCTGAACCAAGCAAAATTGGAGAATCCATGAAAGCATTAGCCCGCAGTGTTCACGACACATCTGAGAAGCTGTTTGGAGAACTACCTAGACCAAGACGGAGCACTTTCTCTCACAGATAGTATAAGGACTAAATATTATATTATTGTATTCTGAGCATAGTCAAAGGAAAGCGCCTCTGTACACTATGCAACAAACATTTTATTAAGATTAAGGGTTAAACTTTGAGCTGCCATATGTAACATGGATTGTTGGATTGATTCTATGGATAAAGCTTAATTGTGTGTCTTGTGCAAAAAATAAAAAATTAAACAGCATGCACAAAAAAGGTGTGAATTTACCCAGAGTTACTGGTAAAAGTAAAGAAGCATTTTGAAAATTGTGGTTATGGACCTTTTAGTGACATGACCAAATGAAATTGGCAATGCTGGATGGTTGTGAATATTGCGGCAATGTGTAGTATCGAATAAGTTCACTTTCAAAAGCTTTGCATTTAAGTATCACATTTCATTGCTATATTTGACAACTTGTGCACTCTGTCGTGCAATTAAAATCAGGGTGATATATGATTATACTTTATGCTAACATAAAGAATGATTACAACTAAATCCCTGTGATGGACCTCTGAGATTAAGAAACACACAGCTCGCTTAGATTCAAGTCTACAAATCAGGTTACAGATATGACCCTTGAATCCTCTGTAATGTTAAACTTGTCTACTAGAGAGGTTTGCTGAGGATTTTGTCATCCATGTTAAATGTTAGAAAAAGATGCTGTGTTTTAACTTTGAAGCATGGATATTAATTAACATTCAGTAACTGGGATTTCTTTAACATTGTCTTCTTAGTGGTCAGAATTCAGTGGCCAGTAGTGTCAAATAAGAACGCGGTATTATAGAATGTATATGACTTTTATTTAAAATTAATTTTGTATATGAAAAATGTTTAGCACATTGTGACGAAAGAGTTAAGTTGGTATTGGTATTTTATATTTATGAAACTTTGGAGTTGGCCAATTGGTCCAATAAAGAAAGATATATATATATGTTTTAATGTAGTGTCTGACTGCTTCTTCATTATGGAGAGATTTTGGATAAAAAGAAGTGAGGGCGCAGTTTTCATGCTAAGATTTACACAACTGCATTTCAATTTGAATAAGAGATGACTGGAAAGCTTTCCTCCGTAGAAGCTACCTTGACTAGATGTACACTACAGGCAAAGCTTACGGTCTTTACGTTATTCCTTTCTTAGAATTTCACCAAGACAGAGAGGAGCTTCATTAAATTTTAAAGGGGTATATACTGGCTACAAAGATGTTTCCTGTGCGAGGAAGGAAACTCCAAAAACATGTGACCAATCAGAACATAGAGTTTGTGGCATATTGGCGGGTCAGGGATTTTGCCATGTACAAAGATCAGCCATTTATGTTATATAATCAGGCTTCCTCATTTGAAAAGAGAGCTTCTTGATGAACACTTTATTGAGTGGTATGCTTGCATTCATCCCCAAACTTTCGTCAGATATAACCTATTTATCAAATGCAAGTCAAATTCCTTGCAAGTGCGACTGTTCAAGATCCTGTGAAAATGAGTTCTATTTTATAAAGATGTTAAGGCGAAACAATTCGATACAGTTGTTTGGAGTTCCACCTAAACTGTCACCCTTTCCAAAGGAACGTTCAAATTTTTTTCATTTTCTTTTGGAGGGTGGAAGGGTAGGGGGGGGAGGCACATTGCGAACGCTTTTTTGAAACGATACTCTACGGTATTCCATGGTTCTCTTAGTGTCCTTGTATCATCCCTGCCTATAAAAGTTTCTTAGGGATAGATTGCGACGAAGTTATCTATCCTTCATTGTCTTTATTGGCGTGAACTAACACCCATTATGATCCATCAAATATTTTTGGTCGCGCGCGATTGGTCTAAACGCAGCACGTAACCGAATATCCCCAGCGCCGTCTAAAACCAGGTAATATCCGAGAATATCACCGAAGCGATATTCCCCAATTGTCAAATTTTACGTCTATTACGATAAGTTTTCGTCTCAAATTCAGTTCAAGATGAGAAAGGGTTATGTGGTTTTTTGTTCATTAAGTCGTACCAGACACCACTCAAAAGGAAACATCCCACGCTGCATACAGTAAGCTCGACGTAAACAATTTTTCACACGCGTCGCAAAATATTGGATAACAAACACAATAGCCCCTATTTTGCGCGAGCTTCGCTCTCGGAAAGCTGTCCGCATCTTTGAGTTAAATAGAGGATATCGTTTATATAAACTGCTAAAATTTATTCATTTATTAATTTTCCCATTGGTTGGACAAAGGTTATTTCGATTATTTAATCAACATTTTCCATCTGGCCGCTTACAGTTAGTAGGTCATTAGGTGGAATACCGTGCTGCCCAGAATACCTAGTTTGACCGAGAGAGAACTGGGTCCACTTTACATTTGTCAGAAAGAGGACGAATGTTTTGATACCTTGGTGGACTCGCATCATATCAGCGCTTTGTTTTTAACACTTTGAAGTGCACCTAAGGATCGATTTTGTCACGAAATTACTCATTCAATTCTCCGAGACTACATAGAGGCGAAATGTTTGGTAATCTCGTGAACAAGAACGCTCGCGCAGCTTTCAAAGAATATGGTGAACAATGTGGCGCATTGGCGAGCATTGAAGTTGCTGTCAGCTCTACAGAAAACCCCCACAACCCAAAGTTTGTTGCCGTTGCGAAACTTGGTGATCGCGCCTTTCTTCCCGCCACAGCTTCATCAAAGAAGGATGCTAAGGAATATGCCGCAGATCTAGCATTGCAAGAACTTGCTCAAGGTATTGTCTAAACCACACGCATAGATATGTTCGAGCACTGCACTGTAACTGTTGCAGCTGTATAGTTTTTTCCCTCCCACCTTAGAGCATCTTTTAATCGACAATCAATTTTTAAAGAGATTCGTCTCCACTACTTGGCTAGTTTAATTCATATCCATCGGACAGATTTTAGTTTCTTCTATTGTCACAAACCGACATAGATTGCTCGTTTGCGTGATTTCGTCGAATTCAATTATTAATCTCATTTCAAAACGCCATTACAATCTCTTTGTCGTAGAACCAAACCCAATCCACTGAGATTGTTGCACGACATCAGCTTAGGGTGGTGTCAAAATATTCAATTCTGAATTAGTGTTTGAGAGTTACTAAAATTATACCACTGGTGCTCCAGGCTTATACCAGATAACATTCAAATTATCTGACATAATCTTCCTATTTTTCCTGATGCATATGGGAGCATAAGCTAATTCTGTACAAAGAAGTGTCAGGTGAGTAAGGCCATTACCATGTAAAAGGTGTCTTGGATACCACCAAATCTTCCATTTATTTCATAACTGCACTCAAATTTACCATCTTTCTCATCCTATGGTCCTATCTTTAAATAATTCCCCCCTCTATGTTGTATACATTTCTTGGTGAATTAGTTGAAAGAGTTTGTTTCTATAACGGGGCCAGAGGTAAAATTTCAAGTTGATAGACCTGTCTATTCTCATGACTTGTTTACTGGATAATGTCCTGGAATTGTGAAGAGAATTAAAACTTTGATCATAATAAAGGATTTCTCACAGTACCACTCAAAGGGATGTTGACAGTCCCTCAAATCTTTATCCTCAATTCTCAATCCTCAACAACCTAAAGGATTGAGGCTCAAGTCATTAGTTTTGAGATGTTCAAGTTGAGTATTGAGACCCTCAAAACTCAGTTTGAGACACTCCAAGTTGGGAAATAAAGGAGTTTTTACACAATTAATTTTTCACATGATTTGAAGTTCCTAACCTTTAGTATAATCCATGGATTTTTTTTATTTTGTGTTATTGCAGAACCTCATGCCAGGTTTCAAGAGAATATCATGGGAGCAAATGGAGGAGAAATGCCAGAAATCCATCATGGGTTTGCTGGAAGACGCAGAAATGTTCACACCCGCAGGCAGCATGCAAAGATGAAGAGCACTGAGCTGTCAGCACCACCAGATAAAGACCCTGTGATGTTGCTTAATGAGTTTGGACAAAAACGAGGCCAGCTTGTGAGTTGGGATATATATTTTTATTTCTACCATGATTGAGAGATTATAATAAGTTAATAGGAAACAAATAATATTCTTCAAATTAGATAATTTATTTCATTTATTGGTTTTGCTGTTTTTACAGGAAACATATATATCTCTTACTAACCAAATTCAAGGTCCATGCTTTAAATTATGGATCAAGGTTTTTCAGTTGGATATATGGTGTAAGGTGTAAAAAAGCACTTAACAATTTTTCAAAGACTAGGAGTTGCACTTGCCTTACAGGCTTGTGTGATTTTATTAAAATTATTGTCTTTGTTAGTGAAGTTTCTGATAATTTGCTGGGATTTTCCTAGAAAACAGAACCTAAGCCTGTTTTCTCACTGTGTTTGCTATGAGTAGGTGAAGTTTGAAGATGTGCAGTGCATGTATCCTGGATTATACAAGGCTCAGGTTACTGTAGGAGAGGCAACATTTGGACCAAAGTCAAGTTCCACCAAGAGAATGGCTAGAAAGTTTGCTGCTATTGAGGCACTGAAAACTCTGATGAATTGGGAACCTGCAGAGGGTATGGTGCATGTTTCTTTAGCCTACCCACCCAGTCATTGAACCCTTTGACTCCTAAGAGTGACTAGCATCTAATGTCTTTGTATAATAACACCCCTGATTACACATTAAGGTCATACGAATAAAGGAAATGAATACCAACCTTATCAGCACCTTGGAAAATGAGTGGAGAAAAGGGTGAAGAATATGAGCACTAATGTTTGAATGTAGAGGTTAAAAAGGTCATATTGCTATCCAGCATATATTTAGCAAATCACATCCAAACTACACTATTATATTTGTAGTGGGTCTAATTTTTCTCAGTTTAAAACTTAATCACAACATAAGAAAACATGTAGATTGCAAACACCTTTTTTTTTATTCTTTGACACCAATTTGCTGAAACTGATTATTCACTGGAAAAGGCTACCCAACCAACAAAAGATTCAAGCTGCAATCCTGAATAGGCACCTGCCCTTTAGGCCATAATGTAAAACAAGCACACCTCTCAAATAAGCCCCCACCCCTTCCTCCCTCACTTTCTTTAACAGTAGGGATACAAGGAAAACCTGTTTCTATTGCCACTTTACTTATTACTTTTAATGCATTAGCTAAAGGGGAATCAGTACAGGAAAATAAAAAGCCCCCCCCCCCTTGACTATGCATCATTCTAATATGTGCCCCTCCTTTTCTGCTGAAATTTAAAAGAGCTTATTTGAGGAAATAGGGTATTGATTTTTCTCTTTCAGAGGACTGCATTGAAAGTTGGGAGTATTGTTAAGAGAATGTCAGAGAATAGCCCATGTTTTTATTAAATTACACTATAACTCTTTGCCCCGGTGAAAATAATTTGCACATGAAAACATGCTAATCATGTTTTTGTAACAATAAAAGTTCATCTCCAGGGTTGATGTGGTAATCCAACTTTGAATATTGTCTTGTCAAGGTCTTTATGACGTCCCAGAGGAAAGTCCTCACTGGTCTGTTGGTCCTGGTGGTCCTGCCCCAGGAAAAGCTGTCTTGTTACGCAAAGATCCCATCATGCTTTTGAATGAGCACTGTCAGAGGAACCAGCTGAAGGTAACAGGAACCCCAGTGCATTTTGCAACTGAATTCACAAGACATTCTTGCTACAATTTATCCTTACCTGATCTGTTTCTGGATCCTTCGGAAGAATACCCTTGTGAAGTGCCCCCCTTCCCTTAGTTTCAATGTTGGAATAACCAAGTTATTATTAATAATCACTGAACAGATGCATGGCAAAATGTATTTTGCTTGTACGGATGGATCTCAGAGCCATCAAGTCTGTATCCAGTCACTTGGTACCCAGTTGTTTTGTTCCCAAGTTTGAGTGATTTTGCTCAGAGTTTGTATCAAAGTTTGAGTCAGTTCGTACCCAAACTGATGACCGATTCTTACTTGATTCTTACCCCTCCTAAAGTAAATTTATTTGAAATATCTCATGTATGAGCACATGAATAAATGTCAGTTGTTGCTTACAACAAGGTGTAGAGTCAAGCAGGTATAAGGGATACAAACAAAAGTCTGTTGTGTATAGTTGTAACCTTATTGCTTTGCACAAGGTTTGCATATTTTTTACCAAAAAGGTCTATTGTTTGTAATTGTGACTTTTTCTAGATATAACTAAGATTTCCAACCCTTTCCAGATTTCATATGAGGATCTTCCTCACTTGGGCCCTGATCACAAGAAGACTTTTTCATGCCAAGTCATTGTTGGAGAGAGGATTTTTAAAGAAGGTTCTGGTCCAACCAAGATTGTGGCCAAGAAGAATGCAGCCATGCATGCTCTGGAAAGCCTGTTTGACATGCCCGTCGAAATAGGTACTTTGCAGTTCTCCAATATTTTCATTGTTTTGTTACACACAGTGGTATCAAGTTGTCTCAAATCTCCTTAGACTTGCAAAAAGACAACTTTCCAGAAACTCTTAATCCAGTGGCATTGTTTGATTGCACAACTGTGAGAAGCTCAAAATTCTGAGGGAACTCCTTTATAGATTTGCTAAAGAATTTTTCCAAGGTTAACTAAAGTGGGTTTTAGGTTGAAGGAAGGTGGCACAGTGAGAACAGGGGTATAAGGAGATTTTTGTTAAGGTGGGATCCTAATTTTGGATTAGAGCAGCAATTGAGAGCATGCTTAGTTGTTTTCCAACTTAAGATTAACATTTTTTTTCTATTTACAAAGATAAGAGTATGTGATGATGCTCTTTAGGATGCCCTTCATCGCTTCTTTGTACATTGGGCATCTTGTTAATGTGTGAATTACCAATGGACAGTAACTGTGGTAAAGCCTATATTTGAGGTGAATTTTAACCTTTTGGTTGTGGTCTCTCTCAGCTTCCATGCCAGGAGTTATTGGCCAGGCTAATCAGATGAAAGTTGACAGGCATCCTGTCAGCATTTTGAATGAATATGGACAAAAGAAAGGAGTTAAGGTAACATTTGGATAAAGATTTCCTTAAACTTTTCAAAAGATTCTTCTAAAAATTTCAATGACAGTTGAGAGTAATTATGCAGCTAAATTTTTTTTGAGGAGGGAACTATGGTAACCATGGTCAGCAGATTTCTTACACTTGTCTCATAGAGACTTGTACAGTTTGTTTTGACCTGTTTTAAAAGTATCCCATCCACTTGCTACACATCTATATAGAAATTATTTAAAGTATTTTAATGTTACATTAAGATGATACCCCTTGTCTGATATGTTTGTTTATTCTTAGCACCGTTTTCCATAAAGAGCAGTTTTCAATAGAGAAAATACAAAACCAAAATAATTGTAACGATTATCAGAGCAAAGATAACATCATCAAATAGAATTTAAAAAGTTGAAACAAGCAACCTGTTTAAAGCACAGGAAAATACAAGAAACCTGGGTGGGAATTGTTTTTGGTTTGGTATTTGATTGGCTGAGATGGTGGAAAGTTTTCTGCACCAATCACAGAGCAATACTCAATTAAAACTGCTCTAACTTATTAAATAAATGTTGTTTGGAGAGGTTGCACATAAATCACTTCACAATGTTGAAGGGCAAATGATCCATGTTTTTAGGTTGAATTTGAAGACATGGGTTATTCAGGCCCTGACCACCTCAGAACATTCAACTTCCGAGCAGTGGTGGGTGATGTGACATATGACACTGGAAATGGTCGCAATAAGAAAGAGGCAAAGAGGGAAGCAGCAGCACTTGCTCTCCAAAGTTTGGGTTTCCAAGTCAATGTTGGTAAGAATCTTTGATTCATTGCACACTGCACTTACCAACATTTTTATGATACACAGGCTGGAGATGTTTATCTAAGGAATAGCAGGATTTCCAAAATATCTGACTCTTTCTGCAGATCTACAAAGATTTTTAAAGATCTGTTAAAGGTCTAGAGAGTGGTTTTAAGAGTTTTCAAGTACAGAAGCTTGAAAACAAAAGACGATTCTCAATCTTTATGATTTCAGTGTTGCTTAAGAGAAAAATTGTCTGCGTGATACATGGTACTAATTATTACCACTTCATTAAGATTTAACAAAGAGGATCTCCACTGCTGAAGAAGAAATTTCAGTTCCCCCTGAAGAGCACAAACTGTCCCTAACTGATGGTAAAAGCACAGTCAGCGCCTTGTATGAGCTCTGCCAGGCCCACCACTTGCCACAACCACATGCACTGGAAAAACAACCAGAGGGAAAAATAGACCCTACCCTCCATTACTGTGCTTACAAAGTTGGTGAGGAGCTGTATGACTTGGGAGCTGGTCGAACTAAGAAGGCAGCGAAGGAGGCTGCTGCTCAACATGCAGTGGCATCTATTTTAAAACTGAAAGGGCTCCACCATGTTTACAACCCAGGGACCACCAGTGAAGGGGATGAGATAGCAGCAATGTGTTGGAACCACTTGTCAATTCTGAGTCGTGATGCACCAGAGGGCTGGAGATTTGCTGGGTACAAAGTTGTGGCAGCATTTGTAATGCAGGATGGTGATGATGATCCTGGGGCTGTTGTGAGTTTGGGAACAGGAAACAAGTAGGTTAACTGTAACCCTTGCATCATATGAGCTCTTTAACTTCCACCAGTGATTAACATGTTACTTCTCCCTACAATATCCATACATCATCCAGCAAACATGAATGAGAATACTCAAACTTATCAGGTACAAGTTGTTATCTTGATCTAACACCAAATTCTCCTAACTTATTCACAAGGAAATGTGTGGCAGCTTCAGGGGATAAGTGTCAATAAGATCTTGGGTGTTCAAGGGTTTTTCAAGCAAATGTATAAACCTCTGATCATTCTTTGTAATCACTTTTTCAACGAAGAGAAACTAGATGCCAGTCTGAGTCTGTTCTATCAAACATTGTATATACAATGATAACTTTTCGTCTCTCTCCTTTTTATTCAAAAGATGCATCAGTGGTGACCATCTGCGCATGGATGGAACAACAGTGAATGACTCGCATGCTGAGGTGATAGCACGAAGGAGTCTGCTGAGATTTTTCTATTTCCATCTGAAAGTCTTGTTCAGTGGACAAACAGATGTGAAGAGCATCTTTGTACAGAAGGAAAGGCAAGGAAAGATTCAGCTTAGGGATGGAATAAAGTTTCTTCTATATGTGAGCACAGCTCCCTGTGGTGATGCTGCCATCTTTGTGAATGAAAATTATTCCAGGTAACTTGCAGCCTAAACATACAGACTATTTTTAATTGATATTGTCTAATACTGCATGTATACACTAGAGCAATGTCAGTGTCTGAACAACTGTGCACCTACCCCTCTCCTGACCCAACACTAATCCTAACTTGTTTTCAGTTGACTGTTATTTGGCTAGGGGAGGGGTAGGTGCAAAGTTGGTCAGATACTGACATTGATGCTACTCACCAATGCAAGGGTTACCTGTGTAATATTTAGAAGTTTAGTGCCAATTTTTATTGTAGTTATCTTAATTCTTTTATGAGTTTAAAGTATTTTTTAACACTAATTTTTGAAATAAGGAAATAATCAAGGCTGCATATTTAACAGAATCTTGTATTCTGTTTTGAGCCATCCTCAAATTGATTGAATTGACTTGTTCAATGTAATTAATTTGGAATTTGTATGAAAGTTATAGTTAAGGGGAGACATACTCACTGCTTTATATCACTGAGGAGTAGAAATGGGTTCAGGGAACTGTCATGGAAACAGGACAAACCTGTGGATAGGTTGGGAAGTAATTACAACAGAAGGAGGGAACTGTTCTAAAGAATTAGCCAGCAAGGTAACTGGCCTGGCAAAGAAGTGTAGGAACACTTGCCATTGTGTGCTGGTGAGGAAAGCGTATACATGTACATGAGAAACTCCGTTATCCCTTTCACCTCCTGGGAGTGACCAGTATCTAATTTCTCCTTACAGTATCACTGCTGAATCAAACATTAAGGTCACAAGAATAAAAGAAATGATCACCAACTAAAGAATCTCTTGATTGTCAAACAAATTCTCCTTGTCAGCACCTAAGAAAATGTAAAGGGAACAGTGTAGAGAATATGCATTCTGATTTAAGGGTGTTAAGGGCCATTTAGCCATAAGGCGATTTTAATGTTGGCTTGGTATGTATGTTTGTACAAAGATGACAGGTTTATAATATTTACATGTCAGCCCAGAAGATGCCACTGAAAGTAAAGCATTGTTTGGCTCCAGGCAGCAAGGCCTGTTAAGAACAAAAGTGGAAAAAGGAGAAGGAACAATACCTTTGGATCCTCAGGATGGTATTCAGACTATTGATGGAATCCACAGTGGTCAGAGGTTGCGCACTGCTTCATGTAGTGACAAAATAGCTAAATGGAACGTCCTAGGTTTGTGATTTTATAAGATTTAAATTCTTCGATGCCTGCCCCCAACCAACCAAAGTAATTAAAAAAAACCATAACGATAAAGATGTGGATGACGAGGTTTATGGTCACCTAGTTTATTTTACTAAGTAAGGAGCAACTAGATTTAACCGTTTACATTAACTCCCATTAATGACCAAGGCATAATTTCTCATTACGATATCAATACAATGCCACGCAGACCAGCGGAAGAGAATAAAGACACATAAAATATGGGTTTTTTAGTTGATCCAATACCAAATTCTTTGAACTAACATCATGAGAATTGTATGGTAGACAGTAAGGAGAATTATCAATCGGATCGTGAGAGAGAAAAGGTTAACCCAACTTAGCTGAGAAAGGAAATCAAACGTAAAACAAAACAAAGCGTGCTGTTGAACTTTTCCTTATAAATTGATGACACGCATGCGTGTTGTTGTACTAGGTGTCCAGGGATCTCTTCTCAGCGTCTTGATTGAGCCTGTCTACATCAACTCCATTATTCTTGGAAAGCTCTTTCACTCAGGCCACCTCAGCCGTGCTGTGAGCATGCGTGTGGAGCGTGACAATGATAACAGCTTTTCAAACAAACTTCCGGGTTCTTACCATGTCAATCATCCTAAACTGGAGGAAGGCCACCTTGTCATGCAGGTCTGTGAAAACCATAATATAACTCAGTTACAACTGTAGGAGGGACACACCATCGGAAGCGCGTAGTAAATGATTGACCGATTTGTGTTTGGTTAAAGTTTTAAGGCGCTTTTCGTTGGATAGCCATAAAACCAAATCCAAAGCAGTCATTATGGCCAATCACAACAAAGGATAATATCTTAAATAGCCAATGGGAACTCAAGATAAATCCTACTAAACTGCCGAAAGCGCGGGAAAACGCGGGCGACCGAGTCGCGATTGGTTTAAGATTTACATCTGACCGGTTCAGAGAATGGCGCGAGTTTTCTGGACCAATCACAGAGCGAAATAAAGCAAAAAACCACAACCCCGGATTATTTTCGACTCTCAATTGAAATTTGCTTTATCGTAGTTTATCATGATTATTTTTGCTGAGTTATTGTCTTTTTTAACTTTGTCGAGAGGATGGCGCGAATTTGCTTCCTTTGTGAGAGAAAACTCGGTAGATGAGAAGAGTGGCTTGATTTGACTGGATGATCAATGAGAAAGAGCAGCAGGGTTGATAAAAATTTTAATTTTTCCCCGATTGATGCTTCTCTTGCCTTTTCAATCTTCAGGACGGCACGCGAGAAGTTGAAACAAAATGTAAAACCAAGGTGCTATCGTTAAACTGGTCAGCGGGTCAGGACACGTCAGTCGAGGTGTTTGATGGATGCCTAGGTATTGCACCGAGCAAGATGGGCAAGCCATCTCGTCTGAGTCGGCAGGCCTTGTACGCGAGCTTGAAAGAGGTGAGTGCTTTATTATCGTATGAGGAGATACAGGAATGAAACATATGTCCCCAGATGAATGATGTGTTTGAAATATCGCACAGCTTATGGGGCTCAAAATTTATCGTAATCCTTTGTTGGACGAGATTGTTGCGCCGAGTTCACTTATCACTTACTTTGTCCAAAGACGACTTGATTCGCTTGCAGTTTTACTTAGTTTATGACTGCCCATGAAAATCGTTGATGTTCAGGCAGGGGCTACAATAAAAGCTGGTCACTTGTGGTCGACCGCTGCCCGTCAGATCTCTTACCGCCATCTGTTTAGCGTGTAATCAAGCGCTTGTTTGGGTTTCGCTCGCGGCCCCTCCTTCGGGCACAGCTACCTATTGCACCATCGGCAACCGCTTAGGGAAAACGTTTTTGAAACCCCTGTCATGTTGACATAAAATAGTATTTCCAAGTTTAGAAATTGTGTATTCAAGAGTTCGACATCTGCCGATTCGTCCACAAATTCGCCAAGAAGATGTGTACAAGTTCTGTTATATAATCTCATTGGTAAAGACGGCATTCTTTGATTTTTGCCCTCAAAAGGTTTTATGGTATTAAAAATGGACTGATTTTCGGCAGTCAGAGGTTTTCTTGGCAATTAAAAGGGAAAATGTCAGTTTGGAGACAAGATGTCGTCCATGAGCCGTTTTCCCTATAAACTTGTGATTGAGACACTTGAGTAAGGCTTTTACCGTTTTTTTTCTTATCCTCGAAGAATGATCGTATCAGAAAGAAAGATGTCATTAGTACAAAAAGTTTATATGTTAGACAGAACTCGTAATTGTGTGGGCAAAATAAAAAGCAGCAATCTCAATTACACAGTTATGCTATCTGTTTTGAAAATAAACATTTTGTACATCGCATTCCTTACATTTGATGAGTTATTTGGAGATGGAAGAGAAACGTTTTAACACTCGTTTGCCTTTAAGGTTATCAAACACAGCCAAGATCTTGGACATCGTCAAATTCTTGATGCACAGAGTTACCGCAGCGCCAAAGAGCTGGCAACAGACTATCAAAAGACCAGAACTATGTTGTACAACCGCTTACAAGAAACTGGGTACGGCTCCTGGGATTTGATGAAAAAACCCCCGGAACTGAGTCATTTTAATTAAGTATGTGTTCGTTATGTTGGTAGTTTTACGTTATCACAAAGAACAGATTCTTTAGAGTTCAGTACTTTTATCTGTTATGTTACGTATTTAACTTACATAAGGCTTTATCAAGGGAGTAGCCAGGGGTGTGCTCTAGTGCATTTTAATCCCCCTTTCCCTCTTTCCCTCTGTTGTCCGTAAGACCCCCCTTCCTGGCCCCTGGATTTTTTTTTCTTATTTTGACCCAGTATCTTGTCCAGAAGATACGGAATTTTATGAAAGATTTCGAATTTAAGGATAAAATGATCTACAATACGATTTTTTAAATTGCATTTAATTTATTTCCTTTTTTTATTTTGTGGGGAGAGGGTGGAATAATTTCGTAGGAGGTGTGCTTCTTGAGCTTTTAAGAGCCCGTGTTTGAGTCTATAAGGGGAAATATAAGGTAGATACGGGAGGATTATAAGTAGCCAGGTCGTAAATCGCCACCTGGGTCCAGTTGTCCAAAGGGCGGATGACGCTATCCAGCAGATAAGAGTTAACAAAACGTATTGTACTTTCTACCGGATAGAGATTTATCCAACGGATAGGGTTATCTATTCTTCGAACAACCGGCCCCAAAGTAAACAGTGTTAGAGTATTATCCGGTGTTGTCTTTCTTAATGTCATGCAATACATCTTCCAACGGTGTTAAATTGTAAAGGAGAGTGTCTTTCATTCGACAGATTGACTTACGTATACCGCATTTTATTAAAAGAAAGTAATATAAAGGAAAACTTTATTGTGTTTCTCTACAGATATGAATAGATGAAAGACTAATGAAATCCTTGTTGGTTTTTTTTAAGCATAAGTTGTACAAAGTTCATGTCATACCTAAATGTTTTATTTTATTTATTTTAATAATAATTGACTGTCCGGCATTTAGGTCAAGTAACACGTATCAGAAGGAGCTTGGTCTATATAATTTGACTAGCTTGTGAGCAGGCCCTCAAAAATAGCGGGCTTTGACACGAACGTTGCAGCCCCGCGCGGAAAAGTATAAGTCTTGAGCAATGAAAACCAAATAGAGATCAGCAGGGGATGTAGCACTGTTCTAATCCCTAAATCTTTCCGCGGGCGGAGAAACGCGTGTCCTGCAGGGCTGATAATATGGGCCTGCATTAAATACTTACTCTACTATACATTCAAATCAGTTTTTAGAATTTTGTATGTATCTTTTTTTTTTTATCATGTTTGACTTCTTGACATGAGAATAGTCGGAATAAGTTTTTTTATAGAACTAAGTTATCATTACAAATTTGTAACGTAAATTTCAGCTTTCACTCCTAGGGTACGATTCAGTGGTCAATTCTTTTTGTCGACTCCATTTACGCTTGCAGTGATTTTTATAGTAAATATGGTTTATTTAAAAGTAATCTTGATATCGGTGTTATTGTGTGGGAAAGGAGAGTAATTTAAGTTGATACACTGACAATGATAATGAAATTATCAGCTTGTATCGAATTTCCATTGGAAAAAATGTGTTTCATTGTAGCGTAGAAAAAAACGTACTCTACACAGCTAGGAACCAGTATGTATCGAGTAATACATTATTTAAACAAGGTGCAATAAAAATCTCATATCTCTGAATTCGTGTCTGTAATCTTGTTTCGCTTTTCTGTTTATATTTCATTTAATCCTTTCAACCCTGAGAGTGGACAGTAATTTCTCCTTACATTTTTACTGGCGAGTCATTTGATAAATTCATGAGAGTAAAGGAAATGATCACCAACCTAAGAAGCTCTGATTGTTGAAAGAATTCTCCTTGTCAGTATCAAAGGGAATGCGTAATAAAGAGTATGGAGAATATGGCCACTGATGTTTAAGTTCATGTTTGTTGTGGCAACACGCAAATTGATGCTCTCACGAGTCATTTTCCCCTAAACTTTTCGAAATAGTAAAATTTTAAAACACGAATGTACCTGGCCGTTAGCATTATTTGCTTTTGGTTGAGAGGAAGATGCCACTTTTCTAACTCTACTTTAGGGCTTAACAAATTAAAATATAATTCAATTCCTGATTTCTTTCGATGCCTCATTGAGGATTTCCCTTGATAGTTCTTGCTAGCTCAGCCTTCAGCATTCCGGTTTACAATTGTTAGGTGAGTTGGAGTGGTGAGATCTCCGTGCTTATGTATTACGATTTATTTTAAAGCTTAAAATGAGAACTTTGGAACGTTCATGGAACATTGTCGTTTGATCTTCAAATGTGACTTCGTTCAATGTAATGAAGTTATGTTCCTTTAAGCTTACCTTTATTCAGAAAGATGCCTAACATTTTGCTTAGGGAGGATAAAATTTGTTGGAACGAATTCCTAAGAATTGTAGGCCGTCAAGTCCGCCACATTGAAGTTCTGCCTTTCGCAAAATTTATTATGTCCTGTTAGTAAATAGTGGATTTTTTGTGTGAAATTGCCGTTGCCTACTGTAATACAATCCCCTCCATAGATGAAATTATCAAACCATTCGAAACTAGAAAACCATTTATAAGCGTACAGTTAGTAGATTTCAAATGAACTAAAATGTGACTGAAACTGAATAATAACTCCGCTGACAAATTTTCTGGCGTTTTTTAAAATGTATTGGATAAAAAGAAATTCTTGGAGCCTATGTTGCGGTAAGTCCCCTAATAGTTAGTTCAGGTCAGATCCATCGTTTTAAGTGTTTTTAATGAATTTAATTGAGTTTCACTGCGACGGAATGTTCCCGAAAGTCTGTGGAAAGTTCAACTTTGAATTCTACGAACTTCATTCAGTTCTATAGTTTAAAGATAAACGCATTTAGGACTAGACAGTTTAAGCTTTGAAAAGGGATGTATTTCTTTTCAGAAACTGACCTAAATTAATTTTCTGTTTTTATGTCATCGAGACTTAGACTTCGTGTTCAAACCAAATTTCATTATCAATTTTCTTGATCCTCATTTTTAAACGTCATAGTTCACTAGACCAAGACTTATAAGATAAACCCAGTTTTTTGAGAGACCCATATATCTCACAAATGAAATTAGAAACAGATATCAGAGGCGTATCAACATGGAAGTCAGAGGAGTTTGATAAATTTTAGTGGTGTGAAAGTCATTGTTATTTAGTATTACAATTGTTACACTTTGTCTCAAAGCACCTATTTTCCTCGTACCTTGAAAAAGCTTGATTTAAAAACACTCATTTACGGCTGACCCTAAATTTTTAACACCCTCAAACGGGCCGCTGCAATTCCCTTAAATATTTTATTTACAAGTAAACAAATTCCATACATCTTTGTTGTTTTTGCTGTTGCTATATGACAAACTATAGGATTCACAACCGTATATTACTTCATTGTACTGTACACAAATACAACAAGGATGCGTACTCTACAAACTGGTCGAATGTACTTTTGACAGCAGTAATTCTGTCGAATCTCGGTAAAGTTTTATATTTTTCGCGCTAAAGAGTCATCGCCTCGTTAAATTTAAGAATCCATAACTGGAACTTGTAGAAATGTAGAATTCAAGCGCTTATCAAACGCGTATAGAAATTACATTCAGATAATATTTAACGACCACCTGCAAGGGTTTACAGCTGAAGACATATTACGCGTGCGCCCTGAATTTCCTTGACAATGACTTGAATGACAGCTTCGAAAAGTTTAAGTTTTTTGCATGAAATTTTCAATCGCCTAAGGCTTTCGAATGCAAATCACTCGTCCTTTCTCGCCGCGCGACCAAATGCAAATAGTGAATATAAACATTGCGAGAGTTAGACAAGCTTTTCTGGCAAGGAGCCTTTTTCGTGGAGCAAAAAATCGATTTTTGTCGCCTGGTCTGTACTGATCAACAAATTGCAGACGGGTAAATTGATCTCATAACAATTTCAACCACAAGGAATAGAGATGATTCGCGGAAAATCATACTGGTTGAAAGCATATGTTCAATTGCTTGTTTCTTGTTGACCAAGGTTGAAAGAACCACGCACCTGTCGAGTGAGAAATTTTCGAATTTCTTGGCTCGGATTTGTTACGGAGTTTTTGCCCGCAAAACCACAAGTGCACCAACGTGGACTGTTAAAATAATCTTTTCTGGGATTTGTGGCAGAGTTGGGGTGAGAAAAAACGCCCAGCGCCGATGAGGAATTCCCTTTGGAAATGAATGAGTTGAATACGGTTGCAGTCAAGGAAATTGTTAGCATAAGGGAAGAAGAAAAACTAGACAAAGAAGAGGAGGAACCAAGCATGCAAGATGTGGAAATTCCGGGCAGTTCAAACAACGTGCAAGATTGTGAGCTGCACAAGCAACGCAGTCAAACATCGTCCTCGCCGCCGCAAACAGCGAAACGAAAAGATCGCATAAGCATTAATGTTGGTGGTATCAGACACGAAACGTATCGTAGTACACTAAAAAATATTCCCGACACTCGTTTGTCGTGGCTTGCAGATGCCTCGCCTGGTTCCGTGGACTATGATGCAGATATGGGAGAATACTTTTTTGACCGCCATCCAAGCGTATTTTCTAATGTTTTAAACTATTATCGCACGGGATACCTTCATTGCCCGTTGGATGTTTGTGGACCTTTATTCGAAGACGAGCTGAATTTTTGGGGAATTGATGATCAGCAAGTGGAGTCCTGTTGCTGGTTAACGTATCGACAACATCGAGATGCACAAGAAACGCTCGCTGCGTTCGAAGGAGTGGAATTCGAAAACGATTTTGACGATGAAGAACAGCCTGATTTTGGCCGATACGGCTTCACATTTGCGGCGGAAACCGAACCAAATGTAACTTGGTGGCAGAAATATCAGCCGCGAATTTGGACTTTAATGGAGGAGCCGTATTCTTCAAAGCTTGCGAAGGTTAGTGTAAATTATAGTTTAAAGGCACAAGGCCGTTTTGGAAGTGGTGAGAAACCCTTAGAAACCATTTCAATTTGAGCTCATTTAAGAAATAAAAAATAATACGCGCGCTGTATCGCAAGATTTTCAAAGTTACAATTAAACTCCTAACGGCACTTTTCATATCAATGAGAGGAAAACTAGGTTATGTTCGAAGCCACGAATAAGTTTTGAAGGATATTTTCTAATTGTTGCAATAAACGGTAGCGCGCCTCGAAAAGCAAGGTCATAAAAGAAACCTTATATACGCCCGAAGCCTGTTTTACTCATCGATGAAAAATCGAATCTTCTACAATACATTTGTAGTTCGGCTTGAGTACTTTAATCGAAGTCACAAACCGCTCGATTTTAAACTTTTAACCGCGATCTATTGACGTAAATTACCCGCGAAAAATAGAAGAGCTCTTAGATCCACGATATTTCGTTGAATTCATCAGTTTTCGAAACATCATGGGTGATTTTTTCAACTTTAAGTCATATCTCGCTCGGAGATGTTTACGTTATTTCCCGCGGAGCAAGCACGTATATATACAAAATATAGTATGGACAATTTGTCGCGTGAAAAAGCCCTAAACCTCAATCATAAATATTGTGAATAAAATGCTAGTGAGCTTTCGTAAACTGTAGAAGTCATCTTTGTGGGGTTTTCGTTGAATGAAAAGACGAAAATTTCTGACCTTTTGAAGAGGGGGATATTTAAAATTCATATTTAAACTAGTATTTCGCTCCGAATATTTTAACGCATAACACAATGGCAGTGTTGAAATATAAAGCTACAAAGAGGGATCTCTCTGAATCGCGATCAGATTTCATTTCGCACAGGCGGTTATATTTAGATACACAGACTTAAAAGGGGTAAAAAAAACGCATCAACTTCGATTGAAATTTTGTAACTACCTTGTAACATGAGTAAACCGTACCCACAGATAGGAAATAAAATATTTATGAGACAGAGTGCCTCAATGATTGCTTTATACAAGATTCCTGGTGAGCTATGAATTCTTGTAATCCTGGAAATTATAGTCTGCTCGATTTAATCAAGGTCTAAATTCTTCACGTAATTGGTGGCTTTAGAAGTATCTCCTGTTTAACAAGCGAGCGGATTAAAGACTCAGATGGAAATTATTCCTTTATTTTAACGAAGAAATGGCGATCCTTGATTTTTAGTAAAACGTTTTTTCTTTATCTCTCTTCTTTACTATTTCACCAGTCTCCCAGCATGTCTATTGAATGATTATCGTTTAAAACACGAAGGGGCGATTTAAAAACTGAAGTATACTTATCTTATTCAAAAACAATTCAAGAGATCTGAGTCTCTTTTTCTCTACAAAACGAAATTTTATTCCGATTTTTAATATACTGTGGCCCTCAAAGCTTGGACCAAAGTTTACTTTTTTGTAGGAAAACGTATTTGGTTGTGACGTTCAAGTAGTTAATTTACAATGCTGGTGTACTATAAATCGAGTCTAAGTGCTGCTGGTTGGTTCCAAGCGAAATTTAATCAATTCAGCTATAGAGGAAATGTGAGTTAAATTCACGTTGTGAAGTCCAGAGTGCTGAGAAAATTTAAATCTTCTTCGGAAGAAAATTGCTTTCAAAAGCCATTTAAGTGCTTGAGGAACGAATTTCGTTCGCTCGTTTATTTTCAGTATTTTTGTACTCGCTGTGAGACATACTCACATTCAGTTGGATTCATCTTACTTTCGTTCTGCTGTGATGGACGGAAAACATATTTCACTGTGGTGATTTATCGGTGTTATGGAAATAGGGCATTCGTTAGCCGCATCACTAGAACCCGGAGCTAAGTAGATACATCAAAAAGAACTGTCTGGTGAATTGAAATTATGTACGATTTATGAAACGAGAATTCTTCACAATAAAGACGGGAAAACGCACATAAATGATTTAGCTTACTGTTGGCAAATATTTATTTTAAGAAAATTCTCCAAGTATAGAGATTTCAAAGCCAGTTATTAGAAGGCGAATGTATTTAGATACTATAAGTACACAATGTTGACGGTTGCCACTAGTTACGCTTCTAATACCGACCAATCTGAAGACCTTGCGCTCGCCGAGAAGAACAATTTGCTGATAACAATTTTGATAACATATTTCGCGTCGGTTCGATCTCTAACTTAAACCATGTTGCAATCGACGGAGTTTTGTACTGGTGATGATTTGATACTGTGGGAAAAAGAAATACGCTGCGATTTTTAACGTCAGTGACTAAAAACTAAACCAATAGTAAAAGTTTTTGTTGTTTGAAATTGGTGTATTTCACAGCCCAGGCAGGGCTGAACGGCTTCTTAGTCAAGTAAAATAACTCTCGAAGTTATTTTTAACGCTGGGTCTGTTTGTCCTAAAACGCTCTTCACAAATGACATGTTAGTTAGTTGTTTCTCGGGATCAAACCTCGTAGCTAAGAAACGACATAACAAAGGATCTATGCGTACCAACGTTACCAGTTGCCCACGTCGACCATATATTAATATGTTATAAGACGAATTGGCCCGAAGGCGTTTGTATTACCTTGAATACAGAGAAAAATTGAAGACTAGCAGACTGGGGGAGGGAGGTGACACCACTCTAGTTGAGAAAAAGAGAGAAATATGAGCAGAGAAATAATTTCCTAAACATAATTTAGTACCGCGCGAGAGTACAAGCAAAATACTTAAAAAGCTTTCAGCTAGTTTAAATGTTTTAAGTGATTTGGGTTGACAAAACCGCCGAAGAATATTCTTAAAGCTCAAATCTTTCTTTCCCAGTCTGAACTGACCAGTTTTATTCCAGCTTTGATTTCATTCCACGAGGACCGTTGAAAACGTGTATTTCTTAATGTTTGATAAAACTTAAATGGTGATCAATTTGTTTATGTATTCAGGTCATTGCATACACGACACTGACACTGATCGTCCTGTCAGTGATCTTGTTCTGTTTGGAGTCCATACAATATTTCCGTGAGGTAAAACCCAAGCTGGCGCTTCAAATCTTGGAAGCAATCTGCGTTGCCTGGTTTACGCTGGAACTTTTGGTTCGATTCATCTTTTGTCCACATAAATTGGCATTCTTCAAAAAAGTTATGAACTGGATAGATTTTTTGGCGATCGTGCCGTTTTACGTCAGCCTATACCCAGCTACAGATAACAGTGACAACGTGGAGATCTTGAATATAATTCGGCTCATCAGAATTTTCCGGATTTTCAAACTTTCCCGTCACTCATCCGGGCTCCAAATCCTGGGACACACTTTGCGAGCAAGCGTGCGCGAGCTACTTCTACTAATTTCGTTTTTGATCATCGGAGTTGTCCTATTTGCTAGTTTAATTTATTACTGGGAGAAAGACGTTCCCAACACGAAATTCTGCGACATACCAAATTGCTTCTGGTGGGCCGTGGTTACCATGACGACCGTGGGTTATGGTGACATGGCACCCATAACGCCTATGGGTAAATTTATTGGCAGCATTTGCGCGGTCTGTGGAGTGCTGACGATAGCACTTCCGGTTCCTGTAATTGTCAACAATTTTTCTTTGTATTATTCTCACGCCCAGGCGAGACTTAAATTACCGAAGAAGCGACGTCGAGTTCTCGTTAATGCTCCGAACGCTCTTAAGGCGTCGGCCGTCGTCGAGAATGGAATGAGTGGGGATTCCAATGGCAGCTCTGATAGCGGCTGCACTGAGAACAGTGCTGCAAATGGTGGACGAAAGTGTAGTCTTCTGATTACTGATGAACTCAATGAAGTTAAACCCAGACGGCCTGTGAGGAGGGATAGTCATTTGTTTAATAATACATCAACTTCCAATGGAGATGTTGCAGCTACCGCTGCCACAACAAACAACAGCAGTCGACAGAGTTACGCCATGCAAAAACGGCTGTCAATGAGACCTACAGTACCCACCCTACCGGAAGTGGAATGAAACCAACGAGAACCCTTCCCGAGATTACGTATCATCTATGGGGGTAAGGGAAGTGAGAGAGAAGTAACACACTTCCCCCTCCCCCCTCCCCCCCCAAACCTACCCCCAGAAGACTTTCATTGAAACGAAGTGCGAGAGCGTGAGAGCAATAAAGTCAAAAGCACGACCCACTGTCGTAACAAGGGGAAGAGTGCTTGTCGTCGGCTACTTAGTCAGTAAAATCGTATCAAGCGTGCTTTAAGTAAAACCCAGCCTTGACATCATTTTTAAACGTATTCTTGAGAGAAGATTTGGTGTCTTCATTGCACGCGAAGTAATATACCAAAGACATAGTTGTGCTTTAAATATATCGAAACTTAATGGCTTAATGGATCTTAAGTGAGCGAAAATGTTTCTTGTAAACAAAAATATTTGTTTACACATTTGTAATATTGTTTATTCATTTCATAAAAATGTGAAATTCAGTAGCCCTTGGATCTATAAAGCATCTTTGCTCGGATGAAACAAAATCTGACATTTTCATTATCTTCAGCTCATAGGTCATCGTTTTATAGCTCAACTTAACTGAGCTTATTAATGGTTAATACATTTTATGAAAATGTGTTGGGACTGGCCGAGTCATGCGAAAAAAGACGATTATAAGGGAAGATGGCTTTTGGCTTAAAAGTGCTGTTTAAAAAAGGATATTTGGAATCAATAACCCTATGACGTAACACCGCTAACCGTCAATGGTTCCTTTAGGGTCAGTTTAGTTGCCTGGCAGCATCATTTATTAAACGGGGAAGACGTCATTATTTACAATTTTGTGAAATGTAACCATGCTTTCGTATAGAAGGGAGGTTAAGGACGATCTTGAAATGGTAATGACGGAAATTTGGTTCTCGTGGCAACAGAGCGATAAGCATGCAGAATGTCACTTGAAGCTTCCTTCTTCGAAAGATTGGCAACGAAGTACACAACTTTTTAATTCACAATACCTATAAATACCGTAAATTCCCAAAAAAGTGATGAGCTATGCCGTTGAATACTAACCTAAATTTAATTTGACAAGGACATTTTTTTCTCTAAAATAATTAAATTTGGGAGGTGTTAACAGATTCGAAATATCGTTCTGTAATCAGTAAAAAGGGCGCTTGCAACAAGATTGGGATCTCAAATTGTCCACTAAGCATTGATAACTAGGTGTCATCGCAAATGTTTATCACCTGAAAGGTTTTTAGACCGAACATTATAAATCAAGTGGCGATGAAGATTGTATTTAAAAATTTCAATGTAATTAGATTTTTTTCGACAAAAGCACACATTCCTAGTAACGTTTACAAATCGTAGAAAAGGTCACATATAAAGTCACATACAATAACAGAATACATATGTGACCAAGAGTTTATATATCCCTAAATGTACAAAGTGTATATAGTTCATAACTGTCACTTGAAGACTATTTTCCTAGTAAGATAGCCAGACAATCCAAAAGTTAAGAAACATGTCGAGTAGATTTTTGTAGATGTGTAGTTGAACTAAGACATAAAGTTTGAATAAATCACTTTTAGATAGTTGGACTCGTTGTGTATATTTCCTTTGTGTCTTGTTTTCCTAATAAGAATTGTTCGAAAGAGTAATGTGTTCTCTGTAGCTTTCTGTATGTATATAACTCAAGTTATTTAATAGCTTATATCGATATGAACAGACAGACTGAGACTGCAGCGAATCACGATGTACGTTCGTTTATTGAATTGTGTAACAAAGCTGCTTATTGCAATCTGATTCGCTACCGAAACGAGGTTTTTCACGGAAGGGAGGAGGGGGGAAACTGCTGCTCGACAGTGAGGTTAACTTGTATGCACCAATCGGTAATACGAAGCACCAAGGGACCAATCCGTGCCAGGGGTAGGGTGGGGGGAGAGGAGGTTGAGCATCACATGATTTTCAGGGGAAACGGAAGGGGGATTAGTCGTCGCCAACAGAGTATAAAGGATGGGAGGAGGCAATTGAAAATTGAATCCCAGTTAACTGCCAAAGAAGGGGAGGGAACATTAAAAATATTACAGAGCCACGAGCTCCTGACACTACACTCTCTCCACTGTTAAAAGGAAACCAGCCGTTTTAAGATTGAATTTGATCGGTAAACCATGATGCAACTTTGTACGACAACATATAACTGGGGTCAACTGAAAAATGGACTCAATACCTAATTTTTAAAACTTAAAAAAAATTGAGTGAAGTTCCGTCGATTAAACTAAATTTCTATATACAGCAGATTAAATGCTTTTACATGCATCGACAGAGCGAATAAACTGAGCACATTTGCCCAAAAGTACTGGATTAAAACTCGTCGTGATATGTTTGACCAAACTGTGTGACGTAGCTTCCGGCAAAGATCTCATGACTTGTGACAAACTCATCTGCTGTTAGTTTTCCATCCTGGGAATATAAAATTCATATACAGTTAATTTTTTTTAATAAGAGAATGCAAAAGGCTTATATTCTCTTGTCTATTATATGAATTTTCACGCTAAAAAATATTCGGAATTCTATAAGTAATAAACAACGTTTGTTTAAATGGAGACATTTTTTCTGCCAACATAAATTTGTAGAGTTGTTTTCCAAGTGGACATTAATGCCTGCTTCAGGGAGTTAAACCAGGCTAAAGTACGGATTTGCGCTATAGACTAGCAAGGATAACGTTAACAAAGATACATCTAATGTCGTATGCGCAATTTTCAATCGAATGTTAAAAAGAAATCCAGGACTGCTTAGGTTTTGCTCAATCTAGCTGTATTTCTCTTCCAACAACCGGCGCCTTTTTCTCAACCAAGCAAATTCAAAGCTTTAACCAATGGTGACTTGGTATCTCAAATTTTCCTACACTTCAGACAGTTAACTTGGATTTACGAGTTCTGGTTGGCTCCAAGTGATTTTTACCCTTGTTGTGATTGGCTGCTGAGATCACTTCGGTTTTGGTTTTACTACATTCCATCGAGTGTAAGAGAACTTTTCGATTGAAAGTCGTAAAAAAAAAACCAGAATAATCCCAACAGCCAATCTGAAAACAGAAAATACCCTAAAGAGCTAAATGATAAGTCAAAGTGCAAACACCTTGAGCGCGGGAAAGCGCGGGAAAGCGCGGGAAAGCGCGGGTGGCCGAGTGGTGATTGGTTTAAGGTTTGCATCTGATTGGCTGAGACTAGCGCAAGTTTCTGGACTGATTACGTAGCGTGTTGAAGCAAAACAAACGCAGTCCCGGAATACTTGTTGAAGTAGGATTGTCCATAATTACCTTATTCATGTCTGCATACTCTATTAAATGCTGAGCCTCTCCCAGCGCTTTGTTAAAGTTTTTCGGCCTTCTCCATTCTTCCATTTCTTTCTGAAAAGTATTATTAGCAATGATCAAGAAAGTGTTACTGCCTTGCGAATGTTAGAATCCAAAATGAGGGGACGTGCTAAAAAATCCACAAACTTAACTGAACTTGGTAATCAAAAAGTTAGCGAGGCAGCTGGACATTACAGTTTTGCCTCTTACCAGGTTAAGGAATCCATCGTGGTCGACGTCGTATTTTTCATTGAAGTCCGCTATGTACAGGGTATTGAATGCTGGCATATCGATGTAGGCTGCAAGATGAAATTGAAAACTGTGTCACTAGCGTGCTGTTACTTAAAAACTGGAAATTACTCAGGTAAAAATTTATTGTTAGGAGGAAGCTAGACAGGTTTCAAACGCTTCTCTTGTGCTGTGGAAATTGTTCGATGCGGCAGATTTCAAATGGAGAACAGTGTTGTATAATAGCAAACTCTATTCATAATTCGTACTCGTCGGAAGTGACTAGAAAATACTCATTTGAATCGACTCGATCACTTCAAATTAATGAATTTACGAGTGGTGGATTAAACAGCGCTATTGATTGGACCCTTACAAGTGTGTATGCAGACGCCGCATCCAGGCTTGAAGTGATGGTTATGTATGTACGTATGTTTATGTAATGTGATCCAGTTTCGTATGCACCATCTCCCATGTCTTCACTTCATATAGTTTATTTGGTAGAGCGAACATTAAGTACGGCGTTTGACAAGGCCAGCGTAATAGCACCTTAATATAAGTTTACATCCCACACAAGGGCATGTATTAGTTACATTTCATTTAATGATTATCATCATTGAAATTCAATAACTAAGACTACTTATCTAAATCATTTACCCAAATATTCGTCCAAAGATAGGCGACCATCTTCGTCCTTATCATATCGATCGAGTATTTCCTGGGAAAAAACGATAGCGTTAGTGTGAATTGCCTGGTTTCTTAACGATGTTTTAACCCTTTGGTCCCTAAAAGTGACTTGCATCCAGTTTCTCCTTACAATATCACAGCTGAATCACATATTGAGGTCCCGAGAATAAAGAAAACGATCACTAGCTAAAGAAACTCTTGATTGGTAAATAAATTCTGCTTGTCAGTAACTTATAAAATGTATAGAGAAGAGTATGGAGAACGTGCATACTGATGTTAGGGTGTCAAAAAAAACCATGAAAACCAAACAAGGAAAACCGGTTTACTCACCACAGCAATATAGGGCAACATGATTTCATGTTCTTTTGGATGGTGAAAATATTCGTACTCCTGCCTGTTTAGCATACCATCTTTGTCTTGGTCACTGTACCGCCATTTCTTCTTATCAAACAAGACATACTTTTCCAGATTTGATCTTTCCCATTTAATGTGCATGTCTGTGTGACAAAAATGTCATTGATTGGTAAAAAAGGAAAGTCGAAAGATATTAGTGCAATTGACAATTGACTGTTTAAAAACCATAACCAAAGTAATTGCAGCGATCAATCAGAGCAAAGGTTTACATAATCATAAGCCAATGAGAACTCAAAGTAAAAAGAAGCAAACGGTATCTGATCGGTTCTGGGGATGGCGCAAGTTTTTTCGAACCATTTACAGAGCAAAGTTAAGTAAAATCAAAGCAATCCCGGATCACCTTCGACACGCAATTGAAAATTGCTCTAAAACGGAAGCACATAGCAGATCAGGCATTGGTGATGCATGTTTCGTCAGTCTGGGCCATAGACAGTTTTGTCTAAACAATGATGTCATGAAACATAGCGTCACGGTCCAATTTTTAATACTTACCGTATTTATTCGGCTGTAAGCCGTGACCCCAAACTTTGTACGTGTAGACTCGGCATAACAAGAACCAAAAATAAATCGAAAACAACCGGCAATTAGCCGAGACCCATTCATTATTACAAGACTCAATTGTTGACTATGGGGAAACCTAACATTTTTTGAAAAAAAATCACATTAATTGTCATAAATGAGGCTTAGACGATGGTGATTTATGGTGATTTAATATGCAAAGGACAAAAAAGCTAACTATTCAATTGAAAAGCAACGAATCATAACATGAATTGATGTGATCCAAAAAATCAATTTAAACCTAATTGTGCTGTTAAGCGGCAATACCGGTACCTACACATCCGTAGTGTCTATCAAACGTGTTCGCAATCGTTTATTTCAAGTGGAGTTGTCATCATGCTTAAGGCACGTCACGCGTCATACAACCTCGCGTTTAAACTTAAAATAGTCGCCGAAGCAGAGGCTGTTGAAAATAACTCTGAAATGGCATCAGTGAGTCCATGGTCCGTCGCTGGAGTAAAGATCAAGCCAACCTTTTTTAACGGCGACATTAAATTGTCAGCGAAACGGAAGACGATGGCATGCTTCACGCCGAAGTATCCGGAGCTCGATCAAAGAATACTGGAATGGTTGACAGAGCAGAGAAGCTAAGTTTTTTGTCAAACATTGATTTTGTATTTTGAATCAACAGAGGAATGATCAAGAAGTAAATCAATCAGCTGAAGTTGAATGTGTGACTCGTAGTATTGTAGTATCATGTGACAAAATTGTGTAAGAAAGATTCTCATTGGCCAGTTTTCACAAGTGTCAAAATAAATTCAAGAAGTGTCTAGTTTTTATCCTTTTGATCATATGGTGACCTTCTCACTTCGTTTTGCTTAGGAATAGCTGTTAGTGGATTGATGCTACGTCTAAAGACAAAAGAATTCAGCGAGGATCCCGAGTTTAAAGCGTCCCTCAGCTGGTACCAGAAGTGAAAGCGCCGCCATTCCGTCAACCTTCGGTCCGAAACAACACTCGCTCAGCGTCTCCCAGAAGATTTAGGGCAGCAAACAGTCAAGTTCCATCAATTTGTAATCACATTCCGTCAGCGTCACGGTTATTCCCTATCAAGAATCTTTAACATAGACGAGACACCGATGCGGTTCGAACTACCATCTAGTCGCACACTCGAATTCAAATTAAAAGTTAATAACCAATGATTGCATATTGTGTTTTTTACTTTAGCTCGGCTAACAAGTAAATACATCCCGAATGAGTTGAGTTTCCATGCGCTGGAAACATTTTTTTTCAAAAACTTTCGGCTATAAGTCGAGACCCCCTCTAGAGCCCAAATTTTAATTCGCTTCAGTTTTAATTTATGTAAAAATCGGTCGGCTTATATTCGAATAAATACGGTAGGCTAGCCCCAAATTTTAGTTCCGCATTTTTGTCTCTGATATTTATGGCCCTTGGGACCCAGTTCACTTAAAATAGCATAGAAAGAGCTTCACGTCAAGAACACTTTGAATGGCATCGGTTGAAACGGTTTGGCAGAAATCACAATTTTATTGTGAGTGAGGACACACATGCTATTACCATCATGAAAATTTGAGGTAACTAAGATTTTTTTTGGAAAAAGAAAAATGTTACGATAAATCTCGATACATGTGCTTCACATTTATCAAAATAGAAGTAGAGTACACGTTGTTTAGTCTGAGTGCACGGCCGTTGTTGTTGTGACTTGCTCTCCTGAGTCATCTTGGCTTCTGCCAGCTATCAATTTTCTCAGTATTCTTTAAGGTCCTTTTTTTTTCGTTTCATCTCATGAATGATCGTATATCCTTTTTGAGAATAGTTTGTCGACTTTATAACAAATGACTGTCAGTAAGACAGTCTGACAAAAATTATTGTAAAACGAGCATCTAAAGTGATATCGATCAGGACTCTGAGGAAAGTCATCCCAAATAGGTCCGCTTGGCGTGCAAACGAACACTTTATCAAGTCCGGGAAAACTCAGATCGGCAAAAAGTTATTTCGACCCTAATCGATCTATTTTTGAGGACAAGTCATCGTGAACAAGACTGACCTTGTGTGAAAGAGGGCGCCCCTCAGATCAGGCAAAGAAAAAACTAGCGGCTAATGCTGGTCGAAGTGTGTTCCCTGAAATTATCGCATTACTACCTCTAATACGAGACATTTCCTTTAACATTCACGTGGAAATTGCAGATGATATTGTATTAAATATGTAATTTCATTGGTTGTTTCTTTCCACGAGGCAGGTAGAATTTGATAAATAATGCGAGTAAAATACGTATATTTGTAACACATAGCGGGGTACGAGAACAGATATCACGTCTGTCGAAAATTAGATTTGTAATTCAGTAATACAGAAATAGATAAGTCAATGATGTCTGAAGTTTGTTGTTCCGACCCCTTCGCGTTCCGACCCCTACGCATTACGACATGGCCGCCACGAAAAAACCAGCAAGAAAAAGTATCGACCCAATCCTCCCTCGGCCACATAGTTTGTTTAGTTTTGTCATGAACAATGTTATCGCAGGAAATTAATAGTATGGACAAAACTGTCTATAGTACGGACTGCTCGCGAAAACGAAAAGTTCAGCCTAAAGTTTTGTCGCACTGACATCGCTGCCATTTTCCCAAACTATTAAGTTCAAAGACGATCAAAAAATTATGCTTTTTCCACGGAACAAACACTCGAGCGAATCAAATTATTTACGATCTGTCTTGTTCGAATCAATCCAGTGTCAGCATGGAAAAGATAAATTAACAGTCACTTACAGGAACAGAGTTTGGACAAATTCAGTGTAATCTTGAATTGCAAATTTGAAAAACTATCCTTTTGGCTCCGCTTAAAATACTATGTTCTTATTAACCAAGTGGGAGGGCCGGACGGGAAATTTTGGCTCGAGGTCATGACGTACGGACAGCGCAGCGACCGCCTCGAAAGACACTTTATCGAAATTCTCGTTATCATTTCTAAGGGAGGATCAAGTTTGACCCTCGTCTCCTGGCGTTACTCATACCCACCCTCCTCAGTAAATCCAAATGTTCTAGTCATGTACTCCTTCCACGTGACCTTGTCATTGTTATTCATGTCCAGGTCTCTGAATATGGCGTCCACGTCCTCATCAACAGTCCACTTCTGCATCTTATGTCGAACCCAGATCTCCAACTCAGCCTCCTCTACGAAGCCGTCTTTGTTGATATCAATACGGGGCACTAGCATTCTGAATAAGAAAAAAACAATATCTTTTGGGAAGAACTAATAAAATACGTTCATATCATGGTGAAATATTATATAAGCCACCACGCGCTAACGATCCTGACATGGCTAACGGCTTATCAAGGACATTTACTGGTGACGCATTGAAAGAGGCAGGTTTAGTGTCAGAATAATTATTTTATGAAGCAAATCAAAACGAGTGAAATTTGAAAGACACAATATGCTTTAGAATATTTACACAGCTGTTTTTATTTACTTACTAAATGATATTTTAGTATGATAATGAGCAGCGTACAGCATGCGTGTCATTGATTTTTTTTTTCGTGAATTGGAATAAATCCTTCCAAATTTATTGAGGAATAATCTAAGCTTTTGTTTCCTATTAAGTTTAGAATTTTATTCATTGACCTGAACTAAAGCTTATTACTCTTGAGTAGCAGTTTTAGTTGACAAGCGCAATCACCCAAGAGGTATATACATCACTGTTGTTCAAGTCACAGAGAAAATTTTCGCCGAGATAAAAACTTTACGTAATTAGATGCTACTCAAGGATCAAACCGAACAACTGCCCAGTAGTGATAAATTCTACGATTTTTTTCTTCCACATCGTTGACAAATAAATTTTCCGGTATAATATGTACCAATTTAATTTTTTTTTTAATTTTAAAACAGTACTCTCCTTTATTTTAAAACCGATTTTCACCAAATAACGATAGTTCATACATCAATTTTTGTTGCAAAGTTTGCACATTTAACTAGAAATGTTTCATAATTATTAAAGTTCTCATTAAGATTTTTCATGCAAGGCATGTACGAGGTACCTGAGCCGTCTCCTGGACTCTTGAGGGGAAAGTTTGTCAAATTCTTTGGCCATCTTCTCTCCAAGGAAGGCGATATGATCATCCTGGTCACTATGTGTGCGTCCACCAAAGCTGTGTTCAGAATGCTCTACGGATAAATCAACTAGAAAAACAAGAACCGCGATAAAAAATAGAGAATTTTGCGACTCCATATTACAAGCGCTTGTTATATTAGGAATCTCCTAAAGGAATACGAAATCGATTACTTGTGTTGTTCATTTACGGAGCAATGTTTAGTCAGCCGTGACGCGTGGTTCAACCACAGGTGCGCCACGTTCTCGACCCGGTTGTGGACTGGATACTAGGACTTTCTGGTCTCTCTTGTAGCCAATCATCACCATTGTATAACTAAATGTATATGATTTGTAAACGGCAATCTGGACTGTTATACTACTCTATTTCTCATCTATTTTCACTGAAGATGTTTCTTTTATTTTACAGAAAACTGTAGACAGCTCCATTGTTTTTAAACCATGATGAGATAGAACTTTCGATACGGTTGCAAAACGAAATCGGGCTGAACTGAATTTTTTTTATCATTTTTCGCCCGGTCTCTTATCTCTATTTCAGCGAAAACAGCGAAAAAAAAAATCAAGCAAAAAAGATCATATTTCTTTACAGGAAATAACCGATTCATGAAGATTATTTTCAGATCGACACTTTTTACAGTTTATGATATTACACTCGCGGTTCCATTGATGGAAGTACTTCCGGTCTTAGTGATAAAATTCGCGAATACGGCTATTCAAAATAAATTCCTAGATATGGGTGTTCACGATCCGTTTTAAGATATAAATGTCGAACAAAACGAAATTGGAAATTTGCAAGTTTGTTATTTTAAAAATGGTTTTAGACGCCAAAAAGAGTTCGTCAATTTCGGTATCGTAAGCAATTATGATAAAGTTGTCAAAAATACAGCATGTATCGATGAAAGAACCCCGATCCATTTCCTTTATTCTGGCATCAATCGATCTTATCTTACAACAAGTCTGTTGACGTCTTATGATGAGTTTCGATACAGCGAGTTTCAACAAGATTGGCAATGCCTAGAAATGGAAGAAATTAGTCGTCGTTGCTTGAAACAAAGCCTGATAACTGGGCAGTGTTACAAGAAGTGTTTAGCGCCACAAGTTTGGAAATATTTTGTTCATTGAACATTAAGATGTTTAGCAGTTTTAAAGTTTCTAGCAACTTCATATTACACTTTGAGAAGTAGAGAAGTGAGGACAAGAGAGAAACCGTTTCAACTCACAGAAAGGAAACCATTCAAAAGTCGTGTACTTTGTACTACATGTTGCGTTGGTGTTGTGACGTCATTCAGCGCAAATGTATCCTTACAGCTGTCTCTATTTATCCTAGTGTTACTTTGTTCACTTCCTTTGTAGGAAGAGATATTTATAGTAAAGTAACTGTGTTACTGATAAGAAAAAAGTCAGGATCTGTCGCAACGGTTTTTTGCGTTCCAGTGGTTGCTTTGAAAAAGTTGAGACGACAAAGAGGACAGGGGAGGGGAGGGGAAGGGGAAGCTTTGGTAGCAATGATAAATGTTCAGGATGGGTTTTCCATCTATCTTTAGTCTATGCCTCTTCAAATTATATATGTTTTCACTAGGATATTGTCAAAATAAAAGCCGTTCATTGAAATTTTAAACCAGTGGTACATATTTTTGTCCACTTAGACATCACAGCGAATGCTTGAGGTATTGTTCTAATTCAAAATATGATACACTTCGATATACTGAAACAATTTTCCTATTCAGTGATCATTCGCTGTTCTTAGCAGGATTTTATTCCATATATGGAAACAGGAAGAAGTAAAGAAATTCGCGGTCACACCAACCAAGCCAGCTAGGGAGATGAAAGATGAATTGCTAAACAGAGAAGAGGGCTGTTTGCATTTCGGGGTAATAACAATGAAATTTACTGCACTGAAGGCAGCATATCTAAATTCCTTTTCTTGAAAACCAAGGGGCACCAGCCCACTGAAGGAGTCACGCAACTTGTAGACGGAAGTGACCAGAGCATACAGTTTTGGCGTGACAGTTTATTTTTCGTCTGGACATTGTCTCCAAGTGACATGTAAGACCGATATTCAGTAATGCTGTTTCATTTTAGCGTTGTTAGAGCTCCGTGATTTAATTAAGAAGGGGTTCGAGTTTAATTTAATTGGTTTTCGAACCTGTTATATTTGTAATTAAAGAGACCAAAATAACTTCATTGATATCTGAACACATCTATTGGGAAGTTAACATAGTTACTAACACCGGTTTGTTTGGTGGCGCGGATTAGAGAAGCAATCGGAAATTGATATAGACTGTCCACTTAAATATGGAGTGATGAAGATGACAGACGATAGTATAAAAAATGTATAGATATTGCTTTTAATAGAAAAATTGAAAAACATTTCAACGATTAGTTCCTGTGATGAAGCGTCTATAGGCTTGGTTAGTGATTACGCTTATCGCATCAGCTTTTTTTGACGCGAGGATCAAATTTTTGATGTCAAAACCAGGTGGGAGTTGTTTCCGCCGAGATAATGTTTGCTTGTCTAGCAATTATAGGTCACTTTCGAAAACTCCCACGTAGGGTGATGTCTGAGAAACATAGTAATTCTTTCTCCATAGGGTATTAATCATTACAGGAAACGTTCCAAAACGAAATCGCGGTTTTCTATTCCGTTGTATTTATTTCCGCGTAGGATCTGTTGTATTTACATCAACAAAATAATTCTGCGATAATTTTTCTGTCGATTACCTTATCAGTTAGATAATAATTATGACGTTTTGTTGCTTCTGATGCAGTGGAGGTTTGAGATGACACCATCAATCATAAATGGGTTCTTCAGTTTTGTCATGATACCCTGCACACAGTATTGAATAATAAGTGTAAATAATTGATACTTAATACCAAATTGAAATTGCTGTTCCTTTTCACAGTAATTAATACAGACACTTTCGAAAAAAAGGATTGAGTACGATTCGGGGAAATCGTCGGGCGTTGATTTATTCAGATTAAAAAATAAAAATTTTTTCCTTTTTCTCTTGATGTAACTTGTAATTGCAGCGGAAGGAAGAAAAATGTTGAGAATTATTTCCACGCAACGCATATGCATTTATAGAAGATAGTCAAATAATTCTGTGAACCAAAAATTATTCCTAGAATAAGATTTTCTTTGTTACGCAGTTTTTGACCATAAACATCCTCGTAAGTTGAGAACAATTCCTTCTATTTATCATCATCGAAGATTTCTATTGGCCACCTCAAATAATGTCGGTTTATTAACGGAATTAGATGAACCTGTTGCTTACCTCAGAGTGCCGGCAAATACTACCACTTCAGTTATGATAGACGGAATTTCATTTGTTTACGAACCTGCACTAAAACCAATATGAATGGGATGAAACGAAGAAAATAACCCATGAAGTAATTTTGTTGGACATAAAGCGGTAGTTCCCCACTTTTAGATATTTACCCAACCGACAAATCAGGAGCGATCAAACTGTATTTAAAGGGTGAGAAAAACTTCTCACGACATCAAAACCACTTCATACAATTAGATAAAGAAGACCGAGCTGCGAAGACATATCAAAGAAGCCACAAGCTCACCTATAAATTGATAATGGAGATCTACAAGGTAAGGTTTCCGAGCACTTTAATTCTTGCTTGTTAATATTCCAATAACACCCTAGATTTTTAGGAACTTCTATAAAATTTTTTGATAAAATCATGATCACCAACAACCACTTTTTTGCATGTAATCAAAAGTGACTTCAAAACACAAAAGTTGTGATAAATACTGCTGAAAATTTTCATTGCTGAAAAATTCTTCCACTTGTTACTAGCTTAGTTGATCATTTGTAAGATATACTTGCTGCTTTTTGTATGAGTTATCATAATACCATTCTCCACAGACAAATGGAAATGAAGAAGCTAACATGTTCATACTTTCACTGTTAAGCAACAATTAGACAAAAAACCGAAAACAGTTTTTGAAACAAACTGAAATAAACATAATGATGGTCGTTTGAATCATGGGCGGCCGATTGGTGACTTTCACGGTTTTTTTTATTTTACTCTATCAACTACCACGGCGAAGTTTGAATTTTTTTCAGATTTCTTACTTCAGAAAATATACGTGTTTATGAAACAAAACCTAACAATAACGGTATTTCTCCCAGTTCCTTTTCGCTTTACTTGCAATGTTAGTACACCGTGGAAACTGCCGGGCGATTACATCAAACAGTAACGATGGCTTTGGTGACCTATCCCGAAAAGTTGATGAGGTGTTTGACTCGATCTTGAAGGAGGATTATAACCAACGGGAAAATTCTAGTCCCAATGGCATCTCAGAATCGGACACAGACAGTCAAGAAGGACAAGAGCTTTTCAGTGAATTTGCCATTGGTGAATGGTCGGATGACGTCATTCCATCTATGGGAAGTGCCCCGCAGTGGAGACATAAGAGGTCCCCAGATCAAGGAGAGAAAGGCTGTTACACTGGAAATTATTTGACAATCACTTTGTCAGGTAATAGGCAGAGAAGTTTCCCCATCTGTAAAAGCGTTACGTCTTGGGGTACCGCTTGTAAAAGTTCGATGAAAAACAACAACAATCAGAGAAAATGTAAGGGATCGAAATACTTAACAGTAAATGGCACAGCATACCCTCAGATCTGCACATGCGCTTAGAAATCATATTTTGAGCCTCTTCAAAACTACCACTGTGTCAGGAACACAGCAACAATATTTATAATTATTATTATTAATTATATGTAGAACCATTCAAAATTATTTAAGTATTTGTCCATCTGTCAAGGAAAGAACGGAGAATTTCTCCTATTGTAGTGATTTATTCTAGAGATGATGATCGGTAAAATTCTTGTAGCAAGAATTTAGGATGAGTATTTAATGTTAGAGCCTCTATAAGTTATCGTTTGCATGTCAAGTTTTTCTTTTCCATTTCATTTCTTGAAATTTAATAAAGATATTTTGTCCACGTTTCGTGGAATAAGTTGCATGATATTTTATATGATATAACGACTTGTTGGTAATATTTATCATTGCAATATATTGTGTTATATATATATTTATATGTTGATAAACTTGTTCATTTTGAAAGATATTACTGACCTCCTCAAACAGATTGTTTGCGCACAAGTTGTTCAACAAACTTTTTAAATACGTAGTTGTGAGATATTCATCTGTAAATTTTTTTGACCAATAAAGTATTTTATATTTTTTTAATTTCTGCTGTTCATCACTCTTCACTACTTACATCCCAATGAAAGAAGAAGTCTTTTTATTTATTTATAACTGTATAAAAAGATAAGAAAAAAAGGGAGAACAGTTACCATTTAGCCACTGATAGAAGCCTAAGACCTTACTCCTCCGCCATCGAATGACATGGAAAATCAGTGTATAAAAAGAATGATGGTATAACCATTTGCTGACAAAAGTGAAACTTAATGAAACAGGAATAACATGTCTCATCACTGAAACAAGATTTCAGCCTGGAGAGCTTCCGTACCGATGAGTGATTAACAGATAAACCGGAAAAAAGTGGAACACCTTAGTACCAACTGGTTTTCAATTTCGTAAGAAGATGAAAATCACATTTCCTTTTCATTTTTTTTATTTGTTTAATTCCGCATTAAAAACCGTAAAGGAAAGTTTTCTCCCTAATTTAAAACAATAGTCTCTAATAATTTAATGTCGATTGATAAGTTTTAAGTTAAAACTACAGATCATTCTTGATATATTTGTAGGACGAACTTCTAAATGACGTTCTGTACCTTTTTGCCACATCAATTCATTAGCGACATAAAGACGATGTAAGTCGGGCGATACTGGTGTTCCATTTGAAACTTTCTCTTTTTTTCTGATTCCTTAATGATAAAAATAGAAAAAAAATTTTAAAAAAGCGCCTAACGCTTCGTAAACTAAAACCGCTTGGATTTAGATATCCAGTCTTCATTGTAGTGACAAGCTCCTCCAAAGTATTTTCTTGCTTAAAGAGTTGCCGGCAGACAAAGTTAACTTTTTCTAACGCCGCCATTTAATTTTTTTTTCAGCATTCCTGCCCAGCAGCCGTTGCCATTAGCCGAAAGCGGAAAACGAAAAACGAATTACAGATCTGTTTTCAAAATTCTATACGAAAAAAGAAAACGAAAACGGAAATTTAAACACATTTTTGAGAGCTAATCAAAATCAAAAGGAAAAATGAAAAGCATGAGGTAAATATTATTTCTGTTTTCTCACAGGTAGAAAAAATTGAAAATGAAAATGAAATGTGGATTTCGTTTTTCATATAGGAAAAAAAATTATGGAGATAAAGTTTTGTTTCCGTTCCTACAGTGGGCAACAAGAACTGAAAAAGACAACGAAACGTGATTTTCTTTTACTAAAAATTAAATCGCTTGGCATTAAGGTACACGGAGTCAGAAAGACTC